CATCCATCCATCCATCCATCCATCCATCCATCCATCCATCCATCCATCCATCCATCCATCCATCCATCCATCCATCCATCCATCCATCCATCCATGTTCAAACCAGACCCAACGCTCTCCCCATCAATCAATCAAAACTACTCCGAAACCTCATCCGCGCCTCCTCCCCCGTCCCAAACGGCACCCCAAGCTCAAACAGCCGCATGACAACATCCGCAAAATCCCTAAAAAACGCCTCATTATCCGCCGCATACACCTCCACATACCGCCGGAACCCCTTGTCCTTAACCAGCGCCATATCAGTCGGCAGCATCATCAAGCCGCGACTCCCGCCCACACCCTCATACTGCCGCGCGCCATCCCACTTCCGCCACCGCCACGTCTCGCCCAGAAGCAACTTGAAATACTCATTCGTCAGCACCGTCGGCGAGAACGTCCACGGCCCCTCGAACCCGCTGCGATCAACGTGGCAGCGACCGAGCGCGTGCGCACCGCTCAGCGCTACAATCTCCCTGTCGTGCTCGAAGCCCATGCGGCCGAAGATGGCGCGGAGGTGGCTCTGTTCCTTGCGCGCGTCGGGCAGGCGGCCGTCGGGCGTGCAAAAGGCGACGTCGCGGTCGGCGCGGCCGGGCCGCCAGGGGATCTTGGGCCCTTGCATTTCCTGGATGGCGCAGACGGCGGCGAGGGTCCAGAGGTCGGAGTGGGTGAGCCAGGGGAAGTGGGCGTGGATGGGTTGGAGGAAGGCGCGGGCGGTGGAGAGGCCGGCGTTGGCGCCGTGGTCGGATTCCGGGGCGAAGCGCATGGTTGCGCCGTTGGAGCCGCCGGTTTGGGTGCTGGCGTCGTAGCTGGGGTTGGGGTTAGTGGGTGGGTGGATGGGTGAAAATGTGATTTTACCAGAGGGAAAGATGACGATGAGAGGGCTTGCTTCGAAGGAAGATACGTACGTTCCGCTCGCGTGCCATCCTAGACGTAGTAGGATAGGCCCGTAGCTGCCGTCGTCGTAGTCGCTCTCTTCCTCGAGCCGCTTGGCGATGGCATCGTAGACCTTCTGGTAGTCTTCGAACGTCGGCTTGAAGGGTTCCTTGGCCTGCTCTTTTACGTCGTCTGGGAGCGTCATCGTCGTGTATGCGTAGCCGGCACCACCGGCCGCGAGGGCGATGCCGATGAGCCAGGGTAGTTTGCTGCTGCTGCCGCCGCTGGGCCCGTTGCCTGATGAGGCATTATCGGCGTAGCCACGGCGGGATTGGTGGCGGCATGTTTGCTGTGCGATGGCAAAGCGGGCGGCGGCTCGGAGAGTGGATGTCTGGAGAGGGGATGACGATGACGACAGAGAAGATGCGGAGGAGCGCAGGGCGGCGCGCGAGAGTGTGCGGGCGGCGGATGCCATGGTGTTGTGAGGTCAAGATGGGTAGAAACAGATATGCCGGAGACGGCGACGGCGACAACAACACAGGAAAGACAGCGTGAATCAGAGGAATAGAGATGAGATTGAGAGAGAGAGAGAGAGAACGCCGATAGAAAAGCAGCAAACGCTCAAACCTACCTTACTACCACTGCCGCCGCCGCCGTTACGAGTCGGAGTAAACACCCGACAAAGTGTGAGATGCTGAGAAATGATTTCAGCGGACCGAGCCCTATGGGAATGCATAGATATGCCCTTACAGCGGGTCCTCTTGAACCCATCAAGCCCCTAACGCCCTATCAGAGCACGTGGATCTGTGTGAATCATCGTTGTTGTCTGTGCTCTTCACAACGTTCTGACAACAGGGGTGTCCGAGCTGGTCATGATGTGTATGTATCTATGTGCTTACGATATCGCGGGGCTTCTAGAACGTCGCACAGTCAGCCTGTCCTGTTTTTCAATACGCTCTTCTCCTCTTTACAAGAAGCTGTGCACAGCAAACAGGGAACAGGGCAGGCCGTAAACAAATACGAATGACAATGCAGATGAGATAATGTAGTCGTGTCCGTGAGGGGAAAGTCGTCTGTCTGGTTATCAGAAAACACGATCACGGTGCCGAGCCGAGACTTCTCCAGTTAGCGCCATCCATCTAGTGTGTCATGTTGATTGGCTAGTCCGCTCCGACTTGGCAGGGTCTGTTTCCTGCTTATCTTCCACTGTCATCACTGTCATGTTAGTATATATACAGATACTCGCTGTCCCATCTGCTATGCTGCTTTTGCATCTTCATGAGAGTGGAATGAATGCACAATCTCGAAGCAAGTTGAACTTGACCACTCAGAACTCAAAGTCAAGTAAAAACTATATGTCGAATACACATCTGTCTGTCGTCCGGAGATCTCAATTAAGCACACATGTCACCAGAAACCGAGGCTGGATAGCCAATGAGCAATTAATGAGATTGGTTATGTGCTCCTGGGACTGACTTCATGGTGAGACGCCCTGGTTATCCAGAATCTAAATGAAAATTCTATCCCAAAAACTCCCTATCGTACAGCAACACTATGAACAGGTCCGTGTTGAGCCTTCTAGAATGCCCCCTATCGTATTTACAACTTGCTCTGGAATAGCGTCTTGTCATTGGGGAATGGGTTGATCGTGACATCGTTCAGCGGGTTGAGCTGACTCGCGCGGTAAAACATGTCCTCGTACACCTTTCCGTCATATCGTCCCAAACTGCTATCCAACTGCCAATCCGGGAAGTCCCAAGCATCCACCAGGCGGACCGCATGTGGCCTGATCTCCTCAAGCAGTCTCATAACGGCAGTCGCGCGCGTCAGCTGGATCTGCTTAACGGTACACGCACCACTCGTGAAGAACTCGCTCGCCTCGCTCTCGAGCGTGTGCAGCGCATACAAGCGGAAGAGCTTATGCAGGAGCGCCGTCGTCTCGTTGGAGAGCTCCGCGCGTGTGTTTCCGGCACTGAGGGTGGCATAGAAGTTCTTGACGACGAGATACTGCGAATGGGCGCGCGAGAGGCGGTAGAAGTCGACTAGGAGCTCATTCCACGACTTCTTCTCAACGTCGCGGTGGCGCAGGGCTTCAAAGGTCAGGTACGAGGTGCGCCAGGCAAATGCTGCAACAATGTCTTCGTCCTTGGAGCCGATGTCGAAGGCGGCACCAATGTCGCGCTTCGTGTGGAAGTTGGTGAGAATGCGAGTGGTGTCGTTGGTGGGACGCTCGCCGTTGAGAACGGACCGGGCGGCTTTGAGGAGCTAGAGACGGTCAAATGATAGGCTTTGGAAAGAGAGGCAGATCCTTTTAACTTACATAGCGGGCGACTTGCTGGGTCAGCATGTAATTGTCGCCTTCCCATGTCGTGGTAGGGAGGTAGTCGGCGTACCAGGGACCGATACCGCTGAAACTGCTGTACCCGTGACCACCACAGGCACGTCGGCATACCTCCAGGCCTTCAGCAGCAGTGCTACTTGCAAGAGACTTGAGACCACAGGACGTGGCGTGGAGGTCGGCTACCAGATCGCTTCCTGGTGATGTTTCTTCCGGACCGGCACCACGAGGATTGCTTTCCTCGGTTTTCTCCTTATTCACAGCCTTTTGGTTTTCCTGGTACAGCTCCATCATGGCCTTACCAGTGAAATGTAGAGCATATGTCGCAGCAAGTAGGGTCAAGAGACGGACTTGAACCATGCGGTAGTTGAGAACCGGAGTCTCTCCCCGTTGATCTTTTGCGTCACGATCCTGGAACTGTCTTCGGATTGCACAGTAGCGCACAGCAATGGTCACACCCCGCGCCAGAACACCTCCAGCTTGCATGACGATGCTGCTGCGGATGAAGGTAAGGGTGCCATACACTAAGGTGGCTCTGCTTGGCTGGATGTACTTGTTGGTGTTGGGGTCAACGCCAGAGAATCTTGCCAGCATGTTCCGGTGGGGAATCTTAACCTTATTGAAGAGTAAGAAACCGTTGTCCATGGTACTAAAATACCGTCAGTCAATAATTCCACATCCGCGCCACGTGCACCTACTTGTAACCAAACTTAGGGCCAATGTCTCCAACATAGATGTTCTCGAGGGGTTGGTGTGTCTTGAGGTCCCGAATCTGAACCACGAAAGGATGGGGTCCATATGGCTTTCCATTGATAATCAATTGTGCCATGACAACAGCATGGTTAGCAGTTCGGCCCAGGGATCCAATCCACCACTTGCTTGCAGTGAGATGTGGTGAATGAATCACAAAGGTCTTGTCAGAGGGATCCCAGACAGCCACAGTCTCAAGTCCACGGACATTTGAACCATGGCCAAGCTCGGTTTGAGCGTAGCATCCTATATACTCGTATTTCCGTGCTTTCTCAAGGAAGAGCTTGTGCTGTTCTGGAGTTCCCTGTTCCTGGAGCGTTTTCCTGTGTGGCCATGAGCCACAGATCTTCACGGAGTTCCAAGTGAAACTTACAGAAACATGCTATCATGAAGACCATATGGGCCAGGCTCGCTGATGAGATCGACAGCTGTGTAGTGCTCATCATACGACCAGTTGTTCTTTGCAGAGATCTGAGCAAGTCTCTTGGCACGCGCGAGAGCTGTCTCGAATCGATCGACTCTACCAGCGAAATAGTTCTGAGACTTGTCGAATGCCTCATCAGACTCTAGGACCTTCAGAATACGCTGTTTACGCTCCCGAGCTTCATTTCCGAATAGAAAGGTTGAAAGCTCCTCGACAGGGAGATTGGATCTCCCACGCTCCTGCTTGAGAAGCTCGCTACCCTGTGGCCCTGAAGGCGTCAACTTCTTAACCCACTCTGGTGGAGGTGGAGGCATTTTGACAATTATGTTATGATATTGAAGCAAATAATAGGATCAAATGACAAGAGAGAGAAGATTTCACAACTGGGTAACCTTCGCCTTAAGTCAATGATGCAGTGGGTCCAGGCCTGACCTGCTCCATGTTAGACCCGAGGTAGATCATTGACGGTAACGCCTATGTTTCCTCTTTCAGCACATAGACCGAAGAATCACCGAGCTAATCTTATCTTTGAACCGAGGCTTCTTCCTAATCCGCTCAATAACCTTTGGATATCAAATATTTCATATGCATGACACGTAAAAGTGCTCTGACTTTGATGTTGGGATCTCTTGTGACACCGAGATGGAAGTCGTGAAACGTGGTACTGCATTGTCCCTATTATTACAACAGGTGTAGGGCTGCGTTGTCAGGGATCCGCAGCCTGTAAGAGGTCGACCTCGACCAGCCTCTCCAATTCTCTCATTCGCATTGCCACACGTCGCGACTCAGGTAGCCACCAGCCATTTCTCTTGGTGAAAGTGGGTGGTATTTACAGTCCGGCCTCATCGTGAGTTTCCTCCGGTCTTCCCCAACCCCTAACCATTGAATCTCGTTTCCCCACGCTGCACTGCCCCGCATGCGGCCTTCCAACCTCCTGCTCAGTCTCTCACACGCAGCAGGTCTCTGCCTTACCCTCATTCCACACACCGTCATATGCGAAACACAATGGCCGTACAATCTGCCCCCTCACATAAAATACCATCCGGAAGATGAAGTTCACGTCAAGAGGCACCTCAGCATCCAGGAGCGAATAGGATGGGAGAACCCTAGTGGGGTCCGGAAAATGAGCGTGAATGAGGGCGAGAAATTCCTCCTCGAATATTGGCAGTTCAAAGAGCCGGATATCTCCAACAATGCGACAGTGGCGCTTATAGCTGCACAGCCTCTTCGACCGGTTATTGAACGGGACAATGAGAGGGACTACTTCATAAGACATGCGATTCGCGACATCTTCCAGAGAAGAGGCTATCAATGCCCAGGTGGCACACGGAGTTGTATCTCTATAGATCGGCCAAACAGTTGTTGTGGCTCAAACGACGTTTGCACACTCATCGAAGATACTGGACTAGGCGACGTAGGCTGCTGTGCTTCAGGGTCTGACTGCAGAGGGACTATTTCACAGTGTGACACAGGAGCTGGATACTCGAGCTGCCCAGATTCCCCAAATGGAGGCTGTTGCATACCCGGGTATAGCTGTCAGGACGTTGGGTGTAAGTCACTGTAGAAAAAAGGTTATTCGTAGAGATATGCTAATGTCAGCTAGGTATTGCTGTAAACACGCAGATAGTCACCCGGACCTTCAACCCACCTCCATCTTCATCCACCACGCCTCCTCCTTCCTCACCTCCACCTTCAAATTCGCCGAGCTCGAGTCTATCCTGTAGCCCAGGTTTCAGATCATGCCCAGCGAGCCAGGGAGGCGGATGTTGCGCTACAGATCGTGCATGTGGATCGCATACATGCCCAGCTTTGTCTACGGGGCCGCCTACGTCGGCTGGGGCAGCGCCTCCCGTTCGGCCAACATCTGAGTCTGGTTTGATCACGACAGGCCCGGAAACATCTGCAGGGCCTGATGCGTGCCCGACAGGCTTCTACATGTGTAGCGCATACTACAGAGGCGGATGCTGTAGAGTTGGAAGGAATTGCGACAGTACATCTTGCCCTGCAACGAATACCGAGATATTGAACACGAATGGAATCACGATTGGGGCCCCAGCTGGTGCGACCGTTGCTCCAATACCGAGTCCGAGTTGCGCAACTGGCTGGTTCATTTGTGGTGCTGATGAAGGCAGCGGATGTTGTCCGACCGGGTATAGCTGTGGATCTGGTGATACATGCATGGCAACGGAGAGCGGGGCTCCAAACGTGGCGAAAGAACCACCAAGCATGGCTGCAAGTGGTAATCGAGTATGTTGGTGTTTGCTAACTATCGCGTGGTTCTCGGGTGTTGCAATGTTGCTGCTATAGCGCGGTGAAAACCTCTGAATGATAGGCTTGAGTACGACTGCAAATGACTGTACATACACACTGCTCACGACCTTACGACATACTCATCCTGAAGCGTTGACTAGCATTGCAAATTTAGAAATTGAATCATGAAGGCGGGCTTACAATTGCACCTCAGAATTGTGCATGTGATAGGCATGGATGCATTCAACATCAAAAGTTGACGTGTCCGTAGCCGGGTTCGTGCTGCCAGGTTCCCTGGTCGTTGAATCTGAACCTGAAGGTGCGGCGAGTCACTAGATACAAGTTCTTCTGTGAGAACGAACAACATCCAAAAGCTTGCGTACATTATATATACAAGCCTACAAGCTCGTATAGTTAATAGTTACAAGAAGTGGTTTCCGACGTCAAACAGCTCCTGAAGGCCAGGGTGGGGACGAGGTTGCGGGCACCTGGCCCCACCCATCCATCCATCGACAATTCACAGAAGCTAACGTTCTACACTTGATCACTACACCTCATTGCAGACCGAACATCCTCTTGTATATCCTCGACCCTCGATCTTGATTCTCGACCGTCACCTCCATACCATAATCCGCTCACCGCTCACCTGGTACAGCTACCCTCGAGCTCGTAGCCCTCTACAGAGCAATTCACTTCTACACAGCTACCCCTCCCTGTCACTGACGCAACAAACCCTCACGATTCACTTTGTTCACTTCGGCCGCCCCACTTATTCGCTGGACCGCAATCTCAGCTATATAACTAGGCAGCCGGGAGTCAGACTTGATGGAGGCACCTTGGCTACTGGCCTTATCGCAACTGCCTTGAAGACTTGGTCTTCAATTGCTAGCGAAGCCAGAAACTATGCCGGAAACTCGCGATGACGGTCAGCTTCCAAAGCCACAGTCTGAGAAAGAGAGAGCACACCAGATATCTCGGCGCCTTTTGTTGACTCACCAGGGCTTCAAAGTGGCGAAGGAGTACCGTACAGAAATTGCTGCTAGCAGTAGCAGCTTGTTATCAACACTGGCCGCGGTGAGTGAAGAGGACGTCCAGTTACCATTGACGGGCTGACATACGCTACAGTATCCTCTAGACTCCGTCAAGACTCGCATGCAAGCGTATGTGCCAGTTCTATTTCCGTCACTTGGCTATCACTGACCTCTTTCAGGTACAAGTTCTCTTCGTTCGCCGATTGTGTTGAACATACGTATAGGTCTGAAGGTCTCCATGGATTCTGGAGAGGTGAGTAATAGCATCATTGGACAATTGCGTGTGGCTAACGTCAATTGAACAGGTGTCTGGTCTCCACTAGCAAGCATTACACTGGTTCGCACGGTATCGTTCTCCATCTATCAAAAAGCAAAGTACACGTACGATAGCTGGATCTTTAGATCAACCGGGCAGTCACCGCTCGTGGTGGCCAACACCAAGAATGCAATGCCGACTCTTGCAACCATGGCATGCTTTGGAGCCGCAGGTGCAACCGCAGGCTGTGTTATATCTTTCATTGCTTGTAGGTCGAAAGCTGACAAACATCCTTGAATATCACTGACTAGAACCCTAGGTCCTTTTGAACTGACCAAGCTCAGCGCACAGATTGCAGTCCTGATGTCAAAGGGCAATGGTAGAGGTGAAGCGACTGCGAAAGAAACGGCAAGAGGCAAGAGCTACGAGCAGCTGGGAACCTGGAAGACTGCCAAGCAGATCGTCAAGTACAGAGGCTTCGCTGGACTCTATTCCGGCTTTCACCTTCATACGCGTAAGCTCAGTAATGTCTGTTGACCTACAGACTTGCTAACATTCATAGTTCGCGACACCATCGGCACCGGTATCTACTTTATGACCTATGAGAGTGCTAAGCAGGTTCTTGCCAACGCACGCGGCAATTCTCCAACCAGTCCTGCGGCTGTAGTCGTTGCTGGTGGACTCTGCGGCCTCGTTAGTTGGGCATGCGTACGTGTCTCAAGCTGCGAACCCGAATCGTGAGGCTAATACAATCCGTAGATCTATCCAATCGACTCTGCAAAGAGCATCTATCAGCGCAATTGCTTGACCAGCGACAAGAAGGACACTAAAAGGCCTAAAGTTCAATTCTTCAATCCTCGCATGTATCGAGGTACGTTCAGTCTGTCGCATACTCCGCTTATAGCGCACTAACCGTTTTCTCAGGTCTCACTGTTTCGATGACCCGCTCATGTATCGTCAATGCCGTCTTCTTTTCAGCCTTTGAGATGACAAAGAAGTATATTAACCATTTCGAATATGATGAGGATATCATCAGACGTGGATTGGAGCAGCAGGAAGAACTTGCATCTCGGAAGTAGTGATAAGTATCGACTTACGCAGGTACGAAATGGAACATGGAGCATTGTAGGACAACAGTGGGAGGCTTCGTCGTGTTCTTTCTTGGAGTAAGACTTTTGGGTCATTTACTCAAAACGGATATCGGAACGGCTTGCATCATCACGCGGAGTCTCACGGAGTTGTTCGTGTTAATCTTCACGTCTCATCGGAAGGTTCAGTTGGGCGCTTCTTCACTTCACTGGGTTATATGGGTGTAACTGAGCACATAGCCGTCGGTGTTTCTCGTCTAGGAATGGTCCCTTGGTAGGATCTGTCATTATACGCAGTACATTCGAACACGGATCTGATTATCATGAACTTTGCTAATTGTGTTCCTACGTTCTTGAATCCACCAGATGTAGCTAATGAAGATATGATACAGGTCAATCATCTAGCATCATTCGGTGGCCATGGTTCAATCCAGAATACTACCACTTCACGAAGAAATCTTGGCTACGGTAGCTAGCCTGGGCTTGAGTCGCATCCTGGAGATAACTCCGGAACGCTAAAGGTAAAGGAGGACCGCGGCAAGCCCACTACAGCTGAAAGGTCAATCTAAACTATGCGCTTATACGTTTATCAACTCCTGAATCTCCGCTTTACTATCATCATGAATCCATTAATCCAACATCCGTGGAGCCTCCAATGGTGTATACAATGCGCTTCATAAATCCAACACCGATCATTACATCAGCCGCGCGCCACGCCACGCGCCTTGACGCGGCAATGGATCCATGTACCCCGGCTTTCTGTCCACTCTAACCAACCATTCAATACCACAAGAGGCCGCTCACAAGTCGTCCAACTGATACTCCAGCGTGACATCCTCGGAGCATGCATCACAATAGTAGTTTGAGAAGCCGCCGCACTTGACCTTCATCTTGAGACACATGTCGACGCTCCAGACGTCGTAGGAGTAGCCCGAGAGAGTCCGATTTGGGCAAATTTCAATGCTATCGGACCACATGTAGGTTTCGTGTCCGCAGATGTACCAGGAGTAGGTGTAGGAACACATTTTTGTAACTGGATGGTTTGGGAGGTAGCGGTGTATTTGAGCTTACTAGAAGAGGTGCCTGTGTCGGTTTAATGGGCTGGTAATGCAATCCTGGACTCGCATACGGACCTTCAGCGCACTCTCTCTGCCTTCTTATAAGAAGAGGGTCAAAACTGACTGAGTATAACGACTATGAGAATAATCAATCGAGGAGTGTATAAGTGGGACCTCTGGTACTAAATGAAGAGCGCCGCAATTCATGTGCCAGGCAACAGCCGCGAGTTGTACAAACCGGTGAATCCAGCGAAGTAAGGATACCGCTCTAACATCCATCCATCAACCGTCGGCACTAGCCAGCATTTATATAACATGCTGTTGTCTTATCTCACGTACTGCAGAGCGCGGATGTAGCGCCAAAAAGCTGATGTACCTAAACGACCCCTTGCCCCAGCAACGTGGAACCTGAGGTATCCAGGATCTGACAGAATGAAGATGCATAATACATTGGTGCAGATATACCTATAGCAATGACTTGCGCAGGGCGTGTGCCGAAAGAAGGGCTTCCCTGGGATGGACAGCAGTCAATAAGTCAACAAGTCAACATTGTCCTCTTCCGATCTGGCGGGACGTCTCATGCAACTTCATTGCTTGTTCAAGTAATCGGCGTTTGACCGATCGGAGACTGACGACCGTGAGAGGCACCACTGAACTTGAGTGAACGTAGCAGGATGTGATTTGGCGGCTGAAGTTGCATGTGTGATGTGATAAGTCGAACCTCTCCTGCGCCTCGCAGGCCATTGGTCTTTGTTGCTGGCAACGGAACAATAGTCTGCATCTTTGACAACTCAGAGACCAGGCAGTTGATCCGACGACCTCAAATCCTTGAGGACGGTGGCTGACATGAAAGATAAACAGCGGCCTCAGACATTTCTCTGCGGTATACCAGTAGTTATCCTCGTGCCAACTTAGCCTCAACTTCGAGGACGAGAATCAAGATGATTCTGCAAGTGCCCATGACTGGCTCTTACGTTTTCACGATACTCATGCAGGGTTGAGGGCCACGACTGTTGCGACGAATCTCGTTCGTAGTCCTGATTGGTCCATAGACTTACGTGTCTCTTTACCGACTATGTACTAATCATGCTAACCGACTTACGGATCTGAAGCAGTGGCATTGTGCCTACTTCAAATCAGGGCTCCCATCAAACTATGGAAATGTAATGTTCGCCTCAACGAACTTCCAAGAATTCGACTCGTTGTGTGACTAAGATGCAATGACGTAAATCGATGAAAGGGAAATACATGTATCGAGAAACTCCGCTGTAAACAAACCGACTGACTGAAACAGGACGAGGCGACAGCTTGTGTACAAACATACGTGTACATCATGACGAACGAATTATATATGGCCACAAGTATCGTCGCAACTAACTTCGCAACGCACACTGTCCGATCCATGTTCGAAAAGCGATCATATGACGGACCCAAGAGCAGTAGAACGCTAAATGCCTTAAAACCAATATCGCCAAAGTCAGATCAATCGATGACCACCGCCAGTATAATGATAGTGAGCACCACTGCCATGATTATAAGCAGCCAACAACCTTTCCCGCGGGCACTCCTTTGATACCGGTCAGCTTGCCTTAGGTTCTGATATCCTCCCTGGGTGGCCTCTCTTGTCGTCTCCACATTCTCTTCGATGAAGTTGAGCTGCTCGCCTTGCTCATGTACAACGTGTCCGAGGTTTTTGAAAAGGTCGTTTAGCTCCTGGACCCCGTCCGCGATGTTGTCAATTTCATTTTGACGATCATTTATCAAGGTCTCGTTAAAGTCCACCTCGTGCTGGGGCGCCATCCGTGCTCGTTCTTGCTCCTGTTCTAGCAGTTGTTGTTGAGAGCCTGACTGTGCACCAAATCCGGAGGCCGAGCTCGACTCATCTTCTAGTGCAGCACGAGTGGCCTGTGTAGCTTGTTGCTCTCGATTTATGGACTGAACAGTGGTTTGGACGTGTCCATCAATCGACTTCCACTTGGAAATAAGTGACTTCTGCTCCGTTTGTTGCTTGGTCTGGATTTAAAACCTATTAGTAAAGGAACAGACCCAGAGATATTGATTCATGGTGTACTGACTGAGAGCTTCTCCTGCCAGTTCGACACTTTATCCGCCTTATCCTGGGCTTTCCTAACTGCAGCCGTTGTCTCCTTCAGATATTTGCCTATGGTGCCACGCGTCCTAGGTGTTTCTTCTTTCGTTCCCAGCTTCTTCGTGAACTCCTCAAGCTTTTTTACATTGCCCATCACAGAGTTCAATATGCCGTCGAGCTCTGTAGCTAGTGTATCGAAAGATGGGTGATCGCGATAAGGTTCATCCCCCCAATGCTGGGCCTCCAGATCCGAGGAGCGTTCAAAAGACATCTTGTTGAGCGTTGAAAGTGCGCAGTTGAGATAGTATGCGGAGAAGTGAGTGCACGTATCCGGGGATCGATGTATTGCTGCCTTCCAAGCCGCAAATGCACGACGACGTGAGTAGCAGTAGGTATCTAAAGTCAGGCGGCGCTGCTGGATGACGACGATCCATCCATCCCCGGCCGTCCTCCGTGCTTGGCCTTGCCAAGCCAAAACCGCCTTAGCAGCTTAGCTAAAGGCTGCTCAAACCTAAGCCCAACTGAGCGCAAGCGCAGTAATCACATCCATCCACTAATTAGTGGAGCTTCCCAGCGCTTGTGTTTTTGTTATAACCACCACGAAACCGAATTACGCTCGTCCCACCCAGCAACCTCACCCTACACTCCCTTTGTCGCATGTCACTATGATATGAAGCCTACTCTGCAGAAATACACTCCTTTCAGCCAACTCCAGCCTCCCCATCATGTCCGCGGACGCGAATAAACAAGCTCCTGTAGCTCCGCGAGCACGCCCATACAAAGACTTCCTAAATGCCGACTTCCACCGACGATTTGTGCAGGCATTCCTGGTGACCGGTGCAATATGCTATCTTAACGCTATTCTCATGGGGCAGGCGGATATTCTCTGGATATGGTTTCCCTTTGGACGCGCAGGAGTGCGAGCGCTTCTCATTCTCCTCAGCAGCCTCTTCGTATACGTTATAAGAGTTGCCCGGTCACACATCGGCGAGAGGAACTCGTCAAATTTTATCCAAGCCGCTCGCAATGTCTTTGGTCTACATACGTTTTTCACATTGGCGCTATACGGGGCCTCAGCCTTCTTTTTCGTGGAGACGTATATCGCGCTTGGTGGAGCACCGGACATGGGAAACATTGAGATCGGGAGGTCAGTACTCAATCTTACCACTCACATTGAACTTTGCTGACACAGTGTAGAGCTCACGAACGTGATCGAGTGAATGAACGCCCAGTTTACCTCCGCGCCATGATCTACCTATTCCTCGTTCCCAGCCAGACATTGGTCCACCTCTTTTGCGACCATGATAAGATAGAATTTCCGTCAGAAGAGACAGATGTATCGCCTACGGTGCTATCCAGCTTACAGCCAACTAAAGATAACATGAATAAAGCTGTCAAGATGTTTAATCGCACCTTCTGGCACACTGTCGTTGTCATAGTGTCAGGAAGCATGTTCTACTTCTTCAGCACCTCACTTCGATACATGACATGGAGGATCGCATACACATCATTCTATCTGCTTGTACCTAATGCAACTGGACCCGGTCGATATCCTGCTCGAGGCTTCCTCGACATGTTCGCACGGTGCTTTTTTGAGTCGTTCCTCCTCTTGTTCCTTTGGAATACCATAAATAGTACCTTCAACATTTTCATGAGCAGGGAACCTTTGAAGAAAGGGCAGCCTTTAACGAACGACTCGAAAGATCCGAATGGGAGCTTAGTTCAAGGACTACGCTCAAGAAAAGAGTTACCTAGAGTAGGTTTGCGACAATCTTCGCATACGAAAGTACTGACGTGATATAGTGTTTTGCGTTCTGGGAATTGGCAGTCATAGCGCAACGTTTCGAGGCACGCCGGCAATCAATATACGAAGACTTCAGCCGTGGCGTGTGGAAAAAGATCCTCGACGCTTGTATATCAGAGATCGAACAAATCACTAAGCGGATCGATGCTACGAAGCCCACTCCGCCACCTGCTGCGATACCCGCAGCCCCAATTGAACCTCTCCCAAGAATCGCCCAACCTCTGAAGCAGGACAATGTCCTCGGACCCGCATCTGCACGAAGCAACGGTCTAGCTTCATATGCGAAACAGCATGGCGTGACGCCCCGCAAAGAGATACTTGGTCCCCGTGCTGTCAAATTGATTGAGTCTGGACGGGACAAAATTATTCCGCCACAAGCACAAGCCGAGATTCAACAAAAAGGCGTCGGAGGTCTTATGGCCGACTTGCTACTACCTCTCATTCGTACACCGACCATTGGTCCATATTTGCGTCTAACGTTCGCTCATCAAGCGATCACTGTCGTTGCTGGATCTCCCTACAGCCGGCTGAGTACGATCATTGCCGCGGTTGGAGCTGTCACAGGGCTCGCAGTGCATAGTCTGAAAGAGGACAAATATGGCTGCGTACATGGCAATGTTCCCTTAATTGTGCGCACGCTCACAGCCGCAATTACGTCTATCGACCAGTTCATTGCGTCAACAACACCACACTGGACAGACGTCGACTTCCGAGAGGAACATAGAAAAGTACCTGAAGTTGAGCAGATTAAGAATAAGTTGAGGAAGGGCTTAGAGAGGGTACTTACCGCACATGCGGAATACCTGGAGAGCGAGGGTTTAAGTGCACCAGAGATCAAAGCAGCCCGTCAACTAGTCAGCGCACCATCCTTGGACGAAGCACAAAAAAAGCCTGAGATGCAGCAGGCAAGATAGAAATATATGCATTCGCACTCTCCGCGCTGCACACTTCTTGTACTTCTTGCCCTTCGTATGATTCTTTGTGTGCTGGAAAAGAATATGCAGGTCATCGGACTAATTCAACCAAATGCTAGCGTACTGTTATCCGTATATCCGACCTGTCACCCACGGAACTCTCGAGATTAGCTCCAGCCCCGAACTGTAGTATAAGACCTTCTGCTTATACGTCGCGGATATGGTAACAACAAGGCCTCTCGAGCCCCTCGAAGTCGCTGATCCTGCCTTTTCCTAACTTCGGATTTACGAACGAGCGGCTTAGCTATTCGTCATATTCGTCCATCCGGTATCTCGGTGTCAGTAATCATGTCTGGTTCTAACTATGGGGTACTCCACGTGGTACTGTCTACCCTTTTCGGATATTTAGAAATTCAGGGAGGCGGATACATCATGGACTACATGTACAAGAAATAACATAAATCGAGCGCTACTCCAGAGTCACAATCCCTCCCATGTGCTCCGGCGCTGTCCTCGCTTGTGCTGGTATGGAAGCTTATGGGTAGACAGCAGAGTATCACGTTAGGTGGGCTATTGTGGGCACATCGGTGTTCGTCTAACTGTTCGGCATGCAGATACGATGTATACCGAGTGTGTACATCTCTTTGCACGGACAAGTACAAAGCTACCTATGAAGGACAGCATACGGAGATCACACGAGCAGGGCCATGACAGCCCAACAGCTCGTTCGAAGCTTCACTGCATTGCTTTCTCTACGGTTTGCTCCGTGCCTGTACGATACTCTTGGTTATGGATGGGCCGATAGAGTTCTGGCTTTGACTGGGCTCGTCTTGGCTAAGTTCAGAGCGAAGTTGGTACGATGGCCTAGCACTCATTTGACACCATAGTCATTTGATCATCCTATGCGAGCGCTTGTGTTGTACAGGACCCGACACTGGCTTCGTGAGGCATCACTAGTTTCAACTGAAAACTCCCAGCTTGCGGAGCTGACTGCTCTTCGCCTCCTGGGTGACACAAAACCATAGAATACGGGCGAGCTGGGCTAAGACTGGCTTCTCCCTGGCGATAATTGACTCTTATGGCTTGTTCGACCCGGCTTGGCAGTTCACTTCCGAGGCTCTCGTGGAAGATCTCAGACTCAAATCTCTTTATAAATGTATATGTACATATATCTTGCCCGTATCTTGCCCGTAGCGAAACAGATCTGCACAGTCTACTGTTGAGTGGCACTAAGATGGGTTTCCTCGCCACCACTTCCATGGTCTTATACTTCCTTCATCTCACCACCGCTCAAGCTCCTCGATCCGCCCAGCCCCCATTCTTTCCAGAATACTGCACTCTCCCCCTGACTGGTCGCGCCCTTCCCCTCCAACTCAACAACACAGCTCCTCGCACCGTAACATGCATCAGCCCCGGCGCCGCATGCAAACGCAACGCAGACTGCAACGTACCAGGCGCCCATCCCTCGGTCGAAGAGTGCGGCCAAATCTATCTTGAGCGCAACTACACGACTCTTCTGCGCCCAAACACCATTTGCCTAGATGGCTTCTGTCGCTACGCAATCCCACGCATCGATGCCGAGCCACGCTCACAACACCGCTGCGGATGTCTCGTAGGATGTCAGGGCACTCCTGGGAAACCATACACGTGTATTCAGGGCAATTGCGAGCGTGAGCATTGCGTTGGTTGTGGACAGCGTGCGCCGTATGGGGATGAGGACAGGCAGTGTTGTGGTTATGCGATCAAGGACAGTGATGGTATATGCCGATGCAAGACGGGTGTGGAGAACTGCGAGGCGCGTCCGCCTGATGATGGGGGATTGAACCCCTGTGGGCGACCATCGTTCTATGACATTTGTTGCTGGGAGGGATCAGAAAGAGAGGGCGAGTGTTGCGATAGGGAAAGTTGCATTGGGAGTGTCTGCTTGCATCAGCCAGCGTTTGTATCGGGGGCGTAGGGAGCAGTGTAAGGATCATGCTTGGGGTCATGACATGCTTTGTTTACAATAGTACACTGTGGAAAAAGCTCAGAATCTGAATACCTCTTTACACATTATATTCGTGCGCTCATGTCCCCGAGGCCTGGCGGCGTAACATTGATGCGTCGTCAAAGCAAGCTATATAGTTTGAACATAAGGAAGTCAGCCTCAATTTCTCTGTCTAACTCAGGTAGATGCTCTGCAATCGCTCCCGTAGAACGCTTTCTCGACTCTTTCATCGTCTTCTCCGAGGCCCCCAAATTCCTGCTGTGCGCGTTTCACTATATCGTAATGTCTGAAAGTTAAGTATGAGTCCGATTCCTTCTGATAGAGCACTACTGTCTTGGTTACCAATATTTGTCTGCTACGCAGATCTCGAGTCGGTTAACCAGGACTTTCATTGATACTTAGCGTCGGTCACCATATTCAGTTTGCGGGGCACATGGATCGATACAAGTCCATCCTCCAGCCTAAGGAGCCAGGTCTTGATCAAGCCATGAATACGGTCTCTGAGTAGATTATCGTTCGGTCTCAGGCACTTATGGCTTTTCTGGTGCTGCACAATGTCAACTGATCCCAACAGCAAAGCCCACGAATGATCCTTCCATGAATTCTCCTTCATCCCATCAACGATATGACTAACTGGCTACTATAAATCGACATCCTATCTGACATGCAGTTTGAGCCTGAGGCAAAGATCCATGTTTGATAGGGAGTAAGGATCACAGTCGAATCTACAAATGCTCCGCTAAGCCGTTTATAGACAAGCGGCCAAAACAAGGGACTGGCATCTCGACTCTCTCCCCTCACTGTAACACCACACGTGTCTGCTGTGTTATCATATTATCACATCGTGAGGTGTTCGGAAGATTATCATCTGCCGTCCGACTTAGACGGAAGGCACGGTAGAAATGTTCGTAACTTCGCTCATCTGTACATGAACGAAGACATTTGCAATCATTTCTTCTTGCAACAGTTCACAATGGCGCAGAAAGATCCGTACGACTTGAAATTTGACGAACTTCCTAATCCTATGCGAGTCTGGAAGGGCCCGCCTGGCAGCCACGAAGAAGCATTAGGAAAAGTGTCGATCCTCACTCCAGATGTAGTCGCCAAAGCTGCCTCTCAGGAGATCAGGACTGGTCGACGTGTGACCGTCAATTGGTCCTTGGAACAGCTTGAGTACGCACCGTTCGGTCGAATCCCAGTCAAACACAGTATCATTCCTATACTAGACGGCGATGCCTTCGATGACATCTATACCTTCAATCCGCGTACGTCGTGGCGGGATCGCCTTTGGGTTTTTGTGTTCGACTAACGCATTTACAGAGCAGAGCAGTCAGTGGGATGGGCTGCGCCACTTTTCACAACCGAAATTTGTTGAAGATGGGCAAAGGAGCGTTGAGCGGGTGTTCTATGGCGGCACGACGAAGACGCAGATCTACAACAGGACCAATTCTCGACTCGGAATCCAGGCGTGGGCATCTGAAGGGATCGCTGGTAAGGGACATTCCAGTCATCCGACAGAGCCACATCCCTGATGCCTACACAGGTCGTGGTGTTCTCATTGACTATGCTTGGTGGGCAGAGAAGCAAGGCATCGAGTACAGCACTTTCTCACAGCATCACGTGAAACTATCAGATATCACTCAGATTGCCAAGGAATGCGACATCATCTTTCAGAGAGGTGACATACTTATTGTCAGAATCGGCATGACAAAGGAATGGAATTCATGGTCTGACCAAGCCAAGCAAGAATATGCATCGCAAAGTAACCCATTACACGCTGGTGTGGAGAATTCGATGGACGTCTTACGTTGGATATGGGACACCGGCTTCTCTGCTGTCGCAGGTGATGCAATATCTTGGGAAGTCCGCATACCTATTCCGGTCGATCGAAGAAGCTTCCAGTCTGATGTGCCACAGGTCTTCCCGTCTATCAATCCGCCCCTGTTTCTCCATGAATACCTGTTAGCTGGCTGGGGCATGCCGATCGGTAAGCATCCCATCCTTCGGAAAACAAATATTCCCCACATTACTCACGTGCGATCTAGGAGAAATGTTCGACTTGGAAGCACTTTCGCAGACCTGTCAAGAGCTGGACCGCTGGACTTTCTTTGTTACATCAGCACCACTGAACATGCCAGGAGGTGTATCAAGCCCACCCAATGCATTGATGATATTCTGAGCCACCTCAACGCGTGGGGCGTCAAACCTCGTATTATTCAGCCAGGAGATACCTACTATATATGAAAGGCAAATCCATGTAAGCAATTCACCGCCGTCTAGTAGCGTTCGGGTCGAAGCGTTGACTTGTCGTGGAGTCATGTCGCATTTCCATGCAATCAGGACTTGGCATACCTTGTAATACGGCAGATCATCGCCGAAGTGTCAATGAACGGGGCTGCATTAACCGGACACACAAATCTGCTAGAACATGCAGGTGTTCGACTAGTGAACTCCGCAAATGCATACCGCACATACATGAAGTCATCTCTGAAGATAATCGAGAAACAGCAGCCACAGGCTTCAAATCCACTGAAAAATCTTTTCATCCTAGCAATACATCTAGTAGATATTGCGATTGATACAATGATCCCAAATCCAGGATGCTAAGGACCAATTCGTGCTGTCTGTTATCGATAGACGATCTTTTGTCCGTCCCTAGAAGCATGCAACGGACTTCAGCACTGTCCGGAGGTGATACCAGGAGAATATCGCCACAAGAGAAACAGGCAGGATGTCCTCTTGCTACTTCCTTACCGTCGTTACTACAGCTGCTGGTAAGCATTTCCCTTTACGCTACACACCGAGCTGTTCACCTTGCACATCCTCTATCTAGAATGAACACAATCACCACTTCATCTAGAGGCTACATTGTACCAAGGTGCATCTTTCATTCACATCATTTGGCTAAGCATCTCATCTTATCCTTCTAGGGACGTGTCGCTCTGCAGAGCTCCACAATCTTTCGTTCTTTGCATGTTCCAAAGCTATAATGGCGTCTCATCTCCTCTCCAGACAGGGATATGTGACTGGCTTGCAGCCGCCTCCCGGTGTTGTATCAGACCCGACTCATGCTGAAAAGGGACTATGGAAGGCAAACATTGCTATACAAAGTATATGCCTGCCCATAGTCACAACACTGGTATTTATCCGACTGTACACTAAAAGCAAGTGGAGATTTCACCTTGACGATGGTGAGTTGGATCCCATATTGGTTTGACTTTGCTGAGATTTGCTACAGCGGCATGTTTCCTGGGATGGGTGAGCGTTGCGCCTGGTACCATTGCAAACGCATAGTAACTAAAGTTATACTAGATCGCCGCAGTCGCATACTCTACGACTGCTCTCCTTATGGCTAAGCATGGCGCCGGTATCCATCAATGGAACGTCTACGAACGAGATATCGTCCCATACACTCGAGTATGTTGCTTTATATGCTTCTATCAGTTACATTTTCTCATTCTCTTCGCAGCTCGTCTACGTAACCATGATCATATACGGCCCTTGCGCTTTCTTGATTAAGAGCTCAATTCTCCTCTTTTGTGCAAGAATTTTCCACCCACATCGTAGCGCATGCGTCATCATATACACCTTCATTGGCGTCATGCTCGCATACTATGTACCTGTGCTCGTCATCAAAGCTGTCATATGTCGACCGCTGAGTCACTTCTGGGATCCTGCTTCTGCACCGGATGCAAAGTGTTTCAATCAGAGAGTGCTGATCTTATGTGATAGTCTGATGAGTATCATCACAGACTCTATAATACTTTTGCTCCCACTTCCCCTGGTGAGTAAACTTAAGGTGTCGTTTCGAGAAAAGAGCAAGATTGCCATCATATTTGGGGCTGGTGGACTCGCTACTGTGTGCGGTCTCATGCGTATGATCGATATTTCGAGCAATGGTAAAGAGTCAGATACTACCTTTGTATTCACGCGGATAAATCTCTGGGGGTATGTTTGTACTTCTCCTTCAATTCTCTCCCTCGTCAATATAAAGCCGGGTCTGACACCAATATGCTTTAGAATTGCCGAAGTAAACATTGGCCTCATTTGTGCGTGTTTACCTACGATTCAGTACCTGCGGCGACGCTGCAGAGGGTGGCCGGTCTCGCACACAACCTCTCATGGGCGGTCTCCCAACGACATATCATCGACGCGTGATTCTGCGCTGCAGTCACCGACGTATGTAATGGACAATATGGCTGCTTCAAAAGCAGTGTATGTTAGGTCAGACTCTGTACCTTCGTCTTCACGTACAAGCACGAGCGTGACACCGGCACGGAGCCGTAGTATGCTGTCGGTGAGAAATCCGGATCTGCCAATGGATGAGAAATCAGATCTATCGCCTGCTTCGCCAGACCTCTCACAGCCACCATCAGCATCTTTACCATTCCAGCCAGAGCGCACACTTCACCACCGTAGCTCCTCTATCAGCACTCCACTGACCAGTATCACAGAGACAATCGTCCGTGGACCTAGTGTCGGGAGTAGCAGGAGCTATATCAATCCGTTGAACGCCAGCTCATCTAGTCTAGGACAAAGGCAGATTGACGAGGTAGAGATGGGCGCCGCAATCGTGAAGACTGTTGAGGTCGAGCAGATTGAGTCAGTGGCGGAGTGAGTGAGTGTATACTGAAACCGATAATATACTAACTGACCTTAGGGAACAAGCCTTCGAGCTTGATAGTCCGCAGCTGAATCCGACTGGATGGTTCCGCTTTGGCAATCATTAGTCACATTGTTCGTGCATCTTTCTCAAATCGTAGGCACTATGATGAAGACCTAGCAGTTGGATCCATCCTGGATCTGGTTTCTAAACATGATCGTCTCACTACTCGATCATTCGTCTTGAAAGCTCAAATGCTGTCTTATGTTCATGTGATCTTATGCGGCAGACGTTCGTTTGTCGTTCATTGAACTTCCGGGCTCCCACTCAGATGTATAATATACAACATGACACATCCACTGTGTCGCACGGAGCACCCGCCCTGAAAAACCACAAGCTCTCCATGTCCCGCACACTGCAATCCAATGGTAGTTCTGTAACCAGCCCGAACCTGCAGTGTTTATACTTTGCATCTTCAGTAGAGGTGTTTCAGTCTTGATGTCTTGAGGTGGTGGGCGTCCTGAGCCCTTCATTGGCTTGCGCTGCTTCTGTTAGTAAGGTCATAGTTCTTATCCATGTAGCTAAGATCCAGACTGAGCATACTTTTAACGTGTCTCTTAGTATACCTATCTGTAAAGCCTATGTTGAGCGATAAATTTCCCCCAAATCGCATACGATCCTAGCCTCTATTCGTTAAGGACGACCTGACGCAAGAAAAAAAAGCCAAAAAAAAACACAAAACAAAAACTGCGGACCGAGGATTGAACCCGGCGACTATACTGCAGAAAACCAGACGAACTGAGTTTTTTTGAAATCCACGTTGTGGGACCACTAGACCATGGCCCCGAAGTGTGGGAACTGAAAGCTACTATCATAGAATTGTTTATAAAGGACGTTGGGTTGGGGGTTTAGGGGAGGGTCTTCGGTTATTTCTTGTCGACCAAGGGAGAGATGACGACACTGTTTCGGTGAGCAGAGCGGAGCCTTCCGGTGAACAGCGATAGTGTCGCGATAGCTGTCTTTTGGCATGGACACATTGACAGGCATAGAAAGGTCGCGTTTTCCAACAATCCATTCCGAGCGTGCAGATTCGAGAGATGTCAACAGACGTGAACGCTTATGGTTGTTGAGACATGGTTTCGAAACGTCCACGAATAAATATTCGGTGTATTTGCGTATATCAGTTACTTGCTGTGTGTGCTATCTATCTATGCTTTCACTGATGTATGTATTCTACGATTTTAACTTCTTCAACTATACCTTGACACCTGCGCCACATTACTCTCATCCTATGCCATATCGATCATGTTCATCGCGTCTTATCAGCATCCTAATCTCCTTCTTTACCGCGGTGAGACTTTCATGCGAAGTTATTGGTACAGGGAGCAGCTCCAAAAGCAGGCACGGAATTTTTGCCTGAATCGAGTGCTCCAGCTGTCAATGTCACCTTTGTGAGACTTTGCTTTGCCCCAACAGCCCTGTGCAGAGAGGGCGGTGATGAATCCAATATAGAAGCTTGCTCTTCACTATAATCATGCTTGTTTGTCGTGTTCTGCAATACTTTGTGATACTCGACTCCTAACCTTCTTTTCTTGGTTACTCTCAAGCCTACCTCTATCATCCGCTTATGCGGTCGTCCATCATGCTGCAAGACAGCATTGCTCTTTCTTGCCAGAGGAGAGCTAGGCGGGTCTACGTCAGAAGATTCATCGAGGATACAAGCCCCCATGTTTCTCTGCGTGCTGTCTTGGCTGTGTAGAATGATGCTTGATCCGGGACTTGAGGGCAATGCATTAACAAGCGTGGCATGATCATTGCCTCCCACTGCAGTTGCCCCATATTCAATATTCTCTCCATAACTAGCCCTGATACCTGGCCGTTTCCCGTGAAAAGGCAAGGCATCTGCACTCGCATTGCTGGGGGCTGCTGCTGCAATACAGTATATCTCGGTGTGCCTCGTGTGTTCTTTGCCCAAATCAGCCGCCTTACGCTCTACGAGGCCTAATTCGCGATTAAATGCGTTGATCTCGCTATTGATGGTGCTTTCGCGAGTTGCGTAGCTGCCGGTAAGGTTGCGTTTGTGGGCGGGCTCCGTTACTGGAAGATCGAGGAAGCCTTCCGCAACTGACCCGGCAGGTGTGTGAGCGAGCGGAGAGCCTGTCTGACCCTCGGATCGTGTGGGTTGAGTAGCGGCGTTCTGATTCGATGTAGTCCTGACTATAGTGGTAAGCATGGGATTGGCGCTCTTTGATAAACCGATTTTAGGGGCGCCAAGTGCTTCACAGGCATTCAAGAGGACAGTTTGTATATCTTGGAAACATAGGTCTTGAGCTATACCAGTACTCTCTGTCTATTGTCAGGACCTTGGTCTTAAGTGAAGGTTTGGACTACGAGATGCAACTCACTTACCTTGAGACTGATGGGTCCGTGGCGGACTGGAACTCCTCTCTGCTGAAGCTATTGCATTAAAAGCCGAATTCAGACTCGCTCTAGGTGGCGTAGTAGGAATTGCTGTCAGGCGCTTAAGGCTGTTTGTACGGGGCTGAGACTTCGAGACAGCGGCTGGCTTCTTGACAATTGCAGACGCATTTACTAATCTCCTTGACTCGCTTTTCGTGGGAGGGTCTATCGCTCCATTTCCTTGCCTCTGTACAGATCCCAGGAGGGAGTCCATTGTGGTGTAAGACGGCGCAGGTAGAGCTCGGTCGAGAAAGGAAGTGAAGGACATCCAGCCCGTTCGAATGAGGCAGGACCAGCAGTACTCACATCTGCACTTACTCGCATAAAGAATTTTGTCATTTGCGAAGGAGAAGTAGATTGACAGTATTCAAGCGCCGCTGTGTTTCAGACGTTACATAGGCTGCTCCCTTGTGGATGAAGGATCTGGTGAGCGTGTACAAATGATGGTGTGCAATTTTGCCTTGGAGGGGACAACGGAATTTAGGAAGGGTAACCTCATCATGGTGGTAATCGGTTCTTGTACAATGAATATATACAGAAAAGACGAGATGCATTACCTCCTTCCACTTGGTTAAATAAGCAGCAGATCGATCTTATTCGGTCTTACCCTCCTCAGCTGGCACAACTACATCTTTCTCTTCAAGCATCTTTGCAAGGGAACCATCCTGGTGCATAGACATCAGAATATCGCAGCCACCCACAAATTCCTTATCAACGTATAATTGCGGGATCGTGGGCCATTCAGAGTATTCCTTGATGCCTACAAAACATCAGCAAATTGTGCCTGAATACTGTCCATCACTTTGATATGCTTTACCTTGTCTTAGCTCTTCGTCTTCAAGCACATTGAACGCTGTAAATTTGCTCGGGTCTACTCCTTGCAGTCCTAGTATTTGGATACTTGCTCTTGAGAACCCGCATTGTGGTGTCTCTGGAGTACCCTTCATGAACAAAACTACTGGCGCTGATCCAACTGCCTTATCAATTGCTTGCCGTGTTTCTTGTGATAGGAGTCTGATTTGTGCTGGAGTGAGACTGGCTCGAATCGGAGAGGGTCGAATGGCGAAGCTACCCGGTGCGCGTAACGCCTGACGGACTGCCTGCGTAATGTTAAAACCGTGTTTGAACAGGATGTATGCGGTTAAGACTCACGCCTGTAACAGCTGTGCGCGAAAACATTGTGGCTTTGTAGGTATTCAGTTGAATTGTAATGGTGAAGAAGACCTCCGAGAAGCTATGACTTTCGCCGCACTGATGATGACATAGCCGTCGTGATTACACACTGGTCCAGCTCCGAGTTTGCATTATCAACGCACCGCCTCTGCATCCTCCCTAATGTATATTCATGGGATTATGCACCATCTGAATGTCCCTCTGTGATCCATGCGATCATCGCCGATAGCTAATGAACATGTCCTCGAACTCACCGCAAGTTAGGCCTGCCAACAAACCCCTCGTCCTTGACGACCAACGACAGCATCTCCTGCTATGCGCATCCGGCTCTGTGGCAACAATAAAGATACCATTGATGATCAAAGCACTCTCGGGCTATCCCTACCTGTCTATTCGCCTCATTCTTACTACATCCGCGGCAGCGTTTCTCGCTGGCCAAGCCGAAGAGCAGCCCTCTCTGTCTGCGATCGCTGAGCTTCCTAATGTCGAGGCAATATATTTGGATGAGGACGAATGGGCGAAGCCATGGGTACGAGGCGATAAGATCCTACACATAGAGCTCCGACGGTGGGCAGACATCATGGTTGTTGCACCGCTCAGTGCGAATTCTCTAGCAAAGGTAGCGGGAGGTATATGCGACAATCTGCTCCTGTCAACGTTCAGAGCGTGGGATACTACAGGGCTGTTGGATTCAGTGACACAGTCGCAAGCTGGTATTGTTCCCATAGACACTGTGTCAGCAGATGCATCACAACGAAATAGGAAAATTATAATCGTAGCCCCAGCAATGAACACTGCTATGTGGCTTCATCCAATCACGCAGAAGCATGTCAAGCTCCTTCAAGAGGAATGGAGTATCGAACAAGGCGGCTGGATCGAGTTGCTTAAACCAGTCGAGAAGGAGATTGCTTGCGGTGATGTGGGCATTGGTGGTATGAGAGAATGGAGGGAAATCGTTGAAGTCATAGAGAGTCGCATGAGACTAAAGAACGCATGAAGCGAAACAAGATAGTTCAATCTATGGTGTGTATATACATATAACGATCAAAATGGCAGTTCAAGAGACACGAGAACTGCGTACGAGAATATAAATTTAGGAAAGGAAATAACCGCAGCATCTTCGAGCCACGCACCGCTTCCTCCAGACTCCAACGGAATTCATCTTACTCAGTTTGCTGATAACCAGCGCCGTAATCATAGTACTGTGTAGATGGACCAGGCATGCCAGAGACGCATTGGAGATCCCAGTCGGGGTGAGGGTTTATGTCTCTGGGAGCATCAGACATTTCTTCCTCGTCATCGAACGTTACATCATTTTCCGCAGTGTATGGGCTGGACTGACTGCCTGGGGTCCCCTGGAAATGATCGCGTTGGTAGTGTGAAAGTCTATCGTCCCAGGAATTGAAACTATGTGGGCATCCAGGTTCTTTGCATTCTCTTTCGAAGTCAGCCTGATAGGCTACCTTTGAGCCACCTGTGATAGTGTCGATTTCGAGCCTTGTGGCCGCAGCTTTCTTGTGCGTGCTCCTCAGGTGTTTCTCCAACTTATCAACTCGATGAGAAATGAATGGTTTCTTCTTGCTGGGGCCTCGTTGGCATTCACGACACACGTAGATATTCTGAGGTTGCCTATTCTCTTCGTGTCTTTTCCAGTCTGATAGTCGGTTTGTCCGATACCCGCATCCGGCTGTACATTCGAGTACTCCTGTCACACTGATCCTACGTCCGTCCCCATGATCACACTTGTTTCTTGCTTTCTTCACGTAGTCACTAATCAATTTCGCGTGTGGGCCGTTATATGCCAGATTGCCGCCATCCATCTGTGTTGTTGACAACCGTGTCTGCATATTTTGGCTTCCATAGGTTGTCTGAATATTGTGTCCGTGTCGTCTAGCCAACAAGATGTTATTCAGACGCTCGCTTGAACTGAGCGACTGGACAACGTCGTCCCTCGACACTCTTGCCAAGTAAGCAAGAGCGTTGATATCGTCATTGCTCGGTGCTCCGACGGAGTTATGGGACTGTGAAAATATATTGTCGACCCATGACTCCAGAAAGTTGGCAATCATCGGTGAGATGCTTGTGTTCCCGTGCATCGCCCGTGCATCAATTCGAGAAGAGATATCTTGCTCTGGGAAGTCGGGACCCCTTCCTATCATCTCCATATCATTGTATGCATGAGATCGCTGGATACTAGATGGGATCGATGCACACGATACGTCTGTACGTGATCGATCTACGGGTATATGATAGGGACTGGAGCCAAAGTTGGCTGAATGGGCGTTCAGAGAAGGAAGAAGTTCGAATCTGGTTGTCCCTTCTGGGTAGTATGGGGGTATGAATGCAGACGACGGCTGCAAAGAGCCGCGAGTCTGTACTGGGGTCTGAGACGGTTGGTTTTCTGACAGTGACAGTGACGGGAAGTGAGTATCAGACCAAACTCGCTGAGGATCCGGATTAGTGAAATCGCTGTATTCAGGCTACAATCCATGTCAGATATCAGTGCTCCAGTATTGGACCATCGTCAGTGTCGATATTGACTCCTTTTGTCGACAAAGTCTTAGAAGCAAATAACGTTTTACGATAGGAACTTACATCTTGCAATGGCACAACGCTTGCCCCAACTCCAGTATCAGGGTCGATACCACTTGTCTGGCCAGACAGTTGGCTCGTTTGGATGTTCGGCTGGAAAGAGGGCACGCTTGGATTTGGATTCTGTGGGAAGTATGTCAGCCCCTCGAATTGGCGCCTCTGCTGATTCTCTGAGGGTTCAGCCTTGCGCTTAGTAGACCTCCCGTCATCAGAGTAGTCGGAATCATTCATTGGGACATTTCTCTTATAGCTTGAGCGGGATTAGGACAGAATTTGACTTTTCGGTGCTTAATGGTGGTATTTGATGCGGATCCGTGTGGAATATAGCATGCGAGATATGACCGACTCCTAGAAAGGAACTTATATTTTCTATCATACAAGGAGAGACTTGCCCACCTTCGTGAGTGGAACCCTGTTCCAACATAACACAGGACTTTTGCCCTTCTAGGGCGCTCAGTACTTCGCCATACAACAGTCTCAGGTTTAAGGTCCTCTGTGGGATGTTTGCCTACGCATAATAGGCAAACAGAGGCACAGTATTACTCGATTCCAATTCACTCGCCACATCATCTCAGCCCTATGATGACCGCATTGACGTAATATGGCATGTCTTGCAGATGTCAAAAGGCTTCTAATGCTGCTACACCCGTGAAAATGCACACAACTAAGCGCCCTGAAACACCTTGTAGCTCGTAATAAGCAAGAGGCGGTCTAAATTAGTTCAGTTGACGCCTGGGAGAGGCACAATCTGGTTGTTTGTGAAATGAGGCGTAGGGTTGAGAGCCTTGCATTGTTGCCTGGCAGCTCAGTGCTATATTACGTCGCAAACAACGGCCTAACGATGCGGCAACAACAACGCAAATACATCTGCCTGAAGACCCCTTCGACCATGATCCCAACATTCAGATGGCGCGAGCAGCTGAATACAGTCATCTGTAACATCCTATCAGCGCCCGCGCGTTCCAAACTCCCTTTATCATATGTCCACGATACCTCGCCTCTACATCATACACGCGAGACGGGGTAGTCTGCGATAGGACCGGCCAGTATTGGTGAGATCCTATGGGTCTTGACCGGTCACCACATAAACCGCTGCACCTTCCCAGGCTCTTGCGGCCAACCAAAACCACGATAGAGAAACATGTAGCCCGTGCCGAGATTAATCAGCGCGAGCCACAAAGTCTCGCATACGAGAATACCATATGTCCATAAGGGATTTTTCGTGATCTGCACTTGTCTATCGTGCACGTCTACAGCAATGGGTGCTGCGTTGATGCGCCACACGGCCCAAGGAATGATAAAATATCGAGGCTCGACCAGGGGGGCAGTGACTACAGAGAGTGCCGTCGTGGCCAGCCATATTATGAGGAAACTGAATTTACCTTTGGGGGAGTCTATTGTTGGATCTGGTGATAATTTAGGACGTCGCGCAGCCGAGGAATCTGCTTGCCCGTTCTTCAAATGAAGGTTGCCTGATCCGGTCGACTGAATGATGAGCCATGCGCAAATGATGTAGATCGGCACAGCAACGTATTTCACGATCGGGTGACGAAGAAGGAGTCGGAAGACGTAGAACACGTAATGGCGATTGTCTGCGAGCGTAAAGGGATGGACGATTGTATTCAGTTTGACGGCCAGAAGTCCGAGAAATACAAATGCGATGACAATAGGGATGCGAGGAAGAATCCTATGGTTAGCCGGCCTCTGGGTGAATGATTGAAGTCCTAATGGAAGATATTGGCGTGGTAAGAAATGCAACACTGCCGTCAGCAGAACAGGGATCGTAAGCGGAAACGAGAAGAACATCATGTATGGCCAGATGTAAAGCATCTGCGGGACATGGATAGTAGCGATGTGATTAGATTTGTCACCTGAACTGTTAGCAAGACGCGGCGTCAAAATATAGTTGCCTGAACTCACCCAATACTACACCGCCATTCCATGCCACAAAAGCGGCAAACATGACAATCAGGAACAGATATGGGGTGATAGCTTTCACTATGCTCCAGGGCTTTTTCATCGCACCCAGCGCGACAGCCACCAGAAAGAACAGGTAATCTATATGTGTGAGTGTCTTGCGACTGACGTTTAGTTTTTTTACCCTATCATACCTTCAACAGAGGCATCTGCTACGTCAAGATCTTCCATGTTGAGCCAGTCTGCTGAGGCATGACCGCTGGTTTTGGCCGCCTCATCGAGCATGCAGTGTGTCTTTAGCTCTTGGATTGCCGTTAGGCCAGCCGGGAAGACCGCCACCCAGAATATGTTCGTCTGACGAAACAGAAGTGCAGATGCTCCCAGGACCACAGAAATGACATGATGCCTAAATCCAGTAGCCCGTGTATAGAGACCCTTGAGCGTATGGTCGTAATGGGCTAGAACAAGAATGGTTGAAAGAACATCTGTATAGTACAATGCTGAGAAGAAGAACAGTGGAGGAAATAGTGTCACGTTGAGCGCGGAATGTAGTGTGATCAAAGATGGGCCATCAGTTGCACGCCGTGCCTGTGTAATACGGCCAACAAGGACTGCTGTCGGCACCAAAGTCAATATTAATCCTATGGTGTTCAAGGATCTCAGGGCAACTACATCACAGCGACCGGTGACTGCCAGCAAGATTCGTGATAGTAGGTATCTGTATATGTCAATTGATGTTTGTCATTGTCTTGACTGGGATTTATGCTCACAGCCCAGGCGGAGTGGTAATTTTAGGATCCCAGATGACGAAGTGGTCGGCACAATAGACCTGAGCTTGGCGAACATGAAAGAACTCATCCTTAACTGTATCAGTTCATTTGATTCAGACACCTTTGAGAGACGACGAACTAGATACGGTTCAGTCACAACACTCGAAACGCATGATGCCCAAAAGATTGCGACAGAACCCAGGACCGCAGCCGGGACAAGGAATGACATTTCGAGAACGGTTGTAGATTGCTCCCGACCTCTAATTGATCTATTGATTCATTATTTTTGTCGCAGTCGCAAACATTGACTTTCCATGAAGAATTGGAGCCATCTCGATCTGAAGAGAGATGAGATCTAGAGCCGAGAAATAGCCGCCCACTAGGCCCAAGGCGGGAATTTCTGGTCAATATCTAACGACGAGCGATTCGATTCGATTCACATTCCGACATACGGCAACATGGCGCTTCCACTACCACCTAGTCTGACACCACAGGAGGTAGCATTTCTCTGCGAAATGGAGCTCGTCACCATAATACCCCGACAGAAGCTGCAAGGGCTAGAGCTGCTAGGAGTGAGTAGTCCCCGTTGAAGACGGACTGCAGCAAAAGGCATCGTATGTCACTGTTCGCTCGTGGGCCTAACTGCAACGAGCACATTAAGTTTATGAGCTGATTGAAGTCTTGTGAAGGGTTCTACACCTGTCCTCAACCCTCCTCAAAGAAGCGATATTCCCTTGTGGCTTGCACTGCTTCTCAAACGACAACGACGTGCCAACATTGTCCCGCCAGCCTGGCTGCATCCCACATCTCTCACAGCGATTCTCGAATTCGAGACCGAACATTCCAAAGAAGCATTCTCACCTCCGCCGAAGCTACCCCCTCTCTCGGACGCGCTCCATGCCACCAGCCCCCCGTTCTTGCCCTCTTCCACCGCCGAAGCACCACCAGATGCCCTACCATATCACTGGTTAGAGATGGGGGAAATACTGTTGGAGGCAGCCCCAGAAGACTTCGAAGAGCCGGACCATGTCAGAAGGCTCATGCGAGATCTCCGGGAAGTCCGAATGGCAAAGCTCAGAACGGGTGTGGAAGTACTTGACGCTGGGGGAGGGGTCAAAATGAATGGTGTTGGCGCCATGGAGATTGCAGAAGCACGCGCATTCATCGGTGGGGTTATTGATGGGTTGAGGTAAGCGCTGACAAGATACACGACGAGAAAGCCTAGTGCTGACAAACGTTTCTAGGAAGATTGGGGCATCTCGTGAGCAGGCTCGTCGTGAACGAGAGGCCGAGGAGCGCGAGAATGGTTTCCTCGGAACACAGGATGATGAGGATGATGATATGGAATTATGATCATGTCCTGACCCTATAAAGTATATTTTCACTTCCGGAACAGTCCAACATCGCCGAAGCGCAGTCGTTCGTTGTTCAACCAAGACCCCTCTCACACGAGACGAGGATCAATAATATGCTATCAGCTTTACCCTGGAATCGCTTTCCCAGCAATCCCCCGGCCCAACGGCATCTCATCTCAATCGTCATGCAGCTGTGGAACGATGAAAAATACGAAACACAGAACAGCTGGGATGAACCTGGGTCTACGTCCGGGCGGGATAAGGCCCGAAGATGTCGGGATATACCTGGATCGTATGATTACGAAGACCCGGCAAAGAGCACCATATCCCTGTCACGGAACCGAGTCCGATGTAAAATCGCACCACGCTCCGGGGCTTCGTGCTGGGATCAACTGTAGCGTGCTGTACACGAAGTCTTTGCATACCTGTATATATACCTCTGGGAGGTAGTAGTTTGCTAGCTAGCTAACGCAATGAAGTAATCGCATATACTACGGAATATCCGAAAAGGCCATGCACATCGATACATACATGTACGTCCTGGCTGATATGTGTAGAAAGGGGGGTCCAGAAACCAAATGGTTCCGAGTAGGAAGAGCTGCAGCATCCAAAAACAACATGTAGCAGATCACCATGCTCTGCCATGCCGGGCAAAGAAGACATCGAACGCCGTAGAACTCCGGGAGAATTTCCTTTTCTCTCTCAAAACGTGGCATCTAAATGAGGGTCTCCCAAATCTACGGTATGGTGTGAAGAACAAAAGAAGGAAAAATAATTACAGGCAGTCCCGTCGACGCCGCATCGTGATTCCATCGTCAATGGGTCTCTCAGTTTCACAATTGAGCACATACACAAACACACAGTGGAGCAGTCACTGCATAGATAGTACTGTAGGTACAGTGCATTGACCCCCCTCAAAAACAAGGATAGCCCTGTCCATGCTCCAACGGCGCCGCATGTATCCTATATAATTCTAGTACAGCGGTGTGCGACCGTCTAGACTCAGAGCCGCAGAGTGGGCCAGTCGCACAGAACTTCGCTCCTTCATAACAGGTATGCCGCGAGAGTCTAGAGACAAGCACACAACAGAGCAGCAGCATTCAATCATGATTATCTAGCCCCCCTTTCATCCATCGTCGTCTCTATCCCAAGACTACCCTATGCCAAACACTGTCAAAAGACCTGTTGATCCGGCCTCTTGCTTGCCTTGCATTGCCTGGCCCATACCTTGCTTGCCTCACGATCGCTACCTCCGCCACGCTATGGGGTCCGTATCGTATCGTATCGCAGAACAAGGCGAAGCTTACGGCTATCATCACTGACTTTCTAACAGAAAAAGTCATGTCCAAGTGCTTGGCTGCCTGCTGTAGCGCCTAAGGCAATCCTACGGCGCCACGCCCCGAGAGCCGCGCCACCCGGGGCCATAATGGAGTGGAGGCTTAGGGGGGGCCTTTCGAGGACGGGGGGGGGCGCTATATCTCTATTTCCAGCAAAAAATCCGCGCTGTGGATGGAATGAGATTGGAATGGGATGGGACCCATGGGAGCTCGCTTGCAATCCTATTCCCATGCGCACTGGAGAATCCAGCCAGCCCGCCCAGAGCTAGCCCGCCGCCCAGCCAGCCCTCTCCGTCCCAGCAGCGCGTCCTATCATTCCGCGCGACTAAAGGGTGTCATTTGTTTACAAGGGACCCCGGTCCAGGGGTTTGCAAAAAGATCATACTGTAGAATAGTAAGATAGTAAATTGTTGTAGTATAGCTGCGTCCTGGCGTGTGCGCGGCATATCATACCCCCTTCCTGGACTGGCTGGCTGGCGGGCTGCACGCCAAGCTCGCGCGCTTTTGACCAGCTCGAGGTGCACGAACGCGGTTGTGTACCTGCCGGGGGCCGACGCGTTGTTGCAGAGCCTCTTCTTCGCCTACACAGCTGCCGGCAGCTGAGCTCGAGCTTGCATTGAGCTCGAGCTCGACGTATTTGGCGGCCTGTGCATTTTTCTTATACTGCTAGACTTTTTGCACGCGCGGTACTGATTGTTTCTCTTCGCCAAGTCTTCCTCGGACGCTGCGGATGCAATTACGCAGACGCAGGCAAGGGGCGGCGGTAGAAGAGAAGACCAGAGTCTGCCGGCCGCGCGTTTGTTTGCGTTGTTTGACAGACCTTGGGTAGAAGGTAGTCAGTGTCAGTCTTGGGGACCGCGTTGCTGGGACAAGGACCTCGTCCGAGTACTCTCCCGAGGCTCGAGGTCATCGTACTGGTAATGTACTCGCTGAGCATCCCTTTCTTGGTGAGGCGGGTCATCGGCGTGATTACGATTGCGAAGACATTGTACGTAAGAACGGGGGTCCACGGCAAGACGACGCAACGCGGAAGGCGTTTTCCACGCCCCCAGGAGAACCACAAGTTCAAACGCGATACACGCCGTCGCGCACCCGTCGTGCGACCGCCTTGAGCGGAGGTTTTATTTGCAAGACGTGGAAGTTGGGACCACGCGAGATGGCAACGGGTTCTCTGGGTCTGGGTCTGGGGCGGTTCCAGCACGTTCTGGTGTTTACTAATTATGTTATTTGTTTGTGGTGATTTGCAGACACAGCTCCGTTGATACTAATAGCCAAGAAGACGCTGAGAACCTGTCCAGAAACGACGGTCTTAGTCTCATCACCATCCTGAGGCAGATGGATGCGGGCACAAGTAAAAAGTAATCTTCGGTGTTGCTATCGAAAAGCAGCTGCAACATGAAGATACACTCCCACCCAAAGTGAAACTGCTAGATACGGTCGGCGCGCCATTGTACTGGAAACCTGCCGCGCCACGGATGGTTTCTTGGGCTCCTGGCTGCATTGCTGCAGTGCTGCTTTAGAAGAAATGGCGGCGTGGATACGTTGTGGATACGGTGGAGACGGGTGAGAGGAAAACGAAGCTATTGGCGACCGACTAGGGCGGCCTGGGCACTGGGCAAAAATCGCTTTCTTTCTTCTCGGGTTATAGCCATGGCGCTGGGCAGAGTTTCTAGCGTTGTCGAAAGAAGCCCCGAATACCAAGCAGCCTCTAGAAATTGATTACCACGGATTGTGATAATCCGTGATCGACCACGAGCGTCGTGCTGTATGCTGACGACATCGGAGAATTGAGTGATGACGAGAGACACGCTATGCTGCTTGGATTGATGCATATCAGTCGATAACTAAGTGAGAAGCCATAGTTCTTGGTAATGTGTAATCCCTCTCATGGTCGAGGAGGGTATGCTTAGCTTCAATAATAGGTCTCGCTGAAGACTGGACGAACGAGGTTAAAGATTGATTGAATGCCTGGCCGTCATCATCAGTTTATACATAATACAATGCAATATTATAGCACCGAAGAGATTTCGTCGAGTAGTAAGCCGGTCGTAGATACTCAACAGAGGAATCTATGACTCAGACTATACTGATTGAATGATGTTGCTGTCCAGACATGTTGAGATCCGTCTGGCTATGTTTTGATAGCAAGTCTAGCAGCTCTTTGAAGTTTGCACCAAGTCGATGCCTACGATGACACTGTTGCACTATGATTGATGCTATAATGCTCTCAATACCAGAGAGAAATAGAGCGTATATTTGCTTCATGAATGCTGTTTCGCGAAATATTATGTGATGTTCGAGCGCATCGAAGTCAACTTATGATCGGTGCAGGGGAACCTTGCATACCAGTGCATCGTAGCGAAGCTGTAAATGTAATTTGATCCCCAGTATATCATCATGTTATTCTCAGGGTCTCAGCAATGTACCTCCAGTATGGCGTGATAGATCTTTAGCGTGTCCGTTTCATGTTTATGATACTGACTTCTCGTTCGATCTCTAAGACGTGAGAACGGTGGTACGGGTGAGATGCGAGGTCTAAATGATTGAGCCACTTGTCAAAACCCTCCTCCTAGAAAACTCTAGTGAGTGTAAAGTCAGTAAAATTCCAGTATTGACTGATGCGATCTGCATAGTTCTCTTGAGACGGGAGTCAGAAGTCGACAATAGTGCAATTCATAGATGAAACCAAACATCGTATGTCATGTGGAGGCCAAGATGTGGTACTGTAAGGTTCTGTCATTTCTTCATTTCTTCATAGGTGGCACGAGCGTCAAGAGCCGAACCGACAGATAGTGTATTTGCTTTTTGACACTCAGCTGCTATGGCAGATAGGTCCCGCTCTGCTGGAACGAGGCCTCGAGATCGATCACTATATCAATCTGAAAATGATCAGGTGCTGATGATCTGAAACATATCGCTAACATGTTTATTATTTCTTTTGCGTCGGATGAAAGCAAGGATCTAGGAGCCGGCCTCAGAGTCTGGAGAATTTCTGCAAACAAATGCCGAACGGGGTCTAGCAAGCACCAGACCGTCTAGCGGCTACTGTGATGGGCGAGGATATCACACGCTAGCTGCTGTCTGTGCGAACGCCCAGCACAGGCTTCAGAGCCGCGGGTAACAGGATTGGGAAATGCCGTCGACTGTCGGACGGAAATGGTCGATCTTCCACAAGTAGTTCGGTCTTGACACTTGTGTTCTGTGCCCACTCAGTCACTGCGTAGAAGATTTGTGGGGGTTACAAACAAGCATTCTCCTCTTCGGACTCACTACTATATTCGGCACATCTGGTTGGATGTAACAGGATGTTGGAATCGATTGTGATAGGGCGAGATCAGTCGGTAGATATGATTTCAGATGCGATTGCGCATCGTACCACGGCTGTGATGGGTTTGCGCGATGTGATATAAGATCGCGTCTTAAGCTTGTAAGATGAGGCTTCAAATTATATCGTGTGAGATGTAGAGCTAGCTTCTCACTAGACAGGACAGGATATCCTTGTACCTGATGGGCGCTGCGGTCAACGAAACAACAATGCAATTGATGACTTGATGCCATGCTTTCTGAGGTTCTCTACGGTATAGTGTCGGGAAAGTTCCTGAAGCATCAGGTCGCAGAAGAGGCCAGAGCCAAAAACACGGGTATTGGACTCGAGGGTGGAGAACTGTGGGAAGGACTGGGGACGACGTCGAGACCTCAAATGAACTGACAAGACTAATCTTCAAGTGGCTTTGGAGCTAGCGCGACATTCCCGCACTCCGCGAAGGAACGGTCTCACAGTGCCGTCTTGTGTCTAGTGTGACTTTACGATTAGCAATGCTGGATCAGCAAGTCCTGACGCGGGAGATACAAGTCAAAAGTGATCTCTCACGAGCGTCGACTCCGAATCAGAAGACGACAGCAAATGCTTTCATGCCGCATCTGCATTTGAAGGTGCAAGCCACCGACGATGCCGCATGCTCAACGTCCTCGGAGAATATCAGCAGTTTAGAGGAAGCGGCCCCAGACGGAATTGCAACTCGGGTGCAGGCTTGGCGTGAAGATTCGGATCCTCGCTCTCAGGTCCCTTCGTGGAAAACTTTCCTTGGCGCATGTCGCCCTTGTTCCTGTTGATCGCCTGTCGAATATGCCATAGATCAGCATATCCCGTGGGCCAACGTCACTGTCAAGTGCTATTGGTTCATATGACGTGGTCATTGCTAGCTTCTTGTTGTTGTGAGTACAGAGTACTACACCAATAACACGAAGCTCTAGGTCCTGGGGATCTGTTGTGTATGAAACTGCAAGCACTGATGAATTGGCTGGCTGCACCATCAACGCGCAGCAAATATGATGGTGGTAGCGGGATGATGCGGATTGCTTCCATGGACATCGGCAAGCAGCAATAGGTTGATGACAGTGCAGGCTGGAGCATGGCGCATCATCATCAAGGGTTCGTGACGGCGGTTAAAGAATGCAGTATTACACTTGCATGCCAGCTCCTAGTCATGCTCAGCACTGCTTTGTTAACTCCAGGGCAAATGTGGGTGGGAATTTCGAAGAAGAGAAGAACAGGGTTGTGAGATTTTCAGCAGCACCCTGAACGTGAACCGTCATGATGCGGCTTGCTGAGAGATTCAATTTCAAACCACGATACGAACGAGATTGGCGCGTGTGAAAGGGTGGTGGTTATATGGATATGCTTGGGCGGCAAGCGGAAAGGATATTTGGTTTTTGGCGTAGAGGGAGAGTAGTATGGAAGCTGGAATCACATGCTCATGGCTTCCTGAAGCGGGTGCGTTCGATAAATTCATCACACGCGTTCATTCGGGCTTTATTGGCAGGATGAGGAGCACGCGACTCCCATTGGATGGAGTTTTCGCGAGCTTCTGGACGCTGATTGGGTATGGGACAAGATATAATCGGCGAGCATACGTGCAGCAGTCTCCAATATGGCTATTCCCCGCTACGTCTTTTCTCCCTGCAGAATTCTGCAGAATATTGTGCCAGGGCTTGCAGCAAGACCTGGCAGCTGAGGATATATTTCGTACAGACGCGACGACACGCGAGTGCGGTCGAGTGGAAGCGGTTCGAGAGACTATGCTGCAATTTCTGCTCTACCAATATGCATCTAGCAGGGGGAGGCGCAACGTCGATTGTCGACGTCGGTACTGGAGGCTGGAGCTTTGGTACGCCGTCTATCGATGGATTCGATGGGTTGCGGGGAGCAAAATGCGGTGCCGGGCCGTTGCCATCAGCAGTGAGAGGGAATCAAAGAGGATCTTCGAGGCGCTCTCTTGTCTATACCAATTGTGAGATAGCTGAATTGGCCAAGCTTCCCTTGCTCTTTTCGCACTTTGCTCGTTGCTCTTCTCGCAAGCTGCAAGCTGAGGGCTCAAGCGTTGTGGATTTAGGTAGATGGGTAGGTAGGCCGTGGTTGAAAGGGGGGGGGGAGGGTGGATGAAAGGTGATATTGCGAGAGTTTTTGCGGGATTGGGGATGGGCTCGGCTCGACCCAAGAGTCAGGTACAGTGCACGAGCTTAACCCCTCCCCCCCTTTGACCCCACTGAAAAGAGATCCATTCCACGCCAACGGCCCAATACTAGTGTGTAGTCCCCAATCTTTCGAATCTAGGGGCTTTTACTAGCCCTGACCACCCAGCCTCCACCACCACCACCACCAGTCTACCAGTCAGTCTACCACCACTAACCACCACATTCCCACTATCACCACCACCACCAACAGGCATCGTGCACAGCCAATGGGCCCGCGCTCTCACTAAAGCTAGCGGGCAGCCTACCTAGCCTAGTAGGTAAGATGCATCCTAGGCTTGTCGGTCGCAGAGTGCATAGTGTGGGCCCTGCACGCCGTTGGTCGTGCTCCCCTTGTCAACAAGAGAAAACTGCCTATTACTACTACTTCCATACTATGACCATCACGAATGCAACCACCACCCTTGCTTTATTATACTCACCCTCATGCCCGCGTCGTCCCAGTTGAAAGGCGATTCTGTTTGGTTTCTCCATACTGATCTGCTGCACCCGGATAACATCAAGCATCTTGTTGTTCCGTTCATCAATTGAGCTGCATCTGCTCTTGCCTCTTCTATACCCTCTTCTCCTCCACTATTCCCACCCCACTTATCCTTCTCTGCAAGCATCTTCAGTTCCCTTGGCTCGGTCGTTGTACCTGTCTCACTCTGTCTGCAAATCAATCCGGTCGCTTTCCATCGCATCGGGCCTCTCTCTTTCTGCTGCTTCATGTACATGCCTGTCGCTTAACTTTTTCCTGTGTGTTGTCAAAAGGGTCTGCGCTGCTATATCAACACAGCACTGGCGTCTGGCTTCTTCTCCTTCATACCTACGCACTCACCAAGGGACCTCATCCCGTCCGCAGCTCAGCACTCCGAACCATTGACTTGTTTCGCTTGCACCACTGTCTGATCCAATCATCCTAATCACGTCACATCTGTGTGACCATCTGGCTGGCCAACGGATAACCACCTTTCCCACGTTGGTGCCCTCAAACAGCTGTCGTATACAGATTACAGTGTCATCTGTCGTCATAGATCTGTCCAGCTCTGGCTCCTGCATGCTACCGGATTCAAGGCCCCACCGCCGGTGTATTCTTAAGCTTACACATTCACGCCGCTCGACGTGTCTGGCAGCTTTGGCGCACTCTGGAACGAAACAAACGGGAAACAGCTTTTGCCATCACTTGGGAGAAAGAGGTGGGATTAATGTTATGCGAGGATCGATCTCACCGATTTGTCCTCAGCCTGCCTCCCGCTAACGACCAAATACTCGAGAGTTTTATTTGAAATTGGAGTACGGTGCGCACTGGAAGGGCTATTCCATCATGGACTACGAGATGGCTACGTCCAACGACATGACCAGGACAAGCGCAATTGTAGGACCACTCATAATCAACAAAGGGAGGGACCATTCGAGGACTAGGAGCTCTGCATCACGATATACCCTTCAATCAAGCGGAAAGTCCTGCCGATCTCCTTCCTTAAGATCACAGAGTCAAATATCGCCGCCATTAACTCCACGAACATCACGCGAACACGTCCATCCCTCGCTAGAATTGACACCCGTTTTCCACAACTATATTCGAGCCTTTTACCATTTCCATCCAAGTACCACGGTCAGTTCTGCTGGAGACGAGTCGTCCATCACCGTCCCCATCAACCAAGGAGATGTGATTCTGGTTCACTCTATCCATCCGAATGGCTGGGCTGATGGTACATTGGTCGCAGATGGTTCGAGAGGCTGGCTACCAACAAACTACTGCGAAGTTTATGACCCCTCACAAATGCAAAAGCTGTTAACGTCCCTTACACATCTCTGGGATCTGGTCAGAGTGGGCGAGAATGGTGATTTGACGGCATTTGCAAAGCAAGATTATGTTAGAGGCATGATTGGAGGCGTCCGCTTCTTGCTGGTGAGTTCGTGGGTCCACAATTCTGATTGCAACTTCTAACAGTAAACAGGAAACCTCGCAATGCTTGACAAGAGATGATCTACTCGTGCAGTCACACGAGGGACTCCGAAAATTCCGAAAGGGTCTTCTCGGAGATTTGTCAACCCTAGTAAAGACCGCCAAGAAGCTACAAGCACTTTTGCTTGATGGCGTCGCCGACAACACCATCTACGACATGCTCGACGACCTTGTCTTCAAGGCTCTTAAACTCGTCGCTCGCGCTGTGAGGTTTCTGGACTTATGGACAAACGATGCCGTTAGCCCTGGAAATCAAGTCCAGGAGCCTACCTGCATACAACGGCCTTTGACACCACCGAACGAAATATTCCCCGACCCCGCCACATCAACAGCTGTTGCTCTGGCACAACAACCTGGCACCTCTAACATTGCAGAACAAACTCATATCAGTCATCAACCACCTGCAACCGCATCAACAACACCGACACCTGTTCACATCAGGACCCCAACGTCTGTAACGCCACTTACGACTTCACCGCCATCCAATCGATGGTCAACATCACACCGCGTGTCGTATAACAACAAATTATCTGGTGTACGGAATGGTAATCTCGCTTCTGAACGTTTGTGCCAGGCCCACGATTCCTTCCTTGGTTTCATTGGGTCTTTCATTGGGATACACTTACAATCGCGCTCTGCTGCGGAGCTGTTGCAGACAACACAACAATCCGTACTCGCCTGTGAAGAACTCCTCGCTGTTGTGGACGCTGTTTGGGAACGAGACAGACAACAAACTGTGTCCCTTTATCTCGCCAAGACCAATATGCGGTCACAACTAGTAGAACTAGTGAAGGCGACCAGAGCATTGTTCAATACGTGCGATGAGGACAATGGTGACGACTTCTTTACTCCTGACCAGGGAAAACAGCTCGTCGCAGCCGCCACCGATTGTGTCCGTGCTGCTGGAGAATGCGTCACGAGTTCAAGATGTGTGATCGAAATCATTGGCGATTTCGATTTCGAATATTCCACACAGGATCTCGCTACTGCTATTCTCCAAAACCTCGACCACGCGACCACACAGCCACCGCAACTATGCGATGAACCCCTCAATACATCGCATCCGCCTCCAGAGAAGCCTTTACCAGAGCGACCCTCAACTTCATCGAAGCAAATTCTTTCCCTGCCGGAAAAAAATGAAACTAAGTCTCTCCCGGAGCCTCCTTCATTGCCACCTGTATCCCTTGATAGAAACACTCAGATTGAGATCGTGGAGAGCCCGGTGGCACTCTCTTTCCGAGCATCTAACTCTGATTCCATAACGACGGAGTCTATCCCTACATCCTCCAAACTTGCACCCGCCGAAGTTTCTCAGCCTGAGTTGGTCAGCCCAACGGATAGTGCCATGTCTCAAAGCCCAGTCTTGCCATTTCAGCGTTTCTTTGGTAAATCTTTCCGCACTGGCAGTGTCATTGCTTCGGTCACCGATTCCTGCAGCACTTATCCAAACAGTCTGCGTGGCGACAATGCTAGCATAGTCTCCCATGCCTCGACTCGAGCCACCACCCCTGAACAGCAACCCCGCCCAATGACAAGCTTCGAAAGCTTTCCTTCCGAGGTTGGATTTGGAAGCGAGGAATGCTCGATGGTTGAGGATAAACTTCTTGAAACGACCTTTGTACACGAGCTTGTGTATAATAAGGATGGTCACATTTCCGGAGGCTCCCTTGCGGCTCTGGTCGAACAGCTTACTCTTCACGATTCAACCCCGGACCCGATGTTTGTGAACACCTTCTACCTCACATTCCGGCTCTTTACAACTCCTCTCGAGTTTGCAAACTCGCTGATGCAACGGTTTGATTACGTTGGCGACAGCTCTGAACTGGGCCTACCGGTACGGCTGCGAATCTTCAATGTCTTCAAAGGATGGCTTGAAAGCCACTGGCAAAGCGACTCCGACACTATTGTCCTTGATAACATCGTTGAATTTGCAATGGACAAGCTCCAAGTCTCACTGCCAGCCGCCGGTCGACGCCTAGCTGAGCTCGCTGGTAAGGTGGCAGCTTTCCATGCCACCTCGAGTGGCGCGCAACTATTGTCTCATGTGGGCAAAACCAGTACATCGAGCTCAATTTACGCTGGGTCCGAAAAGGATGCCCCTACTCCTATCGTGTCTAAAAGCCAAATGGTTGCCCTGAAGAATGCACGTCTTGGAGCACCGCTCAGTATAATGGACCTCGATCCGCTCGAACTTGCTAGGCAGTTCACCATCATTGAATCAAGCACGTTCTGTGCTATTCAGCCCGAGGAGCTTTTATCATCCAAATGGACAAAGAAGAATGGCGAGAAAGCGCCCAACGTTAGGGCAATGTCCACTCTATCGACTGATCTTGCCAACTTGGTGGCAGACTCAATCCTCAGTCTCGAAGATGCTAAGAAAAGGGCACTCATCATTAAGAAGTGGGTCAAGATTTCGATGAAGTGCTTGGAGCTCAATAACTATGACTCGTTAATGGCAATAATCTGTTCCTTGAACTCATCCATGGTTCTCCGGCTCAAGCGAACGTGGGAACTGGTGTCGCAAAAGAATAAGACCCGCCTCGAAGAGCTCAAAAAGATCGTCGACGTTGGTAGAAACTACGCTATCTTGCGCCAGAGACTTCAGAACCACGAGGCTCCATGTATACCCTTTGTTGGCATATACTTGACTGACCTTACGTTCGTTGACGTTGGAAACCAGACCACTCGTCAATTGCCAAACGACGGTCGTCGTCAGAGCGTTTCTGTTATCAACTTTGACAAGCACATCCGCACAGCAAAAATCATTGGTCAACTGCAACGATTGCAGGTACCTTATAACCTAACGCCCGTGCCAGAGATGCAGGACTGGCTCGAGGCGCAGATACAACGCGTTCGAACGAGTGACCAGGCAAACGTACAAAATTACTACCGCAGGTCGTTGCTCTTAGAGCCGCGTCAAGCAGGCATTCCAAATTTCGCAGCTCAAGACAGTTTGTCGAGCACGACATCTCCTACCAGCGTCGACAAGAAGTTTGATTTCATGGGCGCTTTCTCCTTCTCGACTTCTGTGACTAAAGAGAAGGCCACCTAAAACCAACACAGCACCTTCGCTTCATTTTCCTTGGGTTTTAATATTGCAAAGGCGCATACGGAGCACATCATTTCCACACCCGGGTAACATGGCGTCTTATACCATTCCATTTCTCACGATCATGACCATATTGCGATTCCAAGGACTGGGAGAAAATCAGGTGTTTTATCTATGATGTTATTCTTGATACCTCATTTCCTTCTTGTATAATATATTTCATCGGGACAATGGCCTGGTGCTGCGGTGCACCACCATTTTCATGGAGACAGAAGTCTACTCAAAAGCATTGCGATATTTAGTGGGTGGAGCGCCAAACCGCGCGCTGGACGATTGAAGAGCTGTATCATATACGTATTCAGACTCCCGCGAGACTGATATGTCTAATTACTGCGGTAGCTTGTCTGTAGTCAAGATACAAATAATGAAACAATAAATGAGTTCAGAATATATATATTACTGGCCTCTGTATCATCCGTTGCATTGGTAGGGTTGTAAGACTATTAGTTCTACGAAGGGTCCGGAGACCCCGCACGTTCCCTGCCAGAGTACGTCAGGGCTCTGCAGCTAATAGTAACCTCGCCGGTTTGCCTCCACATCCATGCAAGAACACTACAATGCCCGGCTGAATCTTCCTTACAAGTATTCCTTGTACGATCAGATTTTCATGAGTACCTATATATCCTCTTTTCTCATTGAGCCAGTAGTGCGCCACGCGCGGCGGTTTTCAGGAGTTCCTTCCATCGACGAACGCCCTCGCCCTCACACCGCATCACAATCACATGCGAACGCCTCTCCCCTCACCCAGAATGCTGTAGAACCAAGAGAAAGCGGGCATACACCCCAGAACCACACACAGACTGCAAGAGCAGGATACATCCAGTTCGATCACGTCTCTTCCATCCTTTCCACACCCGATACGCAGAGACGTAGGCAGCCGACAGTCCAGCGCTCCGTAACGGCTCCGGTCGGACAATTACAGGATTCGACGATTATCGAGACCCATATTGAAGAAAATCACCAGACACGTCGCTCAGCTCGCATCTCCTCTCCCAGACAGTCTCCATTGGTCCCGAGAGAGTTACACAGAGTTCCATATGACATCGTCGACGATACTGCAGCTCTGACTACAAGCCCGGGACACCTACACAATACAAGTGCAGGGTTAGCTACGATCAGGATGGACGAAGATCAGTCACGGGCAAGAGCAGGTTCCTCTGGAACGTCTGACGACTCCGTAGCATTGACTATGTCAACATCGCTGCCAGCAGATGACGGCATGCGAATACTGCGGCGCAGGATACACGAGATAAGAGAGATGGACATATCTGTCGAGGAGAAAGCAAGAAAAATGCATACTATCATGACAGAAGGTTATGCAGTTGCGCATCTAGAAACATTACGTCCAAACTCTCCCCCTAATATTGCTTCTCCAGAGCGACCCTACACGCCAAACTCCACACTTTCACAACCAGATACGGCCGCTTCTGCTTCCATTTCACCAGTTTCATCTGTATCGCTAAAGTCAGATGACCCTTATAATATATGTGCGGCTGATCTAGAACCGTCGTACCGGCCTATTGAATCAGGAGGAGCCAGGGTAGGCGAGACGGAGGAGCCACACAGCGAGGACAGCGATGATGACGGGCCGTGTTTTGGTTGCAAACATTACAAACGAAATGTCAAAGTCCAGTGTTATGACTGTCGGAAATGGTACCCTTGTCGTCACTGCCATGATGAGGTGGAGAAACATGCCTTGGATCGCCGGAAGACAGAACATATGCTGTGCGTCCTCTGTCAAACTCCGCAACCTGCAAGCGGCTACTGTAGAGCTTGTGGACGATGTGCTGCTTGGTATTATTGCGACATATGCAAACTTTGGGATGATGATACGAGTAAGAAGATCTATCACTGTCTTGACTGTGGAATATGCCGAGTCGGTGAGGGCATAGGGAAGGACTATGTTCATTGCAAGGTGAGTCAAAGCCCTTGAATCTGGGGCACTACGAGTCTAACTTGGATGCCAGAAATGCAATGTCTGTATCTCTATCGGACACGCTGACTCCCATCGATGCATCGAGAGAGCAACCGAATGCGACTGTCCCATTTGTGGCGAATATCTCTTCAATTCCTCTGCTGACGTCGCCTCAATGCCTTGCGGGCACTATATGCACAAAGGCTGCTACAAAGACTATCTTGATGTAGCCTACAAATGCCCATTTTGCAAGAAGAGTGTCATCAACATGGAACTCTCATGGCGGAAGCTTACGCACGATATAGAAAGCCAGCCGATGCCGCCGCAGTTCGATAAGACAAGGGTGAATATTCAATGCAACGATTGCTCTGCTAAGTCCAACGTAAAGTATCATTGGCTGGGCAATAAATGCAACACGTGCGATTCGTACAATACAAACGAAATGCAACTCTTTGTGGACGAAGATGGCGGTCAATCCGTCGAGGTCGACCAAGCAACCTCAGCAGGCTTAGAGGAGCTACGGAATCAAGAGATCGTTCGGTCAGCACCAGAATCCCCTCCGCGTCGACCACCCTTGATTGGTTCTGGTTCGTACTTTCATAGTGATCAAGTCAACGAGCGACGGCCCAGTACTGCAGCGTTAGCACTAGAGCAGCTGAGACTATCACCGTACGAAATGCTTCAGCGGGTAAGCCGATCGCTTTCGCCTATTGGCAATTATCTAAACGTTCCCGAACGTTCATTGGAGGGTATGCGATCTGCGTGGACCAGCGAAGACGTCATTGACGGAGAGAACGGTGTCGACTTCTGGGGCTCTGATGGACGCTTCCTATCGTCTGGGGGCGAGTCTGACGAGGATGATGACGATGGGGATGATACTAGTGATGAAGACCAGTCGCGAGGTAACAGAGATGATGATGAAGATGACGATGACGAGGATGATGGACAGCCACTTGATGAATTAGATCAGATACCGTGGCACGCGTAGTGCCATGTGTATACATACTTATGGGTTTTGCATCATCGTAGACGAATCATTGGGTAGGCGTATTATCATTTTCGGCATTTGGCCCATTCTATCTTCGTAATATGTTGTACATATATTCAGTATTCAATTTAAACGGGTCGTTTTTGAACTATTATATTATCATAGTAATTAGTACTGCAGAACTAGTTTGAACATTTCGTTTATTACTCTTCCATGTATCCCTCGCATCACGTGATAGAGCCGGTTCTACGCCAAGCCTTTAACCGAGCTGCGCTATCTCACCCACAATGAAATCACCACCCTACCTCCAATCCCACGAATTTCGACTGCACGACTAACCAACAGCGCATTGCACGTCAACTCTACCGGTAAGTTGCGTTCCCTATCTAACATCATTTCCCCAGACCCTTGCGATCACGCTGGTCAATCGTTATCGCACAACTCAACTAATAGTTTTCTCTCACTACAGCAATGTCCACCTCCACCAAGACCAGCAAGCCCAAGGGCAAGACGCAGCGTAGCGCCATTGCCGACGTCGTAGCACGCGAGTACACGATCCACCTACACAAGCGGGTACGTTTAGTTTGGTGAAGTCCAGAAATGGCGAACGCGGCACCATGTGCTCGTTGGCATTGGGCGGAAGACTGAACGGTATCATACAGGTTCACGGCGTAAGCTTCAAGAAAAGAGCGCCTCGTGCGATCAAAGAGATCCGGGAGTTTGCTACTCAAGCTATGGTATGTCTTTATCATCTTATTCTTCTGAACGCATAGTCCATAGACGGTGCGCGGGGTGGGGCTAGCTTTGTGCTAGAGACCTCTATTAGCAATGAAAGGGTTTTGTGCTCGAATACAACTGACCGGTATCATAGGGTACCAAGGACGTCCGCCTTGACCCCCTGCTCAACAAGAAGGTGTGGGAATCCGGTGTCAAGGGTGTCCCTTTCAGACTGCGCGTGCGCATCTCGCGGAAGCGTAACGACGAGGAGGGTGCCAAGGAGAAGCTCTACAGTTACGTCCAAGCCGTGAACGTCAAGAACCCCAAGGGCCTACACACCGTCGTCGTCGAGGATTCGTAGAGGAACTACGCTCGAGGAAGAATGCTAAAGACATATCTTGACTGGTGCGAGAGGGAACGAGCATGGTGTCCGTACAAGCCCGTGGAAGGGTTCAACCTGTCGCTGCGGCATGGTTCATTGCATCTGGTTAGGGACGGGGTCAGAGGTATTAAAAAGTATTCGAAATACCCGGGTGCAGTACTCGATGATTATATCCATCTACGTCAAGCTCCACACCATCTCTTATCTCCGAAATTTCTCGTGAATGTGTCTGACAGCATGATCATGAAGCTCTATCATTTTTGTCAACCTCTAATCAGCCGTGACAAGGACAGATTGCCCAGATACTCCCGGGAAATATCATCGGGCTGAACTAAGTATGCTATTAACACATGTGATGTGATGTTAGACATAGTCAAGGTATTATGGGTTCGTTGTTAGTCTGAGTCTCGAGCTTGGATCCGTCCGATTTACTAAAGTCTTATTCCGTATCCCATCTTTCCCACGACACAGAGTTGCCTTGCACCTATTGTTCAACCGGCTGCGGAGTTGCCGGGTCAGCAGTCAGGGCCACACTGTCAACAAAGATATATCAAGATATGTACAACAGTAGTGATTTTGGATTGGCAACATGCCTGTCCGTGCAATGATAGCTATGATTTATACATATGAAAGGCCATGCATGCCAAAGGCCATCATCACTCGAGCACCAGCCTCACATTCCCACACCAGCGCCTCAAACGCCCCCAATCTACTTCCTATACCACATACGCGTAATCTTCGTATGCCTCATTTTTTTCTGCAGCTGAAAGATACCATACATCAGCGCCTCGCTCGTCGGCGGACAGCCCGGCACATAGATATCCACGGGCACGATGCGATCGCAGCCCCTCGTGACGCTATAACTGTAGTGGTAGTACCCGCCGCCGTTCGCACACGAGCCCATCGATATCACCCATCGCGGGTCCGGCATCTGGTCGTATACCTGGCGCAGCGCGGGGGCCATCTTGTTCGTGAGTGTGCCGGCGACAATCATGACGTCGGACTGGCGCGGCGAGGCGCGGAAGATGATGCCGAGGCGGTCCTGGTCGTAACGAGGCGTGGAGAGGTGCATCATCTCGACGGCGCAGCAGGCGAGTCCGAAGGTCATCGGCCAGAGCGAGCCTTGGCGCGCCCAGTTGGCGATTTGGTCGAGGGTTGTGCTGGAAAGCTATGTGTTAGCCTGTTTCGATTTACCATGTTCTGTTGATGCGCGCGTGGCGGTTGCGTGTGTGTGTGTGTGTGTGAGCAGGATACGGAGGACGTACAGGGCGTATTGCATGGCGCCCTTCTTGCCCTCCTGGCTGGGCAGAGGGACCTCTCTCCTCTCTTTTTTCATCGGCAATGGGGGCGCTGGGCCATTGGGCACGAGGCCCGGTTTCTGGTATGCCTCAGTTGCGCCAGATTTTTTCGACGAGCTTGAGATGCAAGCTACGGAGCCTGCGCGGTATGGGAGGAGAGCGGTTGACGGCTTGACTGCAATTACGTTTCTTGTTAGCTGGTCTGTTTCTAGTCTGGGATTGTATTGCAGGACGGGAAAGCACGATTAGAACGCACCTCGCAACGCCATTGAGGCGGCAGACCGGGTTGTCGACAACATGGCGGATTCTGTCGAGCAATTCCGAGGTCGTGGAGAGCGATGCGGTGGTGGAGTGGAGAGTGGCGGTTGACAGTGGTTTTGATGCTCTTGGCCGTGGGTGAGGTGAGGTTGTGGTTGTCATCGAAAGCTGCTGCGCTGTGATTGGTCGCCGCAAGTCTAGCGCGCCCACCCTCCCTGCTCTCCTTAGAAGAATGATAGTTGGAAGCTGCTTGGTAATACCTAGACCTACCAGATAAATGAGATAAGAATGGCGACACGGGCACCAGCTGTGGCATGTATAGGCATCATTGGAAAACAGGTTTGAAATACATGGAATTAGATGAAGCTGTGACTTCGCTAATACCCTTCAAGAACAACCCCCTCCATATCTCTCTGTTTCCACCAGATCACCGAGCTCCTCTTGAGTTCTCCTTTCTTCTCTCATCATGTCTCGACATATTCGAAGCTCGTCTTCCACAGAAGACTGCCGACCAGGACTTCGGTCTACTCCAGGCCGTTGACGAGCGCCTCGCAATGTATGGCTGGCTCACCAACACGGGCGTCAAATTTGTCATCGTCGTCGACCTCGAGGGTCGGCCTGCAACATCAAGTGATAGTAGGAGTGTTATCGCGGCCGGTCTGAGAGATGCTGATCTCAAACCTGTTCGTCCTCTCTTTAGTCGTGTCTGGATATGCTCTTGACTCACGTGCTTTGTGTAGGCTTTCCGAGCATTGCAATCAGCGTATATCGGACTGCTAAGGAATCCATTCTACGATCCGGATGAGCACTCGCCATTGACAGCGAATGCAGAACAGAGGGCTGGATCGACCCAGATCACGAGTAAACGTTTCATTAATGAAGTGAAGCGTATTGGAGAGGCATGGGCACCAGGGCTGCAGAGTCTATGAGGTCGATAATGATTCGTTCGGATGAACGACCAAACTATGAATACTACTACTGGACCAGCTCATCCTTGTCATTTTCAACGATTCGGGTATCGACCTACACGATTCATCAGAATGAATTCCACCTGGAACGACAACGTTGATCCTCCGTTATCATGGGCAGCCTCACAGGACATTGGCTCAAGCATATCCATAGCAAGAGATAGACGAAGTGTGTAAGCATACCCGTCTGTTCAGACTAGAAGATCCCAGATCAGGCGCTCTTCTGCATGGTTGCAGAAAGGGACTTATGATCTATTCTTGGTTTACATATACTGAGGTAGCATGTTGGAACGGCGCCAGACTCAAGAAAGAAATATACATGTACTACCACCTTTATTCATGTTTTCATAACTTAGTCGAGACATAGCAGCTCGAGTTTAGTATGTCTTCGGTTGTCAGCCAATCAGCACGCTCCAACCTCGCGGGCCGAGGTCGACGACATCATTGACTTGCGACTGTATGCGATCGATCTGCAAGACAACAATTATCAATGCCTCCAAATGTAGCTACTACCGGGGTAGCCATAACGAATCCTCTTGTTTTATATAGAGCTCTTGTTTCAACTCAGAAGATTAGGCCGGATCCTGCACAATATCGCCTAGGTATGTCTCACTTTTGCGGTGGCGTCATATGTGATAATGATGTCTCTCGTCTCTAGCTGTGCATCTACAGAAGCTATATGATAGACTGAAAGACTATGAACCAACTGTAGCATATCGACAGCGACTTGATCGCTTGAGTCGCGTGGTCGATAGGGAGAATGGTCATAATGGTCACGATCCAGACGTCCGAGCTCCAAAGCCTCCAAAGCCGTCCAAGTCAGCGTGGAGGACTTTCCTGGAGAGAAAGGAACAGCGTGACTCTTTGGCACTTACACGGACGATGACCAGCCAGGAAGCAGCTTTGCACATCGACTCACCAAAAGGTCTCATGCTTCACGGCGAAGTTGGCACTGGAAAGAGCATGCTGATCGACCTATTCGCTGACTGTCTACCAACACGTAAGAAACGACGGTGGCACTTCAACACGTTCATGCTGGAGACTATCGCAAAGATGGAAGAGTTACGCCGGCTTAGATCAGCTCGAAGCCCAGTTCTGGTAGAGGACGACCATTCCTTGATGTGGTTGGCGCGAGACCTGATAGAGACCTCGCCCGTTCTGTTCTTGGACGAGTTTCAATTACCAGACAGGGCTGCTTCAAAGATAATGGCAAGCCTTATGACGAGTTTCTTCCATCTTGGTGGGGTACTCGTTGCGACAAGTAATCGAATGCCCGAAGAGCTGGCAAACGCTTCAGGGGTAGAATTCGCTGCTCCGCCTACGCGTTTCGAATCAATAGGTCGTCGCCTAGGACTGAGGAGGAGCTCAACTCCATCCCTGAAAGATAGCGAGTTTGGATCTTTCTTGGATATCTTGAAAGCGCGTTGTGAAGTATGGGAGATGGAAGGAGCAAATGACTATAGGAGAGCAGAAGTGGTAGCAACCACATCAGCAGTGACCTCACTAGAAGAGCTGGACGACTTGGTAGCAGGCCACACTTCTGGTAGTATCGGAGGGCTTGCAGAATCAGAGCATGATGATATTCCGTCAATGTCAGCAACATCACCAAAATTCTACTTCGTGAAGCCTACGTCAACCGATTCGCCAGATGCCATGATGGCATGGGCACAAGACTTCGAAATAGCACAGAACCTCGCTAGATATAACGATAAAGATACGATCTGGTCCACAGGATCAATGCGTGTCTACGGACGTGACGTGTTTGTACCACGTCAGCATAATCGAACATGTTCATGGACATTTGAGGAGCTTTGCACAACGAGACTCGGCCCAGCGGATTACATCACTCTGGCATCAACGTACGACACAGTGATCCTTACAGACGTGCCGATACTCAGCCTGCAACAGAAGAATGAAGCACGACGGTTCATCACTCTATTGGATGCCTTATATGAAGCTCGCTGCAAGCTACTCGTTAGTGCTGCTGCCGGACCTGACGATTTATTTTTCCCTGAAACCAGAATCTCAGGTCAAGCTTCACAGGATGGCGATGACTCAGTGAAAGAGGATGCCGTCTACGCCGAAACTTTCTCGGAGGCGTATCAAGACGTCACTGAGCCGTTTCGACCAAACGTGTCTAGCTACGATGCTGCAAGCCGATCTGATTACGCCTACAGCCAGCGCGATAATGCACTCGCGGAGGATGCTCTGGAAGATGACCCACCGAACAAGATCAGGAGAGACGTGTCTGGGACCTTCACAGATGAGCGTGACTATGATAATTCGCGTCCAGGACCCGATTTCTCTCAGTCAACTGCCTTCACTGGGGAGGATGAACGCTTTGCCTTCAAGCGTGCACGAAGTAGGCTGTGGGAGATGTGCGGCGCCAACTGGTGGGCCAGGCAGGAAGAAGGTTGGTGGAAGCCGCTGTCGAAAGAGGTTCGACGCTGGGAGGTCTCCCAAGAAGATATTCGGCAAGCGCAGAGCGAACTGGCGAAAAGTTATATGTCAGCAGAGGAGGGGACTACTGGTACCAGAGAACCTGATGAGAAGGATGAAGCCCTGTTTGGAGCTGGAGGTCACAGTGCGAGCCCATTCAGGACACACCCAGATCCACCTCCTAAGATCGGGTGGACGCATGTCTGGGGAACTGTGAAATGGGGTAAGAAGGCTGGACCATGGGGTCAGGGGCCGGAAGGGTTGGGTGAGAGGAATAAAGGTGGGAATGAGAACAAGGATAAATAATGTATTAGACTGAGTAGATACACATACTGACTGTCGTCTCCCGCCTGCTGGCATTAGCCGGGCATAGACACGAAAGATTTCTACAAAGTCAGCTCAATGAACAACATTGTTTGAACACTCTTTACCTTTCCCTTTACGGCTAAGCTTGCGCTTTTGCTTCGAGGCATAGTAAGCGTCGAGCGGCAAATGGCAATTCCTCGCCCCCACACGCCTCGCATTCTCAGCCTCCTCACTGCTCGCCGTTCTAAAGGGTTCATCAGCAGGCCAGGCGAGTCAGTCCAAGACTTGTGATTCGGCCATATTTCCTGTGCTGTAATCAAACTCGAACTCAGGTCTCGTCCTTGATTCGCATGTAGTGGCATGTAATGAGTATCCAACTGATAAACAGACAACACTCTGAATGCTAAAACTACGGCATACCAGAAAATAGAAAATTTGCCGTATTGCGTGTCTGAGACGTTTGCAAGAAAGCTAACAGTTCACGCATGGTTTGGAAGACAGGTAGCGGGTTGGAGGATTGTGGCGAGAGACAAGTATGTTGGGGGCGCTTCGAAACATCTGGGGCTGGGTCAAGGTCGAGTGTTCGCGAGTAGATCTAGTATCTTAGCATTGTTCGAGAATTCCAACTGAGGAGGCGATTGGAATTTATAGAGTGCGCACAATGTTGCATCGAGGATAATCCGACGTCGAAACTGAGCGACACAGTGTTGTTACTCACTTCCTAAACAAGACTAGTCAGCCCACAGTAGTGTGTGGCTCCACAAAGGCTTCACATGCTCAGCGCGTGCGAGGGATCGCCAGACCACGTTATTTTTACCAACATTCGACCCTAGACATCTCGCAGCGGATAAGTGTACGATCATCTCCCCTAAGCCTCTCACACGCGGCTGTGTGTGTTGGACCCACAATCTGGAAAACTAGATGCGACTTTTGCGTGTCGCCTAGTAATGCCTGCGTGCTTAGTGCCCGTTGCACCCAGAGCCTCTTCCATTGCCGCCGATACATGCGCAGAGCATGGCACCCAAGTTGCCGTGTGGAGCATTGCTGCATGGTCAGGGTCAATAGAGAGGGAGATTGTTGTCCCTTTCTCTTATCGTTGCGGCGAGCGTGGCTCGGCTCATGAACTCCCATTCGTTGTAGGTGCGACGTTAGTCCTTATAACCCTTGTGTCCCAGTTAGAAAGTTTTGAGCTTTACTTTCGATCTCAGTACTATTCTCATTTGTAATGTATAGAGGGTTTCTCATACGAGTTGCACTGGTGTTGGTATTGGCTCTGTGTGGTGCTGCTCAGGACGACTCCCAGAGATGTTGGTATCCGGACGGGAAGACACAACCACCGGACCATGTTCCTTGCAATAAACCTGACGGAGGAGAGTCAGTATGTTGTCCGCAAAATTCGGTGTGTTTGAAGAGTGGTGCCTGTTACAATGCTGGTATTGTAATCCGGGCTTCGTGTACCGATCAGAGCTGGGGCGATGTAGCGTGTCCGGCCTTCTGTAGGGGTAAGGCTTGTTCAAAGCGTGAGAGACTAGAGTACGAAGCTAATCAACACTCTATAGATTGGCAGCCTGGAGGCATAGCAGTGCTACACGGTTGTGACGCGGATCCAATGGGCCGATACACGTGTGGCATCAACTCGACCTGTAATGAGAACAATGTTGTGATCGTCAACGGAAATGATGAGTTCGACTTCAGACCGGCACAATTACAGGCCTTGATCGCATCAACAACTCCAAGTCCTTTGGAGACTTCGTCCGAAATACCAAATACGGGCTTCTCAGCAGTGGAAATGGCTGGAGTGGGAATCGGTGTGGGCATACCTCTGCTAATCGCAATTACGACACTCGCTTTTCTGTTGTGGAGAGAGAAAAGACACGTTCGAGATATTCAAAAGCAGGCGGAGAAAGATCTCCTAACTATCACTAGTACCCATCAAACAGAAATAGCTAGGCACGAGAATATAGGTTTCAATAGGGGGAGAGAAAGTCTCACTTCGAAGACAGAGCGAGTGCCCTTGGAACTAGACTCGCGTTATAGACACCCAAACAAGGGGTCTATGTCTAGTGGCTCTACAGCTGTGACACAAGCCCGGCCGGAGCTAAGTGCTACAGCTTCACATATCTACATACCGAAAGAAGCACGTTTGATCAAACAATCTCTTGAAGGTCAAGTATCGCCTGCATCGAGTTCGCTTTACCACGCGTCTCCTCATGCAGGGCGCTCGTCGCAAGATGTCCAAACGCGGAGCCGCACAAGCAGCAGTGTGGCAGATACGAGGACATCGAGAGATAATATGGACCTGCACTCTTCTCGAAGTCCCCCAACCTCCAGATCGCCGCGTGCAGGTCCTTCACGAAGCTCGGCGACAGTCGGCTCATCGCGAGACAACATTAAAATGCACTCCCGGAGCCCTCCAGTAACAGGATCGCCGAGAGATGCCTCATCATGGAGCCCGGTTCGCGCAGGCCCATCTCGAGAGATGGATCATCCGTCGCGAAGCCCACAGGCTGTAGGGCGTTCATCGAGGGAATACCAGACAAGGAGCCCGACATTTGGAACTTACTCTCCGGTAGATCCATCGCCTGTATCAAGTGGGTCGCCAGTGGGAAGACTCAGAGAGGAGGAGGTGAGGAATACATCAGCGCAAAGGGGAACTGCTAGTCCATGGGATGACCGAACGCCGAGATGGATATGACCTTGGTATACACTTTCTCTGCACATACATATTGACGACGAATACGACTTTTAATATGAGGCCACACCATCAAGATCTTTCTGAGCATACAATAACTAGCACTACTTTCTCAGGTGACAATTCCGCCCCCTCAAAATTTGTGTGACATGATTATCTATTGGACGCATTATCCTGGACTAATAGACAGACGTCTGACTATACCTCTTCTCTCCACTTCGTTAAATGCCTAGTATCTCAACTAGGCTCACACTTCTCTGATCATATAATACATGATGGAGATTGGAACGATTGGCAGAATCAGAATTAACATCACTAGGATGCCATTGGAAAAATTGGTAATCCGTCTGGAGGTGTAATATGTCTCATCTTTACGGTCGTACGCATGCTCGTTGTTTGCCCAGTCTTTACAGTCCTCGAATTTTGTCTCTGTGTCTTTCGATGTGAATATTTTCTGCGACGCTTAGATCATATTTCGGAAGCGTATAAGTCCACCTACCTGGAGCAGTCCACATGCAAACGTCCGGATGAGTCCCTCGACCAGGCTGTCCAGCCATGCGAGGCCTCTCGCAGCACGGAGGGTGACCATGTCTTCCTGATGGAGAATCCACTCGTCCTCGCCATGCCAAAGAGGTCTCCTGTTCTGTATATAGTTACTAACACTATTATAGTCAGCTGGCTTTGGGCGAGTAAATCCATTCATCGCTTGTGCAGACTGAAGTAAACTCGCTATATACGTCAGATTTGTATACCCGTACTACGAAGCGACTTACCATATGAGCGGAAATTTGACTCAATTTTTTTCATCAACTTCTTCTGCTCCACTGAATCCCACATGCGAGTGGTCAGTCGCTCCTTATGATTCATAGCAACTTCGGTGTCAATGTCTTTGAGCTCGTCTTCGAGTTCACGAAGCTCATCTTGTTTTCGAAGAATCAACCTGGCCTGGAGATAGCCAAAGCGGCGATAGATCATGAAATTTTCGTGGCTGTCCAGAAAAGCCGCTAAATGTGGATATCCTCTAGGGTATTCATTCACTGAGAAATTTCTTTTAGTAAGCTGAATAATGCCATCTACACAATGTCCTCCCCTTACGTTTGTTGATGATCGGTTTCGGCCCAGGGTTGTAGGGCTTCGCGAGCCATGATCGGATAAGGCCGACTAGCCCAGAGTGTATAGCGGACCTACTCGCTATAATCCAGTCAATACGAGCCATCGAAGACGATTCCAAATTTCCAATACCCTACCTTTAGAGGGATAGACATTGACCACGTCGTTCTCAGGTGTCGGGCTTTCAGAATCGCCGTCTGCATCTGTAGACATATCCATCATTATCGGTCAGGTTGGCGTTGTTGATGCACTGGAATGGATACACGTACCCTCCTCTCCAGGTTTCTTTTCATTGTCGTTAAGGAGTGCCATGATTTGTACGTCGAAATTTGGATCAGGTTTTCCGAAGGATAGATTTGAAACTCTGAAAATTTTGATTCCATTGGGGAAGCCTCAGCATAATAAGTAATGTACACCACTCACCGGTCCTTCTATGAGGAATGAGGGTGCCTAATACATAGCTCTGTCTGGGCACGCCACCGCCTCCAACCGCCTCTTAGGTGTAAATAAAAACCTGCTCCAATGCTGGCTTAATGTCATCTTCAGCAAACCACTCCTGTCCATCTATCCTGACTATCTTTTCATTGTCATACTTGAGTTGGTACTCGTGCAGGATCGAACTGCCGACCACCAGGCGTTTTTCTTTGACGATTGCAAGGACATCGAGGTACCTGCCTGCAGTCCGTTTTATCTTTAACCACACTCGATCGTTTTCATATATGGCTTGCTTGTGCTGTCATTAATAATGTCAGCAAGTATGATGACCTTCTGAATCATGCCAATCCTGCATTGTTTGCTCAAGACCCTTGTCACTATGCGCAACAATGAGGCTGTGTGGCGGGACACTGACCATTTCAGGGATACCTTGTCTGATCGCGGACCTCCCATCAGGCTACAAAGGGAGCTTTAATCAGTGCTTCGACTTCTTGAGGGCTTTACTTGAGCTTACCGATGGACACTTCTCTTTACGGGTGCTGTCTTGATCCGATCCAACATTAGGTTGAAGTTGAGACATGATATTGCACGTCAGCCTTGCGCAATCACTATCTGGTCGCTATATGTGTATATGTGGTACTCGTTTCAGCGCTGGAAAAGGTTGAATTTGCAGGCTGATAAGGAAACTTGTTCGATGGCTCAGATCTGGGGATCCTTAAATATTCTAGTAGCTTCAGTTATACATTTGGAATACAGATTGGCCCCGCAGGCTAGCTGAATGGTGGTTCGTATATGATAGGTGGATATTGTCCCTTGTGTATGCCAGCTCACAATGTCTAGTCGAACCAATTGAATGCTCCAGCACGCTAGAATAGAATGCTGTTGCCCATCTTAAGCGAATCGTACAAGGCTGTGGCACGAGGCTATGGCTACGCAGGGTTCTCATCTGAAAGCCTGATTGTCAATATTGAAAGCACAATTTTCATGTTATGTCCCGCTTCATACCATAGCTTTTTCTTTCAAAGACTACTCTGGTATAATACGACATGATTATAAAAATACATACTCTATCTACCAAAGGTACGAGCTCCCCGGGAAATATAACTCAGAACTTACCCGGGCTCAGATCTAAGCCCGAATTAGAACGCCAGCGCGAGCTTTTTGACAGGAGCTCCAAGTCCGAACCAACTTGACATGATAAGGTCTCCGTACTCCTATTGACGTGGGATGATGAGCAAGATGACCCCAATGTCAAGGGGGAGGTCCGACTATACTCAATTCAACATAAGTATGCTAACGCAAGCGCAAAGTCCAACAACTACATAGCGTCTTCGAGAGAAGATTACGGCTTCGTTGTTGTACTAAAGCGACTCAATGTCGACTCTCATACTCCACAAACCCAAATCAACTACTGCATTGCCGAGTTCGCACACAACCACAACCTCAAGAACTCTTTGTTGATCGTATATTACGCTGGGCGTGCCAATTACTTCAATGAGAAGCTGAGGATGACTGGGTATACATCCTTACCTATATTACACGCTACCAATGTAATGCTAATACGATAGCAGAACAGCGAAACGTGGAGTGGTCGAAGAGCTAGTACCTCACAGTATGACTGGGAACAGTATGGAACAATCGTTGAGAGGACTTGCTTCGGACATTCTCGTTATCTTCGACTGTTGTGAGCCTGGAAGTCTTGCTCACGGTCGTGCTGCGCGGTCGTTCGAATACATGGCAGCTTGCGGGGCTGGAGAAACTGCTGCACTTCCTGGTTCAGCGCCCTTCACGGCCGCCCTCATCAAAGCTGTAAAGGGTTACAGAGCCGAGAAGGAAATCTTTACCTCACAACATCCACTACAGAGTATCCAGGGCTCAGAGACCCTATCAAAAAACCAGCAACCTAATCTTTCGACCCGGCATACTCGTTTCAAATATCGCCTTTGGATTGCACCGCTTAACGCTGATATCCTAAATAAAACTTGAGGCCAACATCAGGATCTTGAAAACGGGTATCTTGACATTCGTTTCCATTATTACAGGACTGTCAATGACAACGATATTGAGAACACAGCCCGGGCACTCTACACACTATTTCAGGACCGGGATTTCCCAGCTCGGGTCGTATCTTTACGAAATACATCATCAGGCAAAGAAGCTGTCACTCCGCACGTTGGGCCGCCTGGCGCTCGTCTTATGATGCACCACCATTAGTGTCGATAAAATCCGCTTCAGCAGTTGTAGAACAGAAAAAGAATTGCAGTAAATGCCTCCTGCCAGAACGACATTTTCAGGGCTATAGCAGTCGTGTAACTTCTGAGGATTCCACGGATCTGACAGAAGAGGCATCCATTTTAAAGGTAAAATCATTAACAGATCGTCTAGAAACATGTTTCTCTGAACAGTCTGAAAGGGGCCGCGATAGGGCCTTCGATTCGAATCGTGGGATAGGATACCACATCAAAGTGCCATTCATCTGTCTCCTAGCTTGCAGCAGCATGTGTGCAACCAAATTTTAGGTTAGGTAAATCTCTCTTATACCTCAGATGCGCAAGACTACTAACATACCATATAGTCTCAGTCGGCAGAAGCTCGACGGACGAAATCTCTGCCAGTATGATCTGTGGTCAACTGTCTTACTGTAATATTGGACATATGATTCAGAGACGCTATGATGTAGCATGAATCTAGCATCTCACTGCACGATGACATCTGTCGGGTCAAAGGGAGTAGTGCAGTACTTTAAAGCTAGATGGGAATCTCAACGTATAGCTTTGGTATATACGTCATCAACCCTATTCCCTTCTTGACAACCCACAACATGGATCTAAGATGACATGTTGCATCGACCTTTCCTTGATTTTGCAACTTACGCAGTATCGTTGGAGCTATGTGTGTGGTCGACTGGTCGATTTCTATGCCATACGTGTGTCTAATCGAGCTTTTAGATAGGCGCGTTAAGTACTTATATACGCCACTATATGTGATTCAAAAGACTCAAATTGCTTACTCCATCGTTGCAGCAGTAAGGTTTCCTACCCTCAATTCCGAGGATGGGTACGAAGTAGGAAAGAGTGATTAGTCTAAAGCTAGACTACAGTTAGGATGCCAAGTCTGGATTGATTTGTGATATGCTCTACTCGATCTGTTGAATGTATGGTGTTACTGCACGTTGGACTGCCATAAGTGGAAAAGAATACGTGGTATTCAGGCTTCTAAACTACGTGTTACTGCTGTAGATTTTGGTAGAGAACACATGTGTGCTCCTCGATATTGACATGGAATAAGTTTCTCGAAGTTTGATACTGGTTTTCTTGATGTACTGTCTGGAAAAAACTTCTTTGCTTACTGTTGGATATAGCGAAAAAGGTCTTCATAGCTACATTAATATACACGAAAGAGCACTACTCTACTATAGAACAAAAGCTATATCGTGAGAAAATGAATACATTCTCTAATGGGGATTGGTCAAACGATGTGCTGATCAAAGGCTAATCATGATGGCTTGTTCACTGATACCATGTTTGAGCAAGCACATACAATCACCATCACAGGAAGTTGTGTCAGGAATGATCAATGTATGACCATTACGGACCGATAGTATTTCTGGTAGAAATACCGTACATCTAATCTGGGGTATCTATCGCGAGGAGAAATCAAGAGAAGACAGCTAGTAAACAAGTATACAGTTTTTCAATACGAGATGACCCCAGCTCCCTCTCACAGGCAACAGCAAATCTGGCCCTTTAGGCCCTTCGAGTCCGCTTCTGCGAACGGAAGTTGTTCAGCTCCGCATGAACCTTCCTAACATATGCCATGTCGGCATCCTCCTCCTCCTCCGCCTCAGACTCCACCACACGGCGCTTTCGACCCCTCTTGACGACCGGCGCCTCAGGAAGAACAGCAGTACGTGCTGGTGGAGCCTTCGGCATCCGTAGCTTGACCACCAGAGACTTGCGAGCGGTGACGACGGGAGAAACAGTGGAGGCAGGATGGGAGCGTCTAGACTGTTGCGACGTCGCCATCCCACCACCGCGAGTGGACTCACGTTCCTCGACATTGGAACGGAATCGCAACTCGCGGTTCCACTGATTCTTGACCGCCGCCGGCGACCGCGAGAAACTCTTCTTGGCCAGAAAGGCCGAGGCTCTCTCCCACATCTGGTCCCGCGAGACCGCATCCTCCAATCCCTGACGACGGCGGAGATTGTTGGCGTTGACACTGCGGATCATCGCCGTCACGCAGGCCTTGTTCTCCGCCGCCGTCCAGCTCCGGCTCCCAATGCCGAAATCGAGTCTTGCGCTCCTGGCAGCCAAGACGGCGGTGCAGTCATAGATGGGAAACTGCCCACCGTCATCCTCGCTGGCCGGCAGATGGATGGTTCCATCTGAGGAGATTTTGGCGCCGCGAGGACAGCTGCCAGGAGCAAACGTTGTGAGGAGGGGAGAAGTCGGCGTTGTTGGGGAGGCAGGGGGTGATTCCAGGTCCCCTTCCTCAGAGAATCCACCGACCAGCAGTGGAGACCCTGGGAAGAGGTCGTCGTCGGCGCCCAGAACCGCCGGATCCTCTACTGGGTACGGAAAAAACCGACCCTTGCCCGCGGGGATTGAGGGGTGATACTCCCCGGGGAAGATAAATAACCAGAACCCAGGGACCTGGGTTGGCGGAAGAGTTGGGGTGGTCGAGGGGAAATCCGGCGGAGGGACGCCGAAGAAACCGTCCAGCGGTGTCTTCGGGAGTCCCTCATTGAAGGCGTGGTTGAACGCCTCGGAGCGAGGAGACAACATGGCGGTGGTGGTGAAATGAGGAAAAGCCCTGCTGGCTATATGGAGAATGAGGGTTTGAGAAGAAATGGAAGCGACCAGCGCTTGATGGAGAGAGCGGTTTTGAAGGTGTTGATGATGTGGAAATGTAGATGGATATGAATTCAAAAGGTGGCCAAAGAACAAGAAAATACTGGAGGATCTTGAAGTTATATACTACTGTTTCTAAGGCATTACAATGGTCTACAGAAATCTATTGTTGTCTTAGGAACGCTGAATATGCTATATAAAACGTCAATTGACCGGGTATAGTCGAGTGGTCGCCGACTGCATTCAACGCTCTGATTGGCTCTAACGCCGTATCTGACGACATGTCCCACTGCTGAATAGACTACGAGCAGATTGTATATATGGGAAGCGGGGCCTGAAAGTATTGAAAAGTGGTCCATAACAAAGTGAATCGAGATTCTGCGTGCAAGTCGACTCAAAAGGGAGGCGAGCTCAGTTCTGCTCAAAGTCTATTCAGAGCACGAACAATACTAGGATGTCTTCAGTGACTTAATTATGACTCTATTGTGCTTTGGTGGTTCGAAACGATGGCGCAAGTGAACAAGCCGCTCCAAAATTTTGGGTGAAGGACACATGATCCGGATATGAGCAAGACACAAGCGAGCCTGAGGCACCTATGATTGCAAGAGATTTTAGATGGACTTGACGAGACAAAAGCGAATTCCTTGTCTGAGGATGGAAGAAAAGTGTGCAAGCAGAGCAGGAACACTAAAGAAAGTTCTGGTCGATGAGCAATAGCTACTTCAATTAAGAGTGTGATCAAACGGCTAGCGAAGCTTGAGAAGAATAAAAACATAAATGGAGAGATTGAACATAGTTTGATTCATGTACTGCAATATGTAACCTCTGCTGATTCCCAATTTCTCACAAGAGTCAGAATGATCTTCCAAATTGGGCGCCCAGCCGTGGGTAGAAATCTGATCTTCGCGCAGCGCGAAAACTACTTCGTCAATTGGAATCAGAAGCGCCGTAGCTAGTATGTTGTTTGCTGGCGTTGATGAGAAGAAGAGAAAAAATTTGGCGAGCGCAAAACGAACTTGACGTTGGCACGGCTGAATGTCGGGAAAGCTAGGTATCAGCTCCACTGTGGCCTTAGTTAGAACAACATATCCGCAAGAGCATCGCTGAACACAAAAGGCGATCTCGGTGCCTACTGCTATTGCGTCGCTGTCCTTTTCCTTGAATATATTGTTCCTTGAACCTTAGCTCTGATCTGCCTTTAGGCTTATCTCCAACAGTCTCATTGCCTCGAACACTCTGCGTGTGTGCGACATCGAAATTCCGCGATTGCAGCTCTTCCGGAGCACACGAACGTAAACATGGATTTTGAATCGATGAAAGAACAGTGGAGTGATATTGAAGACCGAGATGGTGTTCGCCTCAGCTGGAATACTTTTCCTAGCTCCCGCATGGTAAGATCAACCGTGTAGTTGCCTTCCACCATCACTGACCCTGACAACAGGAGGCATCAAGATTGGTCGGTATGTGAATGATGGATGTCCGGCGAAGACTCCTCAACTAAACCTCTACAGTCCCAATTGGTGCTTTGTACACACCGTTGAAGGAAAAGACTGATACGCCGCTCCTTCAATATGAACCTGTCTCCTGCAAGCCGCCATGTCGTGCTGTTTTGAACCCATACTGGTACGTCACCAAATGGGTCGCGATCAGGAAATCCAAGCTGACGAATCCTCAGTCAGGTTGATATGCGTGCTAGACTTTGGATATGCCCATTTTGTCTACAACGAAATGGTTTACCGCCTCACTACAAAGACATTTCTCAGGATGCCATACCCCCAGAACTGCACCCTAACAGCACCACGATCGAATACCGGCTGGCTCGACCTGCTTCGTCGCCCCCCATTTTTGTTTTCGTCGTTGATACCTGCCAAGAGGAAGATAGTTTGAAGGCATTGAAGGATTCGATTATTATGAGCTTGAGCTTACTGCCTCCATACGCTCTGGTTGGATTGATCACGTATGGCACTACGGCCCAGGTACATGAACTGGGTTACTCTGCGTGCGCAAAGTCATATGTTTTCCGAGGCAGCAAGGACTATACAGCAAAACAGGTACAAGAAATGCTTGGACTAGCGTCTCCAGGCATGCGACCGAATATGCCACCCCAACCCGGAAGAGCACCACCTCCTATGGGACCTGCGGCACGCTTCCTCCTCCCCGTTGAATCCTGCGAATTTCAGCTCACGAATGCCTTGGAGCAATTGCAAAAGGACCCTTGGCCAGTGGCCAACGACAAACGTGCGCTTAGGTGTACCGGTGTCGCCCTCAGTGTCGCTGTTGGTCTGTTGGAGACTTCTTTCGCAAACACGGGTGCGCGCGTAATGCTATTCACAGGTGGTGCCGCTACAGAGGGGCCCGGTATGGTTGTTGGACCTGAGCTAAGAGAACCGATCCGATCACATCATGATATAGACCGGGACAACATCAAGTACTACAAGAAGGCCTTGAAATTCTACGACGCATTAGCAAAGCGGACAGCGCATAACGGCCATATCATCGATATTTTCGCTGGTTGCCTCGACCAAGTTGGTCTTTTGGAAATGAAAGGTCTGGCCAATTCCACTGGAGGCCACATGATTTTGACCGATAGCTTCACGTCCTCGATGTATAAACAATCTTTCGCAAGGGTATTCGACAAGGACGCAGACGATAACTTATTGATGGGATTCAACGCATCGCTTGAGGTTCTTACAACGAAGGAGCTAAAAGTCACGGGTTTGATCGGACACGCGGTCTCGATGAACAAGAAGTCCGCATCAGTAGGTGAAACAGAATGTGGCATTGGTAACACCTGCTCATGGAAGATGTGTGGTATCGATCCTAGTGCCAGCTACGGTATCTACTTTGAGATCGCTGGCCAGGGTGGACCAAATCAAATGCAACAAGGACCACAGAAGGGCATGATGCAGTTCCTCACATACTACCAGCATTCTTCTGGACAATATCACCTAAGAGGTACGTTCCATAATACGGGCCATTTAAGAAGTACAGCTAATGAATATTCAGTGACTACCGTGGCAAGAAACCTAAGTGGTCCATCAGGCGATCCTGCGATCGCTCAGTCATTCGACCAAGAAGCCGCAGCAGTACTCATGTCGCGGATAGCTGTCTTCAAGGCTGAAGTTGATGATGGCCCAGACGTCCTTCGCTGGGTTGACCGCATGCTCATCCGCCTCTGCTCAAGATTTGCGGAGTACAGGAAAGATGATCCTTCTTCCTTCAGACTGGAGAAAAATTTCACCCTGTATCCTCAATTCATGTTCCACCTGCGCCGATCACAATTCCTACAAGTTTTCAACAATTCCCCCGATGAGACTGCTTTCTACCGCCATGTCCTGAACCACGAAGATGTCAGTAATTCCCTAATCATGATTCAACCAACTCTGGATTCATATGGATTTGACCACGAAGGCGGCCAGCCTGTTCTGCTCGACTCTACCTCGATTCAGTCTGAGACGGTTCTCTTGCTCGATACCTTCTTTCACATTCTTATCTTCCACGGTGAGACGATGGCCGAATGGAGGAAAGCTGGATATCAGGATCAAGAGGGTTACGATAGCTTCAGGACTCTACTGGAGTCTCCCAAAGAAGACGCAAAGGTACAGTATACTGCCAGAATATGTAATATGCTTCCTAACTAAGTATCTTTTCAGGAACTCATCCAAGATCGCTTCCCTCTACCTCGATTCATCGTTTGTGATGCTGGTGGCTCGCAAGCTCGTTTCCTCCTTTCGAAACTCAATCCCAGTACGACACATACTACTGGATCATATGGTGGCGTCAGCCAAAGTGCGCAAACCATTTTTACAGATGATGTGTCGTTGCAAACGTTCATGGATCACTTGATGAAGTTGGCAGTTTCCGGTACTGGGTAGATGAGAAGCAAGAATAAAGCAGCGATGGGTCCTGCCGCTTGTACACTGATTATAAGCTCAAGAATAATATCATTATGGTTTGGACGGTGTAGCAATATGAAGCAGTGCTAATTGTGGTATGACCTAGAAATGATGAATAGCGACGTAGTGGCGCGTTACGTGTCTTTGACACTTCGGTTTGTGTGTGACGGTACTAGATACACTTGCCACCATCAACCTTGATGTTGATACCAGTAATGAATTTTGCATCATCGCTTGCTAGCCATAGCACCGCGTTTGCAGTATCCTGTACCTCACCCAATCGACCCAAAGGCACCTGTTTGTTAAAGCTCTCGCGATTCTCCGGCGTATCCTCGACACCCACGAAGCTCGAGAATAGACCGGTTCCCGTCAGGAGCGGAGCCACGCTGTTGAATCTAATCTGGTGCGGTCCATACTCTGATGCCAAACCTTTCGTTGCATTGACCACGGCGCCTTTCGTTGAGTTGTACCACACAAGCCCTGGTCTTGGCCGCGATGCACCAACCGAGGCAATGTTGACGACAGAGCCACCTTTGCCGCGCTCAATGAAGTGAGGGACCAAAGTGTTGCTCCCGTGAAAGATGCTCTTGACGTTCAGATTGAAGACAAATTCCCAGTCTTTCTCGGTGACTTCTAGCGTCGGCTGCGGATCCGGGTTAGTAGTGGCCACGTGACCGTGTCTCAACGGTCATCTTCATTCAATTACCTTCATCTTGTATGTGCCGCCAGCGTTATTGACGAGGATATCGACGTGGCCGAACTCCTTGACTGCGTATTCCAGCGTAGCCTTCCAGTCGTCGGCACTGGTGACGTCGTGGCGGAAGAATTTCAGGCTTGAGGAGCTCTCGGATGCCGCCGTTTTCGCGCCGGCATCTTCATTGATGTCTGTGATGAGCACTTTTGCGCCGTTGGCGACAAAGGTCTTTGCTATCTGGGCCCCGAAGCCGGCTGCTCCGCCTGTTGATCTGTGAGCTCTCACGAGTGTGGATTTTTACGCAGAGCGATGCTGATTGTTACCGGTGACGATGGCGACTTTGCCTTCTAATTTCGGTGCTGATGCTGCCGCCATGGTAAATTACCTAATCTGGTGCTGGTGATTTGAGTATTGAGATTGGAGTAGATTTATGGAGAATCAAAGATGGATAACGCTAGAGAAAGGGCAGACGTTATTCCCGAAACTTGCGTGAGTACTCCTGCTCTGCAGACAGCTGATGCCTGACGATCGAGGCAGGCACTCTTTGGCATTGTCACGAGCTTTCGACACAAATTCCCGCAAGATCAATGGCAGTTCACGTCATAGTAATGCATTGCTGCACCGCAGATGGGATCGGAGTGGCCATCAGTGTACAAGCGGAGGGGTAAAATGAGGGGCAGCCATATCATGATGCTAGTTTGGGACTAGTGAGAAAGCTCCGGGTAGTGCAGACGACCGAGGGGACGACTGTTAAGTTGTTCGGATTTAACAGCCGAATTGCATCATCGCCACAGAATCTACTACGCAGGCAGGTAAGATACCTCATTGACCACCGACACCATTCTGCCCGGACCTGCCTGTAGGGAACTGACTCGTGTCGTCCTCAGCACCACTCCACTCAAGCAGGCAGAAGGGATTTATATTCCGGATCCGAAAAGATCACTACTCCTTAACGACTCTTCAGTACCGCAAACATGTCGTCTCTTCCGTTCCAGGTATGTTGAAAGTATACCATATTCCAGTTATATCATCTGACACCCTTGAAGCTCAAGAACCCAGATCTCCTGCATAACCTTTCATATGTGAATGGAGAATGGGTGAAGTCGCAGTCTGGCAAGACATTTGAGGTCATTGGTAGGCGCCATATCAATTGACTATCTCATCATAACGATGTTGACAGAGCCACAGACCCAGGCAACGGCAAGCCATGGATCTCATGCCCGGTAAACGATGCTTCTGACGTTGACGTCGCCGTCAAGCACGCTCAAACGGCCTTTGAATCATTCAAGAAGATCTCCCCGCGCTCCCGTGCAGAGATGCTGTACAAGTGGGACGCCCTGATCAAGGAGAACAAGGACGACCTCGCCACCCTCCTCGTCTACGAGACCGGTAAGCCTCGCGCTGAAGGCTACGGCGAAATCGCCTACGCAACCGGCTTCACCTGGTGGTTCGCCGGCGAGGCAGAGCGCATCCAGGGCTCCGTCTACCAGGCCAGCCAGACGGACCGGCGCATCTTCACCATCAAACAGCCCATCGGCGTCTGCGCCGCCCTCGTCCCCTGGAACTTCCCAATCGCCATGATCCTGCGCAAGGTCAGCGCTGCCCTGGCCGCAGGTTGCGCTATGATCGTCAAGCCCTCGCCGGAAACCCCAATCACCATCCTCGCCCTCGCCCATCTGGCCGCACAGGCAGGCGTGCCAAAGGGCGTCATCTCCGTGCTCACGACCGACCTTGACAAAACCCCCGAGCTCTCCGAAGCGCTCTGCAAGCACCCGCTTGTCAAGAAAGTCACCTTCACAGGTAGCACGCGCGTGGGCAAGCTCATCGCCAAGCAATGTGCCGACGGCCTCAAAAAAGTCACCCTCGAGCTCGGCGGCAACTGCCCCTTCCTCATCTTCAACGACGCAAACCTTGACAAAGCCCTCGCCCAGCTGGCTGCCCTCAAGTGGCGCCACGCCGGCCAGGCCTGCATCACCGCAAACCGCGTCTACGTCCAGTCCGGCGTCTTCGACAAGTTCGTCGACATGTACATCGCCCAGACCAAAACTCTCAAGATCGGCCACGGCAGCGAAGACGGCACCACGCTCGGGCCCGTCACAACAACACGCGGCCTCGACAAGGCCGACGAACTCGTCGCTGACGCTAAAAAGAAAGGCGCATCAATCCTCACCGGCGGCCAGCGCGCGAATCCCACCGGGCTCGCCAAAGGCGGCTACTTCTACGAACCCACCGTCATCACAAACACAACCGCCGACATGCTCGTCCTACGCGAGGAAAACTTCTCGCCGATTTGTGCATTCGTCAAGTTCGAGACCGAGCGCGAGGCCGTCGCGGCCGCAAACGACACCTCCATGGGCCTGGCGAGCTACTGTTTCACAACCAACGTGAACCGGCTCTGGCGACTGTTTGAGAATCTCGAGGCGGGCATGATCGGACTGAATACGGGGAATTCTTCGGCGGCCGAGAGTCCGTTTGGTGGGATCAAGGAGTCCGGGTATGGTAAGGAGAGTGGCAAGGATGTTGCTGTGGCCGAGTATATGATTACTAAGACGGGCACGTTCACGTTGGATGAGGAGACGGACTAATTAGTTGTTATGTCTTTGTGTTGGAATAATGTTTTTTGAATGGAATGTCTCGTCCAAGACACACACATTACCATCTTATGCCGCCGTAAACAGATCTGCAATTGCCATGATGAGACGCTGCCTCAGGCATTGCAGATTCGACTCATCAGATCCACTGTTCTCGCACTCAGATATTTGTTGGATGCACTTACTTCAACATAATTCACTTTCAAGCCAATTCAGTCCTATTCAACTCAACAACATGATATAATGGTTACTGACAAGACTCCTTGTGAGAAAAGCGCCAGGCCTCCCCTTCGATGGTATATATGTAGGTGTGTATGTGTATGTATGTATAGACATCTTCCTTACATCATCATATCATATGATACTATGCCGGGCCTGCCATTTCGTCTGTCAAGCAAAGAAGAATCCAACAAAGAACGGAAAACGTCATATGCCACCTCATGCCATCCCCTCATTGCCACCGGTACTCATGCAAAACGCTACACCGCCGGAGTACTTTTAAAAATGAGCAATACTCCAGAATTTCAGCTTCATCTCGCGTCTTTTACAACCGGATGGGTGCGCGGAAGCTCCGTCGTACATAGCCCGTAGGCATAGCACCGGTCGGCGCGGCGCTTGACGCTGAGTCGCCGCCGGTTGGGTAGTACCCACCTTCACTAGATTGCTTGGGACCTCCAGTGTGGACGGCTTCGGGCTCGGTGGCTTCAGGTTCGGTGACTTCGGGCTCAGTAGCTTCAGGCTTGACGACGGCATCAGAGGCAGCAGGGGCAGGGACGGTAACATAGACGGTCTGTTGTTCAGTAACGTATACGGTGCTTGGGGCAGCGCAGACGCCAGTCTCCTGAGCAGCAACGTCGGCGGCGGTAGGAGTGTTTCGGTAGACTGTGACGACCTTGGTGAGGGTGGATGTTTGCCTGATGGTGGTGGTGGGTTCAGGGCTGGGGCTGGGTGTTGGGTTTTGATTTGGGTTGGCGTTGTAGTCGGGTACGTCTTGCTCTGCGACCTGCGAAGGGGCGCGCGTCATGGTAACGACATGAGTAAGAGTTCGAGTGCTGGTGTGCTTGACTGTTGTGGTGACGACCTGAGCGGTGGAGCCGTAACCCAGAGTGTAGGTCAACGTGTTGTCCACGATCTCGGTGATGACCTGGACGTCTGTACCACCTGGAGCGACAGTTTCTTGAGGCTTTGATTCGTAGCCGGTCGACAGGTTTGGAGCGGGCGTTACGGTGTTGTTATAGCCATATGCCCCATCATGGCGCATGTGTAGGCGGGCGTGTTCGTGGTGCGCAGAGGCAGCCGCGGTGGCCGCAACGGCAAGGACGGAGAAGGTGGTGAGGAAGTGCATTTCTGCTGAGTTGATTGCTTCTGAGGCTTTTTGAAGAGGATATGGACAGACTGGATTCTCGTGAGGGATATCAGGAAGACAGAGGCAGAAATCAATTCTGCAGAAGCTTGACACGAACGGAAGGGGCTGAAAGAGCGACTGTGGTTGAGAGCAGTTGAAAGAATGGACAGCCTACAGAAGGGCAAAAGAAGAGAGCGTGAGACGTGAAGCTGTACAGAAAGTCGAGGGAGAGGGAGAAAGCGAACAAAAGGAAGATGGATAGGAGCAAATGGTAGCGGAGGATTATCATTGGCGAGGGGCCCCCTGTTACGTAGTGGGCCCGGCCGATCTCCTGCCCAGCATCAATCGCAATTTGCCAATTTGGGGGTCTGAACGAACCACGAGGATGCAGTTTAGCGGCCAGTTTCACCACCTCCACCACGCCCTCGCTGGCTGACGTGAATAAGATATCCCTTGGCCGCCATCCTTGCTCGGCCGGCCAGTCATCTTCATCCATCTCATCATTTAATCCTTCATAATCAGTTGGAGCGCTTATTGACTCGAGGAACTCTGTTGGTGGAGTCCTATCGTCGGCCACAGCTCATCACAGTTTTCTCTTCGTACTCCACCACAGTGATACAGCGGCAATCAGATTGCGCTCTGTGTGTTCCTTCATGATTTATTGCAGCAGCATCGTTACGCAAGCGGAGCGGTCAATCGCGTGGTGAGCGTGCGTGGATTTGGGGGGAGGTCGTGGAGCACTGTAGCCGGCCATGCTATTAGCCAACATCATTCCTGTGGCGTACAGTGATACGAGACCTATTCTGACATCGTTACAAGACTGCATTTGGCCCCTTGAGGCGTCCTTCGGCAGCGAGCATCTGCCTGGGTACATAGCAGTAGCACAGGCCAGCTGTAGCGGGAGCGCTGGTGGCCGCGATACAGTCCGCGCACTCGATTGCCGCAATCCTCCACTCGATGCCTTGGCGATGAGAGGTCATCGCTCGTGGTTCTCAGTTTCAAGGGCGTGCACAGTGCAGCTGTCGAAAGCCTTGTCGGCGGAAGTGTCATGCGTGTGTGCGTATGTGTGTGTGGTGATGAAGCCATGAAAGATCTGACGTGGACTGACAGGCCGTACCTGCGTCTGCGTGGTTGCGTACCTGCGTCTTACTTACACGTGCCTAGATATACGCGTGTATACCAGGATATACCTGCGTAAGCAGCCGACTGACTGCAATCTGACTTGCTAATGCTCCATACCTGCATAAAGACTCAAAGCCCGTCCGTTTCATGCGAGATTACGTTCTAACTAATTATCAACTATCAACTATCAACTATCAGGATACCAGATAGATAGCATTAACTCCCCAAGGCATCAGTTACGGCACGCATCTACTGCTCTCTTACTCGCCTAAAGCTTTGCCCAATCCCTCGCCCGCAACCTAATGCAAAACAAAAAATCCAAATTTCAGCCAATCCCAGCCCCAGTGCAATCTCTCTGTCCAAAACACCGATCTTGCCCCTGAATATAACAATGAATAAAGGCAAAACGGATAGACCTACACCTAGGCGCGATGCCAGCCATATACATCTTGCAGTACGTACTATATCTCGTGCTCCGGCACTGCCATCCATGGCATTGTAACCAACCTCCTGTGACCTAATTAACGTTCGAGATCTCGTAAGTGCCTGACTCGCATGCGAAAGCGGTCAGTCCCACACGGTAATGAATCTGGAATTACACCGAAACTCGAAGCTGACGACACCCACAATTGTACAAACAAACGACTACGATAACCTCGCAATCAACTCCGATACCTTATCTTCACACTTCCCATTCCCGGAAAATCCTGTCTCTGTCCCCGCAAATGGAAAAACACCCGTCTAAAATCCATCTGTTGATCGAGACTCGTCTCACAAACGACACGTGTCGAACACAAGAAAGGCAAACTACGCCACAACCATTCAGTACGAACCGCCAGCAATAAAGCATATGCATACATGCTCGTGACTGCCTCGATTACTGATGTCGCGCGCGTGTGTGATGTAATGAACAAACTTTGTGTAGTTGGAGTCACGTCATGTACTCAACTTGCAATACGCATGAATACGACGAATGATCCTTGTGTGTGCTGGCACACAGTCCACTGCTTCATATGTGTGCGTGTAACAACTAACAATTCCTAATCTAATCTCTCCTACACAAGGTAATCAAGTAAGATTGCTGCTGTCAGACGCATATACCGTCTTACCCAGTGCGTACCAACATACATTTCCAATCCTGATCACAATCATATATTACTATTCATAACAACAACAACAATAACATATGACGACTTGTGCTTATGCGTTGTTCTCATAGTATAATCTTACCCATACCCTGCAATGCGCATCGGTGCACACGTCACGTACACAGCATCAACCTCCTCACCTACAACGCATGAGAGAGACACGTCTGGGATACAAAAAACTACAGTATATCCAGAACACGACATGCCCTGCCTGTTAAGAAGAGCACGGAATGCTAATGATTATACCGCTGCTGCTTTTGTCCAAAATCACAGATATAGAGAATCCAAACTGCCAAATACTTATACAACACCAACCAAATATCCTCGACTGCATTCTCCCATCAATGAGACCTATTATCACCGCAACTAAACGACCTCCCACCCTCTCCATTCGCCAACGCCTTCGCACCCGCCCACGTGCCCAACACACAAATCGTCGCACCCAGACACAAGATCCCCGCATTCACCACGGCAAGCGCAATCTTGCGTTTACTGCTCGTCCACCGACCCTTGTTCATGTACAGCCACAGCCCACCCGGCAGACCGTAACTGAACCACGAGCAAAACAGACTGCCGATTAGGGAGAGCAAGACGTGGAAGTTTGGGATGGCTTCGGCGATGATGAAGGCGACGAGCCAGAGAATTGCGTTGATGAAGTACCATGATGCGAGGGACTTGAAAGAGCGTTCGTGGATCACGCGTGTGCCGGCCCAGTAGCGGGTGTAGATGTACTTTGCGGCTACGGCGCCGTTGACGACGCCTGCCACTACGATTGTGGGTGCTGCGATGCCGTAAGCGACTTTTGTAATGGTTGGGTTGCCGATGCCGTCGAGTGCGGGGGACGTCACGGTGGAGCCGGCGTAGTAGTAGATGACTGCTGCGATAACCATGTAGAAGGTGCAGGTCGTTGTCGTCATGAAGGCAAGGGCTTTCTTGAAGTCACGCGGCTGTGACATTTCGCCGAGGAAGCTGAAGAAGGCAACGTGACCGGCGTATGCGAGGATCATGGTCATAACGGCAACAATGGACGAGTGCAGGGGCAAGGTGCTCACAACGGCGGAGACGTTGCCGGGCGAGGGAGCGCGGACGGCGAGGGCGACAAGGGTGATGAGGACGGCAATTAAGATCGAGATGCATGCTGGAGGAGTGAGAATTGCAAGGCATGTAAAGGGGAAAACAAGGGGTCTTACAGGCTGCGGAAGTCCAGGAGAGGCCTGACATCTTGCGGGGCATGCCGATTATGAAGGACACCAGAGTGCCGATGACGGCCCATACGATTGTGCAGGTGGCGTGGTTTGTGAGCCAGTTCATCATGAGGTTAAATGAGACGATGTGAGCGCCCATGATGAAGACGAGGATGAGGATGCTGGACACGGCCATGAATTCGCGTCCGAACCGACCTGCGATGAGGAAGCCGACATCGGGAAAACTACACACTCCCGGAAATGCTTCTTTGAACTGACCGATGACGAAGCCGGTGTATGTCGCGACGATGCCGAGAAAGGCAATTAAGAGAAGGCCACTAAGAGTTGTGAGAAGCCTTGTTGGGATATCAAGGGGGGAGTACTCACGGGACGAGTCCAAGATGGGCAACAGCCTGAGGAAGAGCGAGCACACCGAGTGAGATGGTCTCAGCAATCATAACTATACTCTATCAGTATCCGAAAGAGCATGACTTTTGTTTGACGTACGGAGCGCTGTTTGACTGTTGATTGGATCAATTAGCATATGGGCCTTAATGTTCTGTTGCCACGACACGACTTACACCCAATTACAGGTCTTATACCTGACTTGAGCACCCTCTTCATTACCGAATGCGTCCTGAAGTAATTGTCAGACGCGAGCCTAGGCATACGATGCAAGCATTTCATCATCGCAAGGGCAGTGATCAATGCTTTGCATTGCAAGAGAAGGGAAGAAGTTACATCGACAACCGACGCTCTTCTAGTGACGTCTGCACGAACTCTTTCGACATCTGGCAGAGCGAGCATTCCCTCCCCGGAGTCGACACGTGCAGGGTCGACCTCCCTGGTCGTTGGTGTGGGCTTCTCTTGAACAGAACGCATTGTCGGCAAAAGGTTGTTAGAGACGGTGTTTATAAGACTTAGGGGAAGGCTCATTCGAGATCGCTGTATATGCAAAGCAGAGTTTGTATCAGTTGAGGGTGAGATGGATTGGAATGAATGCTTGGGCGCAGAAAGCCTGCTGCGGAAAAATGTGCGGCCTTTTATGGGCCAGTGCTGGACAAGCGAAGTCGGCGAGCGTGGGATAAGATGAGAGGAAAAAGACTGCTAGACCATGGATGGGGTACTTTGATCCATGGATTGTCATGAGCATTGATCGTGATGTAAGTTGGGATGTTGCTCGCGGCCCAGATGGGGCCTGACGCCAATGAGGCAATGGCTACGAAGGTGCGATATCCATGGGCAGCGACACTATGATGTACCACAGTATCGAAGAATCACTGCCCACAACGTCTTTGTCCAGTCGGCGCATGCCCATCTGCGCAGTAGTCTCCCATATAAGAGAATAGTCAAAGTACGCAGCGTGTGCAGCGGCAGCTGTCGGAAGTGTAGCGCCCAAGTTGCGACTCGAATATCCATGCTCTTGTGACATGCTCTGAGACACAAACCATACGACATCCATCGCGACACGTTGATGTTGACCATATGTCATTACAGAGTGCAAAGCAGAAACAGGACACTGAGTCAAAGACTAAGTGTTATACTTCCAGATCAGAATGAATACTGCGAAGACGTAGAGCAGTTTCTTCACACACGCATTCTTATAGACTGGTACACTATCGTAAGTGACCTAAAGATGATTGATGCGTCATGATGCATGTATGATGGAGAGGGTGTATCGGAGACCATACACGAGTCCACGATTCGATATAATAGCCAGAGAATTGGCCAGGATATGTGATACTGGAGAATGATTGATGGGTCAAGGTTGAATCCTCCCATAAGGTTCAAGACTGCAGCTGATTACCTAACTTCACCTAGTATCCATCGATTATAGATTATAGGGAGCAAAAGAGCCGATGTCAATTGAGGTCAGGCAGGGTTAACTACGCATTCCAATCACACAACAGCATCAATGCACGCCATGTTGATGGCTTCGTGCATCAGGAACCAAGCAGCAATGCGCAGAGCTGACCCTGCAGACCGTTACGTCTGGCCTGACACTGACAGCAGTAATTCGTATATATAGGCCGTCAGAGCCTCGCAACTCGCAACGGTCCTGGAGCCTTCTTCCATCCATCACGTCAAACATCAGTCTTCATTGTTGCAAACAAACATCCATCAATCGAACTCTTCGACCTCGGAACTCCTCTTAATTTGAAGTATTACCCCACTCCCGAAGCCTTGTGGTCGTACAATACAGACGGACGCGTTACGAAGCCACCGCATATTCATCCGCGACTAAAGCTAGCAAGCCTAATCCCCCTCCCCAAAGTCGGGCGCTTCAGCTGCCGCTCCCCAATTCCTCACGCCCTTGTTCCCTCTTCTGCAGCTCCAATTCCCGCACCACAGCATCTCCTGACCTCTCTGGGCCGCTCATATTCCTTCATCAGTTCATCCTACAGCCTCGCGCAATGGTTGAACTTCGTAAACGCAAGACTCCTCCCGTGGCGCCCCCAAAGCCTGCGCGCAAAAAGAGCAGCTCTGCCACGCCTGCGCCCGCGCCGAAACCCACCTCAAAGGTCGCGAAAGTGAAGGAGACTGTCAAGAACGTCGTCAAGCCTGCGTCGAAGGAGGACGCGCCTGTTCCTGCTGCAGCTGCTGCAGAGACGAAGCCCGTCGCAGGCGGCCTACCAACAGTCGGCTCCACCATAGACATAGCAACTTTTGGAGGAGAAGTTGAAACCCACGAAGGCGTCAAGACTACACTTGCGAAGCTTCTGGCCGAGAGCAAGGCAGGCATCGTCATCTTCACATACCCAAAGCAGAATACCCCAGGCTGTAAGTTTGAGCGCATCGCATCGCGTCGCATCGCGTCGCATCGCGTCGCATTCATCACATCGCACGCCAAGATTTTGAACTAACTGTGATGTCACCTTAGGCACCAGACAAGCGTGTTCCTTCCGCGACTCTTACGACTCTCTCACAGCCACAGGCCTCTCAATCTACGGCCTCTCAACTGACGCGCCCAAGGGCAACAAGAGCTTCCGTGACAAGTTCAGCTTCCCGTACACGCTACTATGCGACCCGAAACAGGTCCTGATCAAGCCGTTGGGCTTCGGCAAGGCTGGAACTGCTCATCGCGGTGTCTTCGTCGTCACGCCGGCTGGCAAGGTGCTAGCTAATGAGAAGGGTGGGCCAGAGCCTACTGTCGACGTCGTCAGGAAGATTGTCGCGAGCATGGGCGGAGCTGACGCGACTGCGCAGAAAGAGGCCACGCAGGAGGAGAAAGAGACGGCAAAGAGTGCTGCTGAAGTCGCAGACACGGCCGCAACGTTGGATGGTACCCCGCAACCGACCAAAGCATGAACATGAACGTGGCCATGGGGCGATCTTTTGGTCTGGAGAAGCTTGGATTGCTTGGATTGAGAATAGGAATCCCCATGGCCCTATTCTTTCGGCTGTCCATGATGATGCCGCATTCAGCTAGTCTTGTATTCTTGCCCCGGTATTAGCTAGCTATATAGGTCCTATTAACTTGATATGAATTACGTATACTCTTTACATATACAATGCTGCAATTCCCTCCAGCATTGATTGTGTATGCCACAACACAGCTTTTGTCACGAGTTTCATTCAGATTGAACCATGCACTTTCCAAGTCAACGATGGTCTTTACTGCTTGCTCGTGAATCGTTCATGTGCTAGTAGTTGTTGGGCTATGCTAGTAAAGTAGTAGAGAGGTATGTGAAGGGGTTTGATGCTCCTGCGTTTGATGCTAGTATATATATATGTGAAGTAAGTACGTAAGATGAATGCTGGGACAGTCACATGCAGTCCTTTCGTAGAATTGGTTGCGTGTACAAGGGGAGAGAAAGCTGGACGAGTAGATATGCGGGATGTGAGTAAGTATGAATTATGTCACAGCACGCGTGAGATGAGATGAGGTGCAGAGAGGGTCGTAAGCAGGTTTATATTAGGGAAACTGTGGATAGGTTTGGTGTGATAGATCTATTCATGGTTCTTCAGGGGTATCTACTAATGATCTAAGGATGGAGTAGTGGCAATGAATCATCCCATCAGCGCAGACCATTTAAAAATTCTCATCTTACATTTTGACTCTAGATTACAAGATGTTACATGCTTAGACTTTGTGGACTGGCGATTAGAATGTCACATGGACGGCTGATGGATGGAGTAGAATCTAGTTTGTGACTACGTCGGCCGTTGAGATCTGGAGGTTTTGTCAAAAGTTCGTATGGCTGGTACGGATGGCTAGTGGTCGTCCACTCATGCCATGTATTCACGAGAGTGAATGAAGATGTAAGAGAGTTATGCCTGGAGAAGTCTTCCACTGTCATTCATCGGAAATTACGAAAAAGTAAAGGGATCATGAGAAAGACAACTGATGGTTTACATGCTTATGCACCAATATTATTCTTTAACGAGACCATCGCTGGCATTCACGCAAGCACAAAGAGCCTGGGGTATGACAAAGCATGGTGCGCCTTGTGAAGAACAGCGAAGCACAGAACATTCACCCTGACAGCGTCTTTCAATGAATGAAGCGTCATGACTATTATATCACTCTCCCAGGAGCAATACATACGCATACGACAAGCCATATATCCCAAATGCCTTCTCATCAAAGAAACCAACCGCAAAAATGTCACATTCTCAAAACACCAACCCATCACCATCATCACTCGAACGACCCTCATTTGCGTACGTCAACACCGAAATCTCAGAGGGCCCACACACCTTCCAACACTCCCCCGAGCATCACTAACAAAACGCACAGAACCCTCACAGGCACAATAACCACCATCCGCATCGGACCCAACCGCACAAAGTACACCGTCCACGAAGACCTCCTATGCCAATACAGCACCTACTTTCGCGCCCGTCTGCGCGGCAACTTCGCCGAGTCCGGCACTCGAGCTGTCCAGCTCGAACACATCACACCAGAAGTCTTCGAGGCCTTCCTCGACTTCCTGTACTATGGCCGCCTCCCTACTCCCCCTGAGATCTGGTTCACCGAGACCGATGTCGTGTCCACTCAACCCTTCGACCGCCTCTCCATAGCCTCAAAGGATACTAGCGATGTAGCAGACCCACAAGTCTCTCTCTTCGAAATCCTCCTCATCGACCTGTACGCTTTCGCCGACTACTACGACATCCCCGCCCTGCGCATGGCTCTCATCAAATCCATCCATACGAGCGCGTCGGCCTCGTCCTGGATTCCGTGGTTTTCGACAGTGAGGCATGCGTATGATATCTTGCCGTCGAATAGTCCGTTGTGTAGGCTGCTTGTGGAGATGTATGCGATGAAGTATGTGCTTGAGGGCGATGATGAGGGCGAGAGGATGGCGGCAGTGGGTGTGCCGGTGGAGTTTTGGGTAGCGGTTGTGAGAAGGCTGGTTGGGGAGAGGGGGAGGGGGAAGGAGGAGAAGGAGGATGGGGAGGGGGCCTGGATGAGGGGTGTGGAGGAGTTTGATGAGTTGTGACAGTTGGACATGGTACTTATCAATATTTGGGGTATCTTCTTCAAATGTTCAAAGCTAAGATGAAAGTGAGGCTCAGGTTTAAACAGTGTATTCTTGGTGCTTTCATGATCGTATCAGGGGTAAAGAGTATTTCCGTGTTCCACCTCGTGACTAACCCATCCTATCGTCATCCATTGTATACCCACGCAAATGCCAACGCGCCAACTCAGCTCTCACATCCCTCACCATCCCACCCTGAGTCCTTCTACGATGACAGATCTCCAATCCAGAAAGGGATGATTACACTTCCAGCATCTGAGTCAGTATCCCAAGCGTCGGCGCAATAAAGTAGATCTAACCTTATTACTAGTCTCCGTGAGGATACATTTCGTGATGTCTAGTGGAATCTTCCTGACGACCTTGACATCGCTTTGAAAACCATCTCCATGCATAAGAATATCTTCCTACGATCCTCAGACTACATTGGAGCTGGGCTGAGCGGGGAGGTTGGTCCAATTTAGACACAAACGCTGTACTTGAGCCGTGACAGACTTCGACTCATACCACCGTGAAGTATTTCGACGATCGAATCTACTACTCCCACCTTCTCTTCCTCGTTATACTCATACCATGGCCACCGCACTCCATCTCTTCCTAGGTCGATACATCTTCCAAGAGCTCTCCAAGGCTCTTGCCACTTCTGTTTAGCACTTTGAATCGTTGAGGACTATGCCTCGCGCTTCGAACGAGTATGCTACCAAAGTATCATTCATTTCTTTGCTCGACTACTTTGGACGATTTTATCAGCCGAGTTTGGATAAATGTGTATTCGGGAGGCTGTGGCAGGGATAGAGATCATGAGGAGGAACTTGTGATGAGTCTCGGTGTGTGGTCCATGGAGGTCGGGCGTGGAGTCGCGCTACTGAAGTCGAAGTTCAGTGGCGTGGAAAGGAAAGACTGACCATTACTTGCCTGAATACCAGAAAGAGGAGACACCTGTAGCTCAACTCGTAAGATGGCACACATTGGCGCACTATAGGTGACCCGAAACACGAAAATGGTAAGGACCCGATTTTGCGTCCATTACATGGTCTGTGAAGTATCTAACTTCTTAACAAAGAGTGATCCAACGTCCGGTCTCGTTGTTGAGATCTTCATTACAGAATATATCATGTTCACTCAACTAGTTGAGATAAAACCACGTCACAACAGTAAACATAGCTGCGATGACATCCCCTCGCTCTACTTTGCAGAGAAATCTTGCTAGAACATAGACTATGTCCATAAAAATCTTTCCGTGTCTTGCGATAGCTATTTGATCTCTTCCTAGAGGGTCTAAGTTGGTAGGATGTCATTCTATCTTCCATGATCTCCTTTGATTCATAACTACAAACTTGTTCAGCACTATAAAACAGAATATACTGAGCACCTTCAAAGTCCTCACATACCCTTATCTGTAGTCACAATCTGCTGCGTATAATGCCAGAATGAGAGTATAAGCACGGAACTAGATATCATTGATTCAGATAAAGAGGGGTATGAAGCGATCGTGTTTTTCCCAAGGGGTTTTTTGCCTGCCTTTCATGCTATGCCAATTTTTTGATCCCATAGACGCCCGTTAGACCATAAGCTCATAAGCGCAGAATAACAATGTGAGATGGGTTTATCTTGTAAACTAGTCTTCTCTCTCTGTCTCTTTCTTTCATAGTAACACGCTACGACTACCTCTCCAGGTACTATTGAATGATATATCTGCCTTGAGTTTCTCCTGCTAATTACACAGACTCGTATTTACTCGGAATTTCCTCTTCGCAGCCACATCTACATCCACCATAAGCCGCGTCTGCGCATCGAATCGTACAATGACGACCCGTTCCTCCAGTCCGTCCAGAGAAAAAGACACGCACTGCTTATCCAAGTGAGTATCTCAAGTTCATATGTACCGCAACAGAACCTGACATGTCGTTTTAGATCGATTGAAGCAGAGACAGTTCCTCCCATTAGCTACACATTCCAAATCAGATCGAGAAAGATCATATCGAGCCGACAAGTTCTTCCCCACGCAACGTATAAACTGTATTATGTCTATAAGAGTCTCAGTGATTTCTTCGAAAGGGCACCCTCTAAAGAGAGACAAATTGGACTATCCTGGCGATAGCGCTGCGATTTATCGACCATGAGAGGGATTTTCGGGGATTTGGAATGAATTTCATATCTTAAGAGCGTGCAAATAGCCCTCTATAGAGCTCCTGCTTTATTGGTGGAATACGTATTTTAGGATGAACCCTATGTAGCGGGACAAGCCACATTATTGAAGGATTTTGAAGTCGAAGATCGCTCTCTGTTGCCCACAGAGTTTCAATTTGAGCCTAATGGCATGTATCTAGGTGGCTTATACCCCACTCGTACATAGTCTTATTCGTACATAGTCTTATTCGTACATAGTCTTATTGAAAGTGAGCCAGGGATCGAAGTTGGATTTGCATATACATTGTGGATTGATTCAAGATTTCTTGACAGACAGAGAAAGAGGCAGTATGCGGAAATTCTTAGGGGTGCCCTGGATAGGCTATAAGAGGAGACTGCAGTCTTTAGATTATGGATGTTGTACTCCTCTAGGATACCTCGAAGTCAGAATACATGTGTCCCCTCTAGGTAGGGATAGTGAACGGGCGTTAGGGCTTTACAATTCTCTCGTTCTTCTTCAACGCAACCTTTGTACTCTGTCTAGGGATACATTAGCCATCGGGGTATCTATGAGTTCGTGGAATCATGAATTAAATCACTGGCGAACTGTTCTAAGAGGCCGTGATAGATCGTGCGTGAGCTACAAAATGTTTAAATGCTCTCAAGCTGATCCAAGAGAGTCCTGTCAACTCATATCAACATTTTAAAAGTATCTTGATCCTCTATTGTCCGCCCATTCAGGTATAAAGATAGATTCTTCTACCCCTGAGTCTGAATTTCAACCATCCCTGTCTGTTAAAACGAACAACAGTACTGATGACTGATGACTGTCCATGGGTCTACGGTTGGAGTTTACCACCTTAAATCTAGCTGAACAAAGTATCCCCAGTGCCGTCATAATAATGGAAAGCTTGGTTGATATATGTAGTGGATCTTTGCCAGTGTCTATCGCCCATTCCATCCGGGAAAATAGGGGTTGCCGGGACTGCCAATGCCACCTTAGCTCAAGGTATATTGTTATTTCTGACCTTAATGTAGTACAAGTTGTAGTAATATGTGCAAATGAATAAAGCTATGGCGCATAAGGTGTTGAGCGCTTGTAGAGAAACCCTGCACATTTTATCAGGCACAGTGTTGTACCACGTTTTTCCTTGCCAAGCTAACAAGCAAATATTTCAATCTAATTCACTCCTTACTCCGCAAGTGAGCTTATAGTTTGTGAGCCTGACTGGCTTGCTTGTCATAAATACTGTCTTACCTGGACCAACCCTACGATCCTCTTCACCCTCCTCAAAAAACTCTTCCGACTGCCAAGGTGAGCTTCAAGAACATAGTCTATTCACAGGCTGTGTGGTGTTCGAATGACACTCAGAGGTATCAAAACTGACATATGTCTTCCCAGTCTCCGAAACTTTCACTCTATCGGAATGGCGCAGCCTACTGGGTACATGCAACCGGGCCGTAACATACGCAAGAGGAAGGCAGATGTACTCGACGAGGATGACAAAAACTTCTGCGAGTAAGCGTTACACTTCTAACCTCGATGATTTAGCTCATAATCTCTTAGTGCAATCGATGGAAGCATAGTTGTCCTGGAAATCTCCTACGAAGGCAGGAACAGTACCCTGAACGTCCATGAAGAGGTCCTACTCCAATCGTCCAACTATTTCGGAGCTGCTTTACGTGAAGCCAATCAAGAAAACACTACACTGAAGCTACAGGTGACCGAATTCGACCATGAGACTGTCAAGGCCTTTGTTGGATGGTTGTACTTCGCAAGCCTCCCAAATCAGGACGTGGGTCCCTGGAACCTGTATCTGCTGGCTGACAAGTATCGAGTCGGTCCCCTTTCTAAGGCGATTCTCGAATCAGTCCATGCAGACTTCTCACCAACTTCCCCAGCCCCATTGCCATGCTATTCGGAGATCGCCACCATGTTCGAACGCCTACCAGCGCAGGACCCAATGCTGACCCTTCTTGTTGATGGACACGTTTGTGTGTTCGCAAGTCCGCTGGACTGTGATCCTGACGTAGAGAACGACCGTCGGATGGTCCCGGTGGACTTCTGGATCAGAATGGCGATCCAATTCGCTGACACCAGCTTAGGAATGTTCCTGCCACCTCTGCAAAAGTATATCACCTAGTACGACTAATTACATTATTCGACTTGGTACTTGCAACAACAAAGGCAAACTGAAGCTGACAGGACTCAATCCTTGGAAGACTTGTCATTCATGTCGCTGTGGGGTTCATAACAGATACACGTGGTGTTAACTAGTCACTACGTTGCACACAGAAAAGATAATGCATAAAATCTTGCATTGATATGATGGCCCTCTGGTGATTTCACGTTGTACCGGTGAAGTGTACTGAGTCGAAGTGATGCCTTGACATGTCCAAACAGGCCTCACATATTGATGAACTGAATCCAATCCCATGAGTCTTGACCTGCCAGATTGCTTGTACGCATATGGAAAGTCCTTGTATTCAATATCCACAATTACCAGTATAATCGTCCGCTCGTAGAGATTGAGAACAACCAGCTTTCTAGTGGTATGACAGAAGCATTATAGACGGAAGTGACGATGACGCTGTCTTGCAAAAGACGGCACGTAAAACTATTTCGAGGGTGAGTGTCCATGGAGATACGGTACGGGAGAGGAAGTTTTATCGCTACACGGCAAGCAGTTTGTTTGCACCGTTTATGTGTCGAGAGAAGAAGATGCTCCCTACGGTTGATCTATGTACATAGGTATTAGTACATTCAGGATATATACCATCTATAGGGAAGGACGGTCTTACAGAAATCTTTACACTCGTAGCAGAGTGGGTGTAATACTTGATTTATCGATAAAATAGGTGCTCAGAAGCAAAAGGCAGAACACAAGCACCTATTGAGCACTGTCCACTTTGGTTTCTCAATTTGTTCATGGGCCCCAGGTTTTCATCACAGACTTGTACAACACTGCTATAGATGTCACCGATTCTAACCTCATAGTGCATCACGTTGTATGGGCATGTCTCTGCCACGAAGTACTCAATCACCCCTATTCTCAGTGAAACTCTGATCGTAACAGTCCAGACTATAACATAGTAGATGTACCAACAGCAGAAAGCCGTATGCAGTAGTATGAACCAAGAGTATCTTATTCTATCTGCCATGTGGAAAGCCGAAGAACAACTTGAGCTGACAAGATCCATGAGAACCGAGGGAGAGCCGATGATTCCTCGGGTAGTGTCTTGTTTGGTGCTTCGCATGTGTCTTCTTCCTTATTTTCGCCATGTAATGCCATTATCTTTCAGCTCATTCAAGAGATTGTTATTGCCAATATAGGAGAGAGTGACTTCGGCTTAGCTGATGCTGGCTTGGCATCAGTGATGGCACACGGGGTGAGGACATCTTCACGATCCTTGGGCACGACTAAGCAGGAGCCGTTGTCCGAGAATTGTAAGACTGTGAGTGTGAGACTGAGCGTGAAGGAGGAGGAGGAGGAGGAGGACGAGGACGAGGAGGCGCAGATCAGGCGAGCTCGTGAGGATGCGGAGATGCATCATGCAAGTTTATTCATCGGCGATAGCGGAGGCACTGTTTGCGGATAGAACAGCTTTGAAAGCGTAGAGTGTTACCATGAATGACGCAAGTTACTCCGTTGCATTAGCTTGTAACAATGACAGAGTAGAGTGAGAACACGTCCAAGGAGGAACCATATTCCCCCCCCAAATGCTTTAGATTGCATACCTCCTCGAAGCCATATAAAGGACTGAAGTGCTTCACAGTAAAGCATAATACCTGAGTTCCATGATGCTATGCATGCATTGTAGTCAGTCTAGTATCGAGAGTGCACGTCGTGGAGTTCATTGTTGGGTGGGAACAAAGTTACGGTGACGACAATCCTGTCGTCATCAAAGCGCGGTAGTCTTATTTTATTCAGTCATTAGAGAAGCCCAGTGACTTTAGGGGCCACTCTTGAGCAAGGAGACGGTGAATTTGCAATATATAAATGATCTAAATTCAATAGACTTCGCCTTCGGGCAATTGGGAACTCAGAAACACTACAATATTTTTTTTGCGAAACTTATAACGGCATGAGTTCGACCCTTCCTGGTAGTCTTCTTTTGCTGAACGTGTGTGTGCTTGCATATCTTCTTATGCTTCCAACACAGTGTGATGTCTTCTTTTTAGTAATGTACTTCTATGTATGTGTTACACTTGGTATCATTCAGCTTCTATATATTATTCATCGGAATTTAGGAAAGTGTTGAAGGTTTAAGGGGGATGATGTCGCTGAAGGCCAACTGTACAGAGGCTCTCGCCCACCCGTCTTCCTCAGTAACAGCACCACATCGCCATCTTGACGCTCACAGACTTTTGATTCTTCGATCCAACCAACACAGTGATCCTCAAAGACTCTTATACTCCGCCCCATTGTCTTCTCAGGGCCTAGCATTACTACTACAATCACAAACCCTCAAGGCGCGACAAGACTGAACACTCCACCATCAATCAAGCCACTATCTGCAAGACCGCAAGGTACAATCTCTTTTATACCCCGACTCTCACTGACTCAACACAAAAGCACACCAGCCATACATCCAAGTAAGCAGTCATACATCCCAAATTCCCTACTTCTCACCATGCTTCCATTCTTTTAGAAGGCAGACCAATATCCATGATCTTAGCTTATGATCTGCAAATTCCACACATGTCCATGAAATCCGAGGAATGGCACTTCAATACCTAGCAGGAAGACTCACGGTGGCGTACGCTCTCCTCTCCAATCCCACATCATTCCCCACGAAAGAGAACTTCACAAGTCAAGACGATGGCTGTAGTATCACAGAGTAGTTGCTACGATACACCACATGGGATTATCCCCCAGAGGAAACACAAACAGAACCATTACTATTACAACATAACATGTGGATAAGCACACCGCAACACCCTCAAGCCTCCAAATTATAAGTTTCAAGAAGAACTAAAACATAACATGGAGACATATACATCCGCCGTGAACCTGTCGCAAAAGTCATGAAAAAGATACAGACAATGCCTAACAAGACAAAAAGCAATAGCGTATCAGACTAAGAATGCATCTTGTACTCCTGGAGAAGATATGAATGGAAGTGCCGAACATAAGTAACGAGATTGATAATTGAGAGCTATGGAGTACAATTTGGTAGGATGATGAATAAGGCGTAAGGGGTAGAGGTAAGGAAGAGGACAAGAGACAGGACAAGAGACAGGACAAGAGACAGGACAAGAGACAGGACAAGAGACAGGACAAGAGACAGGACAAGAGACAGGACAAAAGACAGGACAAGAGACAATATAACAGACAAGAAATCAAATCACCAACACTCTCCATGCGAGTATCCATACCACTGCATACAAAGATCGATACAAGCATATGCATATAAACCAAACCATACCTGAACGCCAGACTGCCATGCTCAATTAGCTAAACCCAGCTCTTACCACAAGACAAAATGCACGTCTTGCATTTGTACCTCGAGTGACCCGAGTATCCTGAATACACTGCACGATCTAACTTGCAATCGCCGTCTCTAGATAATCTCTTAAGTGTCTTTTATATATTCATTACTCTTTACTTCACTTGATGGCATGGTAGTCCCGAAGTACATATGTACTGGCACATCATTATAACTGACGGACACAGACACCTTTCGTACAGACCTTCTGATACCTCTACACCTCTTCTACTCTCTACTCTCTACATAGCTACATAGCTACATATCTCTACAGCCATAGTGACTGAGACCGATCCCAAACCTACCACCTCGCAGCACAGCTCCAAAACACAGTAAGAAGCATGCTACACCACACCACACTAAGCACATCCATAAGGCAAGAAAACTCAAACTGTGCCCCTAGGTAAACATGAATACAAATATGGCCATGCTTCAAAAAATGATAATATATGTATGCATGGTGGGTCGGTCGGTATGTTGTAAATCCGAATGTTACAGGGTATTTGTCGAGCTCTTAGGGCTGGAGGGGTGAATGGTGCCTGTTTACTGTGATATACTGCTTGGCAGACTCTGGGTCGTTATTGTATCTATTTAAGTGTATGCTGGTTCTTAGTCTGATGGTCAAGCGATTGATGAACCGAGTGGAGTTATCCACACGAGATGTGAAAGCTGCAATGATGCGCTCATGGCGATACAAGAAAGACTTTCGCTATTCAAGAGCTGGAGAAAGGAAGAGCTCTTGATACTCGACGAAGTTTCCTGTTCCTGGCATGGATTCATCGTATAGACATGCAGATAGACTAGGAGCCTAGACTCACCGACAGTAAGATTGCCCGCTAAGGCAAGAATCATGTCTACTATTTAAGTATGCAATTGTAGTATCCGAAATATATGCGATGGGCTACTGGACGTGTCTTGCATATGCGTATGCAGAATTTGGCATTTGGGACATGGTGTGCATACTACATTTTAAGTTGGCCTCGTGGGGCTGCATCTTAATAGTGGTAGCGGGTGGTGGGCGTTGGAGCGTTGGGGTGGTACTGCACGTCGCCATGATAACTACCTAAGCGATTGAGGAGGCGCGTTGTCTTCATCTGAAAGACGCAGCCAGTGTCAATTTAATGCTTGTGTTTAATAACAGCAGGACGTGAATCTCCTCTGAAGCACTAAAGAACGAAATAAAGTCTGACCAGCAGCACAGCCCGGCTACGAAGGTTTAGTGCGATCGGTGTCTCGCAGCAGACCAAGACACAATTCTCTCGATCTCAGGAATTAGCGGCGATGCGAGCTCGCGTGTCGTTGGCATGATGGTAGATGAAGAATTTGAAGCGAATAGCTCTTTTTGGGATGCCATTTCGGAGGGTTTCGTGATGGTCACTGCGGTGTTGAAGCAAGCAGAATTAATTAGCTCGTGGGTCCGGCAAGCGAAACGAGAGCACCCGCAGCCTGCACACCTTGACAGCAACACTAATTATTCCATTACGAGGAATGGTGATGGGGATAGCCATGTACAATGTATGTAGTGTAATGGAGCACATAGCAGGGAACAAGGTGTGTCGAATGAAGCGGGATGGGCTGTATGGCTCGCAGGTGTCAGCAAGACTCGGATTGCAGAGATGAGTATGGCAGGGATGGATGTCTTTTCCGAACGACAATTGATTGCAGACAGGGAGGAGAGATTGCGGAGGGGCGTGCGCGGTGTTTTGGTAGCTGGGTAGGTCGTCAGCAAAGGTAATAAGCGGGTGAGAGTTGGATAGGGCCGAGGCCTTCCTAGTGGGTGATGGAGAATATAGTTTCCGGAGAGCACGAGAGACAGTTGAGGAGAAAGCAAGAAGAAGGTCATAAGATAGTGCTATGCTGTGTATAGCTGGTGGTGACAGTGACTGAGTGACATGTCTCCCAAGAATAGCATACAGTGGTATTACTAAGTATTGGGAACAGGCGGATCACAATCTGGCGTGCAGCGGTCCACGATAAGACCTGCTGTGGCGGCCATGCTGGTACAGGTCCCCTGATTGGCTGTAGTAGCTCATGGCGCAGTCTTGTTCCTGACGCTTGACCATAAAGGGACTAGTCAGGCACAACTCCCTCTCCCCAGAAGGAGAGCTGGAGAGACGCAGAGCCCTGACGGGACCCTTGGCCGGCAACGCTCTCCACGTGACTTGATGACTTGTGAAAACAACACACAAGTCTATAACTATGAGATATGCAGAAACCAAAACGAGATATACATGTCCAAGGACGCAAGACAGATAAGCTCATATTATTACATGTGTGCATCATGTCCGGGAGCGTGCCTAATGCAGCTGGACGCAGCATGGACATACGCAGCCAAGGCCAAGGGGTTAATCTCGAAATGTGCGACAATGGATGCATGTCGGCCCTGTCCAGCCAGCCAATCATATCAAGTCCGAGCTTCTTCTCCCTGTCAGCCTACCATTCTGCTCTTCTGCCTTTTCCTCGCCCTGCTCGCCTCCGTCCTCTGGCTTCAACTATTCCCCTCTGCTGGACGAGACCTTGTCAACCCATCCTCTCCTCTCCACCCACCTCTTCGCTCCTTTGCTTCTACAATACTAACCACAGTCATTCATTTCCATCCTGTCACTCTTGCCAAACCCGCGTGTCGCCGTTGTCTTACGCCGCCAACCGGTCACACGCCTTTCATTCATTTGGTGCTCGCCCTGACGTATTCTTCACTTCACGACTTCATCTCGTTCGAATCATCGTTATAACACCGAAGCCTCATCAGCTATCCGCTCTGTGAGCGGGTCGGCACTCCCAATCTTGACGAGCGATGGATCACCTTCACCACAACCATGCACACATCCATCTTCACCGACGACATGGCGCCGAAGAGATCGTCCCGTTCATACAACCCGTGGAAAGAGCAGAAGATCCGTCTCCCGTACAATTAGACCCTCAACTCAAGATTGTTGCCGGCAGAGCCATTTCGGAGCCATCATCAGCCTCAACAGCCAGCACATCATGTCTGCCAAACGATAGTCGTCCACAATGCGAAAAGCCTCAAGGCTCTAGGGCCTTGCCCATAGCTCTGGCCTCGACGTAAGCTTGACGTTTCCGCTACAATAGCACCATCACTGACTATACACAGCATTCCAATAATTGTCGCCATCATCGTATTCATCTTCCTCCACCGCCGGAACAAGAAGAAGGTTGCATTGGAAGACATGGACGCCAAGCACAAATCTCTCGACTTTGGTATCGATCCTGCTACCATGCCTGGAGGCAAGAAGAAGGGCAAGAAGGGTGCTCTTGCGGATCTCCAGCTGGACGAAAAGAAACAGCGTAATCACGGAAATGCTTTGTCAATGGACATGGACATGTCTAGTCCCTACCTTTTGCCAGCCGGCATGAACGGCTCGCGCGAATCCTTCCACTCCCTGTCACGGTCAATGAAGGATACTCACGACCCGTATGGATCGGTGCACCAGATGTCCAACGACGGTCCGTACGCTCGTGGTCTCCGCGCTGACAACATGTCCGTCTTCACGGCCTCGAGCAAGAGCACCAATCCTTTGATTAGGGGGGCCTCACCCATGGGCAGATCAATTCCTCAGCGCGGCGACTCCATCCCAACTCCGACAGATCGCACACCTCCCGAGATCAAGTTTCCTGAGCCTTCGCACCAGCCGGATTCCGCCATCAGCGGCCTACCACCAATGATCGATGGCGCTGGTCCCTTGGTGGAGGAACCCGAGGGCAGACAGGACTACTTTAGTGCCAACCAGCAACAAGATCCAAGCCCCGCAGCGCGCGACAGTGTATCAACCAGAGGCTCCAGACCATCTCAGAGCGCGAACCGACCTCCGCGCCTTCAATCAATGGAAGCTGCAGTGCACAATACCAACACTCATAGCATCGCAAGCCTATCTAGCGACTATGGAGACAATTTCAAGGTGACGCCCCCATCGCCAATCGTTGAGACTACGTTGGAGCTTCCTGCACGGCACTCGATGGAAGCTATAACTCCACCTACCGAGATACAGCAACCCAAACCGACTGGTCTGGGCGTTGAGGGCTTCAACGGTGACGGGAACAAGAGATTTTCCATGAGCATACGTCCGTTGCCAATAGACGACCCTACGGAAAACCCCGAAGAGCGCGCAAACCGGATAAGATCCTTTTACCGTGAATACTTTGACGACTCGCGGCCCGATCCTGCAGGTCACTACGGCGATTATTACGAAGACTACGGTCAGGAGTATCTCGATGGTGCCATTTTCGATCCCGACTCGGGCCAATTTGTTATGGCGGGAGCTCCATACGCTGAGCCCATTACTCGTCGCGCAATGACTCCACCGCCCCGTGCGCCTCCACGTATGGGACCCAAGGGTCATTACTCCAGCGGTTCCACTGCCCGATTCATGCCACCTCGTGGCCAGTCCTCAATGAGCGGCATGAACAGTCCCAGGAAACCGCTTCCTCCTCCGGCTTCTCTCAAGTCGCTGCCGACGCCGCATCTGCTCAAGGATGATGCGAACCTGTTCACTGCCCTTGACTTTGCACCGCCTGTCAGCTTCAGAGATCGACAGGCTGGTCGCCGCCCTGACAGTCCACTAGGCACTCCTAGACCGTACTCGCCTGCTGTTCAGCCTCACGTTCCGCTGTCGTCTCCGTTCACAGAGCTAAAGGCGATGCCCAGCCCTCATTCTCTTCGCAAATCTGGAACGTTTACCGGTCTTGACTTTGCGCCAAATGCACACCTTCTCAACAAACCTAGCAACGACAGTGACGCCCGTAGTGTCATGAGTAGTCGCTCTGGTATGTCGCGCATGCAGCTACACAATATCCGCGCGGGAGCCTACCGTGTGAGCCGCATACCCAAGGAGATGGTCGGTACCAGGGACGACATTGTTACAGCGTTGAAGCCTAAGTGGGACCTTACCGCTCCGGCATAATGAAGGCATGACTTTGACACTCGCGAGCCATCTGTTCTTTCATTCTCGGCATTTCAAGCGTTTCGGCGTCGACACTTTGGTAGTGTTCTCTACGACCTTATAGACGGACTACCCCACAAACGCAGCTGGCCGGTCCAGAGCCAACGATTTCGACTCGCTCTTTGTTGACTGCAGCTGACTCACCGCTATTCAGGGGCAGACACTGCGCCTCTCCCCACATAATCGCACCCCCAATCCTTCCTTTCGACGGTTACATTTTTCCTCTTACATGGTCTGAACCGTGACTACTATTTACGGCGCAGATAATTGGGCTGGTAATGTGCAAGCTGGGAATAGGCGTTTACCTGTTGTTTCATTGTCCAGCTGAGATCAAGCTGATCTGCGGCAGTCGATAAAAAAATCTTAAAGTTAGTATGTAGTCGTGGTGGAGAGCAGCCTGTAGATATGTAAATTCTGTGTATCTATAGGGAACAGAGGATGAAACATCTCGACACTATTTTTGGCTACTCTATCTTTTCAATCTCTCCAATATTGACACCGTTCTCTTGTGACGTACCCGGACACCGGCTTGACCAATGGCAAGGCGCCAGACTTGGTTCATCTGTGATTGAAAGGAAGTAGTAAGGTCGAATCCAGGTATGTCTAGCATTTTCTGATTTGTCTAGTTCAACTTGTCTCGTCAACGATCAACATCTCGAACATCTTCAAGCTCAAACAGGATAGCAACTCACACGCCTGTGATCGATTAGGGAGGAGATGAGTAAAGTGGCTATTGAAATCACCTGGACCTGCATATGACAGCTGTGGCGCAGTATAAAATACGTTCTATCGACTCAAACTCCAAAACCGAAACACATGCCTCGAATACCTGCGCAAGCTCGAAATCTAACGTCACATCTATCCTATGATCGGCGCTCTCCCTCTCCTCTCCCTCTCCTCTCCCTCTCCTCTCCCTCTCCTCTCCCTCCCTCTCCCCCTCTACATTATGTAACTCAAATAAAACCCGGTCGCCGCATTATTACCAAGAACAAGGCTTCCCCACATATGTTGGGACTGCACTTCATTATTGATCATCAATCGCACCACCACCTCCTGCTTACAATCCAGCGTGGGCCCAGTCTTACCATATACCGCTTCCATCTTGTCCCAGGTCGTAAAATCCAAACTAGGCTTCCACTTCCACTCCTCACGCTCATACTGCTTCAACGAGGCGGGGTTTATATCGATGTTGCCATCTGCGGATGGTACGCCAGCGAGCTGTTGTGTTGCGACGGGACAGCCTCCCGCGCCATCGCAGCTGAATTGTCGCCCGGTTGAAAGTGCTGCGGTGCGCCATTTTAGGATGCAATCCCGGGCACCTGCGGGGATCCCGCTGAAGACGACGAGGGCATCTGTGTCGTTTGTGACTAGTAAGATGTGATCTACGACCTGAGTGTCATGGTGTTCATTACGTGGGTTGAGAGCGTATATCTTTGGCGTGTTGATCTCGGTGGGTTCGGGGACAGGAGATGTGTATGCTTGGGCTGGAGCGGATGTCGGTGTCGGTGTCGGTGTCGGTGTTGGTGTTGATATAGTAGGCTCCGAGCACCGGTCTTCCTTGTGGCAGCCGTGCCAGCCGTTGCTGCAGTTGTAGTAGTTGTATCCTGCAGCGCAGGTTCCATTGTCTTCCAGTGTTGGGTTGTTGATGACGCCGAAGGGGATCGCGATGCCGCGGCCGAGCACACTGGCGAGGGTAAGGATGAGAAGGCTTTTGGGAGACATTTTGCGCGTTGTTGTGGATGCTGGATGCTGAAAGTTGGATGCTTGAGATGCTTGAGATGCTTGAGATGCTTGAGATGCTTGAGATGCTTGAGATGCTTGAGATGCTTGAGATGCTTGAGATGCTTGAGATGCTTGAGATGTGCGTGATGATAGACAAAACACTGCGCACCGGACGACACTTATATATCCCTCCATCCCTCGCTCTCTTCATACATCTATTCCCATCCTGAATCATCTAGTCCTGCCCTCTCCACGCATACCTCTGACACATATTCGTCGCTCAGCCTCCTTCAATACTACCAACACCAACACCATCTCATCCAACAGAGCAGCATGTCAATACCAGTATATTCCTTGAAAGCATAGTATGTATAGAAGTAAGGTTATGGCACGTGTAGTGAAGTGGAGTAGAAGGCTTTGCATGTAGGTTTGGACTTGGTGTGAGAAGCAAGGGTTGGGGCATAGCTGGCGTGTAGTGAGGCGGGCACGAGATTCTGGCTTGACTTGGTTTTCTATTGGCTGGTTGAGATGGCAGTCTTGAGCATATCTATTAATATTATCAAGGGGAGTAGTAGGACACTGGAGTATTTGGATATCGGGATACTGGAATGATGGAACACCCTCGAATGCAGACACCCGGTCTTGAGCAAATTCAAAGCAAAAGTAATAGAACTAAGTTCATACAACCTGACATAATCAACTCAATATAACCCACAAAACAGCAGCAACAACAATGACCATGACCACCTGCAACAAGCCTCACGCGTTGAAGCCTGGCCTGGCCTAGTCTGGTCTAGATAGTTAGATCGCGGCCTAGTTCACGACGGTCGAGTTCACTGCGATCATCCTGTTCCCAGAGTGCATTCGTCGTTTCAGGACTGCGTATATCGTGAACAAACTGCGCCTAGAATGGCCTGGCATGGCATGGCATAGAGCAGCGTAGCATAGCATGGCATAGCCCATTCCATCTATACGGTGTAAATTCATCGTACATGTGACTACCGTGCCTCTTTCCCGCGCGGCTACACAACCACTATACATATTCAGCATCACGTGTCGTTTGTATGGGCTGCTTAAGGCTGCCCGTCAGCGATGATGAGGCTGCTGTCATTGAGGCTGTGCGCACGAGGACGGATGGTCAGATCTCGAGATGGAGTAAGGGGTTAGTAAGGCTGTTTGAACGATTGAGGCTGGTGAGGCTGTGCTAGCTACGTGTTACCCTGTCGTCGCAATGCTTGTAATACATAACATCGTGGAATGGGTGGGATGGATGAGATGAATGAAGAGAGGGAGGGTGGATATGTTGGAGATCTTGTTAACGATAGCCGTACACGTGCTTGTGCATGTGCTGCTGGGGCGTGGATACGTGTTGGGAGATGTTGACGTGGGAAGTTGCTGTGGGATGTGTGGATCTCAGATATTGATGAAGAGGGCGTTTTGGGGTTTATGGCGCTTGAGGACATGATGAGGCCATCTCTAGGTGGTCGACTTACTATTGTATGTCTCAGGATTATTCGAAATTGCGTGATATGGAGTGCTTGTGATTATGGTAATAGCAGGAGGAGATGTGCAATGTATTGTGTTGTGTCGTGTTGTAGTAGATGAGCTATGGTCTATCTAGGACTATAAATAACTGCAGCTAAGACTGACTCGTACTAGAGAGCTGTACCTAGATGGGCATGGGTAGTGTGTTGGTGATTGACCCAATCACAGAACGGAGGCCCCAGCATGATTGATCGACGTCATGGAGAATACTGCCCTCACGCGTCTCGGACGCGCCCGATTGTATTCGCATAAACCGTCAAGAACAGGTCCTATACCACCCTCCTAGCATGAACGTATACGAGACGAAGCGCGCCGAGAAGATTGCTCGCAATCAAGCTCTCCTGCGCGACCTCGGGCTCAACGAAAAAGCCCATAACAAGGCCGACAGAGGTAGCAGACCATCTGCAAAGAAGCGGAAGCTCGAGACTAAAGTTCAGGCAACCCCGTCACGCGTATCTGCTCGCATTGCTGCCACGCCGTCGCGTCCGGTCTACAACGAGGATGAACATAAGAAAGTAGGTAGGGTAGCAGCGAAGAGTGTTGCACGAAGAGCTGCGCCAGTCAAGACGGAGACCGACACATCAGCACCCACGGGCAGCTCACGTTACTCCCCAGAGGCGATTGAGGAAATCAAAGCGCGATGGACGTCGTGGACGCCTAGCGCATCTGTGCCTACACGCTCACAAGACAGTCGGTTCCACTTCGACGACTTCGAGGACTTTACGCCAAACAAGTCGCCCGAAGAAATACTACGTGAGGGCGCTTTTGGAGGCACATTCTTCCGGCCCTTGTTCTCCCGCACACTGGGCATCACGGTGCAGGATGACTGGACTGACATACCCGCCGCCTGGATCTCAGGCCTCAATACAGAGAAATACCTCACGAGCACAGAATACGATCCCGCGGTCAACAAATACGGCGTGTCTTGTGGACAGTCCATCGAAGAGTGGGAAGCTGCGGGCTGGATACGGCATGATTTTGATGCGCGGGGCTGGTTTCAGTGGTACTATCGCTTTTTCCTAGGGCGACGTTGCGATGACGACGAAAGACAGATCTCGCGGTGGAAGAAGTGTGTCGGACAGACTGGGCGGTGGAGGAGGATCTTGCTGAAGAAGTACGTGCAGATGGGCATCAGGACCGTCGCCGATGAGGGCGAAGAGGAGGGTGAAGAGGAAGCGAGAGAGGTCAGTCCTGTCGTTCATCAGACCTGCCTGCACTGGGCGTACGAAGTGCGGCAGGATGCTTTGGATGAGTTCTGGGCGAATGGGACATGACCGATGATATCCGGCGCCTTGTCGACTGCAAATATTATATGCTTCATATCTTATATCGCCGAACAATACGCTACTCTAGCAGTCATGATCAGAGATCAGGTCAGCGCATGTGTCTTATTATACCCAAGCTTCTCGGTGTCTGCTAAGCTCCAGCCTCCCAGCAAGGTTGTTGAGGATATTGTACATAAATGGCGGCTCGTCCACTTGAACCACCAACCTCACGTCCAAGCATCCCCTAACAGATGCAGCACCCATGAAGAATGCATAGCCTTCACGGCCGCAAGGCTCGATCGTCGTGCTGGTGTATATACGGAGATAAAAATGTAATGAAATCAATGTTGTGGTGGGCATTCCGGCCCTATCAGAGACATGTCATGCGTAATTGTTTAGTGGGTGCTCCGTTGCCCGGGCAGCACGTAAACAAGCTCGCGCACCTCGACCCAATAAACACACGACCACCAGGCGATCGCAGCGTGCCAGTGCCAGAACTGTGGACTTGAATTCGAGTTACTGCATAACTATTGGTTCAGACTTTCAACGCCACAGGTCGACCCCGGGAGTTCACAGTCAGCTGCTTCTAGTGGGGGAAATGGTGGTGGTGGTGTGCGCAATCTTCTAGCCACCTGTAAACATTCAACATTACGACCTCCAAGTAACCCAACCTCGTCGTCGTGTCGATCACCTCTCTCTCAATAGTTGTCTACCACCGCTCTGCAGCTTCGAACTCTACACTTCTCTACCCAACATCGAACTAACCTTGCGAAACACCTACGTCCGACGTTTGCCGTGCTCGAAGACTGCCCGTGAGGCCCGCGACATCCATCTCCGCACTACAGGCTTTGGACAGAATCATGCATAGGCGGCTGTACACGCTGTCTACGCCCGTCTGATCCACCTTGCTGCATCATATATCTTTCAACTCACTCTGCCGGTGCGCGCAGTGCGCTATCGACATGAGGCTCGATGCCTTTTTCAACCTTCCAGCCGCTTTACTCGCTTTGATCGCAGCTCCGGTTCTTGCGCAGCTTCCTTACAACCCTACAACCCTCCTCAACTCACCTGCTGAAGACCGCCTCATCTATGCCTTCAAACCGCTCTCTGGCTCGACCGACACATTCGAGCTTGCATACCTAAACGCATCGTCCTTCTTGCAGGCTTCCACTCTGCAGTTCACAACACTCTCGGCGAGTCTACCGTTCCTCAAAAGCGCTACGCAGCCTTTCGTACCTACAATTGGAAGAGACGGGAATATCACAATATATACTGGTAACTGCTCGTTGGGGCCATCCGGGGCACAGGTATGGAGGTATGCTCCCAATCCAGATCCCGCCAGGCTGGGGAGCTGGTCGCAACTTTCCATAGCACCTCCTGCCAATGTTACGTATGGTGCGCCGAACTTCCTGGTATCTGGCATATCCTTCGCAAGCCAAACTGAGGGAAACGACACCACATCCAGCATCTATATGCTTGGCGGCATGTGTCCGACAAACGATACCACCCCGGAGACATGGCAGTCTGTCGCGAGCTATTCGAACACAATGATATCCGTCGATCCGGAGAACGGGAGTGCCGAAACAGCTTACGGCTTGGATACGGTGTCCAGCCACGAGCCACTGATTGCTCAAGCCGGGTATGCTGTCGCACCCTTGCAAGCGACTTACTCGGACGTCGATAGCGGAGCTCCTATTGAGCAACAAGACTTTGTCATCATTGGTGGCCAGACCGATGTAGCATGGATCAACATGTCGAGAATTGCTTTGTTCTCGCTGCCACAGGAGAGTTTTGCGTACATAGACGTCGATGAACCAGACGGACAGCACACCGATCTTGCCTTGCGGACCGACATTACCGAGATCCAACCCAGATCGGGACATACAGCAGTGTTGTCAGAAGACGGAAGATCAATAGTCGTGTATGGTGGTTGGGTCGGTGACGTTACGAACCCTGCAGAACCCCAGCTCGCTATATTAAAAGTTGGAAGAGGCTATGGGGGTGAAGGCCCATGGCAGTGGGTGGCACCGTCTTCATCTGGGACCGGGCTAGCAGTCAACGCAGGCTTGTATGGCCATGGCGCTACGCTATTAGCAGGAAATGTCATGATGATATCCGGCGGGTTCGGCATATCCGCACCATCTAATACATATCGACGACAGTCCACGCAGATGCAGAACAGACAGACAATTTTTTACAATGTGACTTCGAACTCGTGGATAGACACGTATATTGCACCACCCTCGACTGCATCAGATAAAATCGGCGATGGAGATTCGGGTGGATCAAGCACGTCCAAGAAGGTTGGTATTGGCGCTGGAGTTGGCCTTGTAGCTCTGGCTGCTGTGGTCGTTGGCTTCAGCTATTGGTACATTCGTCGAAGAAAAGCCCTTGAAGAAGAGGCCAAGGAGAAAGATGGTTATCTCCCTGAAACGGCCCAGGACATCCAGCCATATGGAGATGGAGGTCTTGGGAATGAACCAACCTCTGCCTATTACTTCCCTGGACAGGATCCCCGGCACGGCTGGAAGAACAATCAGACGCAGGAAGCCCAGAGAACAGGCCTGTTGGTCGAAATACCAAGTCCCACTCGAGGACTACGGCGCAATCTCGCCAACAGGCCTGTTGCTTATGCAGATGGTCGACTCCCGACTTCTGCAAGTAATATCCACCCGATCGACGAGCTCGATGAGGAAGAAGATGATGGGGAAGCCATGGAAAGAAGGTCTGTGCCAGTACAACCTACTGATGAGGTAGAGAGACCTGAAACGTCCGATCGAATACCTTTCATGGCCGGCAGTCTAAACCCTTTGGGAAGTCACCCAATTCATGAACCGCCGCAGGCTCGACCACCACAACACCGACATACGAACTCGATCACCTCGAATTACACGTCAGCGACCGCGGATTGGTGTCAAGAGATGGACGAGAAAAATGCAGGTATCTGGGTCAGCAGCAAAGATACCAGCTCGTCAAGCAGTTCCGGCGGTCGCATATCGCCTGACAAATCGGAGCGAACAATATCTAACCTCAGCGATAAGAGTTTGCGATCAGAAGTCTCGGCACGCTCAAGCAATGGGGCTTTCGCCATGGGTCGGAATCTCTCTCTTCGATCGTCCACACTTCTCAATTCAATGACAGATCCATTCATGACCCCCCAAACTAGTCCAGTTCATGAATATCCACCAACGCGGCATTCTGGCGTACCGCAGCCGTATATAATCGGTGGGAACGACAGCAAGGAGACTTTTATGACAGCCAAATCAAACTTTGCGGCTCTGCAAGCCGAAGGCCAAGCTCTTCTTGGTGGTCGTCCCGAGCACGATGCAGGTGCATTTCCACCGGACGTCCACGATTATGAAGACGAAGAGTTCGAGACTCGCCGTCGTGAACGCAGTCGTTCCTTTCTTGGCAATGTTCGACGTGCACTCAACCGGACTATCACTCGCACATCGAGTACAGGCCAACGTCCTGCAAGCTGGGTGCATCGCAGCGCATCGGGGTCAAAACGACCTACGACAGCAGACTATGGCGCTGTAGAAGATCGTTCTGACTCCGTATCGCCTGAGAGACGTATCTCTAGGGTTCCCGGCTCTCAACGTTCCGATGCACCTCGTCGCGCAGCCTCGGACGCATCCTTCTGGAAGTCCAAGCGCGGTGCGAAAGACTGGAACTACGATCCAAATACGTCACCAGTAGCCGAAACTATCTTCAAGTGGCGACGCAATAGCGGCGACGACTGGGGTGCTCCTGAAGATGCCCGTGAGAAAGCACGACAAGAGGAGGAAGAATGGAACGTAGAGGATGCAGCTGAGACGCGCGATGTGCAGATGACTTTCACGGTACCCAAGCAGAGGCTCAGAGTTGTCAACAGAACCAGCAAGATGAGTTTGGCTACCACAAGCGATGGTGGTGGCAGCCGACTCGGCGATGGCGATGATCGGTACACTACCGCAGACGACCGGAGCACAATTGCCGACGATCGAAGCGAAGTTGCAGAGGCCATTCGACGGGAAGAGCTCGAAGAGGAGCGGCGCCTCCACCGTCTCGAGAGACAGAGGCTAGAAGAACGACTGCGAAGAGAACGGAGTCGCGTGGAGGAGCTGAGAGCCTTGTTCGAGCGAAAAGAGCTCTGATGTCTTTTGTTTTTGGAAATCTACGAGCTTGAGTCGGCACAGTGATTGATGTTTTATGACTGGTTGGAAACCTCTTTGAGAGTATGGATTTTTGCATGGAGTTTGGTGCATTTAGGCTCAATCTTTTGGGAGTACATACACACGACACGCTGTATGTACACAGGATCCTGGTTTATATAGACATCGATGGCGAGTGAGAGCGGATTTTTATATTTTTGTCGTATATACGTAGATGTAGGCGGTGTTATATCCAAACGTTGGAATATAATTGAGATCATACCCAATCATTGTTCTGTCTTGTCTTTGGAGTGACGTATTGGTGAAGTCTGTTCCTACTCTGCGCCCTTCGTGCCAGCGAGATGCACTTGAAGTGAAGTTTTCAATGCCTCGGCGGAGGACTCCGTCTCTGTCAGTCATGGACGGATTGATAGCTTGATACTCGCGAGCTACCTCCATCTAGGCCTCGGTGTGGATGGGCGGTTGTTGAGTGTGATGTGTATATGTGTATGTATATGTATATAAAGATTGTAGTGGATAGTGGTGGGAGTGATGGTGATTGATTAGCTAACTAGACTTGGATACAGAAGGATGTGTCGTCTTGTGGTATTATTGGGTCCTTATAATGGTTTGATTTTGTGTGTTCTTTCTATGGCGTACATGCTGAGTTGTTGATCTTAGTCTTTTATTGTTATGTTGAATGGCTACTTGATTGGTAGGCCCTAGGAGATTTGGGGTTTGTTTGGGGTAATTGGGATGGTGAATTGATTACTTTTTGGGGGGGTTTGCAGATGGTTGTGCTTTTCATTCTTACACCGGGAACTACATGTGATCTTATTCAGAAACAATGTCGTGGATCTGTTGTTACACCTATCAGCAAGTCTGTCCATTGATGAAAGTGAACAGCAAAACAATTGACATTCCTTGCATCACGTTCTTGAGATACTGTATCTGCCGCTCATGACCAAGCCGCAGACACGGGCTGACTCTGAACGACTCGTGTCAGCCTCGTGGTACATATGTCCCTTGCCTCACACCCCTGCATCATCCTTATCACGTCCGGGAACATCTCCGTTCTCGGCCACTGCGTACAGGAAACAACCACTGTTGGCCCGACCAACCTGCCGCACCAACCCCTGGACATCACGCAGAACGGCCACAAAATCGCACCATACGCGCCGGACACACATACATACACACATATACATATATACCGCTCCTCTCGCCATGTCCTATCCCACAGGACCCAGCACCTGCGATTCCACCACTCCGCTACTCACCCATCGAGCCATGGACGACAACGCCCCCGCTGCCATCGAAGCAGCGCCCACGCGCATCAGTCGCTCCGCAGAATCGCTCGACAAAGCACCACTCCGCGTCGGCCGCGAGGAACTCGCAGACAGCACGCCACCGCACGAGAGCTACGAAGGCAGACACCGCTTCGACGCCGACGCAACATGGACCGCAGCCGAGGAGGCGCGCGTAGTGTGGAAGACGGACCTGCGGCTGCTGACCTGGCTGTGTGTGATGATGTTCGGACTGCAGCTCGATCGTGGCAACTTGTCGAATGCGGTGGCGGATAACCTGCTCGACGACCTGGGCTTGACGACGGACGACTATAATAACGGCACTACTATCCAGCTGCTGTGCTTCCTGGCGGCTGAGTTCCCGGTGCAGTTTGCGACGAAGCGGTATGGGTTTCGGCAGGTGCTGCCTGGGATGATGATGTTGTGGGGGACGGTGTCGTGGGCGCAGGCGTTTATGCATGATCGGACGTCGTTCTATCTTGGTCGTGCGTTCATCGGGTTGTGTGAGGGTGGCTTCATCCCGGGTGTGATTCTGTTCGCGAGCTATTTCTACACGTCCAAGGAGCTGTCGATTCGGCTGGCGGCGTTTTGGTCGTCGCTGAATGTCGCGCGGGTCATTTCGGCGTTGTTGGCGGCGGGCATTCTGCAGATGCGTGGTATCCAGGGGAAACCAGGGTGGTTTTGGCTGTTTCTGCTCGAGGGCCTTGTCACGGTCGTTATTGCGGGTGTGTCCTTTGTGTATTTGCCTGCTGCGCCTACTTCGACCAAGGGTATCATATGGCGTAAGGGGTGGTACACGGAGCGTGAAGAAGTGATTATGGTCAACGTATGTATTTACCCCCTATGACCCCAATATATGACCGTCTCCTGACTGACACGCCCTACCCAGCGCATCCTACGCGACGACAGTGCGAAAGGCCTGACAGCCCTGAAGGAACCTGCCACATTCAGAGACATCCGCGCAGCCTGGGCCGATCCGTCCATGTGGGGCCTCTACTTCATCGGCCTCGTCGCATATATCCCCGCCGGGCCCGTCCAAGGCTATCTTACACTGACGCTCAAACGACTCGGCTTCAGCACCTTCAACTCCAACATGCTCACCGTGCCCTCTGCCTTTCTGCAGATCGTCACCATGCTCGGCCTCGCGTACAGCTCCGAGTACTTCAATGAACGCACCCTGCACTGCGTCGTCGGCGAGTTCTGGATCATGCCGCTGCTCATCGCCCTGCTCCGCCTGCCCGATGGCGGTCATGAATGGGCGCGCTTCTCGCTCATCACCCTCGTATCCGGATATCCGTATTTTCACCCGATTGTGTCGTCGTGGATCTCCGCGAATACGTTCGACGTCAAGAAGCGCGCTATCACAGCTGCGACGTACAACGTGATTGTGCAAGTGGGCTCGCTGATCAGCTCGCAGATCTACCGCAAGTGGGATGCCCCGTACTACAAGACGGGCAACACGGTGCTGGTGTCCATTTGCGCTCTGTCGGTCGTCTCGTTTGTCGTGCAGCGCCAGGTCTTGGTCTATCTGAATGCGCGAAAGGAGAAGGCGTGGGCGGCGATGAGCGTCGAGGAACAGGTTGTGTATCAATCGGATGTGTTGGCGCGTGAGAGGGATGGGAATAGGAGGTTGGACTTTCGGTTCGAGCTGTAGAGTCACGTGTCTCTTGTGCGTCTGGACCTGGTGTTTGCTAAATTCCCACCTTTTGTGTCTTGCTCGATTTCCATTGCCCTTGTGTTTGACGGAAGACGACAAAGCTCCGTATCATAGATGCCATCCTCACGCGCGATCGCGCAATCTTGGTAGTCTACATCTAGGGCACTCGGTCGAGATGCTCCGGATTTAGCTTGTCCTCCGAACAGATCCAGAGGTGGCAGAAGCGAGCACGATAGCTGCATATAGATTGGCCCCATGATATGCTACCATCGTCCCAGCTGACAGGCAAAGGCAGAGACTCCGGCATAGTAACAAGTACAGATTAGAACGTGGCGTGTGCTGGGATTGGGGTAAAGTAAGGAAGACGGGCTATGGCGACGTGCAGAGACTGGCCTAGTCCACTGGGCGTTTAATCGTCAGCAGAACTATGTTAGTACAAAGTTGACGTACATATGCTATAGCACCGTCTTCGCCTGACCTGAGAAGAGCCAGACTTGAGGATCTGTGGTTGGGGACTGTCCGTGAGATATATGTACGGTGGTAGTATCAGGACCACGATAGATTGGTGGGGATTGTTCGCTGCGCGACAGGACGATCGAGAGGAATTACGCGGTTGTGGTTTTGCGGTTTGTTGATGAGGAACGATACCATAGCGTCATGGTTGAGTGAGTTATTGTGAATGTATCCGTTTTTCGCGGGGGAGATTACATCCTATTCGCGATTCTAAGTGGTCTTCCGCGACCGGCGTCAAGGTAAGGGTTGAGGATGTCGAGTTTACATATATGTCTGTCTTGTTGTGACCATTTACCTGATACTGGGCTTGATGGCATGATATACCTGGCTCGTGTACGCAGTTCTCTTTTCGAAAAGAAAAAAAAATCCGGATGAGATACCGTCTTGAGCTTCGTATTATTGGAGAACGCAATTGCTTGAGTACTAGGCACGTCTGTATACACGTTTGAGATCCTACTTAGCGTTGGAAGTACCTTTCGTGGATCAGTTAGCGCATCGTGGTGATTTACAGTTCAACTATTTCCGGCGATGGTGATGATGAGGTTTCAGCGTTATCCTACGTTGAGTCTACGACGTGATATCAACTTAAAGCCATGATACTAAACCTGCATGCTATGGGAGATATACATGCGGGTATGTGAACTATATCGCGGTTCGTACCGGCAACGATAGACGCGTACAATCACTATGCGTCCGCTCAACTCTATTCTGGCTGGCAGCGCGAATAGGTAGTGCAAGTCGTGAGCGCGAGTTGCGTATCGTCATTTGCGTCCAGTTATATTGAAGGGAGGAGGCAGACGCGTATATATGCTTGCTAGACGCGACAGCAGAATGTCTGCCCAAAGCGAACCTTGCAATCCCAGGCACGAAGCAGGTAGATTGAAAGGATTATAATGGGCTGAGTAGTTCGCTTTTGATCTCGCGGGAATGTGGAAACTCAACGGATGTATCTGAGTACCCAAGGGTATATGGAGATCGTGGTATCATGGAGGAGAAAAGCTGTCGAGCGGGTGCAGAGATTTTATACGACAGTGCGGATGCCGCTTGTCCGCATTTGCTTAGCGCCGGCGCATGCTGCATGGCCCGTCCCTGCACGTGGAAGGAGAGGACTCAGGCATCTATTTATCCTTATTTTGAAGGTGTTGCAACATCTCACCACCTGCTTACGTGCCTCGCCGCTCGTTTGCATCTCTTACCACGGTGTCGCTCTGAAGATGCCATGGCCAAAGAAAGTGCGCGTCAAGAGCAGCACGCTGCCTCTGATGAGACCCGCGACCTCCTCAATCTTATCGACCACGACAGCGACTCCGGCGAGAGTGACATTATAGCCCAGACGGCCCGAAAGCGGATAGGAGACAGCACGTCCAGCAGCCCGAATCTCACTCCCTCTTTGACTCCATCGCCCACTCCATCGCCTGCCAATGGGCATCCCGCCCCGCCTCGACGACAGTCTTCCTTCGCCCAGCCGCGCTCCCACGGTCCCAGGACCCCAAATAGAGTTCGATTCGACATATCAGAAGACGACGGCCACGCTGGCGACTGGTTGGAAGAGGAAGACTACATGAATAGGCACACTGGCAGAAGGGGCAGCGGTCGCGGCGAGCAGAGGCTACCCCTGCTAACGGGGATTGAAGCACCCAGCGTGACGCTTGCGGACGACATAGAATTCAATCCCGAAGACCTGCTGGAGAGCGCAAGACCAAAAAGCGGCATGAAGAGTGCATTCATGAACATGGCAAACAGTATCATGTAAGCTCGGCCCCTCGATGCTTCGTCCGTCTGCATACGGACAAGAGACATATCTGCGGCACGGCAAGCTAATTCTACTTCAGAGGCGCGGGAATTATAGGGCAGCCATATGCCTTTCGTCAGGCTGGTCTGGTAACGGGAGTGGTGCTCCTGATTGGACTCACCATCATCGTAGACTGGACCATTCGCCTCATTGTCATCAATTCGAAGCTCAGTGGGTCGAACTCTTTCCAGGCGACTGTCCAACACTGCTTTGGAAAACCCGGACTCATTGCGATCTCAGTAGCACAATGGGCTTTGTATGTGAACAGAATAGTATGACATCAACGTTAGCTGACTGTATGACAGCGCTTTTGGCGGCATGATAGCCTTTTGCATCATCGTCGGAGACACGATCCCCCATGTGCTGATCGCACTATTTCCTGGCCTCGAAGACATGTCTTTCTTATGGCTCCTTACAGATAGAAGAGCCGTCATTGTATTATTCATCCTTGGAATCTCCTATCCCCTTTCCTTGTATAGAGATATTGCTAAGGTCGGTTTCTGTATTTTCCATTTTTCCACTAGCAAGACCAACTGACATGCAACAGTTAGCGAAAGCAAGCACATTTGCATTGATAAGCATGATCGTCATTATAATAACAGTCGTAACGCAGGGCTTCCGCGTCCCCTCGGAGTATCGAGGTCAGGTTCGCGGCAGCATTATCATGAACAACGGCGTTTTCCAGGCAATTGGCGTCATTTCCTTTGCATTCGTGTGCCATCACAACTCACTGCTCATCTACGGCTCGCTCCGGAAACCCACGATCGATCGCTTCTCCCGCGTAACGCACTTTTCCACCACAGTCTCCATGCTCGCCTGCCTCACCCTGGCCCTATCGGGATACCTAACCTTTGGCGACGCGACACAGGGCAACGTGCTCAACAACTTTCCGCGCGACAACATCATGGTGAATGTGGCGCGCCTGTGCTTCGGACTCAACATGCTGACGACCCTCCCACTCGAGTGTTTTGTCTGCCGCGAAGTCATGGACAATTACTACTTTCCGGGCGAGAGCTGGCATCCGAACCGCCATCTGATATTCACCACGAGCCTGGTGGTCAGCGCCATGGGGCTGAGCCTGCTGACGTGCGATTTGGGTAGTGTTTTTGAATTGATCGGGGCGACCAGCGCGTGTGCATTGGCATATATCCTGCCGCCGCTGTGTTATATGAAGCTCAGTACGCGGACTTGGAAGACATATGCAGCGGGCGCGTGCGTGGCGTTTGGGACGGCTGTGCTGGGCATCAGTCTGGTGCAAGCGGTCGTGAAAATCATGAGTGACACCGGGGGGCCGCAGACTTGCTAGCGGTGGTGTAGGGTATGGTGGATGTATGTACAGATATGGTCAATTTATGTGACGCGAATGCGTGTTGACGAATGCGGGTCGGCGTTTGGTGAGCAGTAGATGAAGGTGGACAGGATGAAGCACTCTGCTCTCTTGCTCTCTTGCTCTCTTAGGAACATAGCATTTGCAGAGCTTTGCACACGTTCATGTAGACATTCATGTGAAACTTCACGTGCGGTAAGAAGTCGTGATTTTGTTGCTCTACTCTGCGGAGATGACGTCGAAGCATAGGGTTGAAGTACTCTTGATCGTATGACCGGTGTGATCTCCGGACAGACGCGTAACATGCTGGGACGGGACGGGAACTGAGTGAGTGAATGACGATGACGTAGCTGGTATTACGTGCCCCGCAAACCGGATAAAGTTGCAGGGAGTCAGGGTCTAAACAAAGCTAAGCCTAATATGGGAGAGCACGACGATAACGCAGGAGATAATGAAAGCAGCTGTTGATGCTCGCGCGGTGCACAAGTCAGAGAGGGAAGTCGCGCCTGGGGAGAGAGACGACTGACGTCATGTTGGCGCCTCAAGCCTCAGGCGGGGAATCCATAGCTGGCATCCCCGACTCGCGCAACAGGTTTCTGGCCCAATTCACTTGACGCTCTGACTCCTAATTCGCCTTTTTGTATTCTTGTCTTGTCACCCGATCCCCCGTTACACATAAATAGCGCCGTCTCCCCTCATGCGCCGTATAAAGCGGACTTCCAACGACCACTCCTCCACTTCCCACCACTCCTCCCTTACTCCTCCTGATTCTCGAGCTTCACTCCATACAAAAACACCATCTGTTCCAGGCGCCCGCGCTGCCAGACGATACTCGGACCTCCAATCTATACCCCAAGCCGAGCCTGTGCTTGACTTCAGCGCCACGAACAGCACCAGTCACAGCACTTGCCAGCTGACCCCCGAGCCCAACCTCGACGACCTCCCTCACCGCATCGGTCTCCACATCTTCAACCACTTTGGACGACACCACAGCTACGCCGTCCCCGTACGCGCAAAGAGCCTCTCACCACCTGCTATCCTAGGAGACTTTTCAGCAGCAGCCCAGCACTCCCTCTCAGCCCCTGTCAGCGCGCGCTCCACCCCAAGCCCCCTCCTTTATCCGGATACCAACAGCAACACCTCCAAACCGAGTCTATTCAACCGCGTCGTCTCGAATACCTTTGCCCGCTCAAACACTGACCCCCCGCTCGCCACACCCCGCGCCTTGGAATCCTGCAGATCGCGCTCGTTCGGCAGTAGTACGTCGGTCTGCTACAGCCCAATCACCTCCATCTCCCGCGCCTCCTCGTACGACCGTCCAGCCCTGATCCTCCGCCTCGGCCGGCCCTCAAATCCGACCCCGTCCTCCGGCTACTCGACCTGGAACACCTCGCTCTCGTCGCAATTCTTCGGGCCCGTACCGCAGGACGCACAGCTGCGCAAGGACCGCTTGAAACACTCGTCTGTCCGCAAGCTCGGGAGGTCGCAAAAGGCTATCCGCAGACAACTGCAGCGTCAGCGCCAGCCGAAGCCGCCACTACCGGAGCCGATCCCGCTGCTCGAGGAGAAGAAGAAGTCGACGAGGAACTTTGCGAGATTCAAGACTTGCAAGAAGGCTAGACTACCGACTCCGCACGCAGACCGCAAGACACCCACTTCCACACCGACTTCCACTTCCACACCGACTTCCACTTCCACACCTCAAAGCCTAAGCAAAATGACAACAACAACAACAACAACCCACAAAAAACCCTCCCTCCTCTCCCGCCTCACCGCCTCCACCCCACGCCGCTCCCCGCGCAACACCGCAAAGCGCACTACACACCACAACCCATCCGGCACATCAACAACCACAACAACCACCACCACGACAAAAACAACAAAGAAGAAGACCCACGGCACGACTGGAACTGGAACGGCAGTCACACAACACCACCACAAGCGCAAGCCGAGTATGGGCGACAAGGTGTCTGGCGCGCTGACGAAGTTGAAGGGCAGTGTTACGGGGAAGCCGGGGGTTAAGGCGGCGGGGACGAGGCGGATGCGGGGGACGGATGGGCGGGGGGCGAGGGGGTGATGTTGGATGTCATGAGGTGATTGTGGATGTGGTGAGGTGATTGTGGATGTCATGAGGTGTGGATTTGGGGTGCGTAATTGTGCGGGTGGTTATTTGGGTGGTGGATGGGTGTGTTGAGGATGAATGGGTGGATGGGTGGATGGTTGATGTGTTTATGACTTGATGATACCACTATTATTCACTGTTTATTGGTTTCTTACACTCGTGTGCTTGTGTGCTCGTGTGATTGTGTGCGACAGTGCTTCCGTACAGCCATGAAGTGGAAAGGCGCATGGCGGAAAGGGGGATGTGATGTAGTAAGTTAGTAGGTAGGTAGTAAAAAAAACATCCCATCCATCCCATCCATCCCATCCATCCCATCTTATCCAGTTACATATATCCCAGACTCCAGACTAGATGTATCCATCCATTAGATATATATCCCAGCCCAGACCGTCTGCTATATCTCTTCTTCCTCATCGCCCTCGGCCTTGCACCGCACGCACGTGTGTACATGCATGAACGTGTGTATATGTGTGTACATGTATACATGTATACATATCTATACATCTATACTACCACCACCACACCCACACCCACAACCACCACCACCCTCCCAACTCTCCCTCTCTCCCTCCCTCATCCCCTCATCCCCACATCTACAACAACAACAACAACAACAACAACAACACCAACAAAAACACCATACAACCCTCATTTCCGCGTCCGCTTACTGGCCTTACTACTCCTACTCGTCGCACTCAGGACGCTCGCGCTGCGCTTATGTCCTGCTTGTGCAGCCTGTCCTGCCTGTCCTGCCTGCCCTACGCCCTTATCTACTCCCTGCGCGTGCCCGTGCCCCTGTCCCTGCCGCGCGCTGCTTGAATTCGAGGTCATGTCGAGACCGCCACCACCGCCACCGCCACCATTGCCAACGACAGAACTAGGCCGCGTGGTGCCCGCCATGTCCGTGTCGCCGTATGCGTCTTCGTCCTGGTCTTCTTCGTCGTCGTCGGAGTTATCGTTATCGTTGTCTGAATGATTGTTTGGGTTGTGTGAGACGACGTCTGAAGTATCGTCGTCGTCGTCGTCGTCGTCGAGGTCGACGGTGTGATCGTTGTCGTTGTCAGGGTCGGGGTCAGGATCATTGGACGCGTCAGAGCCCGCGGCGTCGTCCATGTCGGGGAGTTCGCTGTCTTCGGCGAGGGTGCGGTCTTGGTCTTGGTCTTGGGTGTCATCTTCGTCGTCGTTGTCGTCCTCATCGTCATCGTCATCGTCGTCGTCGCTGCGACTAGATGCGTTGGCGTCGTCTTTGTTCGCGTCTTCATCTTCATCGTCCTCGTCCTCCTCGTCATCTTCTTCTTCATCCCCTGCTCCGTCCTCGCCGCCCCTCAACCCTGCACCAGCACCAGCACCCGCACCAACACTAGCACCAGCACCAGCACCCGCACTCGCACTACCACCACCATCCCGGATCTCGCTCTCGTCCGCACCCTCAGGCACCTCGCCCTTCTCCCCGGCAACCTCGCGCCGCCTGGCAGCAAGCATATGGGCGACCGTCTTCATCTCGGCATCCTCCTTCTCGCGGGCCTTGCGGGCCTCGAGCAAGCCGGCGACACGCTGCACCAGCCGCTCAAAGGCGGCGACGGTGGGGGCGCTGCACATGAGCGTGGTATCCGGGATGCCGAGCTCGGCGAGGGCGGCCAGGAGCTTGTTGGTCTGGGCCTGGGACTTGGCCTGGCGCAGCTTGGACAGCTTGTCGGAGCGAAAGACGACGCCTGATTGCAGGCGGTCGTGGGTGGAGACGCCGAAGCGGCGCTCTTGGGCGGGGGCGAGGTGGCGGATTGGCTGGTGGTGTGCGGCGGCGGCGGCGGCGCTGCCTTTTTTGTTCGGGTGGGCGGTCGAGGTTGTTGTTGTTGTCGCTGCCGAGGCGAGGGAGTCGCGGTGGTTGTTGGGGGCGCCGTTGGGGTTTGTGAGGTCGGAAGTGTTGATGGAGAGGCGGCCGCCGGCAGAGGTGCCCTGGCGTTTCTTGTTCTTGTCTTGGGCAAAGAGATGCTGGAAGAGGGTGTTGAGGGAGGCAAAGGTCTGGTATTCGCCGGGGGATGCGGTGCTGCGGACGTAGTCGTGCGTGAGGCGGATGTCGTCGCGTTCGGCTTCGAGACGCTCCATGGATGCGCAGATGCGCTGCAGTTCGACGAGGAGGAACTCCTCTTCGACGACGTCTTCTTTGGTGCGGGTCAGGAGTGCGGTGGCCAGGGCTTTGCGGTCGGTTTCGGTCTTGATGTTGTAGTTTGAGAGGGTTTCGTGGAGGGAGAATTCAGCCGGGGTCATGGTGGGTATGGACGTCTTGAGCTTCATGATGACGGCCTGGACGGAATAGAAGCGTGCCTTGAGCTCCTCCATGCTGCGCGTCTTTTTGGGGATTGCAGCGGTGCCAGAGTCATCGGCAGGCTGCTCCGTCGTGGCGGCGGGCTCAAACTCATATCGATCCCAGATGGCCGGCCATCGATAGCTGTAGTCCTTGACCAGCTCAAACAGGTAGTCTGTCTCCTCCTTGCTCCAGTCCTCGCTCTGCAGGTGTGCCTCGTACTGCTCGTCCGTGTATTCGGGCACGTCGACCTGGACGTTGTACTTTGCAAACTCGTAGTCGCTCTGAATCTGGATGGGTCCGTGGATGTCGAGATCCTCCATCATGACGTCGGGTTCGTCCGGGCCAGTCCTGATGATGGGCTGTTTCCGTCTCCAATGCTGCAATATGAGGCCGTCACGACGGGCCGGGTTGTAGAAGGGAGTCTGCGCCCTACGCCGCCCTGTTAGTTGCTGGGAGAGGCTCGAGTGAACAGCTTTGCTCGTTACCACTTCTTTGCCGGGCCAGTGTGCCGGCGCGACTTGTACATGTTCTTCTCATCGTAAATCGCAACGGGGGGCGGGCGCTCGCCCATCAAGGCGACCACCTCACGACTGATTCCAGCTGTTTCGCGACATCCTGTCAGCGAGGTCTTGTCGTGGTCGCGTCTTTGGCAATGGACTTACTCATGCGCTTGCCCGTGAGGCCTGGGGCTTTTGGGCGCTTGGGAGCAGGAGGTTTGGGGGCGCCGGTGGTGGTGGTGGAGGGCAGGCCCATGATGTCCTGCATGTCGCGTCGCGACGCCATGGCTGGTGGGAGCGAAGGTGAGGTAAAGAGAGTGAGATTGGAGATGGAGAGGAAGAGGGGCGATGGGTGTGTTGCAGATTGAAGATTGAAGATTGAAGATTGCGGAGTTGCGGCGGAGGTGCCAGGGCTTGGCGTGGTTGGGTGTATGCGAATAAACAGTCACGGTGGGTATAGGTCATCACGATCATGGAGGAGCACGTGCTGGGACTGGGCATCTGAGGTTCTAGACAAGACGTACGAGCCTGTCCTCTGACAATACATGACCGAGCTCGTTCAGGCAAGTCGACAGCCAGCAGCCAGTTCGGGTGCTGCAAGAGTGCAAGAGTGCAAGAGTGCATACAGACAGGGGACAGGGATCGGCAAGGTGTCGAGTGTCGAGTGTCGAGTGCCGTCCAGACATCCATCACAGTATTCAGCAGCGCAGTATAAAAAGCAAGTCATAAAGAACAAAGAATGACATGTCGACGAGAAGATGACGAGTATTGAGCAGGGCTCAGTGTGGCACGAGTGAGTGCAGTCATCAGCCAGCAGCGATACGAGACTGGGATGCATCTCTCCATCCATCTACACTGATGTCAGGCCGTGTCACGAATACGGTGCGGAGATGCAGATTTGGGTAATTAAATGAATAGGCAGGGTTGTGGGAACGGAGAATTGGGGGGCAGTCCCTCGGACAGCAAGTGTGCAAGTCAGGTCAAGTTGAGTTGTGGACGCCAGGTCAGTGACAGACAGGCTCAGGTTGTATGGAGGTTCCATGTTCAGTGTGTACAGCCATGTAATTAATTAGATGTTTGGGAGAGGATCAAGCTGGAAGGAAGATGGCCAGGAACAGCTAGAGGCAGCTGCAGTCAGTCATCGTAGACGAGCAACTTAGGCCCGATCCGAGGCAGACTGCGTGTGTAGGTGATAGGATAAAGGTAAAAAGGTAAAAAAGGTGTATGAGGTGTCGCGTGCGAGATTGCTTGATGCGGCCGAGTCAACCACTACAAGGCCTCGGGCATGAATTATTGTTGAATGATGCAATAATTCCTTGTGAAAGTCTATCGGCGCTTGTTTTTTCTTCCTGTCTGCTCAACATCCACTTCTGGCCCAGAAACAAGTTTGTCGGAGCATGATAGTTTGCAGATCTTGGAGCGATAATAAGTGACGGCTGGATCCGTGTCAGACATGCTGATAATCAATTGCTTGCGGAAAGTCGGAGTGGTTATTCTTTTTTTGGGGGAGGAGATGCTTGCTCGGATTCGGTTAGGTGGTGGAGTGTGGTGGTGCTTCAACTTCTCTAGTGCGACGCAGGACGCACGACGCACGACGCACAAGAGGACGACAAGGATGCAACAAGGTGCGTCTGCGTGTACGGGCATGTGCATGGGCTTGCCTTCTATCATCATGCTATTCCTATTCTTCGATAACGGAAGAGCAGCTCGATTCAGTGGTCGGTGCAAGTCCGCGCGCGCACGCAACGGAGGCCGGTCTGGCTATTAGTGGGTCAATCAAATGTATCATGTCTAGAGAGTCCAGATGGACAGTATTTTAGTAGATAGCGTTGAGGGTAGCAGATGGTAGTTAAAAGTGCCGAACGAAGCGTTGAGGCAAGCGGTGTGCAAAAAGGCATGGATGGGGTAATCAAGCAGACGGCCTATCACGGCGGTCCCATTGTTTTGGAGGGTAGAGAGGGAACTGGAGTGTCATAGTATCTATCATGGTAGCTGGTTGTAGTAGTAGTAGTAGTAGTAGTAGCAGTAGGAGATGGCCCTAGTGGGTTTCATTAGTCAAGCTCGGTCTCTCGTTTCGTGTGTTTCCGGCCAGATGCAAAAGACAGATGCAGACATGTGCGCGGCAGTTTCCAGCACGGAATGTAGAGATTAAGGACATTGGATGATGGATGAGACAGCCGGAAAAGAAGCAATAGATGGCGCTGGCTGGAGAGAGTTCCGGTGGCTTGTGAGCTTTGTTAGCTTTGGGGGAGGGGGACAGCCAGCCAGCAGCAGGCCGAGACAGGAAAACACCCCCCACTTTCCAGCATTTTGGCTGGATGTCGTGCCCAACTTTAGCTGCCCTAGAGCTGCATTTGGCTGCATTTAGCTGCCCATGAACTGCATTTAGCTGCCTCTTTAGCTGCCTCTTAGCTGCCATGGACGCCGCGTGGAAGCGTCAAGACACCGCCAGCCAAGCCGTCATGCCATCATTCTCTGCCATACACACATCCCACCCGCATACCTTAATACCCACTGCAGTTTGGTTAATTAGTTAGCATGTCCATGTAATACACTGCATGTCCCAGCAGTAGCAGTAGCAGCAGCAGCACCACCACTCACTCCCGCTACCAAAGAAAGTATACCCAGCAGACAATTCACACAATACATCCTGTACCGTTATTGCTATTACCTGCCACCACTACCACCACCTACTCTACTCTACGCCGCCTCGTTTACCCGCGGCCTTTTCCTTCCTTCCTACTTACTACCTACCTATCTATTATCTACATCCGCCCGTCATGCCACTCTACTCCTCCTCTTCACCACGAGTCCATTGCCTTCATCTCAACTCCACCACCACCACCACCACCACGATACTCAATTGCTCCCCCTAATTAGCACTTCCTTCGTTTGCTGCTTGATCCACTCCGCCAATCCCCCCGCTAGCCTGTCCCACCCGTTCGCTCGCAATCACGTACATCCACCCATCCATACTTGCATATATACCCACCCACCCATACCATCATCCACTCTCCTTTCTCCATACACTCGACTTTGCCTCCAACACCTTTGTGTGTGCCATCTATCCCATACTTGGCGTCTGTGCTGCTAGTGGTGGTGGTGGGTGGTGGAAGGCTTTTTTTTTCTTTCTCTCGCATGCATTTGAGCTTGCTCTTGTTGCCTTCTTCACTCGACCATGAAATACGGCGACACTCTCAGACAGCGCTCTCTCCCGGCCTGGGCACACTGTAAGCTTCTTCTCTTCCCCTTCCCTTCGTCCCTCCAATTGCCATGTCTAATCTCTCTTTCCAATTGCCAGATAATGTCGACTATGACGAGATCAAGCGCGTAATCAAAGAGAATACCACTCCTGGCCACGGCAAGGCTGTCTCCATTCCCGGCCACGGCGATCCCGTCGAGCGGCGCTTCGAGGACGAATTGATCGAGCTGTTTGAGCAGGAACAACGCCGTGTTGATTTGTTCGTGAGGACAAAGTCTGGCGAAATTGATCGGAGACTGGGTACGGCAGTCACTCGTTCATTCGTTCCTCGAGAACGCACTGACAAGAATGTAGTTCATCTGGGCCAGCAGATCAGTCGCCTTGCTGGGCGCGAGAAGTCGCTCAGTCGCGCGAGAATCCCGGCCAGGCGCCTCGAGCGCTATGCCAAGTTGGAGGATGACGTACTCAAGTAGCCCACCACCTCCACCCCCAACAAATCCATCCTCAGCTAGCTGACATTGTGTTGCAGAGTCGGCCAAGAGCTAAACGGCCTGTCGAGATACCTCAATGCTCAGCGCACCGCTTTCCGGAAACTGCTAAAAAAATACAGAAAATGGACTGGCAACGACACCCTGCACACCACCGTCAAAGACCTCGTCATGGATCAGCCGGGGAGCTGTTGGAAACTGGATCTGTCGCCCATGTTTGATCGCTACACCGAGCTGCTTCAATTCATACGCAGCGCCTTTGAGCCCTCGGCTACCGCCTCCCTGGCTAGTCGATTCACAAGTGGGAGAGAGACTATTCCTGCGAACACGCTACAGGCCATCGCTTCCATCCAAAATGCTGTCGACGCACACTCGGAGCTGGACTTTGACCTGTCCTTGGCCACCACTCCGTTCGGCCACCGAGGGGGCAAGGCGATCTACTGGGTCAATCCAGAGTCGGCAATAGAGCTGCAGGTTCTGCTGTCGCGCCATATGCGCCTGCTGGTGCCCCAGGCGAAGCTGAGATCCTCGCCCTTTGCTTCAGAACTCTCCTCGCCCATTGACTCGCCCACACGCAGGCAGTCCATCCCAGGTGCCGAAGGCGAGGACAAGGGAGACCATGTCGGCACACTGATTCTCGACAACGAGCGTCGCTATGCCGAGCAAGAGATTGGAAAGACAATCGAGGACAACGAAGGCGTGCCGGGCAGGACGCCAGCAAAAGCTCTGGGCCAAGTCTGTTGGTCCTCTGCCGGCGAGGCTGCCATGGCCGTTGGCCTTAATTCCGGCCATGAGACGGACGCCACTGTTACGATGCCCGCCAAGACCAAGCGCAAGCATCTGCATGACCTCTTGGACGTCTCGAGGCCGTTTAGCCGGCACGCCTCGTCGGCCATGCTGCGCGACTACTACCTTGACGACGACACCACAGACAATGACGCGGCGACCAGTGTCAGAGACTGGCTGTCCCACCACAGCGAAGTGACTCCTATCGCTGCACATTGCGCAAAGAGAACTCGTTTCCTAGGCCTGACCAACAACTCTTCCCGTGCCGTCTGGGCTACCCTGGACCAGGATGTGCACTTTAAGCGGACAGAGATTGCGGATGTGTGTGAGGCGGAATGGTCCAGGAATATGCGGCAGAACAGCGCACGCTTCCCGCATTGTGTGCTGGAAGTGCGCCACGAGGGCTTTGAATCGGCCGAGCTCGTGAACATCCTGGACAACAGCCACCTGGTATGTATGCTTGTGATTGAACGGCCAACAATCATTAACAGTATTTCATAGACGGAGCGTGTTCGTGGCTTTTCGCTCGAGACCCACGCCGTTTGGGAGTGTTGCCAGCCCAAGTCGATGCCGCCTCCTTTCTGGGTGAGTCTCTCATCATGCCCCCCCCCCCCCCCCTTCCTCGTTGCGCGCCCCAAGAATGGTGGCGGCTGACAGCATGCAGATGTCCATTGTCAACAACGCCATCAGCAATGTGCCGGAGGAGGAGCGGCAGCGGCGCCCACGACGACTGGCGAGCTTGACTACTGGCGGCGCCGCAGCAGCAGACATGGCTTCCATATCCGCATCCTCGACCACGGCCACGGACGGGGATCTGACCAACGTGAGCACTCCACGCACGAGCCGAGGCGGCAATACCTCTAACACGTCCGCTCCCGACCAGCTGGAGACGCCGACGCTGAGTGCGTTTAGGAAGAAACGTAGACGAAACCTGCCGCTGCGGAAAGACAGCTTTACCGAACAGTCTGAGATTGATGGTCTGGAGCGGCCGGGGGGGTACTGGAACGAGTACGACCATCCCGAGGAGGGATCGGCCGACGACGACGCATATGTGATATACTTGGATCCCAACGCCTCGAATTTCCCGGGCGAAGAGTACCTGCGAGCAGCGCTTGCGAGGGTCACGGCCTGGCTCGGCGGCGGCGTCGGCGGCAGCAGCAGCGCACAGGCTGGTGAAGATGTCGAGTCACAGCAGCGGCGCCTCCTCCTTTCCTCGCCGACGAGGAGTGACGACGTTGACGATTTCGAGTCGAGCGATGATGAGAGGCCGCTGATGGATGGTGAAGTTTCGTCTCGGAGGCGATCCAACGGCTATTACCACCACTATGGGACCTGGACCAGCAACGACGGTCATGCCGTAGCGACGACGACAGGAGGCCCAAAGAGCATCTATCAAGGCCTGTTCAAGGCATTTACGTCGTCGAATGATGCCGCCGCCACCACCGCCCCTCACAGCCGGCGTTTGGGTAATCATGCAGAACCGTTTATGAGCGTGGAAGCCCGGTACCGCGAACGAGAGCAGCACAAATATCGGCTCTATGTGACCAGTCTGGGCGCTGCAGCCACAATCGTTGCGATCCTCGTCTTCCTCGCCACCACCAGCCGCCACAAGTACCGCGGCGAGGTCGACACGGTGCTCGTTGTCGGGATCCTTGCAAATCTGGCCTTTGCCTTTGGCGGCGTGGGCTACATGATGAGCCGGCAGGACGTGCTGCCCTGGTGGCATCGCGGGCTTGTGGCGGCCGTGTTTGTCGGCGTCTGCGTCGTGGACGGCATGCTGCTCATCTGGCCCTTTACCGCCGTCCCGTGAGGCAGGGGGGAGGCCGTGAGACGTGAGGGGATGCTGGGCGGCGGGAGGGGGATGCTGGGCGACGGGAGGGAGATGCATGACGGCGGGTTCCGTTCTTTGTACACAAGAGGCAGTCTGTCAGATTTGGCTGGGTGGTAATGTGGTTATTGGGGTGTTTTGGGGGGTCAGTGAATATTGGGGTGTTTTGGATAGAGGCCACGTGCGAGCGATCGCTGGTGTAGTATTAGCCTGGAGAGGCAGGGTGGACGTGCTGACTGGATGATGACAGCTGTCAGTCATGACGACGACGCCGACGACCTGGATAGAAGATAACAAGCATGAGAGGCTCACGAGCGGCAGCATGTTGTAATAATAGTAATGATGATGATGGGAAAACACACGTATACGAAACAACTGACTCCTCAACTTCCTACCCCTCTACTCACTCAGCTCATCATCCATCCCTCACCACCTCACCAGCCCGCCGCACCTCCAAGCCCTCCAACGACCCCTCCGCCCTCCAGCCCTCGAGAAACTCGACAAAACTCATCAGCCCGCCCGCCCACATGCCGCCCTTGGCCCGCTCCGCCCGCTCCTCCGCACTCATCTCCTTGTCAAACGCCCCCTCCGAGTTCATATACCCGGGCGTACACCCAGCTATACACGCAAAATGCGCCGCGTCGCGCGCGATCCGGTCCGCCCATGCCGCCGTCGCTTCGGGCGTTGGTTCGATGGTCAGGCCGTCGATTTCGAGTTCCGGCTCCGGTTCCGGTTCCGGGCCCTTGGTCCCTTTCTCAGCCTCAGCCTCACCCTCACCCTTCTCCCCAGCCGCCCTCTTCCCCTTCTTCTTCGCAGCCCCAACAGCCATGCCAACAGCATGCTCAACCAAACACTCAATCACAAACGTAAAGTTCGGGCCCGCGGCCGCTTGCAAGGGCCCCGGGAAGAAGAGGTTCGGAAAGCCGCCTGCCACGACGCCGTGGAGGGTATTTGGCGCGAGCTTCCATGCCTCGTCGAGCGAGATGCCGTGTCGGCCGATTATCGGTGCGCCGAGCCGGGTCGAGGGCGTGCCCATGCCTGTTGCGTTGAAGCCGGTGCTGTGGATTAGGATGTCTGTTTTTATGCTCCTCTCGCCTTGCTGTGCGCCTTCTTCTGCGGGGCTAGACGGAGGAGCAGCAAGGACAAGCCCGTCCGCCTCTGCCCGCACTATCGGCGTCCGCGTCACGTCTATGATCTCGACGTTATCCCGATTAAACACATCGAGGTACTCGTCGTGAAAACACGGCCGCTTGCACCACCCGGGATACCACGCCTTGAGCACCTCCGCCGTGCCCGGATCCCGCACCACACTATCCACACGCGCGCGTATCCGCTCCGAACGCACAAAGTCGAGCTCGTGCATCTCCGCGATATGCGCCTGCAGCGTCTCCATATTCACGCCGTCGAATTTCGAGCTCGGCGTGCCGAGCAGCGCCGCATAGGACGGGAAGCGCGTCCAGCCGTCGTTGACGAGATTGACTTCCGGTGGGGGGTGGATTTTGTTCATGAACGCCGCGAAGTTGGCCTGTCGGGCGCGCTGCCAGCCTGGACTTGTCGCTACGTCGCGGGTGAATGTGGATGGGGAAAGGGCGTGGTTATCGCGGACGTCGATGGCAGAGGGCGTGCGCTGGAGGACGGTAAGCTGGGCGGCGTAGCGGGCGAGGAAGGGGATGCATTGGATTGCCGTGGCGCCCGTGCCGATTATCGTTACGCGTTTGGATGCGAGGGAGGTGAGGCTTGGGTTGGTGGGTGAGCCGCCTGTGATGTCGTAGGCCCAGCGGGAGGTGTGGAAGGAGGGGTTTGTGAAGGATGAGAGGTTGGGTATAAGGGGCAGTTTGGGCGCGTGCAGGATCCCTGGCGCGACGAGGGCGATGGTAGCAGTTATACTGAACTTCTTCGCGGAGCTACTCTCCTCATCCTCATCCCCGTCGCTCCGCACCCGCTCTACATCAACACCCCACACCCCCTCCTCCTCCCTCCACCTCATCCCCCGCACACACACCCCAAACACCGCCCTGCTCCGCAGCCCATACCGCGCCACAAGCAGCTCCACATACCCCCTCACCTCCTCCCCGCCCACGTACCGCTCGCGCGGCACATACCCCGTCTCCTCCAGCAGGGGGAGGTAGATGGACGCTTCGGTGTCGCAGCGGAGCCCCGGGTACCGGTTCCAGTACCAGGTTCCGCCGAAGCTGCCCGCGGCGTCGAGGATGAGGAAGGAGGTTGCGGGGAGGGCGGATTTGAGGAGGTGGATTGCGGTGAGGATGCCGGCGAGGCCGGCGCCGATTATGAGGATGGGTGTGTGGGTTTTGGGGGAGAGGGGGGGTGGTTGGGTGGTGGTTTGGGTGGGAGGTGGAGAGGGGGCCCAGGGGTCGGTGGTGTGGAGGGAGGGGATGTATTGGGAGAAGCCGGTGCGGGTGGTGCGTTTGTTGCGTTCTTGGGCGTAGCGGGCTTGGGTTGCTGTTAGGGGGTCGGTTTGGGGGGTGGTTGTGGTGGTGGTTGAGGGTGCTGTGGGTGTTTCGGCGGCGGTGGTCGTGGTGTTGGTCATGAGCGTCTCGGCGGCGGAGACGCTCGCGGCGGGAATGTCTGGGCCCGCGGGGTCTGCTGCCATGGTTTTCTCTACTTTCTTCAGGCGCGGCGGGGAGCGGGGAATGCTGCTGCGACAGACAACGACGACGACGACGACGACAACAACGAGGAGGAGCAGAAGTGCAACAACGAGGCTCGGTACCGCCAGACCGCGCTGCAGCACATCTATATACATACATACACACCCAAGCCCCACGTCCGTCCAGGGCATGCCTCGCTCGCAAAAGTCTAATTCCCCAAACGTCGACGACATGTCACCGGACATGGACCTCCGTGAGCACAGTGAGCACCCTCCCTCCCGCGCACCGCACACCATCCTCCGTACCCCACCCTCGCATTCGTACCAGCCCGAGGCCGCGTACTAGCACACCAGGCACGTGGACGGGTGCGACTAAATAACCGACCGCCACCTCTGTATCTACCTACTCTACCGTAGTGCAACACCTCGTATAGCCAACAGGCACGAACGAACGAACGAACGAATGTACAAACGAACAAACGAATGAACGAACGAACAAACGCATGAGGCAAGTCCAAGAAACGCGGCTAATTGCGGTCTTGGCCGATCGACGACGAACGTACGACCTCGAGGAGGAGGGAGGGAGGAGGGAGGAGGGAGGGAGGAGGGAGGAGGAGGAGGAGGAGGAGGAGGAGATAAGGAGGCCGGAGGAGGGCGGGGATTGGGCGGGATTGGCGCGCTTGGACCCCCGCGTGCGTTGGTTGCACAGCCTTACGGCCGGCGCCCGGGACGACTCCCGTTCCGAGCCGAAAAGCGCCTCGTTTACACGCTGTGGGGAGTTTCGTATCACTCACTACACGTACACGTACAGTGCTGTGTTACGCGATGCGAACTTTGCGAACATGCGAACCCGAGGGGTCGTGCCGTGCTGCTGATTAGACTTTGGGAATGCTATTACTAGATTCTTGGTAAAGTGCTAATGCGGGTGCTAAGTAATGCCCACTCACTCTCCCACGGATATGTGTACTTCCAGATCCGTCCATCCGTCCATCTGCTGGCTGTCCATCCATCCATCTGCTGGCTGTCCATCCGTCCATCCGTCCGTCTGTCCATCACGCCATCCACACACATCCACGCCTACGCACACACACCATCCACATCGCCAACCCCAACTGCCTCCACCACGCGTCCGTCACGCCCATACCGCAGCAGCTGGTCCGCCCGCGCCGAGCCCCATCCCAGCCGCGCCGGCCCGTCCACGGGATCGCGCATAAACGCCAGCAAATGGTCCTGCATGCTCTCCGCCACCGCGCCCTCGTACTCCGTGCTCGCGCCCGGAAAATCAACATATGTGCCAAACAGCATTGCCAGGTCGGCGTCGTGGTATGCGCCGAGGTAGGGCTTCGGCGAGACGTCGGTGAAGTTGCCTGCGAACTCGACGCGGTATGTCAGGACGTCTGGGCCGGTGGTGGTGGTGGTGGTGCGCGCGACGGTGCTGAGCGCGGCTGGGCAGATGAAGAGGGCGCGGGTGATCTGCTCGTTGAGGGTCTGGTTTGTGGGCGGGAAGGGCCCGAAGATGCCGCCGGTGACGACGCCTTCGTTTGTGGTGGTGCTGTAGACGAGCGGGAGCTTCGAGAAGGCGGCGCGGGCGTAGCGGTCGGCGTAGTCTGCGAAGATGATCTTGTTGTCTTGGACGGGGTAGAAGTTGAGGGTGGGCTGGGTTGGGGCCACGAGGGTGCTGTTGTCCCGGTATGTGCCGATGAAGGCTTCGATGTCGGCGGAGGGGATCTTGCGGAGGCAGTCGAGCTCGGCGGCGGGAGGGCCGGCGCAGTTGAAGTGTGTGGCGACAAAGGTGAAGTTGGACGGCTCGATGGGCACGGTGAGGTTGAGGAATGCGCTGCCGGAGGAGGCGTAGTAGCCTTTGACGATGGGGTCGTCTGCGTAGGCGAAGTTGTGGTAGTCTGTTGCTGCGGCGCCGGCGGATTGGCCCTGCGATGAGTGTCAGTAATTACGTGTGTTACACGGCAATCCATTCCGGGTATGCGCACCCAGAGTGTAATCTTGTCTGCGTCGCCGCCGAATGCTTCGATGTTGTCGCGAACCCACTCCAGTCTGCAGACATGTCAGCATGTGGTTCATGTCGAGCAGCAGTTGTCACTTACGCCATGCGCTGGTCGAGAATACCCAGGTTCTGGTCGTCCAGGCCTGCCGCATTGGGGAAGCCGAAAATGTTCAGTCGATAGCTACAGGCCGGCAGACAGGCAATCAGTTTATACTCCTCCTGCATGAAACCAGGCCGCACTCACTTGATCGTCACGACAATATGCGCGCCCGTCCGCTCGACCCAGTGGTGCGGCAGCTGGTACGGGATATTGACCCCTCCCGTCAGAAACGACCCCCCGGTCATGAACATCACAACCGGCAGCTTCTCCGGCCGTCCAGTCGGCGTCCACACAGCCAGATGCAGGCAGTCCTCCGACGTCTCCCCCGCAGACTCGCCCGCCGTGCTGTTCTGGCCGTCCGTGTAGATCAGCCAGCCCGGCACATCCTGGTTGAAGACGGACGGCGGCCTGCTCACGAACTGCGGACAGGACAGCGGGAACTGCGTCGCGTCATACGTGGTGCTACTGTTGGCTTCAGGTTTCGTCGGTGGCAGCCAGCGTCTCTCGCCCACCGGTGCGGCCGCGTATGGGATGCTTCTGAACTGCCGCACGTTCGGCGTCGTGCCGTTGATCAGCCCGATATACGTCCCCGACGGCGCCTGCACGACGAGCTCGTTGTCGGTGTGTTGCTTGTGGCCCAGCGCCGGGACGGCGAGGAGGAGAAGGGGGACGATGGCGCTCCAGGAGAGAATCATGGCGAGTGGACGGCGAGGGGGGAAGCTGGTGAGTCCAGCACACGCTGGACGAGAGGCTGTGGCTACATATTAGAAGAACACAACAGAGGCAGAGCGGCACGGGTGTGTTCGTTTGGGTAATCGATTAGCCAGCAGCCTGCTACCGGATCGTATGATCGACAGTGTATTAACTGTTTATTACGTCGACAAAGCCGTCCAGGGACTCGGGATCCGTCCGTCCCGCAAGCCATCGGGTGCTTCGGCGGGTTAGCGCACGTAGTTCTGGTACCGTGTTGGTGCATGGCAGACTGGGCTTGACACGTGATGATGCTGATATCATGGCACATGATGGCGGGCAGGGCATCGACGTCTTCTTTTGTTTTGCAAGCTCATGGGGAGTGAATATAGGGCGAAGAGTCTTCGTTTGGGCTTGCATGCGTCCGTCGCGTCGAATGATCGGCTGCCAAGACGCATCATGGACGACAATTGGCAGACATGAAGCATGAAACAGCGGGGCTCCCTCGTCTTTGTCTCAACAACATCTACGACAACGACCACCTCACTCCGTTCATCATCACCACATCCATCGTCAACCCGACCGCGACTCACCTTCCCCGATATGTATCCCCGTCCAGATTTTGAGCGAACGGGCCTGCGCTGGCAGTCCTTGAATGGAGACTGGGACTTTCTCTTCGACGACGAGGACGTCGGCCAGAAGGATCGCTGGTTCGATCTGGGTCTGCCCGCCTACGTTGACTTGACGGGCATTGGGGCCTCAAATGACAGTCAGTTCTCCGAAAGCGAGTCCATCACTCGCAAGATCACAGACGGCACGCAGAGCGCCATCGAAGGCAACTTCAAATCGCAAAAGTCCGCCGTCACCAGGAACAGTCTGCAAACGATCAAAGTGCCGTTCGTCTTCCAGTCGCCTGCATCGGGCCTCAACGAGCGCGGCGTCCATGAAGTCATGTGGTATCAGCGCGAAATCACCCCTCCGATCAGCGAGGACGAGATCAAGTCCGGCGACAGGCTCCTGTTGCGCTTCGGCGCCGTCGACTACGACGCCAAGGTCTGGGTAGCTGGCCAGTATGTCGGCGGTCATCGCGGCGGCCATGTCCCGTTCGACCTCGACATCACCGATGCAGTCGCCTCGTCCGACGCGAACGCGCCCGTCCCCATCATCGTGCGTGTCTACGACTCGGCGTACGATCTGACCCAGCCGCGTGGGAAGCAGTACTGGGGTGCCAAACCCGAGAGCATATTCTACACGCCCTCAGGGGGGATCTGGCAGAATGTATGGCTCGAGACCGTCACCTCGTCGAGAATTGCAGACAGCTCCAACGGCACCGTCATCCGCTCCAACGACATTGATAGTGGGAAGCTGCACGCCTCGATCGCTGTCGCCGGTCGCAAGGCGGGGTTCCCCTACCATGTTGAGATTGAGGCATCTCTCGCAGGAGTCCCGGTGTCGAAATCTGAAGCGCTCAAATTGCCGCGTGAGAAGGACAATGTTGAGGGTACATTGAGCCTACGCCTGTCGGGAGAGCAGATCTCCAAGCTACCAGAGACCCTTACCAGCTCAGCCCCGCTTGACGATGCCCGGGCGTGGAAGGATGGCGTTGCTTTGTGGTCGCCAGAGTTTCCATCGCTCTACGACCTGACCATCCGGCTGTTCGATGACTCGGGGGAGACCAAGCTGATTGACGAAGTCAAGACTACCACAGGCATGCGGTCGCTCGACTGGACCAGCGGCAACGGCGCGCTAAACCTGAACGGCAGGCCGTACTTTCAAGCCCTCTGTCTCGACCAGGGATACTGGCCAGACACGTTCATGACACCGCCATCCCCGGAGAGCCTCAAGGCCGATATAGAGCTGGCCAAGGCCATGGGCTTCAACGGCTGCCGCAAGCACCAGAAGGTCGAGGACCCCATCTTCATGTACTGGGCCGACCGTCTGGGCTACCTCGTCTGGGGCGAGATGGCCAACGCATACCAGTTCAGCGCCCAGTACGTCGACCGCTTCAACCAGGAATGGCTCGAGTCGGTCAAGCGCGACATCAACCATCCCAGCATCGTGACCTGGACGCCCGTCAACGAGAGCTGGGGCTACACCGACCTGCAAGCCAACCTCGAGCAAAGAAACCACATCCGCTCCCTCTACTACCAGACAAAGTAAGCACACCCTCCCCTCAGCCCCCCTTATTCTTCTTAACACCCCTCCTCAACAGAACCCTCGACCCATCCCGTCCAATCAACGACAACTGCGGCTGGCAACACGTCCTCACCGACCTCTCCACCTTCCACGACTACTCCGACTCGCCCGCCCTCGCAGAAACATGCTCCTCCCTCGCCGGCATCTTCAGCCCCAAAGCCAACCGCCCCGTCTGGCTCCCCGCCATCCCGCCCCACGACCCAGGCTCCGCCCACGTCCCCGGCGCCCCCATCATCTGCACCGAATTCGGCGGCGTCAACATCGCGCCCGCCAAGGGCGCAGAGGACAAGGAGTGGGGCTACACCACCGCCGCCGACCCCAGCGACCTGCTTGCGCGGATTGAGAAACTCGTCCTTGCTGTTGTCGAGGGCGGGCATTGTTCTGGCTTTGTGTGGACGCAGCTGTGAGTAGGCTTCTGGTCTTGTGATGCGTGGACTGAACTGAACTGAACTGACATTCTTGTGTGTGTGTGTGTGTGCAGGTCGGATATCGAGCAGGAGACGAATGGGCTCTATGCGTTTGATCGGACGCCCAAGTTGCCGGCTGCGGAGGTGAGGGCTGTTATGGAGAGGGCGCTGGGGGTGTTTTATGGGAACTCCAAGGAGGTGGCGTAGGGGTCTCACCGTGGATGCTGTTGGACGGTGTATGAGCGTGCTGTACTGTGTATAGTCTATCAGAGACGCAGATATATAGACTCACCGAACGTTCATGACCACCCGACATAGCTCCTATGCCCATCTAAGTGCACTAGTTGTGGATAGCGTATACCTCTGACAAAGAGAAATCCGGACCACCCGTACACGTGCTATGTCTAAGATATATGCCCGCATGGCACAGAATATCGAAACCCCAAATTCGACCCTCTTCCCTACCCACACAGATATACATCGATATCCACCATCTTCGCCGCCAGAACTAAAGACACAGCAGCACCCAAAACAAACCACACATGATACACTCCTCAAGCCCTCTCATCATCACACGTCTTCACAGTATTTCTATACACACACATATACATACATACACTGCAATCAGGAGCCATGTGGGAGATTCGTCCTCATACGTGCGTCTGGCGCGATGTATATAAGGTTTGTTTAGAAAATGGAGGTTGATGGGCTGAGTTAGGGGCTGGGTGTGGAGGTTTATGTTTGTATCGTCTCCGTCCCCGTGTGCTGTGTGTGGTGTGGTATGGTGCGCGAGGTGTGCGGTGTGGTATGGTGCGTGAGGTGTGGGTTCGAAGGAAGGGGGATATGTGTTGAGGACTGGTTAGGGATGGGGAGAGCGCGATCGAGAGCGAGGGTGGGGATGTGGTGTCTGAGTGGTTGCGTGCGAGGGTACTTAAAGACGCGAGGATTGATGGAGAGGAGTAGGAGGAGAGTGGAGAGCGGATTGGAGGAGTAGGGGGATGTATCCGTGTGTTGGGGATGGGTTAGGGATTGGGGCAAGGTGGTGATGCTGGCTGGTGCTTAGGTTAGGATTGCGAGGGAGGAGGTGCAGTCGATATAGCATCGTGAGCTAAGGGGAGGTTTAGTTTGTGAGGTCGACGCGGCGTGAATTTCATTGCTGCTTTACTTTAAGCAGATGGAGGGTGTGATGGGTTGGGATGCTTGGTCGTAGGTATGCGAGCATGCGTGAGCGTTTAGGAGGGGAGTGAGTTGTGGAATTCATGGTATTCACGTGCGATCCGGCGAAAGGCCGACAAGGCGTTATGATGCTCAGGACTAAGCGAGGTACTGTTGGTCCTCGAGACGGTCATGGGTGGAGTTGAAGCATTGTGTCGGATGACTTCATCCACCTGGATCCGATTAGTGAATCACATGTACCTGACTAAGAAAGTAGGGACCTGGCAGTGTTGATTGGGAGAGTGTCGGGAGGCACACGATAGACACCCAGGGCAGCGACCGGACATAATAAGCGTAAACGAGAACGAAAAGAACAGGAAGCTGTATGATATGTACTCGCTTTGAAGTTGAAATAAAAGACAAGCCTAATCCCTGAAAAGAAATGCTGCAGACAGGGTCCTGCTCTCCGACACCCAAGGGTCTATGATATCTTGCTCAAACCGCATGCATCCCTGGATGTAAGACGCCTTGCCCTGTCTGCTATATGAACTGTTGTTACCTGCGCAGACTCTGGTAAGCCAACGGACCACCGGGTCGATAGAAAACCGGAGCCTTACATCTATCCCATAGAGCAGTCCAGATCCCCTCACAATCCGGTGAGCCAGGGTCAAAGTCGCTGTTGTTCAAAGTACAGCCTGGTAGCCAGCTCGATTGTTGAGTGTAAGAGAGATCCGGATGGTTCACGTAATCCATCTGAAGTCTCCATGCTCTTGACTGCAAAACTTCATCGGCGCCACCTGGTCGTATCAACCGCTCTTCTTTCGGAACTTGGGCTCTCTGCTGACATGCAGACCTTGTTAAGTTTCTAGCGTCCTGTCGTGTCAGGGTGATGTTGTAAGTGCTTGGTCGGCATGACCATCGGGGGTCCGGGTTTGTAGTACACTCGGGGTGGTAGGAGTATTCGATACATCCGCGTGACAGTGTGCCGCCTATCATCATGAGTTTGGTGGTAGGACGAGATAATCCGGGGTCTGGTAGTTACCGTGGCCACCATTCGTACTTGAATGCAGAATCTTGTAAGCCGCCACGCAGCTATCTCCGCCTATCTCAAATCGAGTCCCGTATTTGGTACCGAAGCTGTCGCCTAGGTGCGGATTGCCGATTCCGCCACAGTCCTTTTTCCACGCCAGTTCAAGGACGTGCCGGAGCCCGTATTCATGATCCAGAACCGTGGTGAATCGGGATTCAGGGATGAGGATTGGGAACGTCGTAGGGTCGGACCCGCAGGCGCTTTGGGTGAATAGTTGAAAACGAGGTGACGGGAGACCTGCATTGCAAGGCCCATCAGGGTTGAAGTGCTCCTGTAGACAGTCGGGGTGATAAGTGAAATTGAGTCCGCCTGTCGAGAGAAGACCTCCTACGCCTTGGTAGCATATCCGTGCAAAGACAACAGCATGACCGTGGACGTACCCCTCCCACCGTTCGGACCTGTGAGACGTCAGCAAGCCGAGCCACTGCCATTTCATCGTAAGACTTACATCCACTCATCAGCCTCCGAACACTACTCAGACAAGAATCTCGAGTTAGGAGCACAGGGGTCCCACAGTCCGACCCAGGAAGCACACGAAATGTATGAGCTATGCCCGCAGAGTCTTTCGTGAATTCATCATGGTACATGCGCGTTACGGGCTTGGTGATTTGGACTGCAACATCGGTACAGAATTGTTCTGCATAAGCGCCGAGGCCCTGGACGTCCGGAGATCCCTCGCAGCGTTGCGGAGCATCGCATTGCAGGATTTCAGTCATGTTCGGATTACATCTGCGTTCCATCATGGAGTATGCTGTAGTGTAACAAAGCACACTCATATAAACCGTGAGCTTGAACATCAGGCACGCCATCAGGAGGTTAGCAGTGCTGGTTGCGAAAACGTTGGAACAGTAGAGGGAAACTCCAAGATACTTGGGGTGAAACGAAGTGATATTCGAGGAATTGATCACATTGCATCAAGCTTGGTGCCACTAATTGACTTGGAATGTAGTTTGAGACGCATTTGAGTCTGATATCTGCCAGTTCCTTGACAGGACCGAGTACGGGTGGTTTTGAAACATCATATAGTCCTCTGTTTGTAATGCAGCCGTTCAGCAGCCAGCGAGCACCGGGATTAGGATGACTGAACTCTAGCCAGGATGCTACAATGAGCGCCACTTGCGGTGCCATGAGATAGCAAGGCTGGGCAAAGATATAAGAAACTCCCCTTGCGTCGAGATGCCTCTTTCACTGTGCCACCGCCCAGGAATGCTAGCGTGTGAACGTAGTTGGCCGCTTGCACCTCCAAACTCGAATGGTAGCACAAGGACTTACAAAGTACGATCATATGGTGAGTATATACCGATTGTTATGTCTGTGCGAGTTGTCCTGTGTCGGTTCCTATCGCCTTGCTAGCATGTCCTGGAAATGGTTCAGTCAGCTTCTCCAGTATTGATACCGGCGGAAAAGAGAGGTCTAACTCCAAGTCCGGGTCGATTCAGGTAGTATTTGGCGAAATAGGAATATGAATAGTGTTGTCTTGGGAGTCATTGCCAGAGCGACGAGGTTCTCGAGGTAAATGCTATCCCAAATGAAACGTGAGCCTAGCAATGTCGATGAAGTCAGCGCCATCATCAAAGATAACGATAAATATCACCACATCAGCCACCTTATTACAGCTGCAATCAGTTCTTGGTCGTTGTGGTGTGACAAGTGCTTATAATACCGAAGCAGATATGTGTCAATGTGCGGTCCAAAGTAACCCCTGGTTATGCCTTGACTTACACACTACTTGTTTCTTTAAAGGTAATAAAGATGTAGGTCTTGTCTACTTTTGCGACGCCTTCTGCCTTTCTTAGACTTGCAGCAGCTATTACCTCCTGAAATTTGACTGCAAGAAGAGCAGATGATACTTACATGATGCTCTTCGGGATCGGCCAACAAGGCTCTCTGTCAGGAACATACGCCATGTTATGACTGGTCTTGGTCTTTTCCGCAGCTTCGACCAATCAAGTTGGGCATGGGCGAGAGTTTCAAAATGTGTGAGCGGAGAAAATGTGTGGCATGGCCGCAATTCCTAGTATTCTGGGATCATCCTGGGACATCGAATGCGTCCCTTAATCTTCGCTCATGACGCCGCACTAACGACGCCGCACTAACGATGCCACAATCTTCTATGCCATAACATGATAATGGATCGAGACTTTATTCGATAGTTGTAATCATTGTGATTTGTGGGTACGTCGCCATATAACGCTTCAACACCTAAGATTATAGCGAGCCTGTCCAATGTTAGTGACGCAAGTCAAGATAGTGCCACTTCAAACGAATGACCCAGGTAGTCGGTGCTTGTCAATTTCGAACAACTCATGCGAGGTCCCTCTAACGCTGTCAACCGTAGTATTGGTAAAGTGGTGCAAAATGCCAGGCGATCACACTGACCTTCTGGTCCTGTTGTGATCATACAAGGTCTGTGTAAAGGGTTAGACTTCTCCCGGTACAGAACAAGTCTAAGATACAACACGTTCCTGGGCAGGACTCGTCACAATCGATGGACAGTCCAAGAGACTGGCAGTGTCGCACATACAATTGATGAGCGAACGTTCCATAAAAGTCTGAGGTCGCGTTTTTCCATTTTGAAATAGTTGTGCATTTGGAGCTAAGTCTGTTTCGTGACTAGCGTAGGCAATCCTTGTGGGGCGGGGATGTCCGGTGGGAACACGATTAATTACTCATTACAACAGGCGTCTACCTACTAATTACTTGTCTGCAACGTATGGAATGAAAAATGCTGCTCGGCCACCATCAATCAAGATCTCACGATTCATAATATGAACCATGAGACCCTGCTCTCAAGGACATCTGATGTCCAGTTCTCGCGTTGCCTTGTGTATCGTCGCATATGGATATTCTCAGTCTGCGATTCGATGAATTATGTCTCAATTCCGTAGCGTCGATATCTGCTTACGTGTGCTTATGGAGAAGTCGATCTTCGCTGTCTATTATAACATGGCCCAGATCTATTGGCATACAGCCTTGGCGTGGAAAACTGCTGGCCTCGAAAGCATCAGCCGAGCAAGGAGAGGCTGATCATACGAGGGATTAAAATACCCCTCGTATTTAAGATGACGTGACAATCTATGGTACGCCAGATACTTCTATAACGTTCATCTTCCACAGCTCGACGCGAGTATCACCACTGACAATGGCGGTCACTGAAATTGTTGCTGATGCTTGGGGCAAGACTGGATCTGGTTATGCTAACGTCACGGAGAAAACCACTGCCAAGGCTGCACTGCGGCTCATACAAGAGCTCGAAACCCTCAAGCCTTTGTCCATTGCGAACGGCATTGTACTCGACAACGGATGTGGAACAGGAGCCACCGCCATGGCAGTCCGATATCAATCAGCAGATATCCCAATATTGGCCACCGATATCAGTCCTGGCATGCTCGACATCCTTGACAAGAGAGAAATTCCTGGAATCCGTACCCGCGTCGCCGACGCGCTCGATCTCAGCGTTTTGGAAGAAGATGGTGTCGACAATCATTTCAGCCATGTGCTGAGTACATTCATGATCCAATTCACACCGGATGCCACGAAGGCTGTAGCAGAGATGTATCGCGTCTTACAGCCTGGAGGAGCTTTTGGTCTTGCGACATGGATTGAGGTGGAAATCGTTACCAAAATCAATGAGGCAGGCAAAGCACTCGAGCCTCAGTGGAAAGCCCCTAACATGTTTGCTTCGAATTGGCCCACGACCGTTTCTGAGGTCCAAGTAAAAATGGAAGAGCTTGGATTCGTCGACATCCATACGAACGTGACTCGCGCTGACCTGGACTCTCCGTTGGAACTCTTACTCGATTACACATATAACGGAAACCACCCGAGTGCTGTTGAGCAGATCAGGTATTGGGAGGAGCAAGGCAGACTGAAGGATTTCAAGGCCGTGTATGAGAGAAGTTTAGGAAACCTGTACGCAAAGGGACACAGATTGTCACTTCGATATATGCTCACTACCGCACGAAAGCCCTAGTAAGCACTAAGATAGTCCAAGAATCTTCATACTGCTACTCTGACGACGAGATCTACAATGACAGAGCGTGCTTACTACGAAGCCATAAGAGAGAACGACTTGCACTTCTTCTTTCTGGCCGGAGCTTAAAGTTCCACGACCAGCTTTGTTGCACTAACACCCGCTTTGCACTTCTGTAGTGCCTCATCAATAGACTCCAATCCCACACCGACGACACTCGGAGGAGGTAAGCATTGCAGCTTCCCAGATTCCAATGCCCCTGTAACATAATCCTGCCAAACAGGCGTTGCGATATCATTGACTGCAAAGATCATTCCAGCCTCCACGTCTTTCGGGATGTTCGGCGGCGGCGGATGAACACATGCCAAATGTCCTCCACCTAGTTTCTCCAGAATGACCAGGTCATCTTTGTACGTCTCGAATGTAGATACGGCGTCGAATATTCCAATAAAGGATTCGGGAGACCCCTTGACAGCTGCAACGACATCTTCTACGAATGACCCATCATGATAATCGAAGACGTCTTTAGCACCGCATGATCGGCATAATTCAAAGTTCTTCTTGCTAGCGATAGCTATGACTCGCACTCCTGCTGCATTGGCAAGCTGAGTTGTCATGCTCCCAACAGATGATGAGCCGCCGTAGACAACAAGGGTTTTGGTCATAGGTTTCGCAGTCAACGATGGATACGGGAGTCGTAGCGCCGGTGTTTGTATACCTGGCATAGCAAATCCAGGCTTATCGAGCGAAAGGGCGCAGACCGCTGCTTCAAGGGCGAAAGGTACGACGACGCCAGATGTGAACGAGATTTGTGGCGGCAGAATGGCTGCTTTGGTGGCCAGGACGATACAGTACTGGGCGTATGCTCCGTCTTGAGGACGACCGGTCACCAGGCTGACTGCATGGCTATGCGGAACTTGTCAGTCGTTGTGCTATCCGAAAGAGAAGTCCTTGTGGAAAGAGGAATGACTTTACCCAATGACACGATCTCCCCTCTTGAAGCGACCTTGAGCTTCGGAGCCGACTTGATGGACAACACCCGCCACATCGCATCCGAAAATTGTAGGCCACTGCTGGACAAAAACGCCAGAGTCTTGCATATGGCAGTCTAAGGGGTTGATAGCAACAGCGTGGTTATGAATCACAAGCTCGTTCGAGCCGGCAATAGGCATTGGCGCATCCGACACTGACAGAGGAGCTCCAGCTTTCTTGAGCCATGCAGCTTTGTTGGTTGTCATCTTGAAAGGTATTATGGAATATTGGACCGATTCGAGAGGTTTGGCGTAAGACTGAGTGGAGGACTATAACATTGTGCATTATGCATAGGATACAAGGCCATATATATGCCTCGATCTTCATTAGTGAGCTCCTAAGCTACAATCCCGGTATTTGGAAATCTGATATCGAAGTCTGTCTTGTTAGCTGCCTGTGTACGGAATTCAAGTATGGGAATCCAAAATCCTTGCTTACGTTCCCGCTACTGAACAATCAGCCGCGGTAGAACTAACCTTGAATAGGAAAGTAGTGCGACACCACGTAAAGTGGTCAGTCATCAAACTCAGTCGTCACTGACATCTTCCCACTCACCGATGCCTCCTTTATCCAAAACTGTCGATTATCTGCAATACGATGACCAGCATCGGGTGTTGATCTGTACGAAATGTTCATATGCCATCCAGAAAAGCGCAATTGATAGCCATCTGCTTCGGCATAAGATCTATCGTGCTGCGAGGCACGAACTCGTCCGCGCTGCATCACAATTAGACATCTTAGAGCCGGAAGATGTTTCCCTGCCCACGCCTGGCAGTGGTCCCATTGTAGGCTTGTCAATCATCGATGGATACAAATGTGCATCGCCAAGATGTGGAAGCTTGTTCGCCAGCGTCAAACGTATGAGACGTCATTGGACTGAAGATCACAACAATGTACAGGTTCCACAAGAATTCGCCTTGTCCGTGCAGCTGCAGACATTCTTCCGTGGTACCAAGTTGAAGTACTTCCAGGTTGACTCCCTGTCCATGATGAATCCAAAGGAACAAGATTCACCCTCTGGAAGCGCTAGCCGCCCAAAGCTTCCAAACGATGTGAACCTAGATCATATCAATGATTTCCATCATTACAACATTCATACAAGTAACAGTATGCCCGCCGTTTCTTGGGTAAAGGATCTTCCTGCGCAAGCACTATATACACCAATACTGATGAATGGGATGCTTGCCATCGCAGTGGCCCATAAGATACTGATCGAGTCAGACCTGGGCCTCAACACGGAATTAGAGCTCTTTCGATACTACTCCTACTACGTTACCATACAGAACAGACAAGACGACGATACTGACGCAACAAGGATGCAAACCATGAAGAAGCTCAGAGCACTTTGCATGCTTTGCTCCTGGTCCGTCGATACTATTACAGTTCCATCCACGAAACGCATGGTGATGCCGACTGTAGACGTCCTATCTATCATTACGTGTATGGAAGACATGATTGGAGAACCCACGATCTCGAATGCGAAGGCCGGGCACCTGTTTCCTCTCACCGCAATCCTCGAGACCGTGACTTCAATTGAAGATCCTGTATACGCGACTCTCAGCGTTCGAAATGTGGACTGCAATTTTGCAGACTCCCACCCCATCGGATTTTCTACATCAACTCTCAACAAGGTCTCTTCACGTGAAGATATACCTCCGGCCATAGCAAGATCCATTGGCAGTCTTCCAATGCGTATGCGAGAGGTTTTTGGGAAGCCGAGCGAGATCAAGGACGTCTTGGCTTCGCTGTCCGCCATAAATGCACTTGAGGAATGCATAGCCCTCTACTTCACTTGCCAAGGGGAAGATCATCATGTAGCATGGCAGGCTCTGTTATCGTGGATTGGCAGAATGTCTATGCACTTCCGAAACTTGCTCGCCAAAAACAACCCAGCCGCACTGGTTATATTCACGCATTGGTTATTGCTTGTCAGACTGGCAGAAAAACATTACTGGTTTCTCAAAGGGTTGGCTTCGTCATTGTTGGCCGCCGTTGAGGAGCACCTGGGGGCTCTGAGTCCGGCACATCAACTCATTGAGTCCGTGATCACCCTGATTATCACATGAATGGGTAATTGGACATGCACAAATGTCTACTGTGCGTCTGCATAGCATCCATATACAGACCGGGGACATAATACAAAGACTACTAGTAAGGTTCTGCTGAAGATGTCTCCAATGCCGAGGAGTCACTTGGGATGGGAGTCGAGGACAACGAACGCAATACACAACTCATACTAGCCGCGAGGAACCAAGACAAGGATACAGACAAGAACTTGTCAGGCCTTGAAGTGGACACATCCAAGACGGATGATTGCGCCCAAGACTGTAAGTGATCTCATGAAGGACTCTAGGCTTGAATTGATTGTAAAGATACCGGAAAATTCTTGATACTCGAGTCAGAAAGATTTTACAACGCAATAAACACACTTTTCCAGTACAAGAAAAACCAACCCTATAAACACAACGAAACTGTGCAACTAAAATTAGAACCCATATTCTACATCCGTCATGATACGATGCCACAGCTGTCAGCTCTGAGATTCCATTAATCGACATGAATCCTCCACAGCTCTCGATCCGCGCCCGACTTGAAGGAGCTTCTGGTATGCATCATTCCAACATTGTCACTAATCAGCAGATCGCCCTGTTGCCACGAGTGTCGATAGCATACTCTACGATCATGCAGTAGACTTTCCAGGATGTCGCAAGTAGATTGAGGTCCGTTGTCAATTGTGACGATGGTTGGATCGAACCGCGTCTTCTCTTGTGGCCACCGCTCATGGTATTGCAAGCATGGTAGTCCAGTCTCTGGGTGTCTAGTCACAAGCTTGAGTCCCTGCATGACAGTCTGATCGAATGACTTTGTTGACACCGACCACGTCAATCGCTCCAACTGCTCCAGTGAAATCTCAGCTGGGAGATTTTGGAACAGCAACCGCGATGCGGAAAAGAGAGTAAAGCCGGTGTTTTTTGGTGAGGGCGTGACAGCCGTGAAGAATTGAAACTTCGGCGGTTGTGGAACGACTCGCAGAGTTCCGTCAGGTTCTTCCACCTTTTCGGTCTTGAACAAGCCATCGAAGTGGAATGGCATCCATTCTTGCGATAAAACGTTGTTCAATCCTCCACTCTCCGATCCTTTGTCCTTGACCTCAAGCACCAGACCAAATTTCCACTTTTGTGGCTTGCCAATTTCGGACGCTTTATCAACAAAGAGATCCCGGTTTCGTGTTCCATTGAAGCCTCGAACAATCACAGGAGAGTTCTGCTCAGCTAGCTTGCGCAACTTCAGCCCTGGGACATCTTGCATTGATAGCTTGGCACCTGTAGTAGGTCGGATGATGAGGCCACACGGATATTGATGTTCGAACACCACCTTGGCGGTCCCCCAATCGTACAATGGTGACTTTTGGCGGAAATGTGACAGGTGTCCAGCTTCCTCAACCAATTCAAGATCTGGATCTTGCTCAAAGCTATGTCGAGGACCAGCCCGAATCGAGCCATCTACGTTTATAGCAATGCAAGTGTGCCATGGTGTTACTGTAGTCGTCGTCAAGGGAAGTGTGTTGATCGAAATTTTGTCCTCTCCAGTCGACGGATGGATAGAAAGTCGAATGTGCTGGGGGAAGTTCTCTCGGACAGCTTTGGCAAAGGCCTCACCTCTCCTCAACATAGCCTTTGCGATCTTCTCGATTCCTTTCTTATATCTACTCTTGCTCAAGTTTTCGCCAACCACATGCTGCGTGGCCAGATCTGTCTGTAAGAATTTCAGATACCCGCAATATGTCAATAGCCTGTTCTCATCTTCTTTCAACGACTCCGGTTTCAAGTTCTCCCAGGCCGGACGGCCGAACTTGTTCATTAAAGCCAAGCGGACACTTGACGCTGTTGCTTGATATGACATCTCGTCCATGTCCTCTTCTAGTATGTCCATGCCCAAGAGATCCTTCAGTCGAGCAAATTCGATGTTGGTGTACCCGCGACTTGCAGCGATGGCTCTCAAGTGCTGCCCATATGACCACACAGTCTTGTCTGGTACTCCCAACAGATCTATGGTCGATTAGCGATGGTATATTATGACAGTAGTATATCCTACTTACCATTGTAGACAAGACCATCAGACACTATGGAAAGCTTTGCGCCAGGCTCGTGGATATCGGCAATGGCATCACACATCCCATTGAGATGAGCCAGAGCAAGCTCCTCTCCTTTATCTGGAAGAACACCCAAAACTTTGCTCTCACTGTTGGGGGACTTGAATGGAAATGCCGGAAGTGCGAGAGCGATAGGTTTGTTGTGTTTGATGTATCGATATATGATGGATAAGAATGTCAAAGCTCCTTCATCGCTCCTATCTTCCACGTTCGAAGAAAGCGGGCATCTATACCGATAGATGATATCGAGGATTGCTTTTGCTTTGGAGAAGAGGTCATCGGAAAAGGTACCTGTCTGCGGACTTGGCGAGTCCTGTACAGCTAATTCTGAACTGATGAGACCCGGCATGTTGATATTGTCGTTGTTGAGATAGGACGAGAGATTTGTTCGAAACATCGCCATCAATCTCTGATGCACTCTTAATATATGCCATCTTCATCGAAGCAGTCGCAACCTGCGGCCGTATCCCATCTCTTGCAGACTTTTCGTGCCCCTCTGGCATGCCCCTCTCGCCGCGTCAAAGTTTCATCGCCCTGGTGGCCAAGGTGGGCTCCTTCAACCATGCCACCTTCTTTGTTCAGGCATTACGCCGACCATTGCGTGCCCCCATGAGATATCGGGACATCGGAATATCCAATCCGGAGACTTTCTGAAAGCGACTTTGAAGGCTTCGTCCTCTCACGACGCCATTAGAACGTCTACGAGTCCGGAAATAATTGGTCTACGATTCAGGCAGGATCCTTGACTCAGGCAGAAATCTTGACTCAGCATTGCCGGTTTTGTCTGAGTCGTCGAATGTGGATAGGCTGGACGAAACGGGCCGTATATGGTCGCCCGGCACGGGACGTTCGCACGCCTTCATCCATGGATCATATTCGTCTAGCGTCGCTCCTTCTGTCTGTCCCTGTCACGCCACACAGTAAAGGTGATATCATCATGAATTCAGGACTATTCTTGGAATGAATCGATGTTCGAAAAAGTGGCTTGGTGTACACCAACTGAGCCACTTAAAATGAGCTCGATACTCGGTTTCGAACGCCACTGTTGACCTCCCGGGATCAGGGATTTATCGCTGAAACGTTGTAGACACTATAATCTATCACTATTTGGCTCTTCTAGCAATTCTTCGTGCAATGAATTTGCTCAATACGAACAGTCTATGTGGGCATTCTTACCCCCACGAGATATAGGGGCATGATAGAATAACACCCACCTTCTCCAAGTGCGACCATCCAAGAAGGTCGACGAGCTTATCTGTACTACGAGTGTCATTAGAGCTTGAGAAGCCTCTACCCAGTGTGTCTGATGGTAGTTCAATCTATGATGCTTGGCGATCAGTGATTGCGCCGAACATACGAACTTCCTCTCGACCGAGATAAAATGAAATATTCAAAGCCACTCCACGCAATAATAACGGGTCCCAGAAGGTTGAAGGCTAAGCTAACCTTTGATTTTGTAGCAGTGCTCCAGCTCTCGGAAGTTACCGATGCACGACCAGACATGTTGAGCCGTGCGTCGGTACATTATTCAACCAGATGAACCTAGAAAACATGGAGGGGCGGTAGTGTCCGCAGCCTTCATCCCAGTACCGCCCATGATTCGATATCGTCATAATGTGCAAGCCTTGAGCGCCTGAAACTCGGTCCTTGGCGTCATGGCGTCTCCTCTCACGATTCGAGCCACAGAGCGAAGCTGTGGAGTGGCAACCTGCAGCCCTATCCCTCGGCAAGCATCTTGATAGCCGGAATTTGCATTGAGGGCCCACCTGAAACGTGAACATTACGTGCATTAGCCTGTACTATTACCTGTATGAGGTGCGATCCGTCCCTCTTGGATGCCATAATGCCCCACACAAACGGCTAACGGCCGACAGCCTTGATCAGGAAGCTGACGCTGACGTAGAGTGGATTTCGTCTGCTGTTGCGCTCATGTTCCTATTGGATCTCTCAGTCGCAAAAGCTATATCAGGTATACCGAGCCCAATAGACTTTGCAAAGCTCCCTTGCTACTCCCCTCGGTCAGTCTGATCAGGGTCTTATCAGGGTCTGGACTTGACGCCCGGGGTGGATCTGGCTCGTGCATATAGGACATGAAGACGTATGAGTGAGACAGTATAGAACTCTCGACCAAATCTTCTTAGTTCTCCGGGTAGCGTGTCTTTAGAGTGGGCTCGTGGCTGTGTTGAAGCAGTACCATATTCGCCGTGTCCCGAGCCCGTGTAGTGTACAACATACCATCAGCAACCGGCAAAAAGTAGACGAGGAAGACTCAAACTGGAAAATTCTGATCCTCGTGTCGGTTCTTTCGTAGCAAAAAAATACTCATAAGTAGTAAGGTGCAGGATGTCGTGGCTCATCCAAAGCGCAAAGCACTTGCTCAGTCCCACACCTACAATGACAAGAACAACAACCGAAACAGTCGATATCGTGATCGTAGGAGGTAAGAGAAGTAGCCTCCTACTTGTATCCAGTATGTGCTAACACACGAAACAGGCGGCCCAACAGGTCTCCTCTCTGCCTTCCTCGCACGTCAGCTCGGTCTCAGCATCGCCGTCCTCGACTCTAAAGATAGCACACTCACAGTCGGACGCGCAGACGCCCTCAACGCACGCTCACAGCAATATCTCGAAGTCGCCGGTGTCTTAGAAGAGCTCCTGCCCAAAGGCATACGGTGCAACAGTATGTCGACACACCCCTGTCATGTCCCATAGCCAGACTCTAAATCCTCCTCGTAGCAAGCACAATATTTGCCGATGGCGAATTCAAGTCTCGCCAGAGTCACTGGTGGAACAGTCTCACGCATTGCTTCCATAACAACTTCCTCATGGTCGGCCAGCCGGTCGTGGAGGCCGTCCTTGCATCACATCTCGACTTCCCCATCCACTTCTCCGAGCCCGCAGTATCTTTCTCCGAGTCTGACGAAGGTGTAACGGTGCGTACTGCGAAACGGACAGTACAGGCAAAGTACCTCATCGCATCAGACGGCGCGCGATCTGCAGTACGCACAGCGCTGGAAATTCCGTTCGAGGGGACAAAGCCGAATATGACGTGGGCCGTGCTGGACACATTCATAGACACAGACTTCCCGGTCTGCAGTGAGATTATTACGTTCCAACTGGATGGGCAGAGCAGGATATCCTGGATTCCCAGGTATGTCAATGTCTGCACAGAGATGGGTGGGGAGTAGCTTACAAGAAATAGAGAGCGTGGTATGGCACGGTTCTATGTGCTTCACGACGATGAGATCACACAGGAGAAGACTGAAGCATCAATTCGCAAGCACATGGCGCCATATCGTATCGATTTCGTTGAGACGGAGTGGTTTAGCAAGTTCGAAAGTAAACACCCATTGCAGTCCACGCACCACCATCTCTTGAGCATATGCGCTGATACACCGTAGTCAAGGAGCGAATCGCCGAAACATTCGTATCGAAATGCTCCACAGGTCGTATCATCCTCGCTGGTGACGCCGCCCACGTCCAGTAAGTCCCACCTCGATCTTGGACGTCCATTGCTAATGAGCTCTCTGTAGTTCCGTCAACGGTGGCCAAGGCCTGAACACAGGTATTGCTGACGCCTTTTCCCTGATATGGCGCCTCAAGATGTGCCTTTCCCCGAGTACTTCCCCTACAGCCAAAGCCAGGATCTTGCAGAGTTATAATACCGAGCGTCACAGTGTCGCCCAAGAAGTGATAGACATTGCGGCGAAGCTCGTTCGAAAGACGATTACGGAGGCGAAGGACTACGTGGCGGTCATTGAGAAGAACGCTGGATATATAACAGGTATGGGCGTGAATTACGCCGGCATCGGGTCGGCGATGATTAAGGATTCGGAGACCGGGTTGTTTAAGGCTGGAAATCGTATGCCAGACCTCTGGGTCAAGACGGCGGGTAAGGATCATGAGCGCCTGTACTCGAAGTTTTCATATGGGCATTTTGTGATGGTGAGGATAGGTGGAGGAAAGGGTGTGGAGGTGCCGAGTGAGGTAGAGGTTGTTACTGTCGGTCCGTCGAAAGAGCCAGGAGAGAGCGCGCTTTCGGCGTCCTGGGTACGTCAAGAGGATAGATATGTCGTCGTCGTAAGGCCGGACATGTACGTTGGATATGTTGGATCCGAGAGAGAGGGGTTGGAGTACCTGAGAGCATTGTATTAGTACCATATATAGTCGTATATCAAAAAACATCATGATTGCCTCATGTTGGGTTATCTCACCAGTGTAAAAGGCTTCCAATCGTGTATAACTTTCAGAGTGAGCACACCTGCGGCCTGCCCTTCGATAGCTCTGCAACAAAACCCTAGTCACACTGTGTTGGGCAATGGAGATGTTCCATTACTGAGCACCAGTAACTTACTACTATCTTGTCGATCTTCGTGTGCCCTTCTCGGCCCATACAGCCTCCAGCACTGAACGATGAGAATAGCACTACTGGAAGGGATGGGAGGCGTGCGGTCGCGCGGGGTGACGAGGCTGAAGATCCAAAGCATCATAAATCGCCAAGGACTTAGCAAGATGACTAGAAGACGTTGAAACATGTTGTTAGAGGATCGTAGAATTGCCAAAAGTGGATCAGGGACGAGAGGGAAGGCGATGAAGAGAGAGCCAAGCGAGGGTCAAAAATATCAGGAAACTTGTTATGACCCAAAAGTGAAATTCGGAACTAGCAGAAAATAGCTGTCTTAGAAATGTGCCTCACTATATATTTCCACCAACATACTCCTCTCCTCTTACAACCACCTTTCCGCAGCACAAAACTTTCCTCCAACACAACATCACAATGACCTCCATCACACAGCACGAGCATGATGGCTCTCTCGTATGGACATCTTCCAGATATCTCGATAGGTGAAAGTTAAGCTAACGATACACAACAGCCCATCAACACAATCTCTCCGGCGAAAGCCAAATCTTCTCCACCCCAGCATGGTGCCGAGGGCACATGCACCATAACGCAACAACGGCAAGAGGACAAGCCGGACAACCTCACAGGAGAACAAGTCAGTGGGCCCGAGGCCGGCAGTCCTGAGGAGCAGCAGATCGCGTCGCTGGCGATCGAGATGTGGTTGGCGGAGGCGCCGGAGGAGGAGCACTGGTGGGGATTGCAGGATCCCACCACATGGCCGAAAGGCTACAACTCCTGAAGGAATGGAGCCTCGCGTCGTAGCAGGCCGTTGAAAGTTTTGGAGAGAGATTGAGAGGGAGCAATTCTGGCTCGTTTGGTTATGTTGGGATTGGGGAGAGGCTCGGGAATTACCAAGTGGCAATGTATTAGAGTGTAACATTATCACCATCAATGGCTTCATTTCTCTGTTTGCACAGACCTCTGAACTCACCGTGTAGATCTTCATTGTGATAAACTGCTGATATTGACCTTCGTGACCACGCTTTTAATTGTAGCAATCGTAACAATCGAACAATTCCAAATGCTCAGGGGCTCCAAAATGCTCTGTCTTGCGATGTAAATGCCAGATCAGTGGTGGAAGCGACGTCATAGCCTCAAAATACAGCATGCAAATTGCGACAGTTCCATAAAGCCGAAGAATATTGATGCCTTACGAGCTGTGGCGGTGCAGCAACATGATGAAATGCAGGAGGGGAGCGGCCGAGAAGTCTTGGCAAAAGTGAAGGGCCAAAATGCAAAAAAATATGCCCGCCAATGCCTAACCGGTGCAACCACAACCCCCGGATTCAGCCCTAGATATCTGTTAGTTAGAGCCTCGAGGCTGGAAGGACACTCACATTAACCAACTGGACCACTAAACCCAGTTGGCCGATATTCGTTGCAAAAAGATAGGCTATATGTGACTCTTTTTTTAAAATGTGCGATATTCCCTACGTACCTCTCTGTAGTTCCAGGGTCTCCAATGACCTGGCCAATATGGTGATGCTCCTCGCCAATGTACCTCGCCGTCGCCAACGCCAAGACCTGAGCTGGACCCTGATGTGAGCTCTCTTTGGTGTTTCTCTCCCACTGTTTGATCCCTCGCAAACACCGCCCATTATCCACATCTTCATACCTTACCCACTACCAGCATTCTCAACCATAGCCAACAGCAGCAACAATGCTCCTTGTCCAGGCCGCACCAGTCGCCCGTCCTGATGTCCCTCTCCTTACGGTCATACTCCTCTACAGCACCTTCATCTCCCTACTCATGATGTACAGCCTAATGTTTCCGTATCATTATCACCGGACGCTGCGCATACTACGCAAGCTTACACCAAAGGAGATAGCCCGACTGTTACGGACATGTGTAGCCTTTGCCCTCTGGACACTGTGGATATTCATACGCGCCATCCACGTTGAACTTGCGCCTGAAGCTGTAAACAAGCATGCTGTACACCAGCGATGGATGATGACTCGCGCAGAGAGGCCAACAGGAGGACGAGCCCGGAGGACGGGGGCGCGGATCCCGCGACATTGGAGATGACGAACCGTAGATACCTTCTGTGGCCGGTGTCGACAATCAGGAGAGGGAATAGGAGGGCGTGACGAGCCAGAGGGATTTTACTCGAGCTGAGCGTGAGTCCCGCCATATCATTACTAACGCTCCAACGCTTATACAGACTACGTATCTGATAGAGCGTGTGAAGCAGATAAATCCTTGACCACCGATGACTTCTCTCTACCCTTGCCTGGACTCCTATTTCCATGGCTCGCGGCAGCGACGCACCGGCAACCCGCATGAAGAGCTCAGCAATCAAGGGACGGGAATCTTCAATAGCCTTATACTCTGGACTCGCTTGTCAACAAGAGACAGCTCCTTCCGCTAGGTCTGGCGAATGATTGAGCATACGTCCAACACGGCGGGCTGTATGGAAGTATTTCCCGAGAGCTCAGCAAACATCAGTGTATCATCTCTTCCAAGCTCTTCAATTTTGTTATACGTCTCCGGAAGACTCTTACACTGCCATGAAATCAGTCACTTACCTCCTAATTGGTGCTCATGATCACGCTGGAAGACTTCGATGCGCAGCACCCACTGCCACTTCTACTCGGCAGAGAGTCCGATCAACAGCCAGATATCCAACCGTATAAAGGAAGGCCTACTAAATTACCAGGCGCACACGAGGAAGCTCCAGACAATTCGAGGCGTTCAGGCCAACGAGTCATGTACGCGGACGCCGACAGCACCGAAACCACAAGAGCCCTACAGCCACAACCTAGGAAAGACTGCCGAAACCTACATGTTCCATAGCGGCACATAGGCGGGCTCTCAAAGGAGGAGCAGAAAGAACCCAGGAGATCGAAGCCCTCAAATCGCCATGCAGCATCCGCCTCAGAGGAAGCGCACAGAAGGAGAGCCATAACGACATGAAAGCGCAAGACTCGTCTGTCTGCCCAACCTACTAGGTAGCCTTCAAGATCCTTGAGCAGGGTAAGTGTAGCCTCCTACTCAGATCTGGCCATTCCTACCCGACAGCAACCTACTGACATATTTTCACATTCACAGTAGGCACGACGCATACTTACTCACACAAGCAAGCACACTCGAGCACGGCACCTACCTGCCTACCTTCCTTCTCACCTACCTCCGCACAACGACCGAATAAGATTCTCAAGCGCAAGCAAGAGAGGAATGAACGGTCTGACTACACTACATCGTAGGTAGGTAGACAAGACCGATTCATCCGTGGCTGAATGGCAGAGATTGGAGTACTGAAGAATTAGCAGCGCGGGATCTATAATGGCTGGGATAAGCCTGGACGGGGTGCATAAGGGGCTAGGGGGATGCATGGACATCGTTTGGCACGAGTACAAACAGGGCTTCTGGGCGAGTAGTTTATCAGGCCAGACTATGATGGCCTTTCGGTTGTGTTCTTGGCTTCAGGGGGCGGGACTGGGCACTTGAATGTTTATGCCAGCGGTGTCAAAGCACATCTCAGCCTTTCTGATTCTGTTCGTCTTGTCGGGTGGCTCATCTGCTCTGCTGGCTCATCTGATTGTGTGTGGGCCGTGACGCCCGTTCCCAAGCGCTGTATTGCTCGTGCCATGGACTCGGCCATACATGGTTTTGAGCCTGTTAGCTCGGCCATGCGCCTGTCTTTAGACGCTTTGATTCTGGCTCGCCCAGGGTGTAGAGTACTCGTCCAGACTGTATCTTCGGACCCAATAGCCAAAAGCCAAATATCTTCAGTGGTCTGTTTCGATTGTAGCACTCTTTGCCGTAGCCTGAAAATCGTATGTTCACGACCTTCGGGCGTTCCGTGTCGGAGCATGTAGCCTACGCTGCTGCCCCGAGACCTATAGGTTGTGCCCGGCGCCTCATGCATTGATACTTGTATATAGAGGAGTCTTATGAATATAGAGACATCAGTCATTCTGAGACGTTTCCCAGAGACCATGCCCATCCGCACCACCAGATGGCATAAGCATACGTTACGGAGCCTCTGAGCCTTCTGGCGTCCTTGGAACCGTAGCCACTGTCCATACTGCCAGACGTGTGAGAGTCCGTTTGGATAGCGTAGTGCTACTTGTGTCCATCTCCCGTAGGTGTGCCATGGGCCATAGTTACGGTATTCATGGAGTAATAAGACCTCAAAGTATGGTAGCCCACCGTTTGAGCTCAGGCTCTCTGTGGCCTTGCCAGAAGGCCTCACCAGTCCCCCCAGGGGGCTATCATGACTGGTTCCGTGGATTGGAGACGTTGTCCCAATTAGGACGTCCGTTCTTGTCCTTGACTGAGCCTTTATTGTAGTGTATCCCCCATATAATGACGCTGTACGCTCTCCCACAGGTGCTGTGAGCTTCACCGTGATCCACACAGCCTGGCCACAGTCATAAACTACGCCCAGGACTCATTAGAGTCGTTGCACGGCTTCTACAACAATCGCAAAGCACGTAAGAACCAAGATCTAGACTTTTAAGACGCAAATCTGGCGCCTAGCGCCCAAGATCCACGTTTGAGGGGTCATACAAGTCTTGCCCGGTCCTCATATTTGGAGTCTCCAACGACGACCACAGCAGCACAGCACATCGATAGACCCCCCAAATCTCTCTGTAGCATCTAGAGAGTCATATCTCTGACTTCCTCGCTTTTTGTGACTTCCCGGGCCCTGGAAGGCTGTCTCCCAGGCCCAGCTCCACATCCCAGATCCTACATCTCACCCCCGAGGCCCTCACCTTGCCGCCCGGGCAGCCTCAGGCGCCCATATCAGGCACACCAGGGCATCATCTCGTCCTCAGGACCCATTCTGCCGTGCTCCTATTCGTCGAAATCGTCCTCACGTGTAGAGCTAGAGAATGTGGCCCCAGCGTTTAAGCGAGAGGGCCAGAAAAGTATATAAACAGCGTCCCTCTCTCTCTCTTACAACCTTTTTTTCTTCATGTGTAAGGGACCATGAATAGTCTTCGAGCCGGGCCCTCAGTGGTCCGCGCTGGAGTGACTACGATTGACTTATAGAACACGGGGTCAGGTTGCACTTCGGTGCAAAGTCAGGCCTGGCCAACTAACGTGCTCTAGATCAAATGGGGCCTTCACACTCAGTTGGGTTGGCTCCGCATGCTACATCGTCACGAGGATCGCTGAGCTCGAAAGAGCATTGAATCGGATCTCGTGAATGCTTGCAACATTTGGGACATAGTGGGACATATTTTTTTCATTGAATCTTTTGGCCTTTGTGCTGAACTTCAAGGAAGAGTATTTAGCTTCTTCGAATTGGCTTGCGAACTTGTCTCGTGCTGATCCTCTGGTCTACTCACGGACTTGATTCGATACTTGTTGTTGTTATGTGGTGATGATGACAACATTGAATACCACTCAGCCAGGCAGTTCAGTCTTGTAGATCTTGTCATAGTGAAGCCAATTGAAGCCCATGGAAGTTTATCGAAGCCCACCAAGCGGCTGGTGAATCACACGGATTCCTACCAGAGCCATAGCTCGGAGCGTCTCTCGACTGAACGGAGGCACGTTTACACGCACAAGCTCTGCCCTGACAAGACTGAGAACCATAACCATCCTCAGACGGCTTCTCCTGGTGCCAGCCGTACAGCAGTAGAAGAGCCATCACGTCATACCCACACAATTGCCTGTGTATCGTCGTCACGGGCATCAACAAGCGAGAGCCAGCTCGTCGTCGCCGGGCACCGTCTACAAGGGGACTAGTCAGGATGAGGGAAGTGATGCCGTGATTGATCCGCCGACAGTCTGGGAGCCCAACTCGCGACTATAAATTTGACGTCCCCTCTCCCTTTCTCTCCTTCTTCTTCTCATCGTGGGTTCCTCTGTGGACTCCACTGTAGTGTTTCTATGCTCATCGTCATTCAAGGCATGTACGCTGGGGTTGGGCAGGACTGGGCGACCTGCACCTTCCAACCTCAGCTATTATCATGATCGTTGACTTGAGCATTAGATCAACTGGTGCTCGCCGTTGTGTGGTCACCTATGCACTGAAATCCAGCTATTGATGAGCTCGAAAGCTTATTGAAGCTTGTCGCTGGACCCTGGTGCAATATTCTAATCACCCATTTTTCACCGGTGCTTTGGCCTTTGTGCTGAATCCCGGGGGCAAGACAATTTTGTTCCGTGACGTGAACTCCTGTGTTCTGTGCCGTTTGGTTGCTGGTGAAGATTCTGTTTCACCGTCCGGCAAGGGTGTTTCCGTGCTCAATAGGCAACCTTCGTCGATTGCCCAGCCCAGTTCCAAGCTCTTGATGTCTCTACAACCAACCACTTTTTTTTGAGATCCGTCTACACCCACATCCTCAATCAGTTGCACAGCAAAGCAACAAGCCCCCCGGTCTCATCGACACGCACGAGCAAGAACTCAGCGTCATCACAACCCTCACTCCTACCACACCACCACCGCAATCAAATCCTCCTCCTCCTCCGCACGCCCTTGGCAGAATGCCAACTTCGCCCGAAGAAATGCATGCCTTGGCTGTGGCCAGCAAAAGAGAGCTGAACCTTCTCGTAAGTCAAAGCCTTCTCTTTCTAGGTTCAAGCAGCTCATCTAGAGATTCAACCTGCTGACAGGAAGTCAAATAGATGGCGGCATACGTCGACATGATTGCGTCCGGCCCCGCAGCATCTCCTCCTCCCCAAGAATCTCCACCTCTCCGAGCATTCACTCCTTCCGGAGAATCCACTTCTTCTGGAGAATCCACTTCTTCCGGAGAATTCACTCCTTCTCAGGATTCCACTTCTTCCGGAGAATCCACTCCTTCCCAGGAATTCACTCCTTCCCAGGAATCCACTCCTTCCCAGGAATCCACTCCTCCTCAAGAATACCCCCTTCCCCAGGAATCACCTACTCCCCAGGAATCCCTTCCTCGCCAGGGATCCCCTCTTCCCCAAGAAATCCCTCTTCCCCAGGAATCCTCTCCTTCCCCAGCACCCCCGTCGCCACCGGCAGTACCAGCTGCAACAGCATCCCCGACAGCCTCAGCAGCCTCAGCATCCCCAGCAGCTCCAGCAGCTCCAGAAGCTCCAGCAGCTCCAGCGCCACCAGCGCCACCCGCCCCCAAGACCAACGGAGTTTGAGGCGGAGCAATAGCAGATAGGGCATCATCATTCTTATAGCAAATGAAGAATGAAACAAATTTGATGACCGGGGCGTCGATACCTGACGTTATATCTGCTTCTCGTGTGGAATTTGCGTGTTCTGTCGTGATGTGCTTCGTGCTGGGTGATTTTTGTCGTAGCCCGTGATAACTAAAAGTGAGGATCATGAGATTTCGGCAGCATTTACTGCTTACCACGGCCTGTCTCGTGCCACAAAAACTTGATATTCTCGTAGGCAGTATGGCAGACAGTCTAGCCCTGAGGTTGACGGGAGCCATAACGAAAGTGATTCGCGCCCAGATCTCCTCACCTAATTAGTCCAAACACCTGGCTTTTCTAACTCTATTTTTTTTCCGCTACGGATTCGTGCGCATCTAGCATCTCATATGCTTACTGTCGGTACAGTTTACAGCAGTCATACCTGCTGGCGAGGTCTCTCCAGCGTGGCCACAGCCTGCGCGGATGCGTCGGCATCAGCCCTACGAGCCTGAGACCCGACTTGCATGCATCATCAACCAGATTCGCGCCGACACATAGCCTCATATTCCTGCTGCCAGTACAGCAGAAGACGGCTATAATGGCTGGCTAGACTTTCAGAACGACTGCTAGTTACGCCAGTACGCGAAGACTCAGCCTGAAGACCTCGATTTTCCAGACAGTAAATCACGGCTCGTGGTAAGCTCCCTTCCGCCAGCAAGCTGATATTATCGCTGACAGTACAGCAGATAACGGTTATGCATCCTGAGTATGGCAATAGAGGGAAGCACGGCTCCCAATATGTATCGCGTCTCTCCTGCCGCCGCAAGCCAGTCGACGCCGATAGACCACACTCGAGACATCCGGGGATATCAAAGGGCTCGCCAAAAGGGGCCCAAGAGGAGGAGTCCTAGTATCTTGCGGCATCATGACGGCTTAGTCGAGCTCAGGTCTCCCGGTAAGTAGGTCTGGCGTGCTTGAACAACCTGAGAAAGCGGCAGCTCTCACATCAGAAGCAGAAGAATTTACTGGCCTACGCTTCCACATTTTATATCCAACGCGAAGCAAGACTGGTGGATACAAATAGAAGCATCATTTCCGGTTACGGCTAGAAGAGCAAGTGGTAATACTACTGCAGGGAACGAGCTAGGCTTGAATCATAGAGAGCGCAAAGAGGAGGATATACCTTCTTCATAGTCATCCCCTGCAGAGAATGTAGAAGCAGGGCTTGCTTTGCTTCAGGTTTGAAACTCTAGATGTGGTAGCCGGTACGAAAGTAGAACTTTCTGATTAATCTTGAACGGTAGATAGCGATGTGCCTATTGGCACGTCGGCAGTTCGCCTTGAGCGGAAATGCTGGAAATGTGATATGTAGTCCTGAAGTACGACTTTCTTCTTCAATAGTGTCGTTGGCATTGGCCACTCGGCCTGAATCAAATGCTATAGCGGAGTCAAGCGCACTCTTTGATCTCAGGAGGTCAGATATCCACGTGTTCATTGACACATATACAATGTGCAGCTCGTTTTCCCATGCCAGTCTAGATATCTGTCACGGAGATAGAGCATTTTGCTTGCTTCGTAGGCCCACAAGAGTCTGGTATTGCTCTCGACTTGCTTATATCTCCTGTGATAGCCATGACAGGATCAAGGGATTCTTCTGGTTTGCAAAGTCAATCATAGCAAGCATCATCCAGACTACGTTATTAAGAGCCAGCATAAACGCTGCCTAGCCTCTACGGCATTATTGTAGGGGTAACATGCATGCCTCTTCATCCAGAGGTTCAGCAACTACCGATGATGATCCGCGAACGGGCACGGTCCAGCCACCGGCAATACAAATGCGCTCGATCGTCCCTCTTCCTGTGTACTTTCTCCATAGAGCCTTGGTCTAGACGCCAAGGTCCTTTGGGGACGCGTAGGTTTGTCAAATGACTCCTTTGAGGGTCTAATGACGGAGTTCATTGCGGGATTCCTGTTTTTTGTTTTTGCTGTTTTATTGCCGACTCTTCTCCTTTGACTGGAACGCGTCGTTGAACTTGTGCGAGCAAGGGAGACATCCGTGATGTGACTTTCTGTCAGGAGTGCTTATTGCAGATGTCGTAGATAGAAAAAGCTTACTCGCAAATGAGCGCCTCCATTCAATGAGCTGTCTCATATATAGCAAAGCTGATATCATTCCGTATTCATGCCAGAATGTTGCTATCGTTATATTGTGATAATATGGTGATCCCTGGTGTTGATTTCCATGTGGCGAGAATTCCTGCATACCACTGAGCTCCCACGGCCAGGTTCGAGGTCAACGCAACGGAGACATATTGTCCAGAATCTACGCGCAACAACTCAATCACAACGCAGTCGACCTGCCTGCAACTTCTTCTCAAGCTGGCAAGATTCAACGCCTTTTTACGCGAACGTAAAGTATACGCGACGACTGCGACAACACTCGCGCTTGAGAACGACAGCTCAATCACAGCAGGCAATTTACATCCAACTCGATCATTTCCACAATCTTCCCGATCGTCCAGGTCGCCAGGAATCCAGTCCATTGTCTTAGGTACGGCAGGTCTCCGCACATTCAGGGCTGTCTCGAGGCTCTGTGCCCACAGCTGCTCCTACCACTTGCAATGTACTGACATAACCCGGAAGCAGGAGCAACATTGCATTCGATATACAGCGACTCCGAAACGCACTCCCTCTCTCCCTTACGACGATTTTACACTGCAGCCGCTTGGAAGATAGAGACGGCGACATTTGGAGGCATACATATTCAGGTCTGTCCCTTATCTCACGTACGGAGCATCAGCGGACAGCACCAGGCACGACGATCAACACGGTCACCTTGGCAGATTGGCGATCATGGGACGGAAAGCTCCTCACGTTGCGCATACTTGCAGACGAGAGTGACTTTAGTGAGCTCCTGGGAGGACAAGGAGGCGGGCGATATGGTGAAATGGAAAACAGAATGAGTCTTCAAGTTCCAGGAACTTTGTCTTACGGTACGATCTCTGGCAAAGGGAGTGATGCTCTGTGGGCTGCTCTCTGAGCAATATTTCCAGCACGCCCGTAGCTTCAAGCAGAAGTCCAGATTCGGAGTGCAATGTGGGCTGTCCATAATCCTCTCGTGAACTTGCAAGGTGTCTGTCCATGCTCAACTTACGAGAATTGTAACATGTCCATAATCCCCTTACGAGGTTTCTAAGCTCTATTGCCCGGCGTATTGCCCGATTTCCGAATTCTCAGCTCGTTGACTCGGCCAGAGATATCCTGGTGTTTCGCCCCCACGATCGTAAGAATCGCCTGATCCAGTTCCAGTGTCCACGGTATCCGCATAGATCTATTCCAGGGGCATCCGGACAGACTCCTACGACTGGGAATTCCAGGTCTACCCGTCTCGCTGCCTATCACGCTTTACTTTAGCCTACATTGCTCAACGTGGCCCGAGATCTTGCGTTTGTCAGGATTCTAAGCAGACTTTTTCGCCTCAACGAACAGAGCTTCCGATCGTGTCTCCATTTCAACGCCCAGGGGATGATTATATGAGAGCGAAATCTAGGAGCCTCATCTTCTGAGTCATCTGGTAGTCCTCACGATCATCAACCGCAAAGCAACTACGACGGCTATGATCATAAGTTGGACACTAGCAGAACCTCTCAAAAGGTGGAAACTGGTCAAGGATAGTCGTATAGTAGAAGAAAATGCCAGCCCAGCCGTAGCATCGCCTTGAAGTCCCAGCTCATTTCCACTTCTCCCTGCCCTTCACTGAGAGCAAAAGAAGCGGGCCCATTTTGAGACTGTGTTGTCATGCTGTTGGCTCATGGGATCTGGTTGCGAGAATTCCATTTCTCGCCTATTATAGTAGTCATACATGAGAGGAAAAACTCGGTGCAGGCGAAAACACACTAGAACCCATGTCAAGAGCAAAACGAGGTGTCCAGGCACAGAGTCGACCTTGGCCCTTCTCAAAAACTAACCAAAAAACTTAGTGCAGGGGCCACGCGAATCATTTTCTTCACATGGCATCACATGGCCCCTGCACTAAGTCGAAGAACGTGTAGCTTGTTCAACATATACGTAATTATTGGCGTTATTTTGTATACGTGTCCGCGCCGTGAGAGAAAGGCACTTGCAACAAGGCTTGATCACCACGAGCGAGTAGAACGGCGGCTTTTGCGCTGCAATTTCTGCAGCGGTGACGCTTCCAGTAATTGTACCTATCGTGACGAGCAAGAATGGCTGCTCGTCGTACTGGTTGGCTGCACACAGGCTCACTCGAAATAGAATTTGCCATCTTGAGCCCGACGCACGATTTCCACTTTCTCATGATAGGAGTGTCCAGAACTGCTTGTTTCTAATACAAAAGTTTTACCTCATGCGGTTGTATTAGTCGTACTCGTGCGTGAAAGTGCATTAGGCAGAAATGACTACGCGTGTATAACAACATTACGACTCATCGTTACTATTTCTGGTTGTTCCATGGGCGAGATATGTTGAATAGATCTCGTAGTGTCCTGGCTTAGGATATGGCAAAAAATACAGCCTCGACAGCGCAAGGCTGCTTCGCTGAACAAGTCGAGTGATATCAAGTGCAGCAAGTATAATCTTCCTCAAGAACAATGTAGCCTATTACTTAAAGGTGTGGAGGCAGGTTTCAGACTGCTTATACCTGAGGTGGCTATAAAGCATGTCATTTGTTGAGGATGAAATGCTTGCTATGCTCGCTTCGTCCCCAGCTTGGCGATGCAGAATGGGAATCACTCGGTGTAAGCCTCTGAGGTCGAGGAGTCAGAGTTCTGGCGCACACGATCATCCTGGGATACTAATAGATATGATGTCCTTCTGACTCGGTGTTCCGAGCTCCTAGAAGAAAAGATAATCAAAAGGAAGCTACGGTAGCAGCTATCGCACCGGCAGTGCTGTATGCTGACCAGGCTCATATAAGTCCAAAAGAAGGGAACCTTTGCTGAGTCGAACCCGCACCAGAACATGACCAAAAAATAAGCTATTCTCTTTGGTATAGTATGTCATCCTTAGTGCAGGGGGCATGCTAATCTTCTCTGTATCGTTTCAAATTGTCCAAATGTCCGAAGACGAAGTATATCCAGCTTTCGTGAATTATAAATGGTCCTCTTGACCATCCAGCGATATCCAGGCATCTGATTGGACCGCCATAGGGTGCCACACAGTGTCACATGCGCACGGGCGCTAACGAGCTGGCTGGGGTCTTCGATGTCATCGCCGCGCTGTCTGTTGTATTTTGCAACGACTGGATGAGGCTCACATTGACTCATATGACCCAACAGCAAAGCCAGGCTGCATCTCGATGTCTAGATGCGTTCTGGTAAAGAGTACAGATTCCTAGCCACACGTAAGACGAAATAGACCACGACAGATCAAGAAAGGCTTCTGTGCCTCGAAACACCATTGAAGCCGTTCTTGGCCTTTCGTCAAAGTCGATCTCTGGTCCCACCAAGCTGCACCAACGGCATTCGAAGACATGACGAACAGGTACAAGGTGTCGACCTTCGCACCCATCCATGTACGACTAGCAAGCTGACTTTGCCTGCCAATTATAGAACGAGCCGGTGTGATTGTAGAGAGAAATCGCCACGGAAATCATACAGCGCTGAGTTGTTTGGGACGCTCTCGCATTCGTGTTATACTCTGGGCGCGCTGCAATCAATGTCCTGCTCCAGCGAAGAGGACCTTGACCTGTCCAAACGACTAAAATATGGCGCTGGCCACCAGCGTAGGCCTTTATCTCGGGTACAAGGTTGCACAACAGGAGGATTTCTCGAAGAATCTCAAACACATACGGGAGATCATGGTGCCTATGTCTTAATTCGACCATGCATGGTCGTGTGCACTACAAGTAGTCCTGTTTAGAGAACAGGTCTCTTGTATAATGATTCTACAGTGTGATTACTCGCCAGGCTGATGTTTTTAGACAGCTCAGTCGGATGGCCATCGGTGCAGAACTGTTGCGTTGGCATCATGATACCGTTGATCGAGATTGATCATGCTGTTTCAATATTGCTTGACAGCCCAAGAGTTCGGATAGCGGCTCCAGGTCTTCCAAAATGAGTGCTTGTAGTATCATCAATGTAGCCATATGATTATAGTTCAAGTCTTGGTTTACACCAGACCTTTATAGTTGCGTGGGCTCAAAATCGCTGCTCGAAATTGCCATTGGTCCTGAGAAACCACTCAAATCTTCCTGGAATATGCGTGCTGAAGCTGAATCACTCAAAATACCCACCATCTCGATTTGAAGGTGAGATTCGGGGAATTGTGATTCGGGCTGAAAAGGAGAAATGATTGATGAAACCTGGAATCGAACCGGGTCTTACTCGAGTCTTTTCGCAAATAAGTGGGTCGGTCACCGGCTAAACGATCCGAGAGTGTCTGCATTGCTGCGCATTGACCTGCATTGGAGCTCCCATCTGTGCTGGGTGGTCGTTCCCAAACTTTCCCCGGCTGCATTTCCTCCATATTGATGCCTTAAAAACTGCCCAGCCACAGGGGACGTGCACCTCGTCCATGGTAGGAGCTTAGCGTGAGTTCGTATTTCGCGCCCACCATAAAGTAGATAGCAGACTAAGCGTCCTGTCGCGAACTATCTCTTCAGCTGCCCAATAACTTCCGGAACATCTACCCTCTCAGAAGCAGCTGCGAGGACATGGAATCACACATCCAGCGAGAGGCCTCAAGAAAATGCGAGACTTTCTGAAGGGACGTGAATATCTCATCGGCGTCATCGCCATCATTGCCAGCTGCTTAGGAGCAGCCTTGTTGTACTGGTGGTCCAAGCGACTGTCCATCTCAGCGCCAGCGCCCAGGCACAACGTATTCAGGGCAGAAGGAGGCCCCGATGAGGATATCGAACTGGCTGTCTTGGAGAGCAGTGCCGCAGCGGTGGACACAAGTCAGCAGGCAAGTTCTACCCTGACACAAACCCACAAGTATGGTTCGACGGAAATGCCTTCGAATACAGTGATTTCGACAATCTCTTTCCAGCCTGCAGCCATGGCTGCGAGATATTCAAAAGCCAAAGACCAAGCTATGCTGTCTCGATGCTTGCCATTGGGGGACATTCGATAGTCTGGTAAGCAGCTAGGCTACCTGCTCGTCGCCAGCCCCGGGCCAGCAACCAACGTCGCGATAGGTTGACAGTCACGGTACCATCGCCAGTAGCAGCTTGAGTCACTTGTCTAGACCCTCATTCGTTGAGGATTGGTACGAGGAGGGAGACTTATGCGGATCAATTAGGCCAGGAAGCACTGTTTCAACGCACGTCGCTAACGTCGTGTTAGCTTTGATCCGGTTTCTCAAACATTTCTTTCCAAGCTCTTCCTATTCACTCCGGTGCCATCCAGTCCGGCAAGAAAATCAACGCATCCAGGGTGTCGAGAGTATCCGAATCCTGGTCCAGTCCGGGAATAATCCAGTAAGTATATTCTCCTATGTGGCTGTACGAAGTTCTTCGGTCATTCGCAGAACGGTGTGTTATGGGCGATCTTTCCGAATGGCCGCATCATATCTCATGAAGCGGAGATGCCACAAGATACGACACTATCTCGACCTCAACATGCATCCCCAGCTCTTTCTCGAACACCTTCAGCCATATCGTAACATATTACGGGAGTGTGACGGAATTTCTAGGAGCAAAGACCAGAAGGTCATCAGACAGTAGAGGTGTCGAATTTGAAGACTCACGCCGGGCCAACAGTCCATAGATCTTAGATGCCGACTGTCATACGAACAGATAACCTTAACATCGAAAAAGCGAGGCATGATAATAGCGCCACAAGCGGTACATCGAAACATCGTAATCTCTGGCGGTCGGGCGTTCCCATCAATACGAGCCACGTGATAATTACAATCAGGAGCATGAAAGTGGAAAGCGTAAGAGCGAAGTCCACACTCATATCAGAAGTGCGTTATTGCAAGACTCCGTCGCCGAGTTCCGGCTGGAGGAAGACATTGTACTGCAGTAGTGTGCTGCAGCGGGATCAAAGCGAGAGTAACAGTGGTGATGCAATAACGCACCACTAGACTCGAGGCGAATGTAACAATCAGTGGGTATTATAGATATGAAGGATCACAATCGAACGATGACGTCCCTTTACTAAGAGACGACACGCCAGGGGGCACTGGGTGTATGCTCGTCACAATGCCACAGTACAGTGCTGGACCGCGACAGCGTGTTCAGGCTATATTGGGTCGTTTGCGAACGGATACACAATGTGCGAGAAGAACATACCATATGATGTTAGCGAAGCATCAATATGAGGGGCGAATTGAACTTATACCTAGAACGGCACTGAGCCTGGAGGCGCATGGTGAAGGCGACCCGGCCTCTGTGGCCAGAAAACATTCATTCTGAGTATCGATCGAGTGTATTTGGCGAGAGAAAAGACTCCCGCACCTACAAAAGCATGGTCAACCATACGAAGATGATGCCTGCCTTGAATATTGGAGAAACAACAACGCATCGAGAGTATAGTAGCATTGGTAATGCAGGAAAGAAGACTTATATTCTGATGAAGAAGCAATGACTACTGCTCTCATACCGCAAGAGAAGCTGTCAGCCAGTGTCCAATGGTACCAGATGCACTTTTAGACATCTGAAGCTTCTGCCGCAGCTCAGTCAATTTGACACGCGGAATGGTAGCTGCCTCACGGAGAAGTTCCTGAGAGTTGGAGTGTACATCTATATCTAAAATGGTACCATGCTTAACCGACACGGTAACTTGATGGGGCATAGCGCGCGGATTAAGGGCTACACTCTCTGGAACTGTAGAAAGCGTGAATTGGGGCGTTTGGCAATATGTCCAGTCCGGTGTTCGAAGTTCATCGTAGCCCTTCCGCACGTCAGACAAATGCAATTGTTCTTTGCCAATCTGAACATGCTCGAGTCGATCTGCGCCGTACATCTCTGCAAACTGCTGTTGGACCATAGCCGCGAAAATGTCCGTTGAGAGACCGATATTGGTCACTGGCGAGCTCACGCTTTCTACACCACGAGTCTTGATATATGGTTTTACTGGTGAGCGGAGATATCGGGGGATGGCATGCAAATTTGGCGATTGCAGCAAACAGGTGCCATGATGCAACGCCCGCAGCCGTGTCAGCTTGTACGCTGATCCTGAGACTTTCAACGGCCTAGAAAATGCTTGAGAGGCATGCGAATAAGGCGTAGTATGCAGATCGGACGGATCTGATTGATATCCGCTCGATGTCTCCCTTGCTCCTTGGTCAAGTACGATGTCATGACGTTCATTGACCCTGGCACGTTCGATACCTTGCTTTCGGAGCGCTCTTACAACCATTTCAGCGTGTCTGTCTCGGGTGAAGCTTGATGGGGGACATATCACTGTCCAGTTGACGTTCCCTTCGTCATGAAAGACAGTACCCCCGCCGGATCGCCTTCTCACGAGATCGACGTTACCGATATTTGGCGCATCCGTCTCTTCTGGATGGCCGGCGCGACTATCTTGTAACATGCCAAGGTTGACTTCATACCAAGGATTCTGATTTCGACCGATGACAATGCATGGCCGGTTGATGTAGAGAAAAAGGATGGTCGTGTCGGGATGCGACGTTTGCAGTAGATGATGTTCAATGGACAAGTTGAGGTATGGATCAGTCGACGTCGATCGATATGACTGTATGGGGTGCTTTATATCACCAAGTCTTTCGCTGAGGCACGCATAACGTCGTCGGAAGACTCGCTGGAAGATGTTCGACGCTTTATGGATGGCTCGTCGCGCCATGAATGATGGGAGAATGCTGATGCGGTGGTCCCTGCAGAAGTCGTTAGCTAGTCCGTAACGCGCGCTTTCCCTGATCCGTTCCAATCAGTCTTCGTTGCAGAGCTTAACGACACCTCATCCCACGCAGTGCATGCACAGCGTAGAAGGCATCTGATGGCACTAGCCTATTTACAAGACTCTTCCGATACTATCATGCTTGGACTTGGCGTTGACAAAGGTATCTCGGCTCTGGCTTTGCTAGTCTTCGCATGCCGAAGGCAACTTCTCGTGTATTCAATGCAGTGTGCACGAGGCGAAGATCTTCGATGGGCCTATACATTGTATAGAATCTTTCAATGCCCGACATTGAAGGTGTTCGGCTTTCGTAGTGCTTAGTATCGCATTCTCATCGTCAGGTTCTTTCAACTTGTCCTCTGGTTAAAACACGGCTTTTAGAAGGCGTCGAAGATGCATTGAAGTTGAAAGAGGCTACGCCTGGTTGTCGTGCCCACACGATCCGACTGACGCAAGGGGTTGAAGTCGCTTGCTGTCATGTTGTAGATCTGTGGTCCCCGTGTCGATTGGTGGTGGTGGTGATGGCCATCAAGTGCATACTCGGTATCGTGATTGGTCTTAGAAAGAGCTCAGAGAGTATTGTTTGTTGCATTTTAGGCAGTCAACATCATCGGCGCGGTACGGGAAGATAAAAGCTACTAACGTTCGGGACCACGCAGGCTATGGTTTCCAACTCTGCCGCTGTTATTGTTGGTGTCGATGGATGCTGGTTTGGTAGGTTGCCAATGCTGAAGATCTGCTCTACCAATTAAAGCTCGAGCCCGTGGGACCGTTAGTGAGGATGTTCGGTGAGAGTCGAAATTTGGATGTGTCTCTGTTGATCCTTGCCGAATTCAACTTGAGGGTGCGTTGATGAAGATGAAGGTCAACCTTTGGTTGAAAGATGGTGGATATCTGGCTCAGGGATTGTGAGGTAAGGGTCCCAAGCTGTAAAGCTGCAGGATACTAACGTTTTGAACAGACAGGAAGCAGTCTCTCCTGGATGTCCAATCAAAGAAGACCTTGTTGAGGTTTCAATCGGAGCAACTACCGCGAGACCTTGTCTGTGATGATGATGTTCTGTTGAAGTTCTGTAAGATGGACACGGGTCGTTGAAAACGCGGTCTCTCTGAACTTCAGATCGTTGCCTTGATCTTTCCAATGGCGTTGATGGTAAATCTGTAACGCGAAGGGTGGTATCATGAAGAAATTTTGGGCTCATACATGCAGATGATAGTAAGACAGATGTGATTGCTCTGTGGGAAATGTAAGCGCTATGAAGCTATACACCTTTCATTTGCACACCCGCCGACGTTGATATGGATGACCTAAGCGACGCACACGGTAGTCATCAAAAGGTTCGAAAATTTGCTACTCCCTAGCTTCCCTCCCTTTCAGTTCTTCTCCAACAGGTCCTTTCATCACACAACAAAGGAATTACCATCTACAGTGTCGTATCAAAGCCCTATCGCATCAATAATGCTACCTTCCATCTTCTCTTCATCTTCTCCACATTCATCCTGCACATTCCCCCTTCCCCCCTTTCTCCGCTACAATGCAGTCAATCTTCGTAAGACGCAAGTTCAACGCCAGTCCTATCTTCACTGCAACACTATCACACCTATCATGCCTTTCTCCTGGACCTTGATAGGTAAGTCTCCATTAACATCTTACTACAGTGCGATTTTCCACTCTGTTAAGAGGTCCCATCGATCGGTCGTTTGGCTGAAGCGTCTGTTGCTTCAGTTTGAGTCATTTCTGAATAGCGGCCAGAAACATTTATCAACTACTAATCAGGAACAACACAAAACATTGTTATGGTTTCCATCTCAAAGGCACCATACATTCACACTGCTTGCTGCTCGATATCAGCTTTGAGTAGAGACTGGCTGACGGCTGACACTTCAAGTGAGTAAACATCCACAATCATCCAAACCCAAAAATCATAGGTGATGAAACCTTGAAATCGGAGATCTTGTAGATCCCTGACCGCAGAAGAGTGACGCTGGCCCTACACAATATATTAACGCGTCCCACTGCGATAATCACTCCAGTCTGACTTGACATCCCTTCCGCTGCTCCACTTATGACCTACCAACGTAGAGATACTGACATGCCACATCTTTCAAATAGGACTTTGAGTCTAAGACTACCCCCTCGGTAATGACAAGCTTGACTATCCTTCAACTCGCTGTTGGAGAATGACGACAAAACACTGTATCTCTAGGTAAATCCTGAAGGTCACTCGCCAAGAAAATTTTCTATGAGAACTGTAAGCCTTTCTTAATACCCCCAATGGTTCTTTGGTTATGGAATGCTCTGTCATAGTCTGCTATATACGCGTCTCCAGCAATTGGCTTCGTATTACACGTCCGTAAAATACTTCGCTGATCATTCAACTTCAGTACCACGGATTCGGCCCTCTTCTACATTTCGATGTGAAATGCGATGTTCAACAACGTGTGAGCTCTTCTACATGCTCAGAGGGGCTCATTAAAGCAAAAGTTTCCCAGACCCATTGGTATATGACGAGCTCAGAAAGAAAGAATTGAAGCTTCTTAGACACAGTCTCACACTTTTGGTAAGTCCATCACATCCAGCAAAGTCGTTCACCCACCAGCACATTATTTTACACAATCACCATTGCTTGACTCATACTCCTTGACGGCAATGGATCGAAACCGACGGGCTTTTATATCTCGCTCTGGTCTCGATACAAGGCCAAGATTGATGAGATCTCTTGCCGTTGGACTTATTTTCCGATTCTGGGGTTCCAGGGTCGAGTTGCTCACTGTTCTTTTCAAGATGCCTATCATTCGGCATTTAAACACATCACAAGAGATTGATGCCGCCAGTTACCCGGTGCTGAAATGCGCCCGGGGTTGGGGCATCATACATTCAGCGATGTACCGTCGCTTTTCTCCGTTACATTACTATCCTGCATCATTTTGGTGTGCGGAATTTGATTTGTTCTACTGACATTGCATTCAGACAATCTTAGGGATGCAAATTGCCAGTATACCGTCTTTCAGGATGAGCTTCACGGTATCAGGCAGTCCTTAGAATGTGGTTCATGGTTCCATTCTGTCTCTGAGTCTTCTCTAACTGTACCCCACTCTCCAGCTTCATTCTCATACTCAAGGTTACACTGGCAGCTTACCAAGGGATTCATATCCCAAACCAAAAGACGTAGATGTAGGATTCAATCAGTCGGTCCAGCTGCCTCACTTTCATCTCTAGCTAACACTCAATTTGTGTAGATTTCGTGGACAGTTGTCAAAAACAACGCTCTCTTCCTTCTCTTAGCTAGGATGCTCTTCTACATGAGGATTTCAGATACGCCACTTATACTTACCCAAAAATCTTGGAAAGCGAACAGTAAACTTTAGCTAGGGAATACTGCAGAGATTCAAGCATCGTCTGGAGCTCGACCTATAACTGTGTAAGTTATGCTAATAAACGTTGACCGCGGTAGTCCTTCTAGGATACATATAAAGGTAGTTAACGGAAGATCAGGTAATTCCATATATCCTCGAAGTCCCTAGAACTATCTTCGTATGTTCAGTCCACGGCAATACCCCTCTCAATCTTACCTCGACTCTTGGTGAATGCACTCGCTAAATTATAACCAAGTATTATACGTATATTGCCAAGTACCAGCATACATACCAACCACCGACGTATATATCCAACATTAAAGGTCTGGTATGCTTCCAGACTCAGACTGGCTACGACAAGCATTTAGACAATGCTTCTTCTCCACCTTTGCTTGACTGCATAGTTGTTCCTCCTTGGGTTTAGTCTAAGTACTCACAACTTCCTTATCGATATCTTCGTGAGTCCTCATATCTCCCTCTGTTCCCCTCCTATTCCCTCCTTTTCCTCCTGTCACTCTCTCAACGGCCGCCGAAACCAGCCTCAGGACATCCCATACCTGACGCCTGCACAAACCGGCCAAGATCAAACCAGCCAACCTCCCACTATTGCAAGATCAGTCCCGTAATACACCAAGAGAGCTTGAGAAGGTTGGTGACGTGACCAAAGAGTCGCACAGCTCTTCGGGATCGTCGGACATTTATGTTCTTCCTATATACTTCCCTTATTACGGCTGGATATCAACACGATCTGGATTATTCGTCTGCTAATATTTTGATAGAATTCGATTTGATTCCACTCGGACCTTTCGAGATGATGAAGTTCATACGCTCTATTTGCGTTCGCACTTGATCTGTTTCTCACATCTCCTTTCCTCTCTCTCTTTCTCTTGTATAAAGCCTATGTTTTCATATCTTAAAATTCCGATCTTTCCATCGCGCATCTCTTTTTTTCTGACATCCAGCTATGTAACACAAGGTCAGTGTCCCGCAACACAAGTCACAGATGTTACTCTTCCTTTCCGCGACATTCAATCTCAGCGTCTATATCCCTGTGAGTTAGTCAGCTTGTTTCAGTCTTTTCAGTCTCTTAGTCATTTCAGTCTTTTCAGTCTCTCCATGCATTAAAGGATCTGCACCAGACTCGCGATCATCAAGGCTTTTCATACGCTCCGTCACCCAATTTGACGAACGCCTTGTTCAGATTGATGTTCTGTTTCGCGTTGCCTATACTACAATATACACTAGTCCATATCTCAGAGGTGCGTGCGTAGAAAGTCTTCGGATTTTTTTCACTTGGCTTCTTCAGGGCCAGAGTATCGCGTTCGACGGCGGGGCTATGAATAATAGGAGAGAGATCTTGTGGGTTACAAGGCTTGTGCTTAGTGTACGTGAGACGGTGGTTTCCCGTACGAACAGGCGCTTGTGTGTGTTAAAGAGTAATGAGGTAGTAATACAATGGAACTTGTAAGTCACACCTGCTCCTGCTCGTCAATAATTGTATTGATAATAACATTGGGTTTACGCACGCTCAGACATCAACACATTCACGAAAACGCACGAACTCATGAAGCAGCTATCGCATTTCTATTTCCAAGCCTTCTGGTCGGCCGGAGAAGACCTCGCTAAAATACAGATTCAATTGGTATCAATCACCACACGTACGCCTTTCCGATATGCAGTGACCAATTCGATGCCCTAGCAGAGAGACGCCGGAACCCGTGTCTGTAGATCATCTATGACGCATTCTCGTGTCTCTTCAAGCGGTCCACACTGCCTTCACCCACCACACCAGAGCTCGTCTCTCTTCTCCTTCTAATATGCAGCTTGTGTGGTGGCGCGCTGACTACACCCGTACCACTCTGTGATACAGGTCTTGGGAGACGCTCTGGTGGCGTAACGTTCTCGTCGTCACGGGTTTTGCTACTGCCTGAGAACGCAAGTGAGAATCGGCCTGATCGTTTTGGCGGCGCAGAAATGCGAGATCCTTCCCGGGCGCCCGGACCACGTGGCGTGTTGGATGATGATGATGCGGTGCTGCTTAATGACGTAGACGACAGGTTCGATATGACGCTGTTAACGCTACCAGCGGAGTTGTCGCGACTACCAGAGCGATAGGTAGGCGTCGACGAATTTGAAGGTTTGCGGGGCTCGGGAGCCGGAGGGGTCGAGTATGAGGCGGATGTCGAGGTAGGGGTTGCTGACGAGTGATAGGACGTGCTCTCACGACGTGGCAATTTCGATTCAGGCACGGTAGGAGTCGTTTGACTGCGCGTGAGTGGAGGTGGAGTTCCTCCAGCAGTTCTAGTTGTAGGACTGGGAAGAGCTTGGCTCAAAATGACGGGTCTGCGTGGCACAGGCCGGCTGCGGTAGGTTGATGACTGTGTAGGTGGGGTGAAGCTTGGAAAACCTTTGCGGCCCATGGAAGTCTGGCGCATTCGCATCGGTGTGGATGATGACCCCGATGAAGATGGTCGCTCGTAAGCCAACTTCAACAAGCCGTTCGCTAGATTCTGGACTAGCACACTATCATCTGTCTCAATTAAGTCGCGCAGACTATCTTCAATGCCATATCGGCGAATGATGGAGCCTTCAGTGCTCTCACAGATATAGGTGAGGACACGAAGCAACCCGAGCTTCGTGACAGCACGCTTGGTAGTGCACTTTTGTATGGTTTTCTGGAAGAAGTCCCGCGCAGCAAAAGTAGATGCGAGAGGAGGGGAAAGGAAGAGAATCTTCTGAAGAGGCTCGAGTAATCCCTCAAAAGCATCAGAATGTATCTCAGGACGGCCGAAGCATTCGCTTATGGCAGCGGTGAATGTTCCACCAAGAAGATTCTGCTCTACACGTGCGGTCTCTTCTTGAAGCCTGATTAAGGTTAGTAAAGATCGTAACATGTCGAAAACAAGGATACTACTGACCAAACATGTATGGCGTCAAGAGCAGGAACCTGCCAATTTGTGTCGGACAACAGGGAGATGTAAAACTGTAGTCCATCTTGTTCCCACAATTTCGCGCGACACACTTTTCCAGCGTGCGCCATGTCGCACAATATAGGAAGCGCGAATTCCTTGAGCGGCCATTGGGTAACGATAGCCTCTTTCAACAGGGGTATGATACCGTTGAGTGCTGCTTCTTCCTGCCGACTTCTGTTCAGACGGCAAACGTTGAACACGGTGTTGACCACCTGGTTGGCGACCTCGCGGTGGTAAGACTTTGGCTTGCTGACTCGCAACAGATCGGTCAGCGTGTCTATCACGTTTGAACTTTCCAGTGCGTCGTGTGTGGCGTCGAGCATTGATAAATTCTTGACAAACTTTAGCATGGTGATGAGATTCTCGCCGGACATGTGGCCCAAAGCCCTGAGGACGCCTATACCAGAATCAGCATCTACTGCTCGAGGTATAGGAAGTTACTTACGATTCATTACAAGTCGGTCACAGACAATCTCTTTGACGTAGCTTTCAGCCTGAGAAAAGATCAAGAAAATGCTGACAAGACGCTTGACCATCATTTTCGATACACTGTCTTCATCTGACAGCAAGCGAGTTAGGATTAGTGACAAGGGATGCAAGACGCCTTGCTGCGACAGGATACGACAATAGTCGTTTCGAGGAGTAGGTCCATGTTGATTGAAGAAAACGCTCCATACGCCGGTAACACCAATCAGGACGATGTCACGATCAGTGCTGAGATCTTCCTCCAAAAATGCAACCAAGGTGTCTATACCACCACAAGCAACGAAAAATTGCAATGTAGTGTAAGAGCTCTTGCACATTTGGCGGACAAAGGCGGCTGCTTCTTGGCGCTCTTCAGTCGAGTATCGCTTATGGCTGTATTCAGTGACAGCGGGTATACCCCCCAAGAATGCAGTACTCTCTAAAGCCTCATTATTATCAAGAAGAACCAAATTGAGAAGCTTCAGCAACGGAACGGATATGTCTCGAGGGGGAGCAGGTTCCTCCTTCAGTATGTCGAGTATAGGCAGGATGCCGTGGGATTTGAGAATGACTCTCTTGAAATCTTTTCGCTCGTCGTCATTAGATTGACCCCATTGTGCAAGCAGCTGATCCGTGATGTTTTTGATAACCTCGAAGGGCTGATTCGTTTTGAGACGACCAACGAGTTCCTCGGTTTGTTTCTGCATACGAGCTGCCTTGGCATGGGCGACATCATCGGAGAGGTTCGTCGGGGCGACGCTGTCTTCGACGGCGGCGAAAGGATCTAGTTCATCTTCTTCAGCAAAGGACGCAGACATCTTCGAGTTGAGCGCGAGGGCACTCATCTCGGAGTCGTTGTCAAAGTCAGAGAAGTCGTCACCTTCGTTCTCGACATATTTCTGAATCTCAGTGATGTCAGACTGTGAGCGCTGGAGAGGAAGATCGGATAGAGAGGTAGCTGAAGAGTTGCGGGAGGGCAGCGTTTTCAGCTGCGGCTTGCGAGATGTCGGAGTCAGATCAGATGGGTCAAAGAGCTTGGGGGCCAAAGGATTGGTGATGCGAAACTACACGGTGAAGTCAGCGTCATAGGTCCGAGCAAACTGGGAATGTGATCACACGTACCTGCATTGCCCCTGCCTTGTTATCAAAATCCTCTTCTTCGCCGACTTCGAGGAGATCCGAGTAATCCTCAACGGTACTGTCTTTTGCAGGCCGCGCTTTACGAGTCTTAGGAACTGGGAGACCACCTCTCCAGATGGATGTGACAGGTTCGGTTACAGACGATTTCCTTCTTGCTTGAGCTCGCGGTACCTTTGCGGTTGGTTGTACTGAGGCATGTGAAGCAGCAGGACTGCCAGTCTTCACCTTACCTTGGGAAGGTTCCCTCGAAAAAGCTTTGAGGGTGAGATCTGAATCAGGAAAATCATCGAAAGTTATATCCTCAATGGTTGAGTCAAAAGTCGCGAAAGATTTGAGCCTTGCGCTAGACAATTGGCCGCCAAAATTGTCTTGTGGTTTCATTCTCGGAAGGTGAAGTACCTTTGTCGGAACAGAGACGAAATCAGAATCCCAATTATCACTAAGGACTTCTGGAGAGCGAAAATCATCTGCAACAGGTCGGGTTTTAGAGATGCTGAGTTGTGGTCTTTGTGTGTTGATGTTAGCTGAGATGGACTTCACTGTCGAAGCCGGAACAGGATCCTTGTCAACGGCGCCAAGAGACGAAGAGACAACACGCGTTGAGCGCCGCAACGTGTCTGTACCGGGCGCTTTCAGGGCCTCGTTCCATTCCTGGACACTCTTCACTGCTTCGTCATATTTGGTGGGTTTTGATGGCACCACTGCATCTGCACGCTTTGCACTCGAGATCCACGGGTGTCGGAGCAGTCTCTTAGCAGAAATGCGCAAATTTGGGTTCTTCTGAAAGCATTGCATCAAGAAGTCTCGGACAACCTACGGATTGTCAGCAAATTTGTTTACTATCCGTTCCTGTTGTTTGACTATACCGGTGACGCCGAAGCCGGAAGCGGTGGGTGTTCGTCGTTCACAATACGAAACAGCGCTTGCATTGGTTGCAGCTTATGATATGGTGGTCTCCCATCAAGCAATTCGATGACTGTACTACCCAGGCTCCATATATCAGAAGCAGTAGTTGCACCCGTTAACTCAATGACCTCGGGAGCCATCCAGTACGGAGTACCCACAACGTTCGACTCATCGAGACCGGCAGCCTTGGTGGCGACACCGAAGTCTGCTAGTTTCACAAGCCCTTCTTTTGTAGTCAGGATGTTTGCACCTTTGATATCACGATGAATGACACCCTGGTCGTGAAGGTACATGAGGCCGTGTAGCACCTGAGACATGTACAGAGCGACCAGATTTTCTGGAAACTTCCCAAAGTTCTTGCAAATTGTGTGGAGTGAACCGTTTTCGCAATATCTATACTGTTTCAGCATCAAGGTACAGTCAACCAAAGGCAAGTTACCCACTCTAGAATGATGTACAATGAGTCAGTGGCCTTGACAAAACCGTTGTACTTCACGATATTAGGATGCTACATCGTGAATCAGCATGGTTCCTCTCATTTCAATTTGCGGCACTTGCATTGAGGTTTTTCAGCAGATCGATTTCCAGCATTATAACTTTGAGCTCGCTTTTAGGCAGGTCCGCGAGTCTGACTTGCTTTATTGCGACTGTTTCGCCAGTGCCCCAATTGAGTGCCCGGTATACACTTCCGAAAGCACCTTTACCCAGACAATCGCCCAGCTGGTAGTCTTTCAGGCCCTCTACATCTTGAGCTGCTTTCTGTGCACTTCCGTCTCGGCTGGCGAGAGGACCTTTTTCTCGAACAGCTCTCACTGCCGATCCAGCTCGTTGCTCGCCGCCATCATTGTTCGATGCTACTTGGCTTGCCAATGCCGACCCATTCACCGTGAATCTCTCAGAAACTGCCATGGCAGCACTCTCACTACGAAAACCTCCTCTTCACCCAATGCGGGAATCTGTGAGACCGCCAGTCCGTAGATCAGTGTGTAGGGCAGTGTGGGCGCGTGTGCTCCGTCTGTGTCGACCAAAGGCGGGGGTATAACTTCAAAAGTATAGTGTATTATGGAAGATCGATGCATATCACGCCGATGCTGGTGACCGTAATCGTACGTTGGGGTTATCGCGAGTTAGAGCGGGCAAAGTGAGGCGATGCTTGGAGATGTGGGGTGGCCGGTGCGCTACGTGAGCTTTGAAAATCTAGTGCGAGGAAAAGTAAACGATATTGTTCTCATCCAAGGAGATCTATCGTTGTGAATGCAGTAGTTTGCGAATCGATGACCGTGCCTTGCAACCGCATGAGACTCTGGCCTCTTCTGCGAACTTTCTCGCCAGGGCTTTTGTATCTCTCCGGTGAATACAATCATAAGATTGTATGGCGGAGTAGAGCGTGGACCCCTTTGTGGGTGATATCCTTCCACTGTCGTCTTGACCGGATAGGATAATGTCAGTGAGTTGTCGCCCAGTCAATAAGCAAGACGCTGCCCGTATGCGCAATATTAGAAGCGAGCTGATGACCCAACACTCAAACCTATGATGTTCCCGTGGGCGTATTATAATATTTCCGGTTCCTCGCAGTGATTTGGACGGCAAAAATGCCGTTGATGCCTCCTAAATCTTGATTGTCAGGAGCCCTCGATGCTAAAGTTGGGCAGCGTCGGGCGGCGTAATATCGGCTCGGCAACGCCCATAATGCACAACCCTAGCAACATGAGTATTAATACTTCTGGATTACGTTCGGACCTAAAACTAAATTTAGACTAATTACTCTACTCTTGGTGTGCTGTGAGCATACTGAGTGCTGATATAATAGGTTAGTCTCTCAGAGACGCGGATTTCGTCCCACTGTTTATGCGTTGCGTGCTGACATAACATTCTTCCTCTTTTGGAAATGGTGCATGGGTTTCTTTCCCAGGGACGCGTTTCGGCCTTTATCTATTGGTATCTCAACATGTGAGTCTATAAGATATTTCTACACTAGCGCTACCGACCTCCTACGACATTCAAGACCCCACCGTCTACCGTGAGGATCTCGCCATTTACATACGCATTTTTCGCCAAAAATATCTGCAAGGGTCAGCAACGCGACTCGGTAGGAGCGTACAGCATGGGAATTAAGCTTACCACAGCCATAGCCATCTCTTCATCAGTGCCAGATCTGTCCGCTGGAACATGGCCCTTGTCTTGTACATGATCGTCAGGCATATCAACCTTGTTCCGCTCGTCGCTCTCCTTCATGGTCATCTCACTCGGGAAGTATCCAGGCGCGATGCTGTTGACCCGTATACGGGCCTTCTGGAACTCCGCGCTCATCAGCTTGGTCAATTGTACTGTCCCTCCTTTTGCAGCGTTGTACGAGAAATGGCCTTGCGCATGCCGCATGATACCGCTCATGCTCGATATCACGATGACGGATGCAGACAGGTGGCCGTGTGAATCAGAGCCAGCTTGTAAGAGTGGGAGAAAAGCGACAGTGGTGAAATAGACAGCAGTAACATCTGTGGAATATACACTGTTCCAGGTCTCGAAAGATTCGTTGTTCCAAAGCTTTGCTTTGAGGTCTGATGCGACGTCGGTATCTGGTTGAGCTTTATCGCCAGATATACCCGATGCGCACACTATCAGATATGTCAGCACCAATGCCCATGTGCACTGTCACTCAGTATCCAACGTACCGAGCAGATTAATATACTTCTCCTTGCGCGAGATCTCCTCGTAAAGCTTCTCGAGATCTTCTTTCTTGGTCACATCACATGGTCCAGCGCTGTCGACAATCAGCAGAAACTACCAGATGTCAAAGTCTGACAGACGATATGATTTTGCCGCCTTGTGCGGGCTGATGCTCCTTGACTGAATTTTCCAGCACCTCGGAGCCTGTGGCAAGATCAGGGCTCACGTTTCAACACTTCCAGAGGTATTCGAACTCACGGCGACCAGTAATGTAGACTCTAGCTCCATTGGCAGCCATGACTTGAGCAGCCATCAGCCCAATGCCAGTACCACCTCCAGCAATGACGGCGACATAGTCCTTGATATTGAAGAGCTGGCTAACATGTAGACTCGATGTAGATGCCATGCCAATTTGATGGATCGTTTGTAAAGTAGACAACGAAAGAACTCGGGTTAGTCAAGAAGACTTCACGAACGTTTAAGGTATAGGATATCGTGTGATGGTCTTCGAAAATTCTCTGTGACTTATGTTGGTAATCACCTAGTGCGCAAGAGCTACCTGGGTATGACGTCTTGTACTGTATAAGGTATCACTTTAGGTAAGTTATGTTATGTTAAATTCTGTTAATTTATGTTATGTACCTAGTACGTACGGTACGAAGCAGATCGCCGCCCCGCCCCCGCTCCGTCCCATCGCAGGACGTGTCTCATTCTCCCATGACTGCTACATCGCACACTCGGATGGACAACATCATTGAGATGTTTCAGACGTGCTACACCATCGCATTGTTACTTATGGTAGTGCTTGGACATAGCGGCAAGACGAAGAATCCATCGGGGCTACGCTATGCCTTGACTTGATCGCATCCGCCAACACCATATAATGTCATGCGACCAATTGTCAGTCTCAAACAATTCTGAGGCTACCAAAGATACATTCATCTTGCAATATTTGGCCTCTGAGTATCATTGGCACGTACAAACTTGGCCTACCGTTGATAAAGGTACTAAGACGAGAGTCTTTAAGCCGTTCACGGGTATTCAAGTCCGTACAAGCTCTTATTCTTGTAACATAAAAACTTCGATACGACGATGAGAATCCGACATGTCCATCCCTGTCGCGTGAGCTTTGAGGGGTACCGAGACATGGGCTTTGGAATGAAGCACAAAGGCTTGATAGATGTGCCAAATCATGGTGTCGCAAAGTTGACCATAGCGACAAGACCTACTGAGTATTGTCAGGCAATTTGCACCACATGGATATACTCGGTTAGGAGACCGTCACTGATCCTCTGCACACAGATTCTTGCAGCCAAGTCTCAAGCCGTGCGCCACAACCGTCATCGTTTTCGAATGCCTCCATATAAGCAGCCAAGTCGGCTCAATTCAGTCCGCCTTGCGACGCCATTGCAGGCGCTTCGCTGTATCAGGCGTAAATTGTTGGACCTAAGGCACAAAAACCGTTGGAGCTAGTGTCGTATAATTCATCCGTTGTTCTTAGCCCCCAGCTACGTTGCATCATTCTCAGAGGTCACTTGGTCATATTAAGACATTCAAGAAGACGGGCAAGACCCATTGCAATTGACCACTGTCGGAGTGAAAGACGCACTATTCAGCATTTACATCAAGGGTTGAACATCGGTTGAGATTTGGTTCTCTGCTCCTACACAAAGCCGGCACATTGTTCTATAGCTACAATAATCGCTGCCACTATCACATCGAAGGAGCTGAGTTCGCCATGTCTCCCATGCGCCTGGAATTCATCGTCCCGGTTGCCTGTATCGTTATGATGGGCCTTCTTGGTGTCGTACAACTCGGATTGAACGCAGATGTGCTAGCATGGAGCGACCGGAACGAGGACGATAGATATTTGCGAGTGAAAGTCCGCACCTCTCGAAACGGATGGTACTCCTCGGTAGTCATTGCGTTTCGCGCCATACCAGACTCGTACAGTGGAACTAGCAGTGGCTTGATATTTTGGAGCTCGATCGGGGCCATCGTCGACACAGTCCTCCTTTTGGTTCTAACTCTGAGAAAGAGGTCGTTTATCGTTGAGCGGTCAGATAGTGATAAAAATGTAAGCAGCGATATCGAGAAGGCATGAATTCATAGAGTTAACAGCCTCAGGTCTCACACCGCTCTCTACCCATTAAACCGATCGTGTACACTATACTGACAGTAGTCTTCCTCCGCCCACTTATTGTCCTTCTGTATATCTTCATCTATCACTACACTCAGGCTACTCGTACACTGGCGTACCTCGATCTATACAACCTATCAAACACTCACTATCCCGCCTCTGAGGGGACATTCACGCCAGAAACATGGTTCTGTGGTATCCGGTCACATGTTGCCACTGTGTACCCCTACGGACACCATGAGAGGAATGAGTTAAGCAGACTCTGCAATGAGGCGAGGACGACTCGTTGGATCTTGCTTCCAATGCTGGTCGTCAGTATGCTGGTGGTTTTTGGTGTGCTATGGATGCAAAGATCGGCAAGTGCCAGGGCAGCCAGAAATGATGGAGAAGCGGTGGATGTGCACAGAGATAGGAGGACAAGTGACGCGGACACAATGAAGGAGCGTTCAGAGGACCTTGAGCATGGAACTGAATAAGCATTGTTGTGATGTTAGTGAGCGTTTTTCCATGATGGACAGCTTGTCTAACGCTAAGCGACCATCCTGTCCATCTTCATTCTTGAAATGATTTCAGGAGTTCGACAAGTTGAAACCCGACATTACGAACCGGCGGCTGTAGCTGTTATGATCTCTTCGAATATGGTGGTCACTAGAAAGTTTTTCATAACTCAGCGCATAAATACTTCAGCACAGTTCTAACATATCATGTATGTAGAGAGATAAAATCATACTCATTCAAGTTCCCTAAAAGCGCGCCCCGAATAATGAGCAGATCTCTTGTTGAGAGTGTTAACGCAACGGAAAAGCTTCGTCTCAATATGTGCGGCCCTCATATGGACACATCCGCACGAGGTCGATTCTATCTTTACTATCTGGGCAAATGATCTTGACTTTCTGTTTGACTCTTGAGAGTGTGAACCCACCGGAAGCTGTGAACCCACACTGCACAGCCATTGCATTTGCCCCACTCTGGGACAAAGACGATGAGCTCGACCCAATCCAATGACACGCTGACTCTAGCATCGTCAAGACTTCTCGGTGGATGTAACGGTATGACGACGGCCTATGTCAGTTATTCAGATCGGGACAGTTACAAGTCCTAATGTGTCCTCGGAAAAATGCAATTTATCCTAAGTTTTCCTTAGAACTCTATGTATAGGTCAGCGCTTGGACAACCCGGAATGTTGCGGATCAGCCGAACAACTATGAATGTTCTCAGGAGGTGTGCAATTTACCCCACGGGGTAATGTTAGCTTCAGTCTCACGTTTTGATAATATGGGCGGATCTGATCACATCATCGGTGAGAGGCTCTTCTAAGGTCGCCAAGGCATCTCGGCACTCTGGTATATACTCCTCGGCCGACGTAGCTGATCCGTCGATGGTTCGAACTTCGAACTAGTTAGTTGTGGATACGCCGATCTTGTAACAAGAAAGTTCCTCATAAGTACGACTGTCCTATGCTAACTCTCATTCTGAACACCATTCTGCCCCTATTCTCAGGCTTTGGCCCTAACACCTGCACCAAGATGTATCAAATCAGCAATATCTACGTTCTTGCTGCCTTTGGCACTATCGGCGGTGCGTTATTCGGCTTCGATGTTAGCTCGATGAGTGCATGGCTCGCAGCTCCCCAATATCTGGAGTACTTCAATTACCCAAACTCGAATGTCCAAGGAGGCATCACAGCTTCCATGAGCGGAGGCTCTTTCCTCGGTGCTCTAGCTGCTGGGTTCCTGGCAGATAAATGGGGACGGAAGGTTGCTCTCCAGATTGCCTGCGTGATCTTTATGGTCGGATGCGTAATCGTCTGTGCTTCACAGAACGTTGGTATGCTTATTGCCGGCAGGTAAGTCGATTGGACGCTAGTGGCTTTGGCGACGACTGACAAGTGTTACTTGTCAGAATCATCAATGGTTTGTCTATTGGAATATGCTCATCACAAGTTTGTGTCTATCTCGCCGAGCTCTCACCTGCCAAGATCCGTGGTCGTGTCGTTGGGATCCAGCAATGGGCGATCGAATGGGGCATCTTGATCATGTACTTATTATGCTATGGTACCCAGCGCACCGTTGAAGGCCCAGCTGCGTTTCGTATTGCATGGGGAGTCCAGGCCATACCAGCATTCATCCTATTAGGTGCTCTATTCTTCTTTCCAGAGTCACCTCGTTGGTTGGCAGGCAGAGAGCGCTGGGAAGAGGTTCATACTACACTGGCAAACTTACATGGAAATGGAGATCCTAGCGATACCATTGTCCTTGCTGAACTGGAGGAAGTCCGCAAAGCTCAAGCTGTTGCCGCGCAGGCTCAAGGGGTTGGCTTCATGCAACTCTTTGGACCGAAGATCTGGAAACGAACGCTTGCTGGTACTTCGGTGCAGATGTGGCAGCAGTTGCTTGGTGGGAACGTCGCGATGTACTACGTGGTCTACATCTTCCAGATGTCTGGCATGTCTGGCAATACTTCACTGTGAGCGCGTCCCAGCTGCCATGTTTGACCGTTGCTAATAGCAAAATCTTGACAGAACATCGTCCATCATTCAATACGTCATATTCCTTGTCACCACTGGCTGTATGCTACCCGTCATTGACAGGTTTGGACGCAGACAACTACTTCTCGGCGGAGCTTTTGTCTGCATGATCTTGCACTACACTACTGCCGCTGTAATGGCGACTTACGGCGTACCCGTCGATCAAGTTGATGGAAACTCCAATCTCCGTATTCTGATAACCGGTGCTCCTGGAAAGGCTGTAATATCCCTGAGCTACATCTTCACTGGCATCTATGGTCTAACATGGGCCCCGATCGGTTGGATCTACGCCAGTGAAGTTTTCCCACTGAAGTATCGAGCAAAGGGCGTCGGTCTCAGTGCTGCCACAAATTGGGTAACGCTCAACAAAAATCCCGTTAAAGCCTTGAGTAACCTAATTACTGATCCTGCTTCAGATCTTCAACTTCGCCCTAGCATACTTCCTCCCACCAGCCTTCACTAATATTACATGGAAGACGTACATTGTCTTCGGCACTTTCTGTACAGCGATGATCTTCCACATTTTCTTCACCTGTAAGCTCAATCCAATATCACCCTTCTATCCTGAATTATTACTAAGCCATCCACTTGCAGACCCTGAGACTGCTCGCAAGTCACTCGAGGAAATCGATATCCTGTTCGACAGCAACATCCCGCCATGGAAATCTGCCAAAGCACAAGCAAGTGTCTTGGACGAGCGTGCGTTCCAGGTTGAACACAAGAATGAATCCATAGACGAGAAAATTGAGACGGTTGATATTGTGTAGAGTGATGTTTGAGAACCGATACCTACCAATTGATTTGTTAATTTGCCGACGTCTCGTACTCTACCCCAATCGACTTTGTAATCTGTGTCCTGTAATTGCATTTCTGAGTAAGCCTCGTAATATTCCACAATCAAAGTACGTACTCAACAGTAGTATTCAGTCAGTGTCAGCGGAAATGACGCTCCTCGCTTTTACTATCCGTCGTACATTAGTTTATGTAGTCTGTATCAGAGTGTTGACCGGTCTCATTCTATAATATATAAGGAATCTTTCCATAACGAAGACGATCGTATCAAAAACCAAGAAATGGTACTTTCGGCCTCCAGCAGAGATGGGCATATACAATCCGAAATTCCGAATCCATGTAAGCTCAATCTAGGCCAGAAGTTTAATAGAGAATACAAACTCTATCTACGCTTTAAAATGATTGCTAAGACGGTATAATTAGTCTTAGACTAATTAGTTAGACTACGTATATTAGATTCATGCAAGTAGAGTATGGCCTTATGTTGGGCTAGATATAGGTACTCTAGATCCTCAGGCTAAAGTTTCTGCCTAAGGCTAAAAGTTTATCCGTAAATTATGGTCTTGATAGGTATGATAATACTAATGATGGTTACGTCATGGTTAAGCAGGGCTGTAAATTAACTCTTGTGAGGATTTCTAGAGGGCAGAGATGAGTATATATAATGAGATACAATCCAATGGCCTACCTAGGTTAGGATTACTCATAGTAGACAAGCCAGGTCCCAACTAATTCTTGAAATCAATACATATGAGAGACGAATGAGAATCCAGAAACGTACGAAATAAGATCAGTAGTAATTAGTATAACTTTTCTTCCTATATATACCACCCGAAGAAATTTCAATCGGAGCCGACTCCAACCCCAACCCTGCCAATCACGTTTAATCACGCACCATTCGGCCAGAAAATGCGGCTTGCAGCACATCACACAGGTCCTAGCGCCAACATCCTTACAATCGGCCCGTCCCACATAAAGCACACATGCACAGCCTTACGGTAGTTGGATGGGTAATACGAAAGGCCTCGCATCCCTGCTGCAGGACCGATCACAAATGGATTATTAGCGCATGCAAGGTATTTGGAAGGTTTTAACGTCTCGACACACCCGCTTCCTCAGCCCTACCAGCGAGTTCCCTACTGAAAAACTTTTGACATCGTCTATATATCTATATCACTGTATTACTGCCAGCGCGAGAACATGGACTCGGGAGCTGATCCTCAACTCGACGCTCTTCTGACGTCGGTGGAAAAGTTGAATAGCTATCAGTATAAGCGACCGGGGGATAAAAGACGTGCAGAAGGTGTACTGAGACGAGTTGCGTACGACTTGCAGACACCATTTGATATGCAGATGGAGATATGGGGTTCGGTAAGGCTGTGGCATATTCTACGCAATTCCGCAATGATGTATTTCGCTCTGTTACGTGCATGTCGTGATCAGCCGGTATATGCTGTTATTATGGACTCGTACTGACACTACGCGCTTAGATAATGCGCGACGCAGCTTTGAAGACATGCCTAGACGTCGGTGTGTTTGCGCATATGGCCTCTGGCAAAGATACATGGACGCTGGATGAGTTGACGACTGCATGTGGGAACATATCCAAGGAGCTTCTCTGTATGCTCCCCGTTCAGTGAATTCATCCTTCATCTCTCTCTCGCTCCCCAAATTTCTCGCATTCACTCACATCTATTCTGCTAGCAATGCTGCTAAAACATCTTGCCGCCTACCACCTCATCCACGAGAGATTTGCCAACACCTACGCCCTCACGCCCTACTCGCGCCTCCTCGGCGGCCCGGACCTCGGTGGCGCTATCACCACGCTGTTCGAGGCCTGGATCCCGACCTTTGTGCACGCGCCCATACTCTTCGAAAAACTGGGTTATGTGCGCCCAACGACTTCGAACCAGACGATGCTGGCCGATGCAACCGGCACGACAGGCCATATCTTCGACTATGCGAAGACGAATGGTGCGTTGGCGGACGGATTTGATCGTGCTATGAGGGCATTTGCGGGGTTGATGGGCGACTGGGTGGACGTGGTGCCTATTGAGGAGATGCTTTCGTCATCTTTGTCATGCATGGATGGGAGGGTTCTGGTTGTTGATGTTGGAGGTGGATACGTGCGTATCCCTCTCGTACGCATTACAGATTAGCTCAGACCAGGTGTACTGATGTCAACAGGGTCATGACCTGCACAAACTCGTCCACAAACTCCCACTCACGAGGGATCGAGTTGTGCTGCAGGAGCAGGACTATGTGATCGAGAAAGCACTTCCGCATCTGGATGGCGTTAAAGGCATGGTACACGATTTCTTCTCGACGAATCCCGTGCAAGGAGCGCGTGTGTACTTCTTGCATCATGTTTTGCATGATTGGCCAGATTATGACTGTCGACGCATACTGCGTGGTATCACAAGTGTAATGGCAGCAGATAGCAGGATCTTGGTTGTTGATTTAGTTTTACCACCGCAAGGCGCGACGAAGCATGAGACTACGTATGATCTCATTATGATGAGTGCCCTAGGCGGTAAGGAGAGGAATGAGGGAGAATGGGATGTACTCATGGCAAGTGTGGGCTTGAAGGTCGTCAAAATCTGGAGGAGCGATGAGGCGATGGATGCGATTCTGGAGATTGTCTTGGTGTGATAGGAGTCAAGTGATAGGCATATAGAGCCAAAGAAACAGCTCAGTGTCTCACAATAGATATCGCTTCGTAAACCCGTAATCTAGGACGTGATGCAACCTTACAGTTTCAGGCTATGAGTTGCAATAGATTTCACCGCAATATACTTCTCCTGACAGCGGCATTGCCAAAATACTGCTGTTGAGGAGGTCTCATGCTCGATGGCCGACCATTTTTCACCCCTTGCGAGCTTCTCATTTTCGATCCATTAATGATCGTTCGTGGGTCAATACCTCGACGTCCATATGATTGCTGAAAAGTCGCACGAGATGGTACTGGGTTTGATAGGGGAGCAACAAGTCTAGCTGGTCGCTGTCTCATGAACCCTGATCTGTGGTCCAGTTGTTCTTGTCGAAGTGCAGCAAAATTTGGATTGTGAATCTGTACTTCATTCCGGCTACCAAGCACGCCTGGTTTCGAGAAGAGGTCCACGCGATGTTCGCGGGGTGATTGCATAAATGAAAGCCGATGTGTATCCTGTACACGCGCCGATGGTGATATGAGTTGAGGATCCCGGTATGGCTCTCGAGTGCGAGGTGCGAAATCTCGCCGGGAAGGTTCCATGCTGTAGTGAGCAGCTGCCTGTCGCCGGAAGAACGGGCTCGACACACATGTATCACGAACAGTGCGATGATATCTAGGAGAGGGCGACTGCTGTAATGCAGCGTACCTTGACGGTGTCTCGTATACGGAATGCTGATCTAATCCATTGGAACCATGTTGACTTATGTTCTGTTCAGGCATCTCACAAGCCTGCGCAGAGTACGCGCCGTTCGAACTATCAGTGTGGTTTCGTCCTACCCAAGCCGGCGGTTTGCTGAATGTGAAACTTGCCCGTGAGACGGCTGAGGTTACGTCGCCCTGGTACGAATCACCCTGGTACCACGAGCGTTCATCGCCATATTCTATGTTTTTCGGTGCACCACTCTCTACCTGCCAGCTCGGTCTTACGAAAGGTAGTGGATCTTCTGACGGTATTCTCTCAAGTGGACGTTCGCAGACCCCTCGCCTGCTATTTTGTCTCGTTTTACGCTCATTGCGACGTTGTGTGTCCGCTTGATTCTCGTGCCTAGGAGGAGACATCAAGGCGCCACTCATATAATATCCTTTGGGAACAGGGAGTGGTGTCATATCACTCTTCTGCACCTTTTCGATCTCGTGCGCGCATGGATTGTGTTCCTTATCGCTGCCACGTAGTTTTGTGGTGGTCTGACTATGGGTGTTTCCAAGCCGTGGCCCTGACTCTTCATCATTGCGTTGATGACATAATGGTGGCTTGGGTGGCGGCATCCTGTCTCTACTGCTTGAACCAACGCAGTCACGCACAAGAAATGGTTGAAAGCCATGCTGCAAGGGCTGAGACAAGTCATGTTCGAGTTTTGGCCTCTTCGTAGAGGGTGCGCCTTCGGGCTCTCTTGACATCAACGGCTCATCGTCGTATATGGTGGCCGCTACCTCCATGCGTCGCTTGGAACATTGAGATATTGGGTCATGCTCTGTCATATCAATGGCAGAGTCTGGAGATGCACCAGATGAGGCGTGTCTTTCTTCGAGTCCGGCTTTTGTGGGAATGTCTCGTGCAGTGTAGGTGTAGTCTGTATGGGGCACCTCGTAGCCCAATGAAATTAGCTCTTTTTTCAAGTGCCCATTCTCTCTGTGCAGCGTCAGTTGCTGGGCGATTCTTTCAATTTTTCCAGGTACGTACTTTGCCATCTTCGCCATCACGCCCAGGTAATGCCTGATTTGTGGTTCTTTGGATTTGAAGCGCTTGTACTCCTCGGCTTGTTTTGACAGTAGCGCAACCCGTTGTTTGCACTTGTTCAGTTCGCTCGTAATCTCTAACCCAGCTTTGTCAAGCTCTGACATTGTCTGCTTAAGTTTAGTATGTGAGGACTTGAGCTTTCGGTGGCTCTGGAGTAGCCCAGTGCCAAATTGAATGAGGGACAAGTATTGGAATCGAATCGCTTCCAAGCCATGATCAGCCTTTTGAAGGTTCGTTGGGGGTGTGTCGAACCACATTCTCGGGATTGCCTTGTCGATTTGTCCTTCTTCGTGACCTCTGACTGCGAATAGCTTCTTTGGAGTTCCATCCCGTCGATCCGCCACACATCGTGGGCAGGGCGCTGACGGTTGTTCGCCTTCTGGGTAAAAAGCTGCACCTATCCAGCATTTGAGTGTCGAGAAACAGTAGAGTGCTGCATCACATACCACCATCCTCTAAGTGCTTGCCACAAGTCAAATGTGCACATTCTGTCAACCAAAGGCGTGTTGAGATGCTGTTGGTTGTGGCGTCGTCGCCTAGGATACCGCAGTTGTTGCCGTATATGTCGAGAATTGTTGCTTGGCATATCGAGCAACTAAAGATGATCTCGTACGCTGTAGGATCTGGGCGTTGTTCCGCAGCCATGTTTGAGATATATTGTTACAGAGTGTATTGGCTGACGTGAGTCGGTGAATTGGGTGTGCACACACATGTTGAGAATGGAACTGGCAGGAACGACCCGGCCGTTACCTCAACTTTCCAATTTGACTGCCTTACCGCAGACTGGATGTAGTCGGCGCCTTCATGTTTTCGGCCATACTATCCTACGTCAAGGTATACTAAAGGAACCGCTGACTCACCTGCAACTACGAATATACCCACAAGCATTATAATAAATTGACGTGCATGTTTCGCGCTATGCTCAATTTCTGCGTAGGAGAGAACGCCCTTTAAAAGCGACAGTGGACGGATGTAATGCCGAAGCATAGTTACGAACTGCAATATCAGAAAGAATGTTGTACTATGCATGTCTACTACCTTCATATCTTGCCATGTAAGAATAGAATAACGGTACGCCTTACGTCCAGGTTTCCATTTCTTTAATTCAGCATTCATTTTATTGGAACGTCCGGCAGGGGTATCTGAGGTTTCGAGATAAGTCTACGCTTTGCATGCGTTCGTTGGAACTTACTGATTATCATTGCCGTACGTTTGATCTTCCAGCATCTCATAATTCTTCTTCCCTTGAGGCCCGAGGTTCGCTGGTCGGGGCGGCAGTCCGTCTTCTCCTAGCACTAGCTTTCCAACACCTTTCTCCTTCGCAAGAAATGCTGAGAGTCCCTTTTCTCCCTCTTCTTTGATTGCTACCAATTGTTTCGCCCCGGCGTCGCCAATCTGCAGTACCTGTTCGTTCGGGCTCTCCTTACTACCAACAGTCAAAAGGCCTACAACGTCGCCTTGTGACACAACACTCGGGACCTGATATCTCCTGCGCACATCACGCTTCCAGTATGGATTCTCTGCGATATCTCCGGCAGGTAGTGTGACCGGGTCATCATATGCGGTAGGATCGTTGGCGCCCGGAGGAGGATTGCGGAATTGAGGATTTAGCGGAACACCGGTAGAGCGTTTAGGGTCGACAGCGAGGAGATTGTTGATCTTTGCCCATATCCCAGTGGGTTGAACGGTATATTTCTGAATCAATAATGTGTCAGTGGTTGTTTTCTTGGAAGCTCAATGATGGGAGGGTGGCGGCGTACTTTGAACTGGGCAGCGGCCTGTTTGCTCATGATGTTGGGTCAATGGGTCGCCAGGATGGAGAGAAATGTATGGAAGAGCTAGTAGGTGAGATTCGAGTACTGATGATCAAAGGATCTCTAAATCGCGCCTACGCAGTACAGAGACGAAGCTCGTGTTCACATCTAGGTCTGCAGTGTGGCTCTAAGGCTTGGCGACGGTGGCTCCAAAAGACTATTTCGGAGCAGGCTCTTCGGGACTACGGGATTGGTCACACTCGTCCAAGAACGGTAAGTGGACCTTTACCATGTCGGAAGTTCATCATGATATATGCCCAGTGATGCATCGGTATATTCTTGTAGTAAACCTGTTCATGTTGAGATGAAAAGACAATGAGTCTCCAATTTTCGTGTTTTCTGAAGATGTGAGCCAATCCTCAATGGGATCTATTTCGCTGTAAGAACGACTAAATTAATACTGCAACACTGTGTCGAGCATTCCAATATCTTGATTGGTCGGCTCATGAGTAACGAAGTACCAACTCTTGCTTGCGATTAGGTGTGGATGCTGATACTAGATGGTCATCGCTGTTTCTATGATAGATGTCCACAGTGCAGACATGACACTGATGTTTTGCTTAAGGATCTACTATGCAGAAACCTTTTAGCGGTCTCTGCGTACACACTTACCCTGTTTAGCGAACACATCTGTAGTATCACAGTGGTACAAAACGCTCATTTCGAGTGCTGACGCGGACCCGATTAACATATTCCTCTATGGTATCTACTTGACAAATAAATTACTACGTTGGCCCTCACTTCACTCCTAGGTACAACCTTAGGTTACCAACGCTTATGTTAGTCGTGCAACTCGATCGTCCAGCGAATAAGAAGGCGAACTTGATATGCTGTGACTACGAAGATTACGTATGTGCTATTCTTTATCAGTAGCTTCGAAAAAATTTACTAGCGATGATACTGCTTAGAGTAGGGAAAGCTTCATGTTATCCCCTATTTGTCTTGTTCGATGCCGACAGTAGAGTGGAACACAGGGGGGAAGACTATTAGGAAACTTGAATGGCCAGCTAATTATACTAATACGTGTGGGATAGAGATCTTTCTATATTCAATCTGAACATTTCATAACATATGTGTTGTACTTCCGGGCTGACATCCAGACATACCAACAAGTCAATTTGAACTGCATCAGGGTTACCTGTTGCTACCTAGGCTTCCAATGAGTGGGCTGTCTGCAGCTCCAGTTCTAAGTTGATCTGTCCGGATGTGACAAGACTTTCGTCCAATTCGACAACCTTCAACGAGGAGCCATAATGAGGAAGAAGGCAGTCCCCTGCCATCGATATTGTGCACGCCACGACAAGTCTAGACACCTGCAATATAACTCTATTATGACTTATGCTCTCCATCGGTAAGCTCACCTCTTGCAATGTCGTTACCCTGTCGTTGAGCTGAGAATTGACCACAGCAATATAGCTCCCGGTGAGCAGGTCAGCCTATGCTAGAGTGAATTCTATATCGCGGATTTAAGCTAGTTGTGAAAAGACAGCGATGGTCAGATGTGTTTCGGATAGTGTTGAGATTTATATGTTCGAGATGGTTCCAAAACGCTTTCTCGCCTAAATGAGTCGATGGCATCAGACATTAGATTATGGCATTTTGAGCATTCGAACTCCAACTTTCATTGCGCAGCCATGAGTTGATAATTAGTGTTCAGCTAATCCAATATCGCTCTCGGTCTGACATATAGATGCTCCGCCTAGATCAAGCCATGATTTACCTCTTCAGACTTTATCGAACTCTATTATAGTGCATAGCTTGGAATTAGTCTTTCATTTACTCGCTAGCGTCCTCGGGCGCCATCTTCGGAGTCCGAATTCATTCCATAGAGTCCAAGCAGCCCCAAAGTCTCGACGACAATGTTGGAAGGAATGCTAGTCGTAGCGATCTTAACCACCAACCAACAGAAAGAAGCACACTGAAATCCTATTCGAGCTCAAACGATACTGCATCGAGGATGGTAGGTTATTTTAGCGCCAAAATTGCATCCTTCGTTGCTGAGCACAGAAGAAACTACACTTAGTTACAGTAAGCGCGAAATTCAGGTCTCTAATGTGGACTTGCTACGACCTCATTTGGCCTCCAGCTCTGTCCGCTAGACGAATATGTGTAGCTTGTCACAGGCTAAGCACGTCTCAGGCTTCCAACTTCTGACCTTCTCAAGGTAGAACAAGTGACGTGAGGCCGAAATGGCTCACAGGAATCTATTATTAGTCGACCAAGTGAATTGAGAGGATCTAGTTGCGAGTAACTGGTCGCGTTTGTCGGTATATCCGTTATAAAAGCCGTCAACTTGCACTTCATCTTCACTCGCAGTCACACACAACACTCCATCAATCAATCCTATATCAACCCAAGTATCATGAGATTTCTCGCAGTCATTACTATCGCCCTTTCGGCTCTTGGACACGCTGTGGCTGAGAAGTGCTGCGCCGACGACAGCGTACGTTAAGGAAATACCTTAGATACCAAATAGAAAGCCACCAACTAACGTGCTCATAGTGCACTGGTGACTGTGTGCCTGCCACTCCACAAGGCAACCTCTTCTCTTGTCCTCTTGGAGGCGACCCAGCTAAGCTCACCGTTTGTGCCGACTAGTCCAAACAGACGGGAAATACAACAAAAATCGATTATAGCACATACTTTTGGAACACCAGAAATAAGAATTGTGCCTGACTATGTTGTGTATATTGCCACTGTTGTAATACATAATCAGTCCTCGATACTTGAACTTGCATCTTCTTCCTTCGCTGCCGTATATTGCGCATTCATGCTCAATGTGGTCTACTATGGTGTGATACACGGATCATCAGTTCTTGCACTACACCTCTGAAAGAGTCATGGAGGCAAATTTAACACAATAGATGGGCATCACAGCAATTTAAAGCTATAACAGCTCATAACCCTATCTGCCATGTCTCAAGGGTACTATTCAAAGATCACTTAATGAGGGTGGGCACAGAAGATAATGGTTCTTCTTCTCAGGGCTAGCGATGAACTCGCCGTAAAAGCAAACCTGCGAGCATAGCACGATGCCTCGAATGGAAATTGGCTCATCCTCAACAAAGTGTATATAATGGTTTGAAAATGCCTACTTCAGACCTTTGGCTTCACTCTAAAATTAACGATGATGTTGAGAGCCGCTTCCTTTCATCTGCACACCCCATTCTACGAATGATACAGTTTTACCGAAATAGTCTTACCCCTACCCTTGACGAGAGATACTAAACTCAGACCTTTCCAAGAACAACTCTTCTCGAACTAGTCTAACTTATCTGTTCTACAAGCAGGTCTACAGCAAGACTTCAAAGAATGAATCGAAAAATTGGGAAATTCAGGTCATTTTCCGGAAAATGACAGCACAGAGAAAATATGCTTTATTATGACGCCTTTAAAAGACCTCAACTGTACAGACATGGGTGAACTAATTATGTGGAGGACTAGACAGACTGAGATAATCCTTATGCATGTGAAAGCAAACGTCAACTGACCTCTTAATGAGTCAGTCCTTGGAAACAAAGGTGTTATCTCATGTTGGCTTGAGAAGGCCATCTTTTGTACGTTGACCAGGCCTAGTGATCAGCCAAATGGAAATCCCTCCTTAATGTGCAGTTGAAGTTCGATAATACTTGCGCACATATCTCGGGTAATGGTTCTTTGGCTCAAGGATGAGATGTATCACATGAGTTGGGGATCTTGGTTAGGGTGGATGTACGACTGACATACTAAGTTTGAATTAATGGATGAGTTGATTAGATTAGTTTCAGATAGCATTGGAAACATAAATGAGACGACATGAACACAACAACCTAATATTGGTCACAAGGTTTCTCACGTCGGGATATGACGGTGAGAAAGAATTCGCAATTAAGCCAGAGGTCTTCTCAACAATGAACACACAATAAACAAAGTAGAGGGGAAACTTTAACATTTTTTCGGTGCTCAAACGTTGTTTTGAAGAGATGGTGGCTATATATAAGACTCAACACTCATGAACGGTTCATAGAAGCACCTTATGATCAAACATATCGCCTAATATCCAATACTAGCTCAGTCCTATATATAATTAATCAAGAACAAGACACGTCAATCCATCATTATACTCTCCCACCACTCACTTATACTGTCAGCAATGGCAACTGCTATTCCAACGAGTCTACACATTTAGACCATATCGATACCTCGTCAATCGATCCATCTATGACTCAAACTTCGGTAGATTCTGTTGAAAGGAAGCTACTCTCACAGCAGGAAGTCAGTAGAGTCCTCTCAAAAGCAGGGGTTTCTCCACACAGGTGTCGAGAACTAGTCAAAATTTTCAATTAAAGCAACATGGGCGGAAACGATATACATAGATGCCAACACAGGATACCTTCCTCTGTGTACTGTCGAGTTATCTGATGGTGTTTTTTGGTCGTTACTTGTCAAATGTGAGGATGTTTATGCACACGGACAGCTGGACAGGTGTTTGAATGACAATAAGCCTCAAAATCTGGCCTCCATAGCGAAAGGGACAGAAGGGAAGCGGTTGTCATGGCCTAGTTACAGTAAACATAAGTTTCATCTCAAAATAGAGAGAGGAGAGATATGAATAGCTGTAGAAGGAAACCCTTTTACTAGCAACGGTCAACGGATTGATGGGCTGTCAAAAGTGATCTGTGTAACTAGGGCAATATTCGAGATTCGAAGATTCAATTTCTCCTAAGTGTCACGCGAGGGACTTGTCGAGTTGGAGAGTGGAGTAGTTTCAAAGATTTCAAAGAAAAATATACCTATATCAGCTTGCTTGTGTGTTCATCGACCCTCTCTTAAGCTTTCCGGAAATGAACTTTGTCATGGGTGTGCCCACACACCAAGTCGCAGGATACAAATGCTGCTTCCCCGTGATTTTGCCCTTGGGAATTAACGATGTACCACCGCATCTACCATCTACAGGTCGTATACAGATGGTTATGGAATCGCTATCTGCAAAACATCTTAACTGACGCCCAGAGTCTGTATCAACACATCATCTTCCTCCTGCTCCTCTACCACACGAAACCAGATTCCAATATATTCTTGCAGTGAGCTCCAGTGTGCCTCCATCCTGTATTACTGTGACATAGATGCACCACGTATTGCCTCAATTGAGCGCAGCGGGAAAAGATCTAAAGTCGCTGATCTCAAGAAGAACTACCAAGACGAAGACAACAAAGGGATGATCAGTTTCATATGATATTGGATCTGGGCTATTAAGAGGACACTACATCAATATCATATCCTAAGAGTCACTCTTTTAGAGCGACTAGAGGAGATTTAAGAAAGCAGAGGGAGAGAATAAGCTGATGAATGCGTTATGTCAGAAGTAGTATCGTCCCAGCTCTAGGCCATTCGCACTAGACGGAATAATCTGGTTTTACGAGCAGAGCGATGCAGACTTCATCGAGATTTCCATTTTCGATTCGAATACGCTGGCGAAGCTCGGAAGCTTATGCGAAAAGAAAAATTTCTCTCTTTCAGATGTGGCAAAGTCAGTATGCAGTCTACCTGCTGCAGTACAATCATAACAATTCGATTGCAAAACACAGATCCAAACAAACTAGTCGACGGAGCTTTGCCATTGTCTGTCAAACCGGAAAGCCTTGTCTAGTGTAGCTATTCAGAAATTTGCAGCATAGGTGGAAGTAATACCACTTCTATCAATATGTGATGAGACTATGTCTATCAATCTATAGGCGCAGGTGATCGCGTCATTCCCTCCATCATTCATAAGCCATCTAGTTTCGACCTAACGAACGCCCTCTAGTCTAATCATGCTACGTCAGCACATTGTAACGAAACTCTTCATACATAAACGCCAAGCATAGTATTCCACTCGACGATAGCCCCCGACCTAACCAATCTCACGATATACATATTAGAAAAGCTTTCTAACAATCAAATTACAAATACCCACCAGAACCCATCATCATCTCGCACATCGTCCACTTCGACTCACTTCTTACCCACTATAGTCGACTATGAACAGCCCACCAGCCCACACCATCCCCTAATACCATAAAACACCGAGACATAACAAGACAGTGTAATTTGTCATTTATGTATCATCAGGGACGAAAGCGGTATTGTTTGGAGATGTGTTTTGCTTATTGAGTTATGTAATATATCAGCATCCAACGCGAATTAATTGACGACATAAGCCTTCCAGGTCTTCTATCATACCATATCCATCCAAACAACCGTGGTATATGGCCCAGAACGCCGGAAATATGTCAGAAGATCAGATCTTCTTCGCGATCGATGTACCGCCATAAACGACCCGAGCCACCACAAACAAACACGCGCCGACACCTGTGGCCACACCAGAGAAAATCTGCGCATTCGTAAAGTCGCCTCCACTAGCAGTGAGTATGGCGCCGCCAATCGGGCTCCCCGTCAGGGCGGAGATCGCGCCAAAAGCCATCAGCGAGCCCGTCCAAACGCCGATATCCTTGATCGGTGAGACCTGTGCGACAAGTACGGGAGTGAGTGAGATGCCGGCGCCAGAGGAGAAGCCAAAGAAGGCTGCGAACAGGATGAGAGGTGCATTTCCGGTCGCCGGGAGCCATAGTGCGAGGATTAAGATGGTAGTGGCGAACGACATAATGATCATGACGTTGAAGCGGCCGACTTTGTCCGCGATTGCGTTTGGGAGCGTACGGCCGAGGATGGAGGCACCGTTAAGGATCGCGACAAGGTACTGTGCAAGCTGGGCGTCCATACCGAAACTACGTGCCTCACTGACGATGAAGACAAAGGGCGTGAACATACCCCAATAGAAGAAGAATACGGCAGCTGTGAGCACACAGAAACCAGGTTGTTTGAAGGGGGCGATGTAGTTGGAGAGGGCGAAGGGGCGCTTATTTGGTGGGAGGCGCGATCGGACAGTCAAGTTGGAGAAGACCAGGAGGCCGAGGATGGTGAACCCGATGGTGCGCATTGTCCACGCATAACCTATCTGCGGGATGAGCTTCGTGACCATAATGGGCAGGATGACGCCGCCGAGAGACGAGCCGGCGGTGACGAGACCGAGGGCGGCGCCACGCTTTTTGAAGAACCATGTAGTGGTGGAGTTCATCGAGCAGTAGAATATCATGGACGCACCGATGGCGGAGCAGATTGCTTGGGCAAGGATGAAGTGGTAGTATTTCGTGGCCAGACTGGTCATCATGAGGCCGAAGACGTGCATGAAGCTACCAAGGAGAAGAAGATAGCGAGGACCGTAGTTGTCGAAGAATTTACCGACAATGAGGCCGCCAGCCATCATGAAGAAGATCTGAAGGGAGGATATCCATGCAATGTCCGCAGGGGTGTAAGCAGCCAGTTGGTGGGTCTGGTAGTATTCTTGGAAGACACCGACGCAGTTAATCCATCCAAAAGACACGAAGAGACCGGCCGAAGCGCCGGCAACGTTCAACCATGCCTGTAGTCCGCCGTCTGGAAACGATCGTGGGTCCGTAGGACTTATTACTTCGAGTGTTTTCTCAACATCTTGCAGCGGCTCTGTAGGTGGGAGAGGCGTCGAGGATGTGCCGACTGCAGTATGCTGAGATAATTTCTCATCGTCACTAGAGTGAAGTGAGGACATTCTGGAAAATGTGTTTTTGGAGACCTGAGAAGACTGGATTGCCTTATGGTGGCTAGTGTTTATCGGTGTAGGGGTGGGTTGAGGTTTAGATTTGGATTTTTGCGCTGATAGCTTGGTAGTGGTTTGAACAATGAAGTACAAGAGTGTGTCCAATGATGAGATCTGTGGTGGTATTGAAGAACAAGTAACAAAAAGCAGACGGAGTGTTGATATAAATGTCCTAGATTTGAGCTTTCGGGCCATGGTAAAAGACCGAATACAGCGAGAAATGCACGAATTTGCTTAGATGATCAAGTTTGGGGGCCATGTGTCGGGCTCATCGGAACGTCGATAAACGCGAGGGGCCGAGCCCGCATTCGTGGCTTTTGGCCAATAAGCAGACCCGAAATCGCAGAGGAAGACGGTAATGCACGAGTCCGTTGATGGTTGTTATCCGTCGAAGTTTTTCCAGAGCCATGTTCGGACTTAACGCTAGTGTCGCGAACAGACGAATCTTCTGCATTTTACTTCTTCTGTGATACGCCAATGACTCATGCGATAAGTTGGACGCTTCATGTTTTCCCTGTTGTGGTATAGCAGTTTGGCAGTCGTAGCGAAGCCATGCTGCAGTTCCTGGGTGACTTGCACATGGCCGAGTGTCGCGGAGGAAAGTTTGTAAGGCTGCAAAGCTTGTTGATACACGGCTAGGATTCTTTTTTGATGCTTGATGCAGACTCCTATCAACAGATATGGAGGGGATTGATGCTTTGTGGCTTCGGTGTCGTGCTCGCGTTCAAACGTTGTCTCGCCTCGTGTGCTGGACAGAGACCGAAGACGTAGTCGGTCTTTTCGCGGTATTCGAATTGTCGCCGATGAACTATTGCCTCAGGCAGCATTCTGACGGCTAAACACCTTCTTTCCGCGTACCCATGTCTCTCGGACTTTAAGCTGCCTCAACTCATCGACCAGCAGCCCATCGAAAGATCTATCCAACACTATCCAGTCAGCAAAGGATCCTTTCTGTATGACTCCCGCTTTGCCTTCCATGAATGCACCTCGTGCCGGGCTCAACGTAAAGCCTCGCAGCGCGTCTTCTATTGTCAATGCCTCGCTCATATGCCAGCCATCATTGCTGCCGCCGGCGCCAAGACCTGTTCGTGGACTTCGTCTAGCAACCGCTGCAAATATGCCTTCGAATGGATTTGCTGGCTCAACAGGAAAGTCGCTGCCTAGGATGGGATTTGTCTTCAACAGTGACTTCATACGGTATGCCTCTGCGCTTGTTCTTTGAGGACCCAGCCGGTCTTCTGCATACGCCATGTCACTTGTTGCATGTGTGGGCTGGATGCTGGGAATGATGCCTATGTCCAACATGCGGATTTGATCATTGGGATGGATGATCTGTGAATGCTCAATCCGGAACCGTCGTTTCGACTGGCAAGATGCCAGAGACTCGCTTGGGCACACCTCAAATAACGCAGCTGTCATGGCATTGATTGAAAGTCGATTCGCCAGATCACCTATAGCATGAATGTTGACCTGAAAACCATGTAACGCCCAGCTCTTTGCCACCGAAGTCAACGTCGTTGCGTTGACTAGAAGCGACCCAGATGTGTTCGGCTTGTCGCTGTAAGGTTCGATCATGGCGCTGCCCCAGCTACCTAATGCACCATCTGTGAATGAATATCAGTATCAGATTTCTTTTGATGAACGATCAAGACTTACCCGCAAATAGCTTGACGCTCTGCGCAACTAGCATCCCATCGGCCTTTTTTACTGTCCTCGCGTCGTCTGCGCAGAACGTGTTCCTGGCCGCACACTCCAACATTGCGTATACCCTCACCGTCCACTCCTCCCCTCCGGCCAACTCCTCATACATCTTCAACTGCCCCGGCATGACCCCTGCATCGTGCACACCCACAATTCCTAACTCATTCAGACTTCTCATTGCACTGCCCACCCACTTTTTCTTCGTCTGCCCACTCGGCTTCGGCCACATCGCCCTCACGATATCCATCGCATTATCGCAGAACACACCGAGCCCGGGCTCCCGCACAATTTCGCCGCCTTCAACATACTCAGGCATTGGCTTTGGCAAAAGATCGAGCACGGCCTGCGAGACCCATATACAGTGCACATCGATTCGGTCAAGCATGATGTACTTGCCGGACAGCACTGGGTCAGCTTCGAGGTCTACAGCAGTGGGCATCACGCCTCCAAATGCAGCCTGATCCCAGCCAATTCCGCGCAACCAATCCTCCCTCGATCCCGTGCCTGCATTCATCTCCAAATACGCTCTCACTCGCAGCCTGACATCCTGCAAACCCTCCGCCTGGAACAGATCCACGGAGTGTAGCATCTCACCGTACTGCATCACATGCCCATGCCCATCCCACAAGCCCGGCAGGACATAACCATCGATCAGTGTCTCAGGCGCAGGCGAGGGATCTGTATACACAGTCCTGAACTCGCCATTTCTTCCAAGCGTGAAGCAATTCGCATACGGCGCGTCATCAGATAATGTCTTTATCGACGTGTAACAGTGAATGTGGGACGCGAGGTAGTGCGTGCGGATGTATTCGACGACAAAAGCGAGTGCGATGAGGGTGACAGAGGAGAGGGCGAGAACACGTATTCCTGCCATCGCCTGTTTCATTGTTGGTGTGGAAGACGGTGCTGGAGATATTATACACGGGATATTCATTCGGCGTATTGGGATGTGGGGTTAGTGGGAACAGGATAAAGAGGCGCTATAACGGATTCGAGCTAGCGCAAATGTAAGGAACTGGAAATAAACAATGTTCGCCTTGTCATCATCCCGGCCTTCCATTTATTCCCATCAGTATAGCTAAGCTTTATCATAGCCTCTAGCTTACTATTGCCTCATTTTCTTTGTATCGTGGTCACGAGTAATGTAAGCGCATATCAGCTACCACGAAGCTCATCCCTAACAAACCAATTTATATAATGCAAAGCAAACACCGAGAAGTAAAACATACAATAACAGCTAACGAGAACACGCAGGCGTCGATCAGCATCACAAGCAGCATTCTCAGCCCAGAAACATGGGCTTTGTGAACATTAACGAACAAATATCACAGGTAATCATACCAGTATGAATTGCATCTATGGGAAGATACTTGATAGATACCCGCGCGTCCGTTCCATATCGTAGAACAACCATTTGGCTATACATTATGCGCTCATTGTGCCTTTATTACCCTATATACAAAGATCAGGAGGCTTTGAAAGAAGAACTCGACAATACTATATGTAGTAGTCTATATGCGAAATGCAAGATATTGTACTAGGATATAGGTTACAAGTGGTATCAAGAGGTAATGTATTAGTGATGGGTAGGTATGGCATAGATGCAATAGGCACAACAGTAGCTTCAAGGGAGAAATAACGCTGTAAAAGAGGTCAGGCCTGACGCAGTACGTATTTTAAACCCAAATGACCCCTCAAGAGCTACGACAAAGTTCTACGCCCAACGCGTTGATTGTCGGTATCAAAGGAACTCAACCAGACTTATACTCTCAGCCTTTTACATTCTCTGCTAGAAGAGAAATCCAATATGCAACCATTTGCACCAGTTAGCATAAGTATATGCCAAAATAAAACTCTGCCTAGCTCGACGTTGACATGTCCTGTTATAGTAGTAGGCAGACACGCCAATCGCCAACTAGATCGTTCGCGTGACGAGGGAATGAGGCTAAGAAGCGGGAATTCCCAAGTTTTGGAACGGGCGCTATGCTGTGGTTTGTTACGTGCGTTATGTTCGCTTTGATGATGGTTCTAAAGTAGGTCGTGTGATTTGTTCTTCGGTAACTATAACTATAGCCGTCTAGATGTCCCTGAAAGACTTGAGATGTTACAGTGGATCAAATGGCTCTCTTTGATTACAAAATACGTCAGTTTAGACAACTGGCACTATGTCTTGTGGTGATCGTCTTCATAGTTCGAGCCCCTCGTTAGTAGCTCTAAGCACGATGATCCGTTCAACGGGCGTGTAAGAACTGATTATCCGTATATCCGACCCCTTTCCACTGGCGATCAACACCACGAATCCACTTCTCTAGGTGATTTCACCGGTCAAAAATAGTATGCCCCTCACTTTCCACTCCACAGTCCTATCCTATAGATTCCCATCGCTGGTCGGTATCCGGCTGCAGAACGCGTCGTCAATTGAGAGTGTGTGATTGGCTCATGGTTATATGAACGGCATACTGAAGCTCCACTTCGGTAGACACGTCATAACATAGCGCTCGACGGTGAAGATTGAACCATGCAAATACAAACAACCAAAGAGTCCGTGGCTTCATTCATGAAACAGTTTCCTAATGTATATGGCTTGCCTAAGCCTGCTCGGTGCTCTATCCGACGAATATTGTTTGGACGTTGTGATAATTGGATGATCAAGATACTTCAGGATTGTGGAAGACTTTGGTTGTTGCGAAGTGTTATGTACATGATTTCCTAGTAGGCCAGGGACTGGGTCCCACAAGAATGGAGATGCTTCCAATCATTTGGTCAAATTGGAGCCAGGAAGGCCGAAAACTATCCCGCCTGCATGACCGTGGACACCTGTGGGTTGCGACGTATGAAGTTTCGCACCCAGAGCTTTCCAAGAGGAGGCTCTTCTCGTGGTAGCATACGTGACGCCATGTCGCGCACCCGGTTGTGAGTAGGTGGGTGTCCAAAGTTGGCCATGGTGATGATGCAATATGTCAGGAGTCTCTCTTCTGGAGGAGAGAGTCGCTGACGTTCCGCATGAGCTGACGACTTCTTCACAGCGCCGTATAGTCGATCGCGTAGTGTTGACCGGGGTATTCGATGTGCAGTTGCGGCTTCTCTCTCGGATTGGTATTCGCCATTTCTCAAAGCTCTTATAGCTTTTGCTATAGCTTGCTCTCGTTCGGTGATCATTGTGACAATTGTATATAGTGGGTTGTAGTTTGTGTGCTGTTTATGCTGGGGGTGTTCAGTTTGAGCCCTGTTAATCCGAGAACAGGTACTGAGATAGAGTGTATATATATATGTATATGTAACCTACCATCCAGTAATATCCTCAAGGCACTAGTAGCACTTGCGGGAGATGGAAACTTTAGAGCTTGTAACATAGGTCAAAGCGTATTGTCGGGCAGAAGTGCGATTCTTTTCCCTCTCGTGATGACCTGGGAATTGTTTGATCCGTGCGACTATCTCCCATCTTGGTTACTCGAATAATGCAGCCAAGATCGATGAAGAAGTACGCCAACCCCAGTGCACCATGATCGCCACGCCATCGTGGAGAATTTCCCTTTTACTAGGATTAGCGTTAATGTAGATCTCTAAGCTTCTGTTATAAGCGCATAGAGTCCTTTGGGGATTAGTGGGTCTACTGGCCAATAGAATTCGGCTTATTAGTGACACTCTTTGGTCTGGGATAGTACTACTCCTGGATTGGGAATACATGGGGTAACAGTAGTTTAGAAGCTTGTTCAGCCCCTGCCATACCCCTCTGAACCGTCCATTTCCCCACATTCCTTGGTGTGAAAGTGGAGCCACTTATACATACTAGTAAGTAGCCTCTCAGCAGCTTCAGTAATCTTGATTTGCATTGTGAGTATCCGGGTATCAAAAGACCCATCTTCTACCCGGTATTATGGATGACAATCAAACAAACCGCGATGCTCTGTGAAGATCGAAATCGATCGAGAACCTCGAGGTGTCGAGACTCGCGCACAGTTGTGGACGCTTTTGCTTCCCCCAAGGACCCGAGAGTCTACTGTTATGGTGGTCTCCTTTGGACCCACTGATGCGGCTTTGGATCGATCCCGTCGTACTTACCGTCCCCCAGTCGTCACTCGACCTTATTCCCGAGCTTACTCACAGAATGTAGTGCCTTCTACAATTCCCACGATCCAGCTACATACTAATTATTCTCCTATTTGCTTGGCTTTGGTCACTGTTATGAGCCTTCTTTGTCTATCTGTTCTTGCTTTTCAGACCCAAACTCATCTCAAGCCTATTAAAAATGTTTCCTAGCAACATATTTGCTAATATGCCTGATCTCAATGATAAACAGGGCCAATTTGCATCCTCTTGGCCTATCTAGAGTTTCATCCAAGTTGTAGTGATGGCGATAGTCAGGGCGGAGTTCCTCAGGTACTTTCATGTTTGCCTTGCGCTGTCTGAGCGTAGCGAAAGGCCCAGTTGTGGACGCTAAGTCGAGTATTTCAATTCTGTCATGAGCTTTATTGAATCCAAGTCAACCCAAAGCTTAGACTATACGTATCATACCCCGGACAGATCTCTCGATCGGATTGAGAGATCGGACAAAAAGTAGACATTCCTCAAGCCTGTACAAGGGTCCTTCAAAGACACCAAATGCTTCACATGAAGTTTACAACTTCCCTTGCTCTTTTAAACTCTCTACGAATGACCGAGGTGCCTCAGCATCAATCGCAAATCCCAAGTCCGGATCCGCTTTCGCACGCGCATTCCTATATCCTTCTCTATCCGAACATCGTTGGAGATACTCCAATATGCCCTTATAATCCGTCAGATCATAGCCACAGAAATACCTCATTGTCGTCAGTGTAAACAAAATCATGATATCAGCAGCCGTAAACTCCTCGCCAGCTAGATACGCATGCGTCTCGCCGAGCCTCTGGTCCACAATCTTCAGCAGATTCTCAAACCGATCGCTGTATCCCTTCAGCATCTGGCCATCCTTGTCAAGTCGCATGACCTGCATGAACACCATCAGCAGTGGCTGGAAAGTACCGTTTGCGAAGTGGAACCAGTACAGGTAGGCGGCGTAGTCCTTGTGTGAGGGTGCGAGGGACAGACGGCCACCGCCATACTTGTGGATTATGTACTCGATACATGCAGCTGATTCGGCGAGTCTGAGAGAGTCGTCCTGGATGACGGGGGCTTGGCCGACCGGATTGAGATCTTTGATCGACTGTGGGGAGAAGATGGGTGCGCGTTTGTGCAGCACGAGCTCATATGCGATGCCGAGTTCTTCACAGAGCCAAGGGACTCTTTCGCTCTGACTGACCTGTAGGTGGTGGATTGTCAAGACCATGTTGGATTTGTGAATGAAAATAACGAGCCGAGATTATTGATTAGTTGGCGCTCGTAGTCAGATAGATCTGGCTTTCGTTGCAGTTATGGTTGAACTAGGTCTTTTAGATGCGCTTGACGCTGAGCTATACGGGATGTATGGCCTATTATAGTCGGTTTGCTAACAGTTCTAATGACTCCGATATTCAGACCAGAGGCTTCTACTCGTGATGGTCGTACAGTCACGGCTCATGACCAGCTCGGAGGGGTAGAGCTCGGCTTCGGCTCGCGCCCGCCTTCGCCCCTAACGCCGGAGATGGATCCGTCCGTAACTTTTTCAGCGCAACTCTTGGCACGTGTCGCGCGCGTAACACACACATTTTCTCTTATTCTACCTTTTCTCTAATAACTCTAGAATTAAGACTCTAGGAGGTTTTTTAATTATATCTAAATATACTTCTATATAAAAAACTTCTTTTACATCCCTAAGAGGCTAACTTAGTCCATTCGGGGTAATATAGCAAGATATATACCTTAATCGATAGAGTATACCGAGTACACTAACTACTACTATACGTACGTACGTATAGCGTTAAAACCAAGACGTTATCACCGTATAAAGATATATATATACCCTCTTAAAATCCTTACGGAGATAGAGGCACGGACTACACTACTAGAACGCCGATATACCGACTCCCTTTTATTAGTTAAGGGTAGCCCTTAACTAATAAATATAGCGGCCTTAGGTACCGACATACCCTAGTATATACTAGATATACCCCTACCGGTACGATAGAAAAGGCTATATAGCGATATTACTAAGGGTAACTATATACCTATCTAAAACGTAGAATATACCTAAAGGCGCACGCCGCTATAGATAGACGGAATAAAGGGGACCCTAAGAGGGGAAACCCTCCTAGATTATATTAACTACTAGGTAGTATATATAGAGAAGGAAGCCGGAGAGAGCTAGAAGACCCTCCTATATATATTCTAGGACCTTATCTAGAATCTAAAGGGAATTACGGAGGAGGAGAAGAAGATATAACTAGGAGGACCGGAGAGTAGGCTCGACTAAATAGAGGCTAGTCTACGTAGAATCTAGGAGGAACTTACTTAAGGTAAGCGCCCTAGTATATAGGTATAAATAGTAGTAATACCGGAGGCTATACCACGGGCCCCCCGGACCGGTAATACGGTGTATAGTATACACGTTATAATCTAGAATAAGGACACCCTAGCATAGGTCTAGTAAGCATCCCTAAAGGATATAGTAAGTAAGATTAATAAATAAAAGGGAATATAGTTAAACGTTATCGCCGCTAAACTTACGCTAGAAGGAGTAGTACTTACCACGATAACGAATATTACGTAGTAGACTATCTCGCGCGATCCGAACGCGATTAGTAGTATCTTCCTAGGCGCCTCTATTAGGGCGGCTATATATCTAATATAGGTATACTCTATATCTATAAGCGGATAGATTATTAGAGAAGAGGATATTATATAGATAGAATAGTTAAACGAGCGAAAATACCTAGGGATTAAGATCGTAAGAGCATAGTAGAAGAATATATAAGGGATTAAAACCAGATCGAAGATATACTCTACTATAATAGTAGAGCTTAAGGACCCCGCCCTCGCGTATTAAATTACGTAAGAGGGATTCCTAGTAGAAGGGGAGCTTCTTATAGCGGAACCATGGGATAGAGTATAGGCAATAATATAGTGCTTTAACTATTAGGGATACGGGTACACGGCATAGCGGTACTTCTAAAAGACTAGATATAGGTGGTATTAATAAGAATATAGTACCTAGGAGTACCCCTATAGAATATAAGGAGAGGGCTAGAGGGATAGGGATATAGTAAAGTACTCTAACTACGACGGTAAGTACCCGTCGTAGTCGGCTATATACACGAAACGTAAATAGGTTACTAAATATATCCACTTAATCCGGATAAAGGGAGTAAGGTAGCTATAAATAATACGACCTACTACTATTTCTCTCTTTACTATAATACTACTACTATAGACTACCTCCTTACGAGGAAGCGGTTAGAAATAATAAACTATCCCGAGAAAGCTAATAATAGGACGGCCCCGAGGAATTACTAAGGCCGCCGCTATATAAGGATAGTCGCGTCTTAGAGGAATAAATATATAGGCCTATATATTCCCTAGCATCTAATAAGAGACTAAGATATACTTCTAATTATATAGATAAACGTATAGTATAAACGTAAGAACTAGGCGATACTTCTTAAGAAGACCGGAGCTGTAATACTCGCTATATAGGAGCTATATAAATACTACTAGACGAATAAACCAATAACACACCTAGGATATTATATAATACACCCCCTAGGACCGGAGAGGAGAGTCCTCTTCCATATCTATAAGTCTATTCTACTCTTATTATAGTCGTATACTAAACGGGATAACCTCTAGATAATACTACACCTCTAGACGAATATTAGACCCCTCTATATATATAATATATATAATTAGAACTAATCGCTTTAGGCGGATAACATGCTTAAGGGTACTACTAAGCTAGGATAATATATCCTTCTAGAAGACTTTAACCTCTATTATAGCTAGTAGGGTAGACTAACTATTACCCGCGAAGAGCTTCGAGCTAGAGAACTACGTACCTAATGCTACGGCTTTCTATATCTTCTTATACTAGTAGAATAGATTATCTAGTGAAAATATAAATAAGATAAGGGCGGATCTATACTCGACCTTACCCTAGCCACTAGATATATTTATAATAGAACTTAATACTACCGCCTAAGCCTTATATAGATAGACTCCGACTATAAATATATAGAGACCGTAATAGACGTATCTACCCCTTAAGACTAACGAGGGCGATAGCTATAGAAGGATACTAACTAGGAAAAGTATCTAAAGGACCTAGAATCGATAATCCTAGACCCGTCTATAGTCGACGTATCTAATGGCCCGGCTATTAACTAGGCCGTGAATACACTCCTATAGACGTACTAGGGAGTAAGAGATAAACACGTGCCGTACTAAATATATAGACCCCTAGACCTAAAAAGTATACCTTAAGTGCGAGAGTATAGGCGAGAAGTCCAGAGATTATATACACGCGTATACTATAACCGTATATCTAAAGTATAGGATAAATAGAGAGAGGCGAGAAGATAACGAGATAAGGTCCTCTATAATAAGCGATATAAATAGTAGTATATAGTCACGGACAGATACACACGTAATACTACTAGACTATGGTATATAGTAAAATAGGCTAAAAGTACCGCCTCCCCGACACCTATACCACTTATACCCCCCCTTATATATTAAGAAAAGATATACTCCACGAGCCTTAAGAAAATAGAAATCCTATAAGAGATTATATTCCCTCTCCTAGAACCCGTAGACCTATTAGATATTAACGGCACGGAATACCCGGAAGCTATAAGTATCCCTAGGGAAATCACGGACGACGATATACTTAGCGCTATTAAGATACTTCTAAACGATAAAGCGCCTAGGCTAGATAGAATTCCGAATCGATGCCTTAAGAGGACCATATAGGCGACCTTACTAATTATAGGCTATATATTCCAAGCGTACGCCCGTATAGGATACCACCTATAGAGCTTCCGAACTATATATATAGTTATACTCCTAAAACTAGGGAAGAGTCTAAATATACTAAAGGGATAGAGGCCGATCACCCTCCTCTCCTACCTTAGTAAGGTACTAGAAGCTATAATTACTAAGAAGATAAGTATAGTAGTATAGGTATACGGCCTTCTTCTAGTAAACTAGAAGACGAAGATAGAAAGCTCTCTAATTATAGCTATTTAATATATCCTTAAGGTTATCTAGACTATATAGAAATAAGAACGAGTCGTTACGCTACTCTCTCTAGATATAATAGGGGCATTTAATAAGGTAAACTATATAAGACTTATCTATAACCTCCGGATAAGGCGAATACCTAAGTAGATTATATAATTTATATAGTCCTTCCTCGCGTAAAGGACTACTTAAATATATATCCCCGGATACCGAAGCGAATATAAGAAGACGGTATATAGTATCCCGTAAGGGAGCACTATCTCCCTAATCCTCTTTCTCTTCTTTATAGTAGACCTCCTTTAGGGAATAGAATATATAGAGATAGTCGGATACGTAGATAATATATACCTCCTTATAGTCGATAGTAGTACTAGTAGAATATATACACGACTCGAACGAGACCATAAGAAATACGTCTAGTAGGTAAAGCGCCACGGAGTAAAATTCGTACCTAAAAAATACTAGCTTATATACTTTATTAACCGCTATAGAGGATAGGCTACTAGGGAGGGGGTATGTCGCCCCTAAATCGACGCCTTTATAGAACTACTAGTATAGAGTATACGAGCACTCGGCGTTATAATTAATAATAAGCTAAAATAGAGACTATAGGTGGCACACGCCGTCTCTAGAGCCCTCTAGGTAGAAACCGCTATATACTAGATTACGGTATCTACGTAGGGAATAGCCTAGGATAAGGCGAGATAGCTATACGTCTCCCTAGCACGCCTAGCCTTTATATATAGATATAAGTACTAGTATACGGCCCTTATATAAGCTCGGCGAGTAAAGCTTAAGTCTATATAAAACCATATACTCCGCCTTATCTCCGGCATATATAAAGCTACTAACACGACGCTCCTCCAACGCGAGATAAACGTAATAAATATATAGAACTTCTACTAGATATAGAGACTTATATACTTTACTAAATAATAAGTATAAGAACGTAGAGGAGATAGGGTATATACCTTCGCCGTACTACGTACACGTATCCGCGCGTATTACTAGGCTCTCTCTACTATAGAATAAACTCGAGTATAATATAAATACTATATAGAGGCGGACTCGAGCTAGACCGTATAGGAGGTTTAAAATAACCCGGATACCGTCCTAAGCTAATAGAGCCCTAAGGAGCTTAGCCGCGTTATATAGTTATAGATCTAGAATAAATAGAGGGAGGTACTTAAAGTCTAGTAGGCCTCCTAATAGGATAGGTATCTAGAATAGATCTAAGGGCCTTAGAAGGAACCGAGTAAATAGATATATAAAGGGCTAACGAAGGCCTAAGCATCTATACTCCTCTAAGCCCGAATAGGCGCTATAGGTCTTCTATATTACCTCTACTAGAGAGGTATCCTAGATATATCTTTCTAGTACGAGGACTACGGCCGGAGAGGTATAATACGCCACTAC